ATAATAAAACCACTTTTTTTTATTTTTAAAAAAATTGTTATATTTTTTTTTATTAAAAAAACGCCTCGTTGTCCCCCCTGAATCTCCCCGCTCTGCCCACCCCAACCCCCCCCCCCCCCCCCCAAAAAAAAAAAAAAGCACTCAAACAACCAGGTCTATCTCCAATCAGAAGCGCAGCTTCGGCAAGACAAACACGACGACCAGCAGCACGACCATGAGGCCGTAGACCCAAGCGTACAGCAGCATGCGGCCCCACCAGCCTTTCCCCTCGGTGATCCTGCGCAGGGCGCCGAGGCGGCGGGCCGCGGCCTCGAGCCCGCGGCCGCTCCGGTCCAGCGACTCGCCCGCCAGGCCCAGCGCGTCGCGGTCCTCCTCCAGCGACCGCGAGAAGGCCTGCGACGACGTCTTGAGGTCGCCCGCCATCCGCAGTATCGACTCCGAGAGCAAGTCCTGCTCCGCGCGCTGGTGGTCCAGGATCGCCTCCGTCGTTGCCGTCACCGACTTTGTTGTTGTCGTTGTTGTTGCTGTTGTCGTCGTCTGCGACGGCGCGGCGGTCCGCCCCCCGAGGAGGGATGAGCCCGTCGCCCGTGCCTCGGCGTCCTTCTCTTCCGGCGCTGTGGTTGTGGTGGGGGGTTTCCCGCGCGATCGCACCGTCTGCGATGTGGCTGTTTCCGTCTTTTCGGATATCTTCGGCCCCTTTTCTTCAATGGCCGCCTTCTGCTCCTCGGGGTGCGGCTCCGGCGTCGGCTTTAGTTTCCTCGGAGGCTCCTCCTCCTGCAAATCCGGTACCGGCTCCGACCCCTCCTCCGCATCCCCTCCACCACCTTCCAGCGCCACGCCGCTCGTCGACCTGGAGTCCATGCTCTCGCTCGGCGTCGCAATGATCTCGCCCAGGATATCCTCTCCGTCTGAGGTGTCGTCGTCGTCGTCGTACCCGGCCACGTTCGCAATCTCCTCCAGGTCGCCCATGCGCTCCGTGAGCTGGTCGATCACCTCCCGCTTCCGGTTCAGGTCCGTCAGCAGGTCCTGTCTCCGGGAGTGCACCTTGACCGCGAGGGCCTCCTGCTCTAGTCTCGTGAGGAGCGTCCGGGCGTGGTTTATGTTCTTATTCGTGGGGCGCGGACACCGGTTAGTCAGCTGCTGGGATGGCAGTCAGGTTGGGCCGTGGGAGGGCGTCTCACAGTATCGACCCTCCTCCTCTCGTACTCGCTCGCCCGGAGCCTGCGTTCCCGCTCTGCGTCCGCCCGGAGGACTGTCTGTTGCAGCCTGCCAAGGAGGCGGGTTAAATCTGTCAAAGGGTCGGCAGCCCGCCCGCCTGGGGCTAGAGCCGCCGGACCATGTGATAGGCGTGCCATCTTGTTTCGTCTGGACTTCCGGGAGCAGTTCTCGGTTGCATGTGTGGAAGAAGAAAGCTTGAGGTTGTCGGTAGGAAAAGGGTGGAAGTGGACAGCAAGTAACAGATGTGGCGCGAGCTTCAATGTGGCTGATTATCCAACCCTAACCCTGGACTTGATAATGGTAGCTCTAAACTGCAAGCGGCATGGAATGGAATTGAATATATCTTGGGGGTATCTATTTAAGGTGTATCTCTTTTTAAGGTAGTTTCTAGCAATGCGCATCTCCTTCCAGTCTCTCCCAGCCAGTCTAATCCTCCTTCTCAAATGCATCATTCAAGTAACCGACGAACCTCTCCCGCAACCTCACTGCCCGCCCCACGTCGTCCACAGTGTCCAACCCAATACCGCCTCGACTGAGCGCTACAAAGGCCCTTCGGTATCTCTGCAACTGTGGCAAGCCGACCTTCTTGCCGGGGAGCTCGACGACCAGCTCATCCCCGACGTCCAGCGCGCTTCTCGGTAGGACGACCCTGCCCCCACCTTCGTCCCCCTGTAGCTCCAGTATCCTCTTCACGATTTCCTGCGTCTCCCTCTCCAGTATGTAGAGATAGTCCCCGCCAAAGTCCTTGTTTTTATCCACCGTGACCTGGTTGGCGCGGACGACCTTCGTCCACTTGCCGGCGATGGTTTCCCACAGGTCGTCAAAGACCTCCTTCGTCCTCGCCTCGTCGTCCTCCCATATCAGCGTGAACAGCGGGCTGTCCCACTTCATCATCGCGTTCGGCTCCTCGTACCGGAACACCAGGTTCTCCCAGTTGTCAGGCTCGTACGGCTCCTCGTCGTCCTCGGCGCCCTCTCCCGCCTCCTCCCCGCGCTCCCTCCTCGCCCTCCTCTCCAGCCTCTCCTCATTCACCCTCCTCGCTCTCTGAAGCCCGCACCCAACCTGCAGCACGCAGCTCCCCGTCCCCGCATTCTTGGCCTCGCAGAACAGCTGGTACCGCCACCCCTTGATGTAGTTGAGCCCGTCGAGGAGCACGATGTCCGCCGTCCCGGGCCCCAGCGCCCTCTTGACGGCCGCATACGTCGCCGCCCGCGCGTCCTTCTCCGTAGCGTTGGCCGACCGCGTGTGCGCCGGCTGCGCCCTCGCCGACAGGTCGTACGCCGACCGCGGGATCGACTGCGTCTGGTCCGATATCACGTGCAGCCGGTGCTGCTGCTGGCGCGCCGGGGACGCCGCGGCGGCGGCGGCTATGCGCTCCCGGAGGTAAGCCTCGAGCTGTCGCGCGCGGGTGGTCTTGCCCGAGGTGGGGAGGCCGGTTATGACGATGAGCTTGGTTTGGGGTGGTGGGGGTTAGCGGGGCTCTCTTGTGAGTTTGATGGGGGGGAGGGAGGAGGGGGGTTTACTCACTGGCATTGTATTGTGTGTTGTCTGTGAAGCGCGGTAGGTCTGTATCTGGTCCGCTTGTTGAACCTGCCGTGAAGGCTTTCTGTGAGAGCTCTTGAGGTACTCCGATGACGAAGCTTTTATAAGAGTTGGAAGGTCGAAAAAACGTGAAAACTTAGAAAGGCACTCGGCATACCCCGCCAAATACCTCTTAGTGGGGAACAGCCTCCAGGAGTCATGATAAACTCCTGTGAAACCTAGCATTGGCTGTGACTTGGAATTAATCGCTTCATATTAAGATTATTACGGCAAGTATAACATGATGAATCGTACACACAAAACCAACGGCAGGCCTGCTCTCAAAAACCAGCTCGCAAAGTCCGAGGGGCGCCATCACCCTCACCCAGGCGACAACTCCGGCCCTAGCAGGTTTGCAGCACCCATCTTGTCAGAAATGTGTCTCCTTCGTGCACGTTTGCGCCCAAGCTCGGCACGGCTCATGAGAGCACTGGGCTCCCCGAATCCCTTTGAACTCCCCATCTCCTTGTGCTCCATGCAAAGCGACTGTGTGGAAAGCCATCTTTCTCCGGCCTTCCGATCCCCCATCTATACCAGTGTACGCCAGCGGTATTCGCGATACATGCTGCCGTATAAGCGAATGTTCTATGATACATGACACCCCCGCACCAAAAGCAAGGCAGAGAAAACGCCGAGGGCACCGCTCATGGGGGGAAAAAATAACATGCAGAATCTGGTGTTAGGGAGAGAGCCCAACTTCCAAGTATGTAAACCCCCTTTTTTTTCGCCATCGAATGGTCGGGTGTCAACTTCGTCTTACACCCGGGCCGACCCATCATGCCATCTCGAGTCGACCCGCACACGCCGGGGGTAATATAGACAGAACTGAATAGAACATGCATACCGAACAGAGCAGTCAGCCCTCCCAGCTCGGCAACCATCTTGTTGGACACGCCAAGGTCATTCCGCAAGTAAGAGCGGAGCCGGTTACCTCGCACCTTTCTGAGCCGCTGAGCCGTTCCTGCCAGGCCTCGCCTTTCCATTGGCGGCGACGGCGCCGCCGTTCAGAAGGGGGGCCTTCGCGGCCTCGCCGTTCAGGAGCGGCTTCTGCTCCTCGGTCTGCTCAGTCTCGGCCTCCGACTCCTCGTTCTCGCTCCTGTCGTCCTCAGCGACGCGGTGGACGACGAAGCGGTAGGCGATCCGGACGATGAAGAAGAGCCAGAACAGGTTCAGGGCCTGCAGGGCGGATAGTAGGCCTAGCGTGATGACGTTGGCCAACGGGCTCTTGAACTGCTCGCCCGCCCAGTCCAGCTCGTACGGTCCGATCGTCTTGTACTCGGTGAAGAGACTGAAGATGATGCGGAGGTTGAGGTAGTGCCGCATGTATATCCACACACACATGAACAGGAAGAAATAAGGTCCAGTCAATGCGTGATCGATATAGTTAAGTGTCTTAGAAGTCTATGGGGGACGGTGCAAGGTCAGCATCGGTCTCGGGAAAGGGGCAGCGAATAAAATAACCCGAGGATAGGGGGTGGGTTAAAGAGAAAAAGGAACAACTCACAGCCAAGAAAAAGTCACTAATGTCATGCGTTACGTAGACGGCCAGGCCGATATACGTAAAATGGAACCGGTAGCTGAGCGCAATAAGGGTCAAGGAGACGATATGATGGCCGACCAACTCCTTGAAGTCCTTCCTCGGCTTCTCCATACCCAGGAGCAACACGATCGCCTGCTGAGCCCAGTAGGCGGCCTGGAACAGGTAGTAGAACTTGACGACCGCCTCGTGGGTCTTGTGCGGAGAGTCCACGTACATGCCCTCGGTGTTGAAGTACCACACCGGCGTACGGCTCATGACGTACATGCCCGCCGGCCCCAGGAGGCCGAAGTACAGCGCCGTGTACATCTGCTCCATGAAGCGGGCCTGCTTGTTGCGCGACTTGAGGCCCGCGTACCGGGCGAGCGGGCGCAGGAGCTCCTGCATGATGAATTCGCGCGTGAAGGAGAGAACCACAGTGTAGAAGGTCACGAAGGCAATGTCCCACGGGCCCTTCCCGTACTGCAGCGCGGTGGAATCAGGTGTCTCGGAAGCGGGTATGGGGTAGCTTAGGAAGACGAAGTGGTGGACAGGATTGGACTCGGTCGGGTTCGTAAGGTAAAGTGAGAGGAAAATCGCCAGTATCACGAGCGGGATGACCCAGGGGTGTCGCGCGGTGAAGTGCTTCGCGCGCCGCAGGAGACTGCGGGCCTTCCGCCTCTTAGAAAAGCGCTTACCGCCATTGGAGGCGGCGTGTGTGTCCTGGGCAGAGGATTAGCGGGTGTTCTGTGAAAACATCGAAGCGCATGCAGCTTAGACAAATCGGAACCATATTACCTTTCCATGCGGATGGGTAAAGCTGGCGGCCAGGCCAGGGGCGCCAGTATCGCCGGCCCGTATCTCAGTTCCCAGTCCGGTGGATTTCCGTCTCCGGCGCGCAGTGTTCATGTCGTTAAGTTCCGTATGCAGTTGATCTGCAGATGTGTTGAGAAGGGGGAACGGCTCAGGCACGGCCATGTCGATTTTCGAGGTGCGGGACTCGTGTGAGACAAACCCCAGGATTAGGGAGGGAGATTAGATAGGATCGGAAAGCTTTTTGGTAGGTACGGAGTAGGTAGGAGCAGGTAGGTGCAATCTGTTACTGAGGAATGGAACAAAGGTCAAATTTCGGCGTCAATCATGCAAAGGAGTGTGTTTTAGGTCTCGGCCGGCGCAGTATTGGTATTAGGATATCTTCATCACTGTCGAAGTCGAAGTGTCAGATGAAGAAAATGGTTCGGCTCGCTCATAGATGCAATTTCCCAATTTCATTTACACCTTCCGACCCACCCGACTTTAACTCAAAGTAATAAGGTTGCTTGGCAGCTGTCGTCAGCCGCAAATGTTGCTGCAATGGCGAATTTGAAGGACTCGAGCCATTCCTCAGCTGCAAAAAGGGGTCCTGGTGCGGAGAACAGGAGAGACCCTGCCTGCCTCTATGGCTGTTCAAAACTTCAACCCGCTTTCCGTTGAACCCGATCAGAGCACAGCTCCCCACTAATAAAGGTTTATTTTGATGGAGAACCTCACATCCTCACACCACATGCGCGCCCAACGGGTCTTGGTAATATGTATATTTACCCCTGAAAAGCTGCTAGTCGCATGGCGTTTTGGGAGGATCTGGCCAAGAGTAAAGAAATAAAGGCAAGAATCTCTTAGCAGAGTATAAGCTCGCCAAGTTGTGAGCTTAACTTGTTAGGCCCATTTGATGCAGATAATAAATATATGGATAAGATATCTATCCAGCGAGTGTCCTGCCTATGCAACCCATTCTCCCATTCGCAGTGTGTATTTACAACGCCAGCTCTACATTTCTGGGTATGCAAAGCCTCTGAACCAGATATAACTCCCGCATATTGGGAGCTACCGGCCCAACTTTGCCAAAATACGCCGCCTCCATTCCTTCGACCGAGATAAAATGACATCAGCTCGTTCCGGTCGTGATAGATAAACGTACAACAAAAAGTCCCACAAGGATGCATGCACCGGATCACCGTGCGGACGTGTAAGCCAACCCTCGCTGAGCCCCTTTTGATAACCGTATGCCCCAATAAAAAGATGTAAGATGTTGCAGAACTCCGCTGGTGTCCTGATTTTGCCCATGCCATTTCCCAACCCGTTACCAGTCATCGTGCGCAAGCAACCGCCGAGACACCAACCATTCACTCCCTGGCATCCCCTTCCGTTACTTGCCTCCCAAGCGCGGCCTGAGATGGCCCACTTGGGGACGGCACCGGGCTCGGGGTCGGTATCGGTATGACCGATGCCGGGGGCGGACTTCGGGTACTCCTCCTAGCAGAGTCATGGGACACTGATCGTCCCGCACGAGCTCTCGCAGCCGAAGGAGCGCCGGTGTTGGTCCGATGGAGATAGGATGATGAAATCTCATGCTCGGCTGGATAGGCTCTCGGCATATTACTGTTACTCTGGAACGCTCTAGGGGAACGAGGCTCCGGTGTCTGCACATCGGCTTGCCGAGAGCCAGGCTCTTCTTCCTCGAGTAACTGGGCGAGCGCGGCGCCCCTCCGCGGCGGCGCAGGAACGACCGTGACAGGTAGGCTATCAGTGTCCAGTGTTGGTCGGATTTTCTCGCGCAGCCTCTCTGCCTGCGTCGCCGCAAACTCTTCCAGGCGCGCTCGGATGTCCCAGCGGCTGCTCTCCTCGCGCTGTACATGCTCTTGGTCATGCACGCGCGACTCCTCTTGGGCGGCGTTGCGGCCCACCCGCGGGAAAGGTATTCCTTGTGCCAAGGCTCGCCAGCGGCTGTCTGACGGACCCTGCTGCGTCGGGCCCACGGTAGGTGGCTCTGCGGCACCTGTGCCATTGTCGTCACTACGGTGTGTCGACGCTGGGCTACTGCTCCGGGATAGGGGTCGTCGCCCCTGTGGCGGTGGGGTGGATCGGGAAGTTGTTTCTGTCAGCGGGTGATACCTGACGGCATACACTGTACTGGCTGCGCTAGCAGTATCTGTCCGGCTGACCGGGGTAACAGCCGGCGCAGGACGTGCCGGCCATAGTGGCGGTTGTAAGAAGCGTATCCTGTCGCGGTTCGAGGACTCTGTGGTTTTTGGCTCTCCAGGTTGATCGCCGTTTCTGCTCCTCGAACGCGACCGATATTTTGTCGCAATCGAAGAAACAGTTGGCCAAACGTTCCCTCTTCCAGTCGATGAAACCTCCGTTCGTGATGATCTTCCACCCTCTCCACTATCATCATCGTCACCTCTGCCCTCCTTCTTTCTCCTGCGCGGCCAGGTGGAATCTGACTGTGCTATCTCCAACATCTCATCTCCGTCAAAGATTTCTCGCCCCAGGATCCCGTCCTTCTTCTCTTCCCGCTCCAACGCTTCTATCCGCTCCACCCATTCCCACACGATGACGCTAGCGGCTGCTGCTCCCACCCATCTCACGTAGTCCCCCCACCCGGTGAACAGTGGTTTGGAGATATCCAGGATGAAGAACACGACGGGGACAAGGATTGCCAGCAGCGACAGGGCAGAAACGAGAAGCATATTCTTCATCTGTGGATGATAGAAGGCGTATCGCTTCTTCATGAGCGAGTAATAAATCACCCACGCCGCGTACAAAACTCCGAGCGAGAGCTGGAATAGATAGCTGAGGGCGGGTACGGCGTCGGTGAAGCTTCTGGGCCGAGCGTTGCCCTGATTTGTGTACTGGAAGCTGTTCAAGCACTGGAAAATTAGGTCCAGGGTAATCAAAGCAAATGCGGTATACTTGATGATCACTTTCTCCCGTTGTCGAGGGAAAAGCCGAATGAGCGTCTGGGCCTGTGCAAGCCATAGGAATGTGTCGGAGATGATGCGAATGACCTTCAGCTCGGTGCCGCCTAGGACCTCGGACTGGAGGTTCTGCGCATTCTGACGACCCGTGGCGTATTGGTCCTCGGCAACCCGGAAGGTATTCGACGTGGCGATGGTCAGGGATATGGCGACGGTGAGGGCGGCGACCTTCTGGAGCCAGGGCCGACCGCCAATGTTCGTTCCACCGGTCCCTCCGTTTGTGAATCCTCTCCGGCCCAATACGACCACTCCACCCTGCAAGAACGATCGCGGCGTGATGAAGAGCATGATGACCAGGGTGTAGGCGACGACAGTCGTGGCAGCCAGAGCGTAGCATTGCGGGAAAGTCGAGGCATAAAATGGGTCCTGGGTCGGCAGGTCCACCAGGGAATTCGTAGTGTCTGCGGCTTCGTCAAGGGCGATGTTTCCGCCTCCATTTGCGATGATGGCCGGCCGTGTGACGGGAGTGCATATCGGCTTGAAAGCAGCCGGCTCGGTGAGGGTCACGGTATCTCCATTGGGGAGTGAAAGAACGCCGCCGATAGGCAGAGCGAAGACGGAACAGCTCTCGGCCTGGGCAGTGACGAGCGGCGTCGGCGACGGCCGCGCCGTCAAGCCGGCAAAGAGTTGACGTCCCTCCATGGTGGCTGATCGAGCCTCGATAAGCGGCCAGCCACTGGCATCGATGTTGGGGCGATGCTTTCACACCACCGCTATTATGTATCAAGCGCCATGGAAAAGCTGAAGCAGGGGCATCGGCGCGCACAATTCGACTTCTTTTGCCCGAATTGACTCGAGGTTGTTGTGAAGGGACTCGGTGACTCGGTAGCAGCGATCGAGACCTGTGGACCCCTCCTATCCCTCCTCTTCACGGTGTATCGAAATCGGGCGACACACGAGCAGGCGATGACAAGCCGGGGGCGATCGATCGAACAGTTGATTGTGTGGTGGAAAGGTCAACGTGGGGGATGTCCATGAAGGCTGGGCGCCGAGAAATGCTTGGTAGGGACTTGAGGTTGGGGAAACTCGGGACTGGGAAAGGGGCGCGTGCTTCTGTGGCAAAAGGTTCCTTTTTTTTCGGTCGTCTTGGGTGCGGACGGTGCGGACTGTCTCTAAAGTGTTTTGAACTTTGCCGGGGCGAGAGCCAGGCCAATTTCCTGATGATCGAAGCGGGGACACTGTGCATTCCTGGACGAGTGGACACGGTAATACTGTTTATCAGATCAATTGACCACTGGATAGCGCAGACCATGACCAATCAGTCACCGACGAACCCCTCCCTCTTTCTGCCGCTCGTCCAATACGGAGCGAAGTCAAAATGGGTGTGAGGCTGTGAACTGTGAGGGAGACCTGGTCTTATTCCGGAGCGGAGAAGTTGCAACGCAATCAATTCCCGCCATCACAATTAGCATTCCCGGGACATGACAGAGCGGAGGGCCGTAGCATCGGCTCCGATGATATTTTACGGGCGATGACAGCTACGGAAATAGTGTCTAAGGCACCTTATTTGTAGAAATCAACAATCATGACCGGCCATCACTGCCGTATGGTACATACCCAAGGTACCACGCTAGCATGACGAGTGGGCTGCATGGAGCTGAGTGGTGCGCACTGTGTTAAGAGCGGGGATTGGGATTTGGGCTGTCAGAAATCGGGTGGGTGGAACCTGTACCTGGACGAAGGTTATGTATCTTGCTGCGTGGTTCGATCTTGACCTTACCTATCCGTACCTAAGCACGTAATGCAGCAATGTGTACAATCGAAGAATGGAATTTCAGCTGTGCAAGAAGTCCCCATGATCGGAAAGATATCGATGCCACTTCAGTGCGGGATCAATATCCCAGACGCCGTCTTATAGATTTGTTATAAAAGCCTAAATGTTGAGACGGCATATCGAATATTATAGAAAACTCCCGCCGGCGCCTATGGTACCTAACTACACAGTAATTAACAGCCCGATTACCTGCCGTACCACGTGGAAAGGTACAGTTCAAATGTGGAGGGCTCGTTGAACAGTTGGAACGAGACGAGCTTCCGCCTTCGCTCTGTGCAAATTCACTTTCAAGAATCGATCTTCTATACTGTGGTAATTCCCCAGAAGAAGGGTCCGCCAAGCTTCTCGGGCTGATCTGCCCAGCAGGTCCAGACCTCCTTGGGTCTCGGAGCTTGGCGAAGCTTGTTCTGTCCCGCTCCACGACCTTGGCATCTCAGGTTCTTCCCGACCCTGAGCCGCAATGCGGGTGACGATTGGCGCCGTGCTGACAACAGGCGGCGGTGATGTCACGCCGTAATTATATTGCCGCTGGGGCTGGCGGCTGGCGGCGAGGCGGGCGGCCGCATCTTAGTCACCTTCCGGACCTCGAGTGAGCCGGCTCCGGATGTGAAGGGGAACAGAACGGATCGTGGCCCCGACTAGTCCGAAGCTGTTCGGGAATGGGACTGACACCTGAGTTCACATGTCGGACAGGAGCAGAGACAGTGAAAATGTATTGTGATCCGTTCCGGATCAATAGATTTAGTGAGCTGCCAAGTTCCCGGGTTCCTCCCTTCGTTGAATGGTATTCCTGACGACACAAAGTTGCAAAAAAAAAACCGAGAACTCGAATCAGAAGGGGAAACACGATGATGGAGGATCAGAGACGCAACCCGCAAATAAAAGGAAACCCCACCAAATGACTTGTCCAGAGGCATCAAGGAAATAAGGAATACAGCCGACAATATCCTCCGGCAGGGCTTGTAGCCCAGTCTAGCAGACTCGAGCCTTCTTAAGATGCTTCTTTGGTCGTCTCAGACACACTCTTTCCCACCTCCTTCTCCCTCTCTTCCCTCTCCTCTGTCTCGACCTTCAGTGAGAGCGCCACGGCGGCAAAACGTTTGCCATTCTCGAACCAAACGCATATGTCATACCGATCGCATTCCACGCGCTCCCGAAGTTTGTAGAACTGGCTCAAGCTGATGTCGCAGATGCGGACCTTTTGAGATTCCAAGTTCTCATCGTACTCATCACTGTATGGGTTTGTCTTGGTCGTCTCCATGACCTCAGGAACTGAGGGTAGATCGGCCAGCTCCTGCAGCTTTTCAGGCGTAGGAATCGGGGTGCTGGCGTCGATGAGGATCGGCATGCGTCCCTCTGGCTTCGTCCAACCGGAATTGTAGGCAGCCATGGCCTCCGCCCATACTCCGTGCCAGGGAAAGTCGGATTTCTGCTTGTTTTCGACAGTGGACTTCCCCAGCTTGACTCTCAGATTATCGGACATGATGTGATGTGAGCGGTCGCTGATGACACAGGCGACGATGGATTAGGGCCCAGACGGAAGATGGTTCGCTGGTGATTTTGGGTATTACTGCTGCTTCTGCTGATGAGAACAGAAAGAGTTTGGCGCAGGCCCGAGGTAGGACCTCTCTACACAACTACTCCGAACCCAGGGAATAATATGACTGACGAACTGGCAAGACTTGTTACCCGCTTGCTTTCGAGGTTGCAGAGAGGCGTGCCAAATTCGTTATTGGTCCTAGCCGCCCGAGAACCCCGCCAGCCAGTTTTGATTGGGCAAAAATCCGACCGCCTCCCGCGCGACTAGAGTGTCGCGGCCGACCAGTACCCAGACACCCAGACTAAACAGGCACCTACCTACACGGCTCACCTCGTCAAGCCCAAAAGTTGACCATGAGACTCAGATCGGGTGCCAAACGCCTGGCGAGCAAGTATGCAGTAATGCATAGCCTCCCTGCAGTGGTACCTCAAATTCGATATCCCACATCGTCATTGGGGGGATTGACAGGGCCTTAGCGCCCGTTCTGCAACCCGGGCTGATCGAGAAACAACTGAGCAGGGAAGAGTCTGAGATATCACCAACACAGCTTCGTCAAAGTAGCCCAATATTGGCATGATTGGAAATTAGAGACTCGCAAGAAGACTAGGATGGAACCAGGCAGAGTGGCGCGCGCTACACGAAACAAGGTCATCTACGACCGAATCAGGAAGGAACCATCAAGTCAGGCACGACTGCTATCACTCTACTTTAGAAGAGTGTCTCAATGTCGCTGCCATTGCCAATTAAAAGTAAGGTACATCGCAAACAACGAGGCGCCATGTAGCTCTATCTGAAAATAGAAGCATCGATCGTCCGTGACAACAACTAATCTCCTCACAATTATGTATATATTGGTCTAGTCTCGACGAGGAACAGGAATCATTGACTCGGAATAACTAACAGCTCACACGAATTTTCTCGAAGCTAACCCTGCAATCCCATCCAGCCAACCCCCTTTATTACCATCGTTGAACTCATCCACCAACACTCGCCATGGCCTCGTCTTCAGTTGTCCGGCCAGTCTGGCCTTCGGAATGGAGATAGAACTCCTCGTCAGGCCCAAGAGCATCCTAATGTCTTTACTGACTGCCCGTGGCTGGAGCCAAGAGATTACATTCGCAACGAACAACAAGCAGCGCAAGCAAGACAACCGTGATGCTCTTCGGGCGGCAATCGCCCAGGCACTGACAACCCAAGGCCTCAGAACTGGCGTGCGGGTAGAGGAATATAAAAACTGGACTGTCACCGACGAACCGAGTCTTGATGAAGTTCCAGGATTCTGTATGTGAAAATTCCGGAGCAGAAGACGCTTTGGTCCAGTCTAACACTGCAACAGGGAGGATCGAGCTCGTTTCACGAGCTATGACGACAGCTGAGAATTGGCAAAGAGAAGTTGCCGATATCTTCGAGGCTATGTACAAATACTGCGACATAACCCTCACCAAGGGTTGCTCGATGCACGTCCACGTCTCGCCTTCCCTCGTGGCAACCAACCAGACCATGTACACGATGGACGATGTGAGGAAGGTGCTCAAGGCCGTGGCATACTTCGACGATCCCATGACTAGGATGATGCCAGCCGACCGGAAAGCCAACGAATGGGCCAAATCTAATATACATAGCGATACAACCCCAAGCAATGTCAAGCAGACATACCTGAAGGTGCGCCAAAACACCTGGAAGCCCCTATTCAGGATCTACGACAACATCAAGAACAAGCACCACTTGCTGCTCGAGTTCAGCAAGGATAAATTCCTGTCGTGGAATTTTAGGCATTTGGTGGACGAGTGTGGCACCATCGAGTTCCGACGTCCTCCGGGTGTCCGAACGGCGGCAGCTGCAAACCATTGGGTCTCCTTCACTCTGGGCTTCGCTTCTGAGGCCCTGAGGGTGGATTGGAGGTCAGTGGAAGATACCACGGGCTACCCGAGCGTTGAAAACCTCGCCACCTTTGTGAAAAGCGGGATCGTCAGGCTGGAACAGACATCTCGGGACGCAATTCTTGATGCCCTGCTAGTCGAGGACATCTCGCCATCAACGGTTTATTCTGCTGCCGAGCTTGAGATAATCAAGCGCAAGAAGGCCGAGAAGGCAAAAGCACCGAGCCCATTTGCCGAAAAGGTACGTTGTCTGTGGAGTTTTGGTGCTGAAGCTTGCTCACATATTCTAGGCCAATTCACGCCCGAACACCCCGGCGTCAAGGACCAGCAGTCCTGGGGCGCAGTCGACTTCCTCGCGCGGGAAGAAGTAATTTCGGGCATGCGATCTTATCTTGTATCATGGACCTTGTACTGTACGTGACAAATTGGAAATGCGCATGTTTTTGGTTACCTCATAGGTATTTGGCTTCGTCTGGCTTCCTTCGTATCAGAATCCGGGTTTCATGTTGTTTGTCTACTTAGGTAGATGGTTAACTATATCACTTTTCCCACCATGTCCTTATTAGCAGAATGGCAATACGCGCTTTGCATCTGTCTTTGGATCCTAAGAGCTGGGATACCTCTCCAGTCCCCCCTTCCTCATGCAAGTAACGGGTAACAATTGCAGTTCAATTTGAACTTCCAACGTTCCTGTCTCATGTAAGCTTAGGGCCTATGTCTGTAGATATTGAGCAATGCACATACTGAGGATTTGGCGAAATAATGTAGCCTATGACGAGCTGGGCACCGACATGGACAGAGTTGACAAGAATGAATTGATTGCCAATAAAGGTTCGAAGCAAGCCACCTCGACTGCCTAGTCGAAATACCAAGCCGATCAACGCCGATTGGCCTCGCTGGCTTACCTTATAGATGCAGAGTCATCGAATCCAGGGAACTCAAACTGCTCTGCAGTGACTGCTTCAGTTTGGAAAAGGGGCTGGGTGTATTCATCACATCGAAATATTGCATCAAAGGTATCCACATTGGCCGGGACTCGGGGATGGTGTGCGAGTGCTACGTCGTCGAAATTATGGAATTCAACAATGACGTGTGTCCTGGCCAAAATCCTTTGGCAGATCTTCTGGCTGTGGTCCGAGGTGAATGGTTCCTTCGGTTGACCCCAGATGACCCTGAACCATAGTGATCGGCGCTCGTGGTGTCCAACATGAAACTGGACAAAGTCGTAAAGCTCCCCCATGCGCAAGCCAACGAATGGTTGCAGTGACTTGGGTTCCCATAATGCCATCCATACCGTCTGCGATTCCTCCGATCCGTGACCCAGATACATCCACGAGTAGCCCAGTTTCGGTGGCGGCGGCTGTGAGACAAGCATTCGCCGCCAGCTCGCACCACGGCGAGTGAACGGCCGGCGGGCAGCCTCTTCGTTTCGAGCAATTAGGGCACTCATTTTGACTGGTTCCCCCGCGCTCTCTGCCTCTTTGGGGAATCTCTTTGTCCAAGGGAGCTTGTAAAAAGAGCTCGAGCGACGATGGTAGCCGTACGTGGAGCCGAAGTCGAAGAAGCAGGGCCCGAATTTCTTCACCAGAAGTGGGTTGAGAATCGGCAAGGCCACATCAGCTGCATCAGGCTCGGAATCCCAGTGCGGTAATTTAGAGCCATCCAGACTGCACTCCGATGCCTGACATGCTTCTCTGGATATTGGTCTAAAGTACAGAGCCCGCTGGATCGCTGGGGATGTGGCGATGACATTGTTCCACGTCTTGCTCACTCGTGATGCAGTGACAAGTAGCGTGGTCATATCAAGATGGAGCAGAATCGCCTCAAGTATCTCTGTTGTCGTAAATACTGACTGCATTGCAACATGTGATAGATATGAAGCTATTCTGTTTTTATCCCAACGTTTAGCGGAGGCACAACAGGAGAATTACGGTGGATCGGTAAGGAGGTACTACCTTTATTAGGTACGTAGAGTAATATAGGGAAAAGATCTGACGTTCACGCGCGTATAATAACCACAGTATCCCTTTCAGCCCACCTGGGCAGCTCGAGAAGGCTGATTACCTCCTTGGACTGCATTACATAGGAGAAAGGGGGGGAGGTTAAGATGACGTCTGAGGCAGTTTTTAGTTGCTGGGAAGGCGTGGGTGGACCTTCACTATTTGCATAGCAACAAGTGTGTTTTCTTCAGCAGAATGCCTAAAGCATCTTATGAGACTATCGGGGCAGCAGCCCTTACAGGAATATTGGATTTCACACAATAAAGGCGTCAGCGGAGTTCTGGCTTGGCAGCATGCCTTACGACGTAGTAACTGAGGACGCCCGCGGCCATCATCCTCTCCATCTATCTAGGTGGATATCGAGACCCAGTGTAACTCTGACCTTGCGCGGGAGCACGATGGGGGGTCTCAGAGGATTGAGTTTGGTGGCAGCGTCGAACCACCGTCATCGATTCCTTCCATAGGACTGCAAACAGGTCATCCTCTGATAGGTAGTTTTGAAGGCGGTTTTGTCAAGAAATGGCCACTGATTTACGATGAGGTGCCAAAATTGGAACATGTGGGCGTCCAGATAGCATCCACTTATGCTCATGTACACATGTCGAGCTGACTTGTGACAATGCAGAGGGACAGCCGGTCAGTTTTGGTACGGTAATCATCGCTTCGCCCTGAACGATATGTCTGTATATTCGGCCAGGGCATGTCGACAAGCTGGGTGAGCGATAATGGCGCACACATTTCGAGGGTTAGGATTCAGCCCAAAGTACCTCGCCACGTTGATGCTTGCACCGCACTGGGAGTCGCAATAAGTGCAAGGGACTTCAATTGATGGCTTGCAGGCGGCTGCGTCTTGTGACCCTGCTGGTCCGCCTGGGAGCAGACCTGGGTCGGATATGCCGTCAAGGGCGAGAGGGGAAGAGGGCGGGTATGGGAAGCATCATATTAGGTATTCATGCAGTTTGAGCCCGTTGGATGGACGGTATCCATACTTTGGTTCAAGCAATATATATGATTGACAACCTTATGCGGCTTTGGCAATCGATCGGGTCACGGGTAGGGAGTAACAGTACGTATTAGGTAAGGTACCCCCTCCTCCGGGGCAGGGGAAATGACCAGGAACCTGCGCTCCGGATTGGGCAGCGTCAAGTCTGGTCAGGGGAGAACCAACCAACGAAAAAGTCCCAGCAGGGGAGCCCCCTGCTGCACTTTTGTTTCATGTTTCCTGCCCTCCTAGCAGGCAAAGTGGTGTCCCTGCAAACAAGAAATTTCCAGCAGTGCGAGAACATCATCGATTCTGCAGCGTCCAGTAATTACACCTGGGGTGATGTGATGAGCCGCTGGATCTGCTCTCGACGAGACCACACGTGCCAATTCGCAACCAAGTACGGAGGGATTTAACCACCTTACTATATCGCTTGCTTACCCATATTTCTCATCAGTTGGACCATCCCCTTTCTTCTCCAAACTTCGAGTCGCTGGTCTTGTTCTCCCAATTGCAGGCTGGGACCACTGCGCGTGCAAATCACCGAGCCATACAGCTGCAGTATCTGGTTGGAGGTACCTGATCTGCTTGTGGCATTGAAAATCGTTTCACCCTTGTCACTCCCTTTCCTATTCCCCCCTTCAGCCCTTGGCTATGACACTCTTTTGACATTTTGCGACCCGACGGCAAAAACGAGGGAGAAACTGCGTCTTGGAAGACAGACAGCACTCCGAATTTGAATTGATTATTATTATTATTTTGAAAATAAAAAGAGGGAGGAGCAACAAATTTAAACCCAAAACCCGCTAACACCCTCCCCCGGCCGGGACGCCTTTCGCTCCGTAACACGGCTGAGAGGGTGATACCCACCCCAAGCTTCCATCGCCGTCAAAGGGTTCTGGCGCACAAGCAGTCTAGCAATCCGAATCCGTGGGGAAATTTTATGCTACTTTCACCATGACGAGGCCCGAGTTTATTCGCGCTGGTAAGTCGCCCACCTGCACAACCTTGTTGGCTCTGCCTTACCCTGGTTCCACTTGTGTCTCGAGTGCCCTTGTGGCTGGGGAGGGTTTTCTTCATTTCGCATTTTTGCCCTCGGCGGCGCCATGTACCTCCCTTTCCTGCGGCTTTACTGACTGCTGTCCGTGTCTCCCATTTACCCAGACTCCATTGATCTCCAAGATCGCGAGGCGCCCTCAGCCCAGGACCACCCGCGCCCCAATAAGTCGACTTCCAACGGACCTCACGCTCCCCATCAGGCTGAGACGCTTCGCGAGGTCGCCGCGGAGACGGCCGAGGAGAATCTACGCAGCCCCCGCGTGTCGTGGGTTGGCGGCGAGGTCGGCGATCTGCAGCAATACGCGGAGGATTTAGCGGCAGGAGTCACCAATTCCCTGAACAGCCAGCCTACTCTCGAGAACCACGGTCCGAATAACATGGCAGCGGGCCAGAAGCAGGATGCTCTGGCTATCGCCCAGAATGGGGGCATGTCCGGCCAAGAGGCCGACGATGGTGACCTAGACGCGGACGCCGATGACGGCATGGACGACGACATGATGGACAAAATTTCGAGCTCGCCCTCGATTGAAGATGGTGGGTCTATCTGCACCCTTCCGCCCCTTTCTTTGCGCAAGGTTGGCAGTTCCTGTCCATCGTCGACCCTCTGCAGTCTTGCTACTTCTCCAACACCCAGCGATGCGAGGTCCTTTTCTCCATACCTCGATCATCCTAAACACTTGCCTCTCAGCATGTCAGATCAGAAAGCAGAGAAGGCGACCTTTGAGTTGCCAAGTCGCCATCATCATCTTCAGTACGGTGAGTTCTCCACGCAGGATCGGCCGATACCCCTCGACGAATCGACCCCGAGCAACCATGACCGCTACCGGAGAAACAATTGGCCCGCCAAGTCGGAAACGACAACATCAGTACTGACGGAAATCATGGCGGAGATGGAGAGGTTGGAACAGGAAGCCACTGCCGGAGACGACGTTTTGGATGATGACTGTTGGGATGATGAGATGGAGGACGCGGTTCTACACCGGGCGGCAGAGCAGAAACTGGAAGACGTGGACGAGGCAATCGGCGATATCGAGCAAGACGATCTCACCGTACCATACGAAAGCTCTGACAAAGATGATGATGGCGACTTTTCTGACATACAAGACACCAGGTTTCTTGACTCCGGTTGGGGCGGCGATTGCTTACAAGACACAGAGGATATCGACTTCGAGTTCGTCTATGCTCTCCATACCTTCGTTGCGACTGTTGAAGGTCAGGCGAATGCGACTAAGGGGGACACCATGGTCCTCCTCGATGATAGCAACAGCTACTGGTGGCTAGTGCGAGTGGTGAAGGATAGCAGCATTGGTGCGTTCCCCCCGACTCTCGCGTGGCTTCATATGGCTTCATAGTGTTTTGCTGATCTATGTGTGTGTGTTTTCAGGCTACCTGCCCGCCGAGCACATCGAGACACCGACGGAGAGGTTAGCCCGGTTAAACAAACACCGGAACATTGACGTATGTCTTTGATACAATGGATGGGATGGGACACTAACCATGGCTCAGTTGTCGGCGACGATGCTTTGCGACCAAGCGGAGAAGCCCAGAAATCCCATCAAGACTGCAATAAAGCGGAGGAAAACAAAGACGGTTACCTTCTCGTCGCCTACATACGTAGACTATTCCGACTTCGACTACTCGACAGATGAGGAAGATATTGAGGCCGAGTACTTTGATCAGCAAGAGCAACAAGCACAGCAATCCGCTACGAAGCAAGCGAATGCTGAACCCGAAGTCGAGGATGAGACGGCAAAGGTGGAGCCTCTTAAACCGCGTGCCCAGCAGAGCGAGGCGGCCAAGACAGAGCCTCGGAAGCAGGAGGCCAATAGCGATGCAACGGCATCTGCAACGGCAGCAACGAGGACCAGCGAAGAGATATTCGAAACCAAGTCGGGAGATGGACCCAAGAAGGCAAGCGACGGTACTGTCAGAGACTCATTCTTCAAGGACGATACGGTCGAGACCAAAAAGATCACCTTGACTCCTAACCTGTTGCGCGACGACAATGCGCCAAGGGCATCGACCGAGTCCAAGGAGGTGAAGCAAAGGCCAAGCTTAGATAAGCTTGACAAGGACAGCCTGCTGGGCAAGGACGACAAGAAGAAGAAGGACAAGAAGGAGAAGGAGAAGAAGCCAAGCGTGATCCGGAACTTCTTCTCGCGGAAGGGCAAGAAGGATGCTGACGGGGCCGACGACGACTCTCTGGGGAAGCGATCGATGGATGCCGGCGGCGGAGGCGGCGGCGGCGACGACGGGCAAGAAAATGAAGTGGCGGAGGAGGAAGAAGCCCAGACGTCACCCGAAAAGTCGATGGCTCCACAACGTCACCCGAGCAAATTACAGAAACAGCAACCTCGGACAGAACCGTCACCGACGAGAAGGTCGAACGTGCCGCTGCAGAAGGAATCTGGTATGGATCTTGCCACCTTCTTATCTGAAGGAAGAGTGAATAACGTTGCAAACGTGCCTCCAGCTTCGATGCGCATTGTCGATCCGGATTTGCAAGAATCCCCCGAGAGCAGCCCCCGGAAAACAACATCACGAGACAGGTCTCCAAAGAACGAGAAGTCGAACGTGGCCAAGATTATCGCATCGCGAGCACAGAGTGGCGAATCTCGGCCGCAAAGGGTCACCAACGCCAAATCGCGTACGGGGCTTGACGATTTCGACTCCTCCGATGAGGAAGCCATCATGGAATCAACACGGCAAGCGCCCACCTTTGAGGAGGGTCAGAAGCCACAGCAGAGACCGACCCTTCCCGGCACTTACCCAGACAGCTATGACACCAAGCAGTCCTCGTCGTCCGACCAGACCGAGAAGGGAACTCCTGCAACCACGATCCAACCCCAGCGGCAACAAGATCGACTGTCCGAGTCGCCAGTCCAGGTGTCGCCGGTCAATTCGAACAATCCTCCGCCGCTGATGGTCGATACGTCAAGTCAGGAGGAGGATCACTCGTCATCCAGGTCGACGCCGGAGCTGATAGAGCGCGAGGATGGAGAGATGCATGGGAAGCAGGATTCTATCACGACGTCGACGTCGACCACGACGACGTCAACTTGGAACGATGCAAGTTTGCGAGCCTTCTTCGACTCTGGGTCCGACATTAGAGACCTTCTTGTTGTCGTCTATGACAAGTCTGATGTTGCACCGGCCGGTCCAGACCATCCTGTTGCAGGATCGCTCTTCAGGGAGCAGAACGCCAAGTTGGCCGAGATAACCACGGTAAGATAGCCGGTGATAGAGGCGTGAAAGCGCAATTGGAAATACTGACATGCAAACCAGCAACTCGACAACATGCTTGGCGACTGGCTGGCTCGGAAGCAGCGGTTACGGGGTACCATCTAGATGTCGCTAGATGTCTTCCCACCTCCTATTGGGAGCCATTGCATGCATCTCCCAGGGGAGAAGGGCATGTATATATAACACCAACACCGTTCATCCTTAGCACTACTTTTCTGCGTCGGAATGGCTGTACCTATCAGGCACAGGGTACAATTTAGGTATATCTGTCTTGCCAGGCGTCCTGGATTGGACAGGAAAACCTGAGGGAGGAGATTGGACGGATATGGGAATAGTCCACTTTCTGTGGCTCCTTTTGACAGGCACATCGCTCCCGCATGGCATGGCGTTTTTGGGGGGACTTGTTGAAGATTATTAGGCGTTTTTGACTAGGAATAACATGGGATGAAAGGATGGATGATTGGTGCGATGCGATTACTTGTGTTGAGCAAGAGAATGGAAACAGATGACGAACTGAGACACTTGTGGGAGAGCATTGTTTCCCCAGATACCGCTAGCCCAATAATTATCTGCTGTCATGAAGATGTCTATAGGACTCAATGTTGGACGTCTTCAAACTCCGCTATATATAATTAAGCTATGAGTGGTCCCAGAATAGGCGAGCTCAGAGACTGTGAAATAAAGTAATCGCTGTTCTTCAGGAGTTTGGACCTCGTCATCTTGGAGGAGGTTTTTGGGGTCACCTTGGCGCATCGCCTTCCCATCCCCCCCCCTCGGACCCAGAATTCCATGGAGACATCAGACGTACGTCCCACCCACTGTAAACCCTTGTAGGTAGCAGGACCGTACTCTCCTTCGAGAATGACATCTGCTGCATCAACCTTGGTCGCATCCAAAGGAATCCCAAGTTCTTCCGGATCTTGGTCGGGTGACACTGGGCAGCGATTCGTCGAGTTTCGACGAAGTTGACGAGCACGACCATGGAAATTTCGTCAGGCCTGCCTTCTAGCCAGAGCCGTGCATCATCTAACAGGTGGTCATATGACTCCGAAAATCCGGCTTCCAGAACCCATCTCAGCACGAGCGCTCCTTTCGAATTGGTTACGGATATGCCAAGGTCGGGCCTTTTCCCAGAATCTCGCCAGCGTCCACCACCGACTTGATCTTCACCAACTACCAGCTCCATCGCTTCACTGAGGCTGGGAGGAAGGCTAAGCATGTACGTAGCCAAAGTCACTGTCACAACACCGCAAATAGAGTCATGGGTAGGCAAGGGTATGCATTGGATGGTCAATTTCGACGTCGCCGAGTTATACGAAAGTCGTGGATATCTAAAAACATATGAAAATTAAGTTAGCAAAAGGACTTGGATGATCCAGCGGAGACACCAAAAAAAGAGAACAAGAAAAAAGTTCATACTTCTCGTCACTCTCTTCGTCCAAGTGTAGTTCCCGGGACACCTTGCCCCAGTCCGACAAGGACATCTCGATGACATGAGGTCTCTCGTATTCTTCTTGGAAACGGGGTGGGCAAGACCCAGAAGGCGAATCCCATGCTCTGTAAGCTTGCATTATTGCAAGGGCTTGATCGTATGGAGATGCGAACTGCTTCGCAACCGCGCGTTCATCTCCAGCATGGATCTCCGTTGTTGTTTTCAATATCTTTGCTCTTGGGTCGCGGCGATGAACTCTGGGAGAAACCCGGTGGGCGCTAAGTGTAACTCTGGTGAGTACGAGTACCGTATAGTGTACAGGGAAACGAAGTTCAGTCCAATCTTGTATTTATTAGACTATCTCGGTAGACTCAAAGCCCGCATGCTCTTGCGTCGAGGACGTTTTCTAAAACGGCAACTACGTCTAATACTTTGCAATCATATAAAAGTAAGTCTCTTGTGGCAAAACAACATCTAATTAAGGAAAGCTCAGCAGTCCCAGCTCCCCAACTCGCACCGTTGGGCAGCAACGGCCTATCTTAGCGACGGCAAGCGTAGTAGACAGTGACAGCAAGAGCCATAGATAGCCACGGCAATAACGATAGATAGCGAAGGCAATAGCAATAGATAGCGATAGCAATAGCGACAATAATAGCAATACCACCTGTAATGCACTAACTGCCTGCCTGTAGAGCAAATAGCGCATGTCCCTGGAGAAATTCCCTTTTGGTCAATGATACAGCACAGCACACAGCACCGACATGGGAAGCACGACTGGGAGTCCTAGCCGGTGTGGAGGTGTTGGTTAGCAAGCGGTGGCCAGCCTGGGACGACAGACGGGCACCTTCTCGTGGTGTCCTGGCAGAGTTAGATGATCGACATGAACTCGACTCAAGTGGACATGCAGGGGAGGAGTACTCCTAGTCTCCAAGTGCGACGTCCATGCTGAAATCTTGGTATGGGAGCTGAAACTATTGCGTATGGGTACTAGGAGGGCGAGAAGACCTGATGCGGAGAGGCTAGAAGTGCGAGCGAGGGCATATAAGTACGGCAGGCGCACAGTTTGCCACCGTCGCACTTGCCCTTCATGGTATGAACCTTCTCGATGTTGACGGCATGTTCGTTGCGGCGCGGAAGCATCGAAGTGGCTTAAAACGAGACAATGATGCGACCTAGTGTCAAAGTAACATCAGGGACTTTACCTTGATATGGCGCTGCGGGAAAAAAGGAAAAAACCTTTTTTTTTAATAAAAAAAAAAATGCCGACTAGCAGTTGACGTTGTTGGATTGTTGAGCCTCCAGCTGGTTTAACGGAAGTCGAGTCTTCAGGGGCAGGGGCTAGGGTTGCTGCCAAGACGCCTAGATACTACGTACATCCTTGCAGCCATGACAGCCTCGGCAATCAGCTGCTTGTTGAGTGTTGACGATGTCCACTCATACCTTGTTGACATACGTATATATGTTGGGGAACTGATCTCTTGAGACCCAGCATCTTCGCTCCCCTATATCGCTCTTTGCTTCCGCCGCCGCGTCCTGCGTTCCGTTCCTTCTATACGATCTCTAAGATTGACGAGTTTGGGTTACTCAAATACCAATTGGCCAGGTACCGCATAAATAAGACCGAAGACTCAACACAGTGGAAGCCATGTTTGATCTCACAAAGTGCAATCTGTCATACTACTCTGTAAGACAGACACGCTTACCCACCCCTCACCGTTCCCAATCTGACACGGGCTGACACGGGCTGATACCGCCGAGCACAGGTCCCGGCAGCCTTTGTGCTACTCGTTCTTCCGCACGCGTACGCCGTCAGAGCGGCGGGCCGGAACTATGACCTCGCCCAGCCGCGGCGGACGGACGAGAACCTGGCCAAGGATGAGAGCTTGGACAAAGTGGTAGGTGGCACTGCTTGTCGTTAAGGCTTCTTTCTCTTTTTCTTTTTCTCCTGTATATCTAGTCAATGGATGATGGAACAAAACGACCGAACCAGCTAACACGGCCCTGCTCGCTCTCTCTAGACCGTCCGGCGCATTCAACGTGCCAGGGCCGCGGCCGCCAACGGCCTGGAGACGATCGGCCTGTACGCTGCCGCCATCGTGGCCGCCAACACCCAGGGCGTGCCGACCCGGAAGCTGAACTTGCTCTCGCTAGGCTAGTAAGTACATGCTTTGCTTTGCTTTGCTTTGCACCTTGTGTGCTGCCCCCTGCCCCTGCTCTTCTCCTTCTCCTCTCCTTCTCCTTCTCCTTCTCCTTCTCCTTCTCCTTCTCCTTCTCCCTTGGCACAGTGTTTGGATCAGAACGACAATTTCGGCGGCGAAACTGACTGACCCGCGTCGGGAATACAGCCTCGCCTCTCGTGTGGTCTACAACTTTGTGTACGTCGTCGTGCAGGACAACCGGAAGACGGCTGCCGCGCGCCCGCTGACGTGGGGGGCGGGCATTGCCGTCATCATGTCGCTGTTCCTCTCGGCTGCGCGGAACAGTAATTAAAGGACGGGAGTTGAGATGTGAATATGGTGGAAATTGGGGTGTTTAGTGTGGGTTTGGGAGGAGTACGGGGGTGTGATTGTGAACCGTCGTTAAAAAGGGTTTCACTCGTCGGTGGTTCTGCGTCGGAGCCCCCTCTAGCGGCAGGGAGGTGTGGCCGAGAATACACAACCTTAGGTGTCTAGACGTGTAGGATTCTGTGTACTCTAAATTGCGTGGTACGCTCGCTCTAGCTCTTCTCTTCGCTCCTCCAAGGATCGTAACAAGGAGGCTGCGTTACAACACCGTCCTTCAACCCAACTCAGTAATGAAAGTCACTATTCGCAGTAGTTGACACTCAGCTCTGACTCGTTGTATATAAAATATCACATCGTAGAAATCTGCCATCGAGAAGTAAAAAGCCCCTGCTTGACGACCGACCACGAGCTCGAGACTCGCCTCCTCGGGGTATACAGGGCGTATTCTCGGAGAGAATAGGTTGTTTGTGCCTTGCTACTGCATTTGCATGTTATATTTTCCCGGGGCGAAAAGTCGAGCTAGTATGACAAGTGTTGCTGTGTCAAGAAGGAAAATCACGCCCTGGACCGCCGAGTCTATGTAAGAGACTGTATCGTAACTGGAACAGTAGCAATTGAGGCATAAGTTGATCTGCCCTGCAATCTTATAACTAGGAGGCTATCCTTTCATCATTACATCTATTCCCGGTCCACGAAGAACCTCCACCCCTTGCCCCTTTTTGACAAACCCCCCCATGCCAGCCCAGCATGGCTGACAAACCATCACCATCCCCCCCACCACTCCTCTCGGGCCTCCTCCTCCTCCTACTCCTCCTCTCCACCACTACCCAAGCAGCCGTCCTCCCCGTCCTCCCAGACCCGACCCCTCAACCAACAACAACAGCCACCAGAACCACAACAAGGCCTCTACTCTTCCCCCCGCCCCCGCCCCCGCCCCCGCCCCCGACCCCCGGCCCGACCACGACCACGGCCTCGCCGCCGCAGCCGTCGTGCGACGTCCGATACTGCGCCGACGGCACGCAGTTCTGCGCCTACTGGGCCGGCGTCACGGCGTGGGAGCCGGGGAGGGGCCCCGTGCCGGGGGAGACGGTTACTGCACTGGGGGCGTGTGACGGGGGTGGTGGGGGGTGAGGGTTTACGAACGGGGGCTGGTTTCCCTGGGGATTTCTTTATATATACAAGAAAGAGAGAGAGAGAGAGAGAGAGAGAAAGAGGAAAAGAGCGCTTCAAGGGGGGATGAGGGATGGATGGATGGTCACGGGGTTGCTGGGATTTGAGGTCAGGGATAGTGGGCCAGGAGAAATGTAAGTAAGGTTTGGCGTGCTCTCTCTCGCTATGGAGGTGGACGAGATCTTTTGGACTGATGATGGCCGTAGATTCGTCGTTGAATCCAACTTCACCACGAGTAAGGGGGGTTATGGGGCTGTATTTGGAGGGCGATTTATACAGCTCAGGTTCACCAATTCCGCTAATTCAAGTGGCTCCGGTCGGTTCAGAGTAACCTCGATATGGATTTCATTATTCGTAGCAGAATCGCCCAAATGCCGACCCGGAGACGCTCGCCTCGTCTCCCTCCTGGCTCCCCTTCTCACACCCATCCCAGACACTACTCTATTCAAGCTACAAACATCAAACTGTCAGCAAGGGGCATAAAAAACATATACATTGTGTATATATGCATGACAAAGATGGGATAACATACCAGGTCCGCTAACAGCAGTGGTAATGGAACCGGACTCGATGTAGACGCCCGAGAAGTAAAAGTCCTCGTTGCTATCGCTCTGGCCGTCGCGGGGGAGCTCGAGGACGCCCAAATGCCAGTCCGCGCCGTTGGATGAGGTCGAAGCCGAGACCGGGGCCACGACCTGCGTGAGCGGGTCGCCGCCCTCGGAGTGCCAGAAGCCGACCTTGTTGCCGGAGAAGTCCTATTGTGGGAAAAGTCAGCCATGACTGCTATATATATGACTCTCTCTCCCCCCCTCTACTCCAACTCTTCGACACATAAGAGGAATGGTTGGGGGAACGACTCACAATCTCGTAGGCAACATTGTGCCAGACGTCGGGCTTCCACTCGACCTTCCAGTGGCTCTGCTGGCTCGTCATCCACTGCAGGTTCGGGTTGCTGGTGCCCTGCTCGCCGCTGATCCAGCCGTACTTGAGCTCCGTGAAGTGGGACTCGAAGAAGCAGATCTGGTGCTCCCTGTTCTGGCTTGGGGCGTTGGTGTCCTTGCGCATGATGGAGAAGTGGTAGAACACCTTGCCGGACGCGATCGCCGCCGTGGTCTGGGGGATCAGCTCGGTGCGGCGCATGTTCTGCCCGTTCCAGAACGCCGTGCTGTCGAGCGTGAACTTGGCCCCCTGCTTCGACCCCGTGTCGCTGGGGTTCTTGAAGTCTGCCGACAGGCTGATGTACTTTCCGACGTCGCCCGACCCGTGGATGTAGTACTGGTACGGCCCGACCTGGTTGCTCCACGACCACGTGTTGAGGTCCGCTGCGGATTTCAGGTCGTTGAAGCGTCCGTCCCAGAGGATGGCGCCGTTGGCCGCGGCCGCAAGGGCGGAAAGGAGGGTGGCTGTCTTCATCTTCAAGGGGGAAAAAAGGGGGTGGAAGCAAACAGGTATGTGCAACACAAGAAGATCAAAGAGGACAGTCCCGCTTGTGAGGAAGCAGGCACTGGGAAGTATATAAATCACTCTCGACTACCCGGCTCGTAGTCTAGGTACGTGTGTACTGCACCTTATAATATATACAGGGGGCCCGTAGCCTCAAATACCTCACCACCGCCGCACCCGACATGTTGCTCCAGACGGGTCCATGGTAATCTAGAGGAGGCAGAGCGGACCGCCAATTTGAGAAGCCGCCGACAGAGCACGGAATCTCAATTTGCGGACGACAATCTCCGACCTTATAAAAGAGGGAGGAGGCATATTGATTAATGGCGACACGCCAGTGCGGAGTTTAGCCTGTATCTTGGGCGAGAAAAGTAGCAATGGCATCAACCTCGAACCCCACAATGCCGCTGCGGGCTATCATAAGGATGGAGAAGATGGGGGTATGACCTGGGCACGCACTTCTCAAACCAGGAATTGCGGCTTCTGCGCGGGTGGGTAGGGGATAATATCCCCATCCTCTGAAAGCTGCGGTCAAGGATGGGATGGTAGATGCCGAGAACTCGGAGGTGATGGGGCCGCGGCACTTGTCCCGTCCGTAGCTCAGCGCAACCTAATAAACGCCTCGGCAGGGCTGTCGCGGAAGTGCCCACCTGATCTGTCCCCGGGTACGAGAAGGTGAGATGAAGGTACGGAAATCGTAAAAAAGGGGGACCAATCAATCAAGTTAGCGTAGCTGTTTCCCCTGGTTTGTCTATTTTGGTCTCGATGCCAACCTAACCGCCATGTGTAAACTGTTGCTGGAGCTGGGGGGTTCATTAGAAGCACTGCCAAAAAGCGAGGCTAACTATTGGGAACATCGATGAATTGAATTATTGACATAGCCGGACATGGGCATGTCCTATGACGGGGTTCTAGGTAGACGATCTGAACAACCAATCTATGCCGATACACATGCGACCAACATGACTGCCTGAATATGCAAAAATCAGCAACTCCTATATCACAAAGGACTGACGCCTGAGACCGTTGACCAATTCCACCTTCGACATAAACATATAAACAGCTGCTACTGAACATAATGAACCAATGCTACGGCCACGCAAAGAGGCGCCTAGTACTCGGCACCACCAAAGCTGGTGTTTCTCACCAGATTCGCGCGCTCCAAGCTGGCGCGGGGCAGCTGCTCATAGCTGCGACTGCGGCTATGGCTGCGAGACCTGCTCGATCTGTCCGCCGGTTCGGCCTCCTCGACAGAAACCATGTCGTCCGAGGAGACGACAGGCTCGTCCCGGATGCAGTGGATGAACCACGCCGAGACCAGCACCGCGACGCCGCCGAGCGCCATGACGATGGCGATGCTGTGATCCCCCGGGGTGCCTCGGGGCTTCTGGAAGATGCGGAAGAGTATGCTCGACGCCACAGTCGCGATGATCTGTGGCGCGGCAATTGCCATGTTGTGGATGCCAAGAATGACACCTGCCTGGTCGGTCTCCTCCGCATCATCCTGAGAGTCAATGTCCCGATCATGGTCCGAGTAACCGTCCAGGGATGGCGCGTTGCCAACTGCCCCGCGATTCGGCGATAAGCTGAGCTGCCTCTGGGAGCGGAGGAGGGCATCGCGATGGGAGATCTCGGCACTGATAATAGCCCATGGCGCCCAGAGAGTCAGGGCCCAGGTGATGCCCACGAGACCGATGAGAACGGTTGCGACCTCGACCGAGCGCACGAAGACGGTGCAGATCATGGCGCCGAAGAAGAGAATCTGGGAGTACATCCAGGCACGACGAAGAGTGAAGCCAGGGATGACCAGACGTTCTAACCATGACTTCGGACCATCGTAATCGTTGAAAGACGCCGTATCCTCGCCCGACCCTGCGGCTTCTGCCACCGGCTGGCTGTCGTATGTCGGGGCGATGAAGAAGGGGAGAAAGACATTCGTCGCCAAGCTGGTGATTGCGAAGATGAGCAGCGCAAAGGTACCAATCCGAGTTGCCTCCTCATAAAGATCGTGGAGCTGCTCGGGTGTCATGTTCGGATTTTCTTCCAGAAACGGCTCAGCGTAGATCTCGCCAATGTACGACGACGTGTAGAAGAGCATGGGGAAGAAGCCTATCCAGGCGCAGAACTGGACTTCGCAGACCTTCTTGGTCTGAGGAGGAAGCCTCTTGATTGAAGTGAAGATCTTGCGGAAGAAGGACAGGACGCCGGCTTTGTCTTTGGCGGGGGGGCCTTCGAGCCGGGGATCTCTCTCTCGAATGACCAGGCAGCTGAGAACCACGGTGCCAAAGAGGGCAAAGCTGGCAATGGCGCAGAGGCCTTTGAACTGGGTATTTCCAAGCCACCAGAATAGCCCGGGGAGATCCGCGTAACCGGCGACATAACCGATGATGTTGCCAACACCAACGATTCTACTTGCCATGGCATTGGCAGCCTCTATAATATGCTCAGCTCAGCCTCCCTCCTCGGTAGATACAACGAGTTTAATTCACTGACCTTGCTGGTGTGGTGGAGCACAGTCGAGGATGAAGGCGCGGATGGCGGCTTGGACTGTGCCAAATCTGTCAATTGATGTTTTTCTGGAAGAGCATGCGTCCAAAGCTGGGACCTACCGGTGTTGATGGCAAAGTCCAAGATATACACCCAGAGCACGGCGACAACAATTACGCAGACCTTGACACCTTCAGACGCGGGGTCGGCGCCAAAGATGCCCAGAAATCCACTGACAATCTCCTTCGTCCAGGCAAGAAACATGAGCGAGACAATGGTGGCGGCCGCACCGCCGAGCATGAATGGTTTCCGCTTGCCCCATGGGACACGGCAGTTGTCGCTCAGCATGCCCACGTACGGCTGCACCAAGGTGCCCGAGAGCGGCCCGGCAATCCAGACGAGAGCCATCAACGACTTGCTCAGGCCGAGGGACAGCAAGTACGGGGAGCCATTTGAAAGCTCTACGGACCAGGCGATCTGCAGACCTCCGATACTTATCGTCAGGAGGATGAGGTACCACACGCTCTTTGTGGTCTGGTACTCGTCGACCTGTTCCCGTACCGTGTGCCCGTTTATGAAGCCATCCCCTTCCCGTGCAGGGGAGAGGAGAGGCGACTGCTCCGTGTCTCGTTCTGGCCCATGCCCATGTCCACTCTCGCGCTCTTGCTCTATCGACGCATTTCGAGAGAGGTTGCCTGCCTTGGAGGCAGGCTTACTTTCTTCGCCCGAGGGACGTTCGCATCCTGGAGACTCGGCAGATGACGACGTCATGCGTAGAGGACGCTGTCCAGCGCCACTCACGGCTTTCGAGGGGCGTTTGCGGAGCGAGGACGGTGGTCGGGCGGTGACAAGGAGAGGTCGAGGTTGGGGATTGTCGTTGGAGCTAAATCCAAGGGCGCGCCTCAATTTACGTCCATGCCAGGAGAAATAAGATGGCTAGGTCTTCGATGTACGAGAGCAATCCGCAGTTCGCTGTGGGAATTGTTGGCAAGGCTTAAACAGCTATTGACGTGGTCAACCAGGGGATGCCACGGGTTCGATGCAGGGCACAGCGATTCGCTCGTGACAATACCTATACCTACTGTGGATGGAGGAAGTGATGTCCTGGGTCAGGCGAGCGATGGGTTGCGATCGGATAGCTCGTGATACAGCCCTGTAACCAATAAGAATGGGGCACTCGGATCCCTATCCGTACCTCTACATCATTACCTCATCCTCGTCATCGCCAAGCTCTACCTTAGGTACTGTACTAGGCCAGATAAAGAGAAAAACGCGTTATCATGTTCACAGCTGTGGTAAACGACGGGATGAGCCAAGGGACCTATGTACGCTAGGAATTAATAGGTCTGAAAGACGTATGTTGGTGTACTATGCTGGCAGTTGCTCGAGGCCACCGCGGTTTGTACAGTGTATACGTACCTACCTACGCAAACAACCTACAGTGTAGGTACACTATCGAGGTAATGCGGCACCGAGAATTAGGTTCCAGGTTATTATCAGGGCGAGGCTGAGCAACACGGCGATTACGCTGTAGCTTGCGATAAGGTTGCTACTACCGACAAAGAGGACAGGAAAGCTGGCGACTTTCCACACCACTAGAACCTACTTGGTAACCTCCAAATCCATCTCTGCATCGCCCTCATTTCCATGTTTACTGGCTCTCCTTCCATTCTGCTCGATCTTAATCGAGCCGCGCGCCTCTCAAAGCCAAGACAATTGACCAAGACGTCGCTGTTTGCCAAGCATGCTGGCGGATATTGCCGGCTCCGTCGTAGAGCTCACTAGTACGCCGCCTTCACGATGTCCGAGCAAAGTCAACTGCTTCTCTGCTCACTGCACAGCTTGCTAATTGACCTCCCCTTGCAGGACGGGCTTCTGAGGGATCGGATCCTGAGGGTATGTCACTGCCACCTTTCCACCTTCCCACCTTCCTTGGCGCGAGCGAGAAACTCCGACTCTAGCCATCTAACAATCTCTCTGTACAGGTCACGACTCCTCAGAGCAGGAGGTCTTGTCATCATGGGCTCTCTTCATCCTGATCATGCTACTCATAGTGGCCTTCTTTACGAGCTATATTCTCCAGCAGAGGAAGGTCACCGCGGTGCATGAGACCGTCATCTCCATCTTCGCAGGTACGCCACGCAAAGCAATGCACTCCCCGTCCGTATATATATCATCAGTCTGATCTGATGCTGTTTGCAGGAATGACCGTTGGCCTGATTCTTCGGGTGACCGACGATTCGATCCGAGACATTGTCAGCTTTGACTACCAGATCTTCTTCAACCTCCTCCTCCCACCCATCATCCTCTCCTCGGGCTACGAGCTCCACCAAGCGAACTTCTTCCGAAACATCGGGACGATCTTAACCTTCGCCTTCGCCGGTACCTTCCTGTCTGCAGTCGTCATCGGCCTCATCCTATGGCTCTACACTCGTATCCCGCTGGAAGGGCTGAGCATGAACTGGATTGACGCCATCTCCGTGGGCGCGACTCTCTCCGCGACGGATCCCGTCACGATCATGGCCATCTTCAACTCGTACAAGGTTGATCCGAAGCTCTACACCATCATCTTTGGCGAGTCGATCCTCAACGACGCCGTCGCCATCGTCATATTCGAGTCCGCGCAGAAGGCGAAGGCAGGGGGTGGTCATACTCTCGGGTTTTTGGGCCTCCTCTGGGCTATCTGGATCTTCTTGAGGGACTTCTTCGGCAGCTTGATCATCGGAGCTGGCGTGGGGATCTTGACCGCTCTAGTGTTGAAACACACATACGTCCGTCGCTATCCCAAGATCGAGACCTGTCTGATCATTCTCGTCGCCTACGCGACCTACTTTTTCTCTCAGGCCATTCACATGTCTGGTAGGCGAACGGCCCTCTTTGTAGCATCTCGAGCTTCTCCGCTGATGGCATAATTTAGGAATCGTGTCACTGCTATTCTGCGGTATCACGCTCAAGCATTACGCATACTTCAACATGTCGAGGCGCACGCAGCTGACGACCAAGTATTTGTTCCAAGTCCTCGCCCAGCTCTCCGAGAACTTCATCTTCATCTACCTGGGTCTCTCCCTCTTCACCGATGACAACCTCCAGTACCAGCCGCTCCTCATCATGGTGACCGTAGTCGCCGTCTGCGCGGCGAGGTGGGTTGCCGTGTTCCCCCTCTCGCGGGCGATCAACTGGTTCATCCGCTACCGCGCCCGCCGCCGCGGGAGGGAACCGACCGGCGAGCTGCCCTACAACTACCAGGCGATGCTGTTCTGGGCCGGCCTGCGCGGGGCCGTCGGTGTCGCCCTCGCGGCCCTGCTGACGGGAGACGACATCAGGGCCCTCAAGGCGACGGTGCTCGTCGTGGTCGTGCTGACGGTGATCATCTTCGGCGGCACCACGGCGCGCATGCTCGAGATCCTCGAGATCCGCACTGGCGTTGTCGACGAGATCGACTCGGACGACGAGTTCGACATCGAGGCCATCGGCGGCGGCAGCTACTACAAGCGCACCGGCGGCGGCACCGCCATCGGCTTCGGCCCCCGCCCGACCCGCGGATCCGCCCTCTCGCTGGGCAGCATCCCCGCCCCCGCCGCCACGGGCCCCAGCCCCAACGGGAGGCGGCCGGGCGGCAGCCGCGACAGGCGCGCCGATCCCAGCGGCTGGGCGTCGGGCCACCGGTCGCCCAACACGGCCGGGCGCCCCGTGAGCCTCGGCAAGAAGGGGTCGTTGGCGAGGGTCGCGACCGGAGACGACCTGGAGAGGTCGGAGCTGCTCGGGCCGTCGTCGGGCAACACGACCGACTCGGACTTTGGCAGCGATATCGACATCGACACCTCAGACCTGCCGCCGCCGGCCCCGCGCCGGCGGTCCACCACCCCACTGTCGCGCAGTGGTGTTGGTGGTGGTGTTGGTGGCGATGACGTCGCCGACGTCAACGCCAGCAGTCCCCTCTCGGGAGGCGACGGGCAGCCCATCACGGCCACGGCGGCCATCCGCCAGCTGTTCCGCACCGAGGACCCGTCTGCGCTGTTCAGGCAGCTGGACGAGGACTATATCAAGCCGAAGCTTCTGCTTGAGGGGAGGAACGGGAACGGGAACGGCGGGGAGGGTCCGAGTTGATTTTTTCTTCCCTTTCCTTTCCGTCTCTGTTGGGCTTGTAGAGATCGCTGTATTAGATCTTTTTTTTCCCCCTCTTCTCTTTTCCATCTTGGCCTCGAAATGTTCCTGCGGCGTGAGAACTAATCCAGCCTGTTCTCTGCTTGGCTCCCCGCGGTTTATGCTGTGTACGTCATCAGGGGCTCGGAAAAGGTACCTAGGGGTCATAAGCGGCGTTTTCCCCTTTAATGACGGGTCGAGATACTGGGGATGAGCGACGTATGTATGTATATATATATATATACGGGTTATATATATTTTCTCATCATTTGTAGGCAGACAGATAGACAGGCGCTTGAGACCAGCGTAGATTTCCATCTGCTACTTACCCCCTGAATCATGCCAAGGACGGCACTATCTAGACTGTTTACAGTGTTCTACATTCACTGTTAGGGTATGACATGATTATCCGTGGAGAGACCGGATATTGCCACCCTGATGGACACGACACAAGCTTGAGGTGTCTCTGCTGCCCCTTGAGCCCACCCATCTGATGCTTACGTGCCATACACTACCAGTACAAGCTCAAACCTTCCCAATGTCAACAACCACCCGCCATGTTTCCGGGAGATTGCACCTTGGCACCCCTGGATACGACTCACTTCTGGCGATTCACAGGCGGAAAGACCGAGTTCTTAGGTGTCATCAACGTGATCTGTCGTCGTTCGTATTTCGGCAGGCAGTTTGGGCAATGCATGTCCATGCCGTAGGCCTACTATCTTGAAGCAAAGTGCCAGCCCAATGCTTGATCCTTCCTTCCCCCCCGCCTCCCTTCCATTCGTACCGTCGCCCCCCCAAAAAGCCCAAAGGACCTCAGTTTTCTGCAAACATTTGCCTCGCTGATGTAGCGTCGTCTTCCTGTATTAACGCAACTGTAGCGACCCCCAAATATCTTCCGGAGTCTATCAGCGCACCTGATCAAGGAAACGAAAATGTGAACCAACCCAAAAGAAGAAAATAGAAACGGAAAGGATATGAAAAGGAAAAAAGAAAAACACCCTCGCCTGTAAAATGCTCAACTTCCAAAATGCACCGCAAACCAACCAGTTTGAGCCAGCCAGGACTCCCTCAAGCAGCCCCTCTTTAGCTAAAGACAACCCACACAGCAACCTGTGGAGCTTTTTAAGCTGACCGCACAGGTCCTGTGCGGGACCAAGAACGCCGCGCCCATGCAATTGGGGGGGGGGGTTGGGTATTTCATCTCTCATCAAGCAACATTAATGCCAGGGCGAATTAGATTAGTATATAAAACAATGAATTGAAGCCGATGGTGTGCTCGTCGTGTTAGGGTTGAGGTGGAAGTGTGTTGGATATCGTGTCGTGGGACCCTGTTTAAAAGCAGGCCGTTCAAAAATCAGGGTATCGCCCAATTCAAGGCTTCGAAACCTTTCAATCGTGGTGAAGGAGGACGAGATGGGTATTATGGGGATTGTCGTCGTGCACAAAGAACCGCATCTAACCACGGGAAAAAAGGTGGATAAGATACCGAAGATGTCGTCGTGGTCGCTAAATGGTATAGGGACTAATCGTGCCCGCCCCCACTTATACGGTTCGCTTATGTGGGGTGAGCCGAAGGGGAGGCCCCGAAACGAACCATATAAGTGGGAGCGTGCAGGGTTAGGGCATTGCCAGAATGTCATGGTGGAGTCTGGGAGCCGCCGTGTCGAGGCCGCCCATTGTGCCGTGTTTCTGTTTGGTTACATGCCCCGTTTGACGCGCGGTCCGATGCCCCGAGTAATGTTTCGTACGGCGACCCATGGCTGGACCCGTCATTTGGCAGCTCTTCATCGAAGGGCGACGAGGCTGCGAGGGATGCGTCGTCTCGCTGGGACCCAGAGGTCGCACCGTCAGGCGAGTTAAGACCGGTCTGCAGCATGGTTGACGAGGCCATGCTTGCATACCCGTCGGAGGGGTCATCTGCTTGACCTTCTCCGGAGTTCGAGATGTTGGCTTGGGCCAGAAGTTTATTAGCCTTCGTGGTGGCAACCCGAGCTGCGTGCACCGCTCTCTCAGCACGGCAGTGCTTCTCCCACATGGTGGCATATTTCCCGCGAAGAGCTAACAACTCTTCGTGAGTGCCTTTCTCGACAATCGTGCCGGAATGCAGGACGACAATCTGGTCGGCGTGGGTGATTGTTGACAAACGGTGGCTGTCACGTTTGGTGGCCAATGGTTAGCTAAATTCTTTTCCTGCAATCGCTCTTTAACCTCGCCCTCTTTTTGGACTTACGCAATAATCAGCAACGTGCGGCCCTGGCCAAAGTTGCCGCTAATCAACTTTGACTGGATCTTCTGTTCCGTTTCACCGTCCAGAGCAGACGTCGCCTCGTCGAGCATGATGATCTTTGGCTTCTTCAGGATCGTCCGCGCGATCGCCACCCGTTGCTTCTCCCCTCCGCTCAGTCGAAGCCCTCGCTCTCCAACCCTGGTATCGTAGCCGTCGGGGAAGCCCATGATCCGGTCATGAATTGCAGCGGCACGGCAGGCGTCGAACACGTCCTCGTCAGTGGCATCCTGGTTGGCGTACTTAAGATTGTACATCAGAGTCTCGTTGAAGAGGATGGTGTCCTGCGGGACAACGCCGATGAACCGTCGAACAGAGTCGATCGTCACATCCTTGACATCCCGGCCATCAATCTCGATGCTGCCCTCTTGGCAGTTGTAGTAGCGGAACATGAGCCGGAAGACTGTCGATTTCCCTCCTCCAGATTCCCCGACGAACGCCGTCGTTGTCCCTGGGGCGCATTCAAAGCTGAGATCTCGAAGTGCCGGCCTTCGCCGGTCGTAGGAAAACTTGACTTGGTTCCAGCGGATGTTGCCCTCGCACTCCTTAAGCTCCTCCGCGTGCGGAGCATCAAAAACGTTCGGCTGGATCTTGAATAACTCCAGGAGCCTCTCGCCAGAGATCATCGCCTGTTGGATGGTGCGGTAGAAGGAGCCGAAAAAGTTGAGCGGGCCCTGCAGCTGGTTGAGGTAGGTTATGAGCAGGACAAAATCGCCGACATCCCGGGTACCATGGGTGACTTCAAACCCGCAGATCATCAGGGTGACAAATATGCCGAACATGAAGACAGAGGCTTGAGCCATGTTCATATGCTGAATGCCCATTGTGACCTGTGCTTCTGCTACCTGAAACGCCTTTATCGCTTCTCGGTAGCGGTTGAACTCGAAGGCTTCGGCATTGAAGTACTTGACGGTCTCGTACGAGGTGATGGAGTCGTTTTTGACGGCCTCCTCTTCTCGGTCGGCGTTGACCATGTCCCTGCGCTGGTCCACACGCGTCTGGGCCATCTGGACCGACACGTAGAGGTAATAGAACGTGATGACCGAGACGCAGAGCGAGTACAGCGGCCCAAAGGCGATGTAGAAGAAGATGATGGCCACGAAGAGATCGACTACCATGGGAAGGACGAAGAAGGTGACCTGTTCTAGAAAGGTGTTGATGGCTGCGCCCTTGTTAAGCGCCGAAAGCACCTCTCCGGTCCGTTTCCCCAGGTGGAAGTCCAGCGATAGCGAGTGTACGTGTTCGAACGCAGCTGTGGTCAGCGCCCTGTACGTGTGCTGCGAGACGGGGATCCATAGTATTGACCGGATGGAGCCGATCAATCCAGACTGGCCTTGCAATAACTTATATAGAATCAAGAGGCACAGCTGGACCCAAGGCATGTGATGGCTGCCCTCATACTCCTTCTTCAGTTGATTGGTGACGACCCCGAGCTGATATGGGACCATGACGTTCACCGCGCGTTGAAACATGACCAATACGACGCAGATGAGGACGACACCCCTGAGTTTGGCGGATCTGCTCGGCCACAGGTAAGGAAAGAAGACGGAGTAGCCGCGACAGTACTCGAACCAGGTCTTGTGCGGCAGTTTATCTGGGCGGTAGAAAGCGGCCTCTTCCTCCTGGTGGCCAGCGTCGGCAGTGCCATTAGGATTGCCATGGCTGGAGTCGCTCCGGGAATGTCGATGGCCCCGCTGGCTGTCGTTTTGGGTGTGGTACCCTGGCTGGTGGTGGCCGTTTAAGAGTGGTGTCTCCTCGTCCGACTCGGAATGGTTAGCTTCGTCGACCAGGATCCGGCGCTGCTTCCGGTATCGCTGTGCCGCGACGGCGGTGTATAGGAACAAGAGACCAATGAGCAGGGAGACTCGGGTTGTAGCGAGAATGAGATCGGCAAGGTCCCATCTGTCGGGTCCATAGACCATATTGACGTGCCAGATCTGGACGTCCCTTATCACACAATGCCAGCCAGAGACTCGGACGATCGACGCGAGGAGTATTATGATTTCGCCCACCAGCGCTAGCGTCCAGACGACGCAGTGGACGAGATTTGGGACGTCGTGCCATTGAACGAGGGATATTAGGAAGTAGACGTAGAAGAAGAATGAGCCCGCAATGTAAACCTAAAATAAGAAAAAACCTTGTAAGCAGGGACCAGGCCGGGCCGGGCCACCCCATGTGCAGGCGGACAGGCGGCAGGTGGGCAGGCGAAACTTACAATCCTCTCCTCGCCGCACCACCAGCCAGAGGCCGTGCCGCTCTTGTCCGGGTGAAAAACGTGGACTATAACAGTAACGAAGTCTGCCAAGAAGGTGAGGACAACGGCAGCAGAAAGATACTGGAACACGCGACGGGCGGCGGTCCCAATATGCGCTTCCACGACCAGGCGGCGGATATCCTCCCTCTTGCGCTTCGTGACGGGCAGGGGCTTCCCATCGGGGCCCGTGGCGGTGGGCTCGACGAGCTCCTCTTCGCTTCTCGAGGTCAAGATGCTGTAAGTGGCGGCCGACGAGATGAAGGCCAGGAGGAGGACCGCCGGGTACCAAAGTTCGGCGTTGAGCAGAACCGTCTCGGCCGGCGAGCATGGCGCCGTCTGGTTGACGACGGCATGCAGGTGTAACGCATCCATCCTTTGCCTGGGGAAGGAAGAGGAGTTAGGGGAAGGCGGGTAGGTAGAAGAAGAAGGTCGGAAGGGCCTGTGGGAGCTTGCACCCACAGAGTTATTGACGAGAACTGATCCCGTTCATTGCCTTGCCGTGTGATCAAACAAGCGGCAGACGGGGGGCAATTTCGAGGTCGAATTGAACGACGAGAAGATATGGCGTCCACGGCCAAGGCGATCGATCGAGGTGGGGCTGGGTTTGAGCAGCTGACGGGTGTCTGTGGCAAAAGCGATCAATGGTGGGTCGGTCTTATTCGAGATGGCTCCAGAAGCAGCCTTGGCCCAGCAGCGATGCTACTGTGGAAAGCGGGAGAGAGGGAGAGAGAAGAGGCGAGAGATTGGTTTGCAGAACTCCCAAGTTTGGCCCAAGCCGAAGAAAGAGAGCGGTGTTTGAAAACGAGCGTACACTTTTAGGGAGGATGTCGAGGAGGGAAGAAATTGGGGTCCCCAGATTGGCGGCACGTCCACAAAAAGTCGAGTACTCCGGTACGGGTGCGGTACCCTGCTTTGGTACAGAGTAGGTAGTGCATGCAAAGTACTATGTAGTTCGTTCACTGCATCGTGGCACAATGCCCCTCCCCAGAAGGCGCGCGGGCAGGGGTCCATGTGCTGGCAGCCAACCAGAGCTACAAGACAGGCAGCGTCTTCAATTGGAAGCGTTCTAAGAGGGCCCAGACCTGCGGCTTCTCTCTACTGCATAGTACATAGTACATTAGATGCATATTCGCTTGGCATGATTGGGGCCGGCTGGTGTCACGGGGAAGTTGCGGGACTCGGGCGCGAAGGCCTTGCCGGCTCGACAGCTCGACAGCCCCTCCCCGCCGCCGCCGGGCCATGTCGTGTAGCCGTGTGCGACGACACGTAGTGTGGTAGTGTTGCATCGGTAGCGCAGGTAGTCACTGAAGCGTACGCTACACTCGCTCCATGTGCTAGACCTTGAGTTGAGAGGTGCAAATTGTGAGGCCGGGGTTTGGCAGCCCTAGTCTGGTTTTGGAGGTGCCAGATCTTGCCAGAGTGCAGCCAAAACACTGCCACGAGCTAGCGTGCCATGCCTGCCGGAAGCTGGAACAGCCAAACGGCTCGAACCCAGCACTCCCTCACCGCCTTGCACTTCAGACGTGTGCAGCAGGCTGCATGCATACAACATATCCTAGGTAAGGTGTAGGCAGGTATTATATAAAAGTGTGTGGGTGTCTGTACGCATGTATTGTACACCTAGATATACACATTTACATTTGGGTTAGTCGGCAGAGGTAAGGTACCTTAGGTAGGTATGGACTACATGTATCCGTACTGCGACACCTTATGTAATTAGGTATGTACATCCGTACAGTACCCCGTACAGTACAACAAGCGCCTAGGTTCCTCTGGGAGGTGGGGGTAGGCTCCCCGAGTTCCCTTCCATGGTTCCATGCACTAAGAGGTGCCGTGGATGTCACGCTTGGCCGCGGCGGCAGGGCTTGCTGCACTGTATACACCACTAATACTTGGGACACTCCCGGCCCGTCCGCAAAATTGGATGGAGTGGGTGGGGTGGGGTGGGGACATGGAACCCGGCGGGAACAAGCGGTGCCGCAACCTTCCTCCGAGCTTTAACTACACGTACCTACCTTGTCTCAAGTGCGCTCCCGGGACAGGCTCTGTGTGCCTTGTGAACCATGACAGGATCCCGCTTTTTCCATGGTTGGGTTTTGGGAAAGTGAGATGTGATATCGCATCTGGTGTCTCCCCTCTGTTCTCCGTCTCACTTGTCACTCGGCGATTCAATCGCTTCCCACCGCTGGGCCTGGCAATGGCGCTGGGCCTCTGTGATCTGCCATCATCGACTTGCCCTTCCTGGCAGGTTTAGATTTTGCCAGATCTGGTTGATGGCAAAAGTCCAGCCCTTTCTCTCGGCTATGTGGCCGAGTCTGGACATCCCACACAGGATTCCACACACACACACACACACACACACACACACACACACACACACACACCCGCCTTGGGAAACCTTGCAAGAGCTGACGCCTCATCCGTCATGTCAGTTGGCCTGGAATAGCTAACTAACACGCAGACCTCGTGTCCTTTGCGGCCGCTGCGTCCGGGATCCGTCCATCGGGGATTGTTGGCGTGGCTGCCAAGGAAACTGCCATGGGTGCCACGACACCCCCGATGCCCGCCGATGATTTCCTTTTCTCCCATTGCCATCTATTGCCGTCCCACCGGACAAGGCAGATCAAGCATCATGATGCACACCTAAGGCACCGGTCTGGGAGTGGATCCGGAATCCTCCAAATCAGATTTTGCGTACCAATCTTGATGCCATCCAACGCTGGCTTATGGTCGGCACGCAAGAGGACCCAGCGACAGCAAGAAAGTTGTATTTCCCACAGTTCGCCGGTGCTCCTTGCATCTCGAGCCGCGCAACGTGTCATGCATGGAGCGTGGCGCCGCGGGCTACGCTACGGGCTACGGGCTGCACCGCACAGTTTCCCTTGACCGTCTTGCCTACTATGTACAAGATCCCAGCAGGGTAGGGTAGCAACGGGAGCAGGGAAGGGAGGAGAATTGTTCCGCAATCCTGACCGCCCTGTTACTGCGTATTCGATACCGTTACCCGTCTTTGGGGTTATGATGCAGCCAAGCCTAACCGGCCTCTACCGAGCTCTGGCCTGCGACACGGGATGTGTCCGTCCGCTGTCGGAACATGATGAGAGCTGGCCGGAGCAATTTCCCTAGCCGAATCCTTCTCGTTCCGCCAATGGGTAACTCCCTGGCACCGACTCGCCTTGGTCGGCGATGGCCAAACTTTCTCTCCGGGAAAACACCATGGGAGTTTTGTCATTTCCTTCAAACCGTAGACAGCAACAGGGAACTGGAGCATCAGTTTCACAAGGCTGAGATGTCGACTCTCTACACAGCATATGCAGAGGTAGGTAAGATATACCTTAAAGGAGATCCGGGGAAGTGTGGGGAAGGCAATCCGCAGTGGGCCTTGGCGCCTCCGTCGATGGGATCCGGCGATGAACCCCACCGTACTTGTGGGCGGTGGGCGGTGAGCGGTGTGTGAAAACCTCAACTTATACGCTTTAGAAGTTGAATGGCAACTACCTTCGCTAAAGCCCGAAACGATAGAGCCTTGGGTTGGCTTGAGGCGGATTTCGACTAATCCCCGCAACTTCCCCCTGCAATTCCTTTTTCCGACTTGATGCCGAGTCGTTGGCATGGCAGGTTGTTCAAACAGATGTCGTCTGTGGTTCCTAGTTTCTCTTTCCAGCATCGGAATCTCTGCGAGTGCGCCTGCTTGTAGACTTCGGCTAGCCAACGCGGACTGCCCTTCGCCTTGAAGCACTCGCCTCTATCCCCTGTCAAGTGTCAGTAGAAATGGATATCGGAGATGGCAACCACCTCTTCATGTGGGCCTAACGGCCGAAGTCCGAAGTCCGACCCCAGCCGTTCGGACCGACATATTGACATGACTACATTCCCCGACATTCTTGTCTTCCTCCCGGACGAGGCCGATCGGGCTATATCCCGGCCTGGACCGTTTGGTAAGTGCGGGACGGATCCTGCTTCGAGAGGCACTCCAGTGGTGTGCTTTGTTTTGATGATTAGGCGGTGTGACAGTGGATGCCTATTAGTTCTTGTCCTTCCTATTATAAGTCCACGCCTTCGGGAAATCATGATTGCGATGAGGTTGGCTTCGGCCACAGTATTGCCGACTACCGGGGTGACGAGAGCTTAGACATGCAGGCGACGAGACATGCATGTTTAAGAGCTTCGTTGGCGTGCTAGAACGGAGGCCGGTTGGGGATCTTATACAAGCCCAAGTCGATATCCTCCTACCATCTACGGATTGCGAGTTTGTCAGAGCTCCTCTTTAGGCAAACTCGTCTGGTTGCTGGGTTCCCCATTGTCATGATCCTACGATTGTTACACCGGCGGGCTCTAATATGAGACTGACTGGGCAGAGAGGTGTGCTTTCCTCGGGATACGAGATGTACATACCTTGGTGCTCCTTGGGCTCCTTGATGCCCCCAGATGCTTCCGTCCCTGATCTCGGCATTTCCGACCGGGATATTCCTGGTAATCGGCCACGCAGCGTTGTTGTCGTCGGCTGTGCTACCTTGACGGGAGCCGCTTCATTGGGAAGGCGGAAACTGCCACTAGCCTAACTGCCCTGTTTTGTCTCGTCAGGTGCAAGTAGGTAACACAGTTGAGACCTCAGGTGGACAAACGAGGCTCTGATATTGGTCACTGGGTGAGAGAGCATGATCCAGATGCCAGCACACCATCCATCATGTTGGACCTCGACCGGGGAAGCCCGTTTCGACAGAAGAAGGGACATGGACTCCATCTCTGGCCCCTGTCCTGCTGAAATAATTCTAAGCTCAGCCTTGTTTGCGAAGATCAGATCGGACCGTGAGTTTAAACCCGGCAGATCCGATCAGTGGTATCCCCAGGTAGGCATGATCAACATCGTTGGCCACAATCTCCTTGTGAGTTCTCACTTTTGCTTCTACTGCGGGGCCATCTTTCCGTGCCAGCCCGTATGCCCACGTTCAATCTAGGCCACTCGCATTGTCAGCTGGCGGCTGACAGATCCGTGAGAATCCTGCAGCTATTAGTGATCCATCAGATTTGCTGTTCGCCCGTTGCAAGTACCTTCAGGTATAGAGCTCTCATGCGCCACCTTCATCAAGATGGCTCGAGAAAGAAACAAGTGGAAACAACTTTCCCCATCTATGACAATATTGAATACGAAAATGTATAGCTATTGCCTACTATCGCCTACCAAGTTCCTGGTTGGGTATATTGGTCGCCCCTCCAATTCCAAATCGAGCACGCTGCATCTGCAGCCAGATTCGCTTCTTGACTCGTCACAGCGCCAACATCCAATCCCCCAACACCACCAACCACACCTGATCTAGATTACCGGCCGACAATCCTAGACTTCCGAACCAACGAGAAGGACGGATCGACGGGCCTACCTGCTGTTGCCGAGCAGGGGTATCGCTCGCATCCAAGATGACATGCATCCGATGGCCATCTCGCGAGGCCCGCCGGTGGGCCCCCCACACCTCCCAGATGTCAATGTTTGTACAAATCTCTGCGAGATCTGCCACCTGGGGCAGTGGTTGGCGGGCTGGACGCCCCACGGACGGGTAGCAGACAGTCCGAGATGGGGCCAGCCGTGAGACTTGCCTGGCATACCTGAGCCAACTGAACGAAGTCAATCTATTGACGATGAAAGCACGCAACGTGCGTCTGAAGCATCATCTTGGCACCTGAAAGCCAGCCGGATTATACGGTGCGGGACTCCAAGCTGCTGCTGCTGGTTCTCAGCTGCGTGGGTAATGTAGAGAGAGCTTGGCACATTGCGATCCTACTGACTGCTGGGCCCAAGTCGGCATGGTCGGACGGTTGGTCTAGACGTGGGATACTGCATGCTGCAAGCTTTTCCATCCGGGAAGACAGCAGTAGACAGCAGTTGTGTGACCTGACAAGGAACCATGGAAGAAGCCGCGAGGTTTGCAACGTGTGTGGCGGAGTCGTCCAACATGCAGAAGACTGATATCTCCTGACTTGTGCTTGCATTAAACAACCTCGCCCTGATTGGATGTGTCTCACAGCCAGTGCAAGGCATATCCCGGAGGCTCTTCCATCTCATATGGTTGTTTCCAGAGTGCCAAGATCTGTCCGTTTGCTAATATAAGAACCTGCAGCTCTTGGTTTCACCAACGGGAAAGAGCCGACCAAGCTCAGTACCTGTAATACTCGCAGTCCTTGCTCGCTTCGAACATCGACAGGTACTTGTGTGACTTCCTTGCTTTTAGATTTATTTGAAACCCTTGCTCTCGTTATCCCACCCTTTTCTACTGCGAACTCCCTGTCCTTCTTAATAAGACCTACTTGAAGCCTCTGCCCGGATGTCCTGTTGGGCGAGCTCAGTTGGATCATTATCCTCGGGATTATCGGGGTGCAACTGAGTCACGAGGGCTTGGAAATTGTTGTACACGTTGGGTTGGCTAGAGTTTCGCAGTCGTGTTCGATATAAGAGATCGGCTACACCATCACGGAATGATAAGTATAAACTCCCGCGTGTACAACGCTATGAGAAGACTGTGGCGTGTCGGGATAACACGCCTATCTATCTCACTGGCACCAATCCCAAGAGTTGACACCCTGACAAACGGATCCTAGTCAGAAACAAACGTTTGACCGTCAGTTCTATTACGATGATAAGGCCGTCGATATGTATTAGAGGCAGTATAAACAATAATGGAGTGAGCATCACTCAACTAGAGCCGCTCCACATTACCTGTTAGCCTTGTAACTATAATCATTATCTTAGATCTAGAGCTGTAATTTGGTAATATCTTGACCTGAATTCATACTTGGTTGGAATATGGTATCCAGGTAGCTTTGCCGGGGAAGTCAATTATTAGGTCGTGCTAGAACGCAACAGAACAGCAAGTGCCTGGATGTGAGAGGGTCCAAAAAAATTCGACTCCCAGGGACAGCGCACGTGCCACTGACCCTTCCCCTGTCCAACCACACAACCCCTGCGTCAATCTCGAACAACCTCAGCCTTGCGGCCATCGTCACAGGTCCCCAGGTCTCAGCCTTGTCAGCAATCTTCCCCAATTGTCAATCCCAATTCCGATAGCCACGATCAGTCCACGTCCATCTCGTGAAGGATTGGCCTCCCAACTCTCCAACCAGAGCAGATAAGCCACCTCGCGAAACTAGCCGGCCGTAGCAGTTCGTCAAATACCCGGCCAGCGATTCTCGCGGCGCTTCCACAAACAGACTGACAGTCGGCTAAGGCCGACCTTTGAAAGAGAGAACTGGTGTAAAGCGCCCCTGGCGAACTCGAAGAGTTGGTTTTGCAATAATAACCCATTACCACAGCTGGCAAGGAGCAGAAGTTGTACGGCATCCGAATATACTCCCTTAGGGGCCGCAAGACGCTCCTCGGTCCATCACATTCACAGCCATCATGACGAGCGGCAGCCCATCAACACCGGCCAAGGTGGCCGCGTCGGCGACAAGCTACACACCCGCCACGCTTGATCCAGACCTTAGATCACAGATTAACTCTCTATTAATACGGGACGGACATGTCACCAAGTGAGTACCCCACCGCCGGACGAGAGAGAGGTGCAAGTCTCAGCCTCACAGCCTTCCTCACACCCCCCTTTTCACCACCACCCCAGCAGCGAAGCGAACACACCAGCTAACTACCCCACCCAGAATCCAAGACCACCTCCTCCACTCCCTCCACGCCCACCCAACCAACTGGCCCACAGCAATCCAGACCCACGCCCTCACCCTCCTCCGCTCAGGCGAGGTGACAACCTTCCCCGCCCTCCTCCGCCGCGTCATGGACGACGTGCGCCAGGACACCGCCCTCGCTTCCGGCGGCGGTGCAGGCGACGTGGATCTCAACGGCAGCAGCAGCAGCAACGGCAACAACAACAACAAGGTCAACGGCTCGGCCGCCGCCGGGGAGGATGAGGATAAGAACAAGAAGAATAAGAAGTCGACGGCGGCGGCGACGACCATTCATGGCTTGGCCGTGCCGCAGGCCGTCGTCGAGGAGGCGCTCAAGGTGACGCGCGAGAGCCTGGAGACGATCTGCGAGATTGAGGGGGATGGCGCCACGTGAGTGTCCGTCTTGCAGGGGGGCGGGGGCGGGTGGGTAATCAAGGAAAGGGGCTTTAGTTGCCCCGGTGAGAAGGAGGATGGACGGCAAATATATTTACAAATGAACACGGAGGAAGCGGATAGGTGGCCAGGAAGGGGTTGCATTTGGATAGGGGAGGGGGGATGCCAGGGGCAAATTGGGAGAGTCGGCTGCAAGACGGGAGCTTTGGGCTCGACTCCATGGATTGGGACTCTTTCTCCTGGCCCCGTGCCCTCTGGACGGGTCCCATGAAACGACATGTTATGATGACTTACTTATAAGGCGGAGGAGGTGGCGGCATTCGTGGCCAGGGTTCTCGAAAAATAGAATCTGTACAAAATATCAATTGGAATAGTAGGCTTTGAACCATTCTCGGCCTATATTATGTTTCGAAACGCAACATTCATTTCACACTTCTCAGACACAGGACACTTATGTAAAGGAAATCAAATTCCGAAATCTATCGTAACCGGTGTACTAAAGACGATGGGTTCCAATGTAGACTCAAAAGCCAATCGAGGTGTTCCGGACTCTTGATGCCACCTCTACCGGACTCCTTCCTCCCCTTCCCTCTTAACCAGCCTCTTTAAGCGAGAAGCGCAGCACTACCTCGCAAGGAATCGCATGACGTGTTACATGTGCTTTCGATCTTCAGCCAGGTAGTAAATCTAGCTTCTAAAGAACTGCCTCTGCTCTAATCTCCACCCGTCTTATGAAGGCGGCGGGAAACGCAGGATAGGGAGAAATGAGAACTAAAATACACTGGACTCGTCCGAGCCCAGGCCTAGCAGATGCTGAGCTTAGTCGTAGAGGCCATCATCGTTGCCGGCATCGCCGAACGAGTTGCCAGAACCATCCGCATTGGCGCTAGCCTCGGCGCCAGCCTCGGGGAACTTGAAGAAGGCACCGGGGCCGGCGTTCTTCATCTGCTGGGCAAAGGCCTCGTAACGGCGGATCTCGACGTCGGTGACGGACCGACGGGCCATTTGCATGGCCTCCTCGAAGTGCCGCTTGGTCAGCTCGGGAACAGGGTCCTCGCCCTCATCTTCCATGTCGACATCTTCGCCGGCAGCCTCGCGCTCCTTGGTCCGCTGGATGTCGATAGAGATGGACTCCTTGATGGCGATCTTCACAGCACGCTGGGTGATGAAGCCCAAATCAGCACCGGAGAAGCCGTGAGTCTTGGAGGCGATGTACGTGAGGTCGACGTCGCCAGCCATAGGCGTCTTGCGCAGCTGGGCCTTCAGGATGCCGAGGCGGCCCTGCTCGTCGGGAAGAGGCACATAGATAAGCGAGTCGAGACGGCCCGGACGGCACAGGGCAGGGTCAAGCTGCTCTGGCCTGTTGGTGGCGCCAATCACGAAGACATTCTTCTTGGAGGTCATGCCGTCCATTTCTGTCACAAGGTTAGCGGTGGTCAGTCAATTGAGTAGTGGGGTTACCGGGTCTGGATGGGGTATGCCTTACCGGTCAGAAGCTGGTTGACAACTCGGTCCGAAGCACCACCGGCATCACCGACGGATCCGCCACGGGCTTTCGCGATGGAATCCAACTCATCGAGGAAGACGATGCAAGGGGCCGCGGCACGGGCTTTGTCGAAGATGTCTCGGATATTGCTCTCCGACTCTCCGAACCACATCGACAGGAGCTCGGGACCCTTGACGGAGATGAAGTTGCTTGCGCACTCGTTGGCAACAGCCTTGGCCAACATTGTCTTACCAGTACCAGGAGGACCGTAAAACAGGACACCACGGGAAGGCGAAAGTCCAAACTTGAGGAACTTCTCGGGATGGTCGACGGGGTACTGGACCTGCTCCCTGAGCTCCTGCTTGACAGTCTCGAGACCACCAATATCTTCCCAGCGAACGTTGGGGACCTCGACAACGGCAACCTCGCGAAGGGCAGACGGGTTGGAGACGCCAAGGGCAAAGCGGAAATTGTCCATGGTGACGCCAAGGGAGTCGAGGACCTCGGCATCGATGGTGTCCTCATCAAGATCAATCAGATCCATCTTCTCACGAATCTGCTGCATGGCAGCCTCAGAGCAGAGCGCGGCAACATCGGAGCCGACATAGCCGTGGGTCTCTGAAGCGATCTGCTCGAGGTCGACATCGTCACCGAGCTTCATATTCTTGGTGTGGATCTGAAGGATCTCAAGACGACCGGTCGGGTCGGGGATGCCGATATCAACCTCACGGTCGAAGCGTCCGAAACGCCGCAGGGCAGGATCAATCGAGTTCGGTCGGTTGGTCGCGGCCATGACAACGACGTTGGACCGAGCCTTCATGCCGTCCATGAGAGTCAGGAGCTGGGAAACAACCCGACGCTCGACCTCGCCGTTGGTCTTGTCCCGCTTCGGGGCGATCGAGTCGATCTCGTCGATGAAAATAATAGCCGGCGAATTCTTCTCGGCTTCCTCGAAAGCCTTCCTCAGATTGGACTCGGATTCGCCGGCCATCTTAGACATGATCTCGGGGCCGTTGATAAGAAAGAAGAATGCACCAGTCTCGTTCGCAACCGCGCGAGCCATGAGGGTCTTTCCAGTACCCGGAGGACCGTAGAGAAGGACACCCCGCGGAGGCTTGATACCGATGGATTTGAAGAGCTGAGGATGCCGCAACGGAAGCTCGACCATCTCTCGGATTTGGGCCATCTGCTTCCGGCAGCCACCGATGTCGTCGTAGCCGACCTCGTTCAGGTTATTCTCCTCCTCGTCACGCTCGATGGGCTCGCCCTCGCAGTGGATAACGGTATCCTGAGCGACGATGCCGTACTCTGGGGGTTCGACTTCGACGACCTTGAACTCGACCTGTCTCATACCACCACGCACAATGAACAAATCACCTTGCCGGACGGGCCGGTAAGCCTCTCTGAAGTATGGGGCAAGGAAGACGTCAAAGAGGGAGCCGGTGATGCCCTCGACAGTATCGGCGATAGGGAGAACAGCGATGCGCTTGGCCTATTAAAATGCTCCGTTAATATTTGCCCACCGTTGAGCCCACGTTGGCAAAATACTCACATATTTGATGTCCGGGCATGGGTGGATGGTGATGATATCGCCATGCTTGACGCGGAGGTTGTGACGGACGACTCGGTTGAGACGAGCGCTGCCATCGTCGAGATCATCATCCGCCAACACAATCAGGACAGTGTCCTTCCTCTTCTTGCCCCGAACCAAGACGGTGTCGCCACGGAAAAGCTGGAGAGTCTCCATGGTGTTGTTTGACAGGGCAATGATCGAGTTGTCATCGTTGACGGCATCGGTAACCCTGAGGACAGGTTAGCAGGATGCGTGGCTGGCCTGGATGGTATCAAACCTACATCAACTGGTTGGGCTTCTTCTTCTTCTTTAGAATGGCAGTGGCGGTGTCATCCTCCTGTTTGCAAAAGTTAGTCTCGGAGCTGGTGATGTGGCAATTTGTGGAAAGTACGAACATCCTTGCGTTCGGAGCCAGAGACATCGCTAGAAGGGAGGTCAGCTTTTCAGTTTCCTTCAAACGGCAAATGAAGGAGAGGGCATCTCCATCGGAGAGAAAACATACGTCAGGTTGACCTTCTTCTTGTGCTCAACATGATCAGGATCCGGTTGGGGAGCCATCTTGCTTCGGTTGGCCGGTCTCGGGCAGAGGTAAACAAATGATACTGTTCCTTCGGTGGGAGAAGAGATGGGGTGAAAGAAAAGTGGTTGATATTGGGAGAGATCGCCTGCCCTCTAGGAAGAATGGGGAAGGAGATTTTATGGCACAGGTGAAAAACCAGGTTGAGGTTGATGGAGGTTGTTGGAGGAAAGTTCCTTGGGTTGACGAGCTGTGGTACTTCCACAAGGTCACGTATTAGAGTTTGGAACTCACCCAGGCCAGGCGACTGCTGGATGACGACTGGTTGGCCTTAAGACCGTGCGCCAGGCATGGCCGGCTATCGAGGTACCCACTGTGCCCACCTAACAGCTTTACATAAGCCAAAAAGGCCCAAGCTTTGTGGCCATTCAAAGATTGGAAGTTTCCAACACCTTCCACAGAGCTGACTGAGTTTGAATCAAGCTGGCCTTTCCAGCTTCAACCTCCAATGAGGCTGCTGCCTTGTAAAAGTCAGTGCCTCATAATACTCGCCACCTTCACCCACCTTTGGTTCTCTTATTCCTTCTCTTTCCATTCTTGCTTGCCTGTTGGATGAGAGGAATCCATTAGCATTCCAGGCCAAGCAGTTGCAAGATGTTGATGTGATATGAAAAACAAACCCCTGACCAGGAACGGCAAATGCGACACCTTCACGACCAACGGTCTCCAAGACCCAAGGTTCTTTGGACCTGGCATAACCCCGAGTGGAACATATGAGGGTGAATAAGTTGGAGAAGCTCCCTAGGCCACCTAGTCTGTCACCAGGTACCTCCCTCAACTGCTAGGCAACAAGAAGGTATACGCCGAAGTCAATAATATCACAAACTGTAGACTGGAACAAGGTCTGCCATGGCGCGCTTGCTTCCCATCTGAGCCAGACGGGGGTATATAGTACGACACGTCTAACCAGGCGAACCATCCTCCCAGCCGCAACCTCAGGTGACTCTATGAGTTTGGCCAGACCGCTTGGTCTGACCCCATGCAGTGAGGGGTTCCAGCTCGTCCTCAACCGGCAAAAGATTGATTGTCATGTCCTGGCGGAATGGGCTGCAGCGTCCGTTTGCACGCCTGTTTCGATCGGGAACTGCGGGTTCAGGAACCTTTGGGATAGTAGATGTTTTGTTTCGTCAATTTCGTCAAGGTTCCGTGCCAACACACAGAGTATACAGTAGGCTTTATTATTACAGTGAGGGTGCTGTTTTATAACCAGTATGCCCCATCGAGGCAGGAAGTAACGTTGGTCATTCTCATGAATCGTCGTTTCCCAAGCACCAAAACCTAGCAAACTGCAGGTAAGAGAAGGTAAGAGACCGCTTAAAATACAATCATCATAGCTCCGTGCCGTCCGTCGATCTCGTAAAAAAACATAGGTATAATGCCGACAAAACTCCACTAAAAGACCGCGCCCATATGCATCTCGACGGTTGAGGGTCATGATGGCTGGCTGGCGTCCAAACGCCATCGCTAACCGGGTATTTGCCAAAACAATGGTCATCATAAATAAATGAGAAGGAGAAAATGAAGGGGCCGAGGCCATCCAAAGCATAACATAACAGTCATCAGGCAGGTGCAGAAGCGGCGGCCGCTTTGGCCTCAAGCTCCCGCCTCTTTGCTAGCAAGCTCTTGAAAGCTCCTAGACACTGAACCAGGGATTCTTCGTCGTGGGCGCAGAATCGGTAACTCTTCTCCTCGGTGATGATCTGCAGACAGTGGGTCTTCGTCCTGCTGATGGGATCCATGTCGACGACGTTCAGGATCGAGGACAAGTAGACGATGAACAGGACCGAGTATTCCGACTCGTCCTTGTAGAGTATCAGGTTCCTTGGCCGGAGGACGGCCCACGAATTCTTCCACTGTCGGACTCCCCCTTTGCTGCGAAGGAACCACAGCCATCCCTGCCAGATGACGCGGTCGGGGTCGTGTTCCACGTTGATTCCGCTCGTCTGGCTGGCATTTCTTAGGCCGAACCCAGATCGGGCCTGGGGGAAGGAATTTGGTGGAGAGTGTGGCAGGTTCTCGAACGAAACGCCCGGACGTCGATGTACCTCAGTATCTGACAGATCCGAGTGCGACGCAAGCTCGTTCCCTGACAGGCCCGATGAGTCGAGGTGTGACGGCCGCCTGATTTGGGTTGTCGGGAAAATGGGCACAGGTATGCCTTGAGGTTCTGGCGAACTTGAAGCCAGCCGGTCCTGTTCGGGCAGGGTACGATTCGACTCCCTCTCTAGGGCGGTAAATCCGAGGTATGACTGCCTTCGGACAACGGGGCTGGCCAGGAACATCTCCTCCTCCTCCTCCTCGATCCGCGCGTCTTGCCTGATCAGTTCCACCCACTCCTGTGCGTCCTTCATTGTCGGGGCCTGGAAGTGGAAGTTCTTGGCCGGAGAGAACAGACCAAAGACATTCTGCCGCTTGTGTTTGGGGTCCTTCAACAGCGTGACTGCTGTCAGTTCTGACAGGTATATTTTGCGCTTCAGCTTGTCTTCCTTATCCGACTTGTAGATGGACAACGTGTTCGGCCGCATCACCAGGAAGATGGATTTCCAAGTCTGTTATGGTCAGCTTCCGTTCCTCGATACTAGGCCGAGGAGGATCCTACCTTTGTCTTCTGCGTACGTTTTTGGACGTAGCCACTTTTGATGACCCGGTGGAACTCGAAGCTGCCATTTTCATTCACCGGAGAAAAAGCATCTGGCGGCAGGCGATTCCGCAACGCTGCAGTGGTGTTGCCAGTTGCCGAGACGGTGGAGGCGGAAGGGATGGCGATGGATGTACTTGTGCGGTTGTTGGCCGGCTTTGCGCTGGCCAACGAGGTCGAGGGCTGCGTCTGCATTTCGACCATGATGAGGGCCAATATTCTGAGCAAGGGTTTAAATTTGGGTCAGGGTTCGTAGGAGGTTCGAGGAGGCGATCGAAGTTGTTCTTGTACTGTATTATCAGATATGGAGGGGAGAGCCGGCACCCGCTAATGTTGGTCCATGGGATCGGATTCGAGGACACGGTCGCGGGCTAATAAGGGAGTCGTCGTATGGGGAGCTGCAATTAGGTTCCAGAACATCGAAGTCGTCTCTGATAAATTAAGGTATGCTGCACCCGTGCCGGCCGCGGGGTGTCCCGGCGCGCCAAAAGCTAGAAGCTGGGACAAGAAGCGATGTGCAGAAGAGAAGTATTGTCGAGCCCGTGCGACAGATGTTCGGTGAAACTACTTGTACTGCGTATGTTGGACTCGGGAGAAGCCAAGCAGAGGGGCAGGGACCAAGCAATGATGATGACAACCTATCCGGGAGCGAATGCTGGGGTGCTGGGGTAGCACAGAGCTCATGTGTGCTGGGCGCGGGAGTTGACATGCGCTAAGGTAGTGTAGGTACGTATAGGTAGGTACCTTGGTTGAAAAAAATTTAAAAAAAAGCGATCACAATCACAGGCTCATAGCTGCCGCCCGGGATCTCGTCGCGCTAAACTGTAAGCCAGGAAGAAGAGTCCTGCCATCTAATGGCAAATATCGAAGCCGAAAGTTTGCTTCATGCGATGCGGCCCGCCCAGTATCGAGTGGTTGGGAAATCTAGAAGTTGTGTTGGATCTTGGAGAGGCTTGACAACGCCGAACTCGACCTGTTTCAGGCCAGACTTGAGGCTCGACAGCAGGTTAACCGGGTGGCTGAGCAACTCGGCGCCAAGCATCCGCCCTTCTCAAACAGGATCCAGGATCCTATGATCGCATCAGGTTCTTTGAAACAGCGGCACATGCAAGCACCCCAACGTATGTACAACGTTAAGCTTTTGGTATGAAATGTTTAACTTGGTCTATTTTTAACTCAACTTTTCGGGCTGAAGCGCTGTAGTGATTCTTCGTAACTCCTTTTCTGCCCCTGCGCAAACAACCTGAGGTTTACGGTTGCTGAGCTTTTGGTCATTCACTAGACACACACATTTGTTCTCGAAGCCACCAATTTCACCTTCTCCCGTCGAGTCACCGGCAAGATGTAACCTCAGGAATTCAATATAATTGGTGGTTCTAATTGGACAGGGGTATCTTTGTGGTAACCTTTCCTGTGCAGAAGTGGAGCGTCAGGACTCCCGCTGTAGACTAGGTAAGAAGTAGATCTCTAAATCTAGATACTCTGAATACAGTCCAGTCTGTGACGCCATGTATAAAGGGACGCTGTACTTCGGGATTTCTCTACAAACTTGAATTACACACGAGAGAGCCAGCCAGCCCGTCGTCTTGCGTAACTGAAAGAATGGCGTCAACAGAGACAGTGGACTTGATCACCTCCAATGTGAAGGCGGAGTTGGATGGTACGCAGTATGTCTGTGCTGCATTGAAACCACTTACAGGTGGCACTGCAAACTTCATCTTCCATGGCCTGCTCTCAGAACCGCTTCCCGATGGCACTCGGGAAGTTGCCATCAAGCATGGTGAAGGTTATGTAGCCTCGCACCCGGACTTTAAGATCCCGACTTCTCGCTGTGTATTCGACCCTTCTCCCTTCACGCCCCCTTATCATCCTGCTAACTCTTCTCGAAGCAATTCGAGGAGGAAAGTTTGACAGCATTGGCAGGCTTACCTCCCGCTTCCAACCCATCTTGCATCGTCCGGACACCTCGAATGTTCCATTTCAACCCGGAGACCAACACTCAGATCCAGGAGTATCTTCCCAGCTCAGTGGACCTCAAAACCTATGCCCTCTCCCATCTCACCTCGAATGACGAGGGACTCAAAGTGCACTTCTATGGGATAGGGGAGGGCCTGGGGCTATGGCTACGAAGTTTCCATGATTGGGGGAATGACCAGGCTCAGTCCAAGCTGCAAGCCCAAATCAAGCTGAACACGCCAATGCAGGCTCTGAAGAACAGCATCAACTATGCAGGCCTTGTGTCCACGATCGACAAGTTCCCAACGATCCTGGAAGACGTCAGAGACGTATTCGAGGAGGTCAAAAAGGCCTCCGAGGCTGAATTAGCTGACGAGAGCAAGCTTCAAATCATCCATGGAGACTTTTGGACTGGAAAGTAAGCTCTCTCTGCCCGCACATTGTGTACGGTTGCATAACATATTCACGCATCACACTCTTTACAGCGCTTTACTGCCGGACTTAGCGTTGCGGGAGGACTCGCAGCCGACCATCTTCATTATCGACTGGGAGCTAGTCCAATTCGGAGTGAGGCCGTTGGATCTGGGCCAGATGGTAGCGGAGCTCTATGAACTCTACTTGTACAAGGGTATCAGGGCCGGGCTGTGGCTGATCGAGGGTTTTTCCGCCGGTTACCAGATCGATGACGACGACTTCGCATTCAGGACGGCAATACACGCCGGCGTCCACCTGGTCTGCTTTGGCAGCAGTGTCCAAGGCTGGGGTTCGGAGGACCAGGTTCGCGAGGTGGTGGCGAAGGGGAAGGAGCTCATCACCCGGGCATGGCGGAAAGATCGAGCCTGGTTCTTGGAATCTGACTTGGCCTGTCTTTTCCATAAATAGGAGATAGGATTGCATACAAGCCGGGACAACTAGGGGTAGAGAAAGTTGAGACCCCATTGTGGGCTCCTCTCAATCACCCGTTAGCAGCCGAGTTTACGGACAGCTGATCCGTTCGCAGTTCAGCGTACAATAGACTATACTGCGATGCCTGCATTGACTTTTATTTAGATTCTCGTGACGTCGCTCTGCGTTTGCATGACGGGAACAGCCATTGAGCTTGTGAGGACGAGCCTCGAAGTAGTCTCAAAGTTGGGGTTTCATAGCCTTTGGAATTGAGTTTGCGAAAATCTTCGTCCTCTCCAAGGATCAGCCTCGTTCGGGAAAGTATCTTTAGAAAAAGGGGTTCAGGGGTTTGAATGGTCCCGTGGCCGAGTTCACGGAGGCACGTGATCTCATAGTTAGAGAAAGAATGAGTCAAACTTTCGACAAGATGAATCACACATATTTCAAGTTCAACTCAACCTGAGAGCGAGCAAGGTATTCGGAGCCGTAAGATACCACGAGATAGGATTGGACTTCTTGGGGACCATTGTCATTGATGGCTGCGACCGAAGCGGGGTCTCTGCCTCTGAGCCGGCCGTGCCAAAAGTGCGGCAAGCAGGAGGCAACACTGACCCAAAGATCAGAGGCAGTGTGCAGGTAGGCCAGATAAGATGTTTTTATCGCTGTGGTGCTGCAAGTACTAATTTGAACTCATAGTGACTGTTTTGTTTATTACGTTTCCCACAAGTGTGCGAGGCAGATCTCCGTCCTTGGCAGGGAGACCCGACCACCTGGAGCGAGATACTTGGTCGGCCTCTCGTTTGGGACGTCCTCGACGGTGCTTTTACACGTCTTGAACAAATATGCCGAGTCTATCCTCTCCAAGGGCCGCAGGGAGCCCTTCCAACTCAGCATCGTCCACGTCGACACCACGCTGTCTGAGGAAGGGGCACCACAGGAAAGCGCTCAGATATCCCAAATAATAGATAGATACGCGCAGAGATATCCTCTATTCAAGATTGAGCGTATACCTCTAACTGCGGCCATCGGCCTTCGGACTATCGACTGGTCAGCCTTGCCGTCTCTCAAGACCGATGCTGAACCGGCGGAACAACTAAGAGACGTCTTCGAGCGGCTACCGTCGACGACCTCGAGAGCAGACCTGCTGCGACTATTCACCCGGCACATACTGGTATCCACCGCACTCAGGCAGTCCTGTCAGGCAGTCCTACTCGGCCATAGTACGACTGCGCTGGCTGAGTTGACCCTGGCGGAGACTGCGAAGGGCAGGGGATTCTCGCTGCCCTGGCAGATAAACGACGGCGTTTTTCCTGTCCAAGATTATGCTACAGCCGATGAGCGCGAAGGGGCCAGCGCACTCCCCTCAAGTTTGGGAGAGTGCGTTCGGATACACTACCCACTGCGAGAGGTCTTTCGCAAGGAGCTCTCAAGATTTATCACACTCACGGATCCTCCCTTGACGGAAATCATCCCTAGGGAGTTGGAGAAGACAAGCTCGGTAGTTTCGCACAAGCACCTGAGCATAGAAGAGGTCATGTCACGATACTTCGAAGGCGTGGAGGAGAACTACCCGTCCGTCGTCGCCAACGTGGTGCGGACCACAGCCAAGCTGGACCGGCTGGGCGCGGGGGGGAGATGCGGCGTGTGCGGCATGCCCTTGGATGAGCAGGGGAACGAGAGATGGAGGGGCGAGATTGGCGATATCGGGGAAGGAAGCTCTCAGCACCCACCAAATAGTAGCTTGTGCTATGGCTGCCAGAGGTCCATCCACAACTGAGCATGGAGCTCGCTCCAGTTACAAGATCACGATACCTGTTCATTTATTTGACTGGCCTGCTTCCTGCTGAATCTCCAAGCCTCGCCGACCGCTGATGCTGAGAAATACAACTCTATATCGGACTGGAAGCATAGTATGTACAAAATGCTAGGTGGACGAGGGTAATTAATTTACACCCAAATATACGCTTCTAGTAAACCCCGGCGCCGGTGGAGGCAGCTAAGAATCCTTCATCTCTGCCCTCGGTAGAAACCGGTTCTCCACCTTTCTGATGAGCTTGTTCGTCTGCTCTGCCAGAGACAGAGTCAGGATTGTATGAGGCAGGATCCTCGCAAGATGAGGAAGGAAGCCCTTGTAGATGGCGAAGAATCCTTCTGTGCGGATCGTCTTCGCGAGGCAGTCAAAGACGCCGTTGTAGAGGTTGCCGTTCTGGTTATATAGGCGAGACATGATCGTATCTGGCGCCGTTGTTAGTCACAAAGCTCGCCATATAGGACGCCAGGGAAGCCAGAACTAACCCGGAGGGTGCATGAAGATGCACACGACGAAACCGCTGACTGTGCTGCTGGCCAGATGCAGGGCCGGACCCTCCTCCATGCCGAGGTGCTTCACCAATCGCCGCTTCGCGAAGAAGTATGTCGGCAGCTGCACTGAACTCCCGAAGCCTGTGCGAATCATGGCTGCGTCTACGCCACGATACAGCCCCCTTACCCCCTCCTTCCTGTATATCTGGCGGAGCCCATCCACGGCGTTCCGGTAGTTGTGTTGTGTCCCGACCGGGAGGAAGGGCGAGAAGCTCTGTAACCTCGTCTTGACGAGGAAGAAGGGGCTCCCGGCAGCAGCGCCCAGCATCCCCGAGCTTGCGCCGCAGAGCATATTAACCCCCAGGCTCTGCGTCTTCTCGTCCTTGAACACGAGCGAGGTGAGCGTCTTCCGCATCGGCTCGTAGAAGCCCAACCGGCAGCCGTTCAGCAGGACCTGGTATATGTAGGCGCATCCTATCCCCCTGTAGATCCCCCGCACGCCCTCGTTCCGGACGATGACGGAGACGCCGTGGACGGGACCTCGATAGTGGTGCGGCTGGTGGCCCTTGTCCTGCAGCTCGCCCTGCAGCTGCATGCGAATCTTGACCGTCTCGAAGGGATGGGTCGCGGTGACGGCTCCGCATGCGGCGATGCCGCCAGCAATGAAGGCGCTTCGGGGACGGGCGAGTTAGCAAAGGCCGACTAGCTTCTACCAGCTGGAAGGGCGTGGACTGTACCCAAGAGTTGTAGACATGGTCGGGGCAGATCAGTTGCGGCCCGTCAATGGCTCGTCAAAGTGAGGTGCTTTGCGACGAATGCCGGTCTTCGCCGGGCCGGCACGGGAGGATTGCGTACGTTTGACGAGCGGCGACTGGATCTCGAGGGCTGGCAAGCTGGCGGCATCAACGATCTACAACAAACGAAATCGAAAAGAGCGAGTATTCGGCAAGTGGTATGGACAAGCAGGGTGCTGACGCCAGAGCAAGGATCCGAAATTCCGGTGCAGGCTCAGCCGAAACGCAAGCGGCTTACCTTGTCGGAAATTTTTATTCGTAGGAATCTCCGGCAACGGAGACCCGGACCTTACAAACTCACGACGACTAATCACCGGGAATTGTCATTGGCTTACGCAGTAATAACACCATACATCCACAGGGTGTTGCTCTTTATGCATACAGCCTTCGTTGTGCAAGGGGGCAATAAGTTATTGAATCCGTGATGTCCCTACCTACGCATGCTCGTCTACCTGCTTTTGGTGTTGTTTTCTTGCTGCTGTAGCAATTCAGGGCATCCAAAGCCAAGATCCCAGAGGTTATGCACAGACCAAGTTTTGATTGATAGGCTCTCCAGAACCCTGGAGCTTGGGGTCCCCACTAGGAGATCAGCGACATGCAGCAATTGTAACGCGGCACAAGCCCCACAGCATGTATCGCGAACTTGGAACTTCGTTCCCCCAAGTTTTGAAAGAAAAGTAGCACGAGTGTGTTGCACCAGTTCCACATTCCTGTGATAGTAGCAGGCGACCGAGCGGCACTTGCTTCCTCCGCCCTCGACATCAACGCGCTGCTCACGCAGAGCCGCTTCGCCCAACATGGCCTCCACCCCCATGGAGCTCGACGAGCCATTGCCAACGCCCGCGCCGTCGCTGAATATCACGCGCACCTTAGGAGGCACCGTTCCTAGCACGTCTCGGGTGAGCGACGTGATATCTACATTTCGGCCAACCAAGCTGTTCAGGCGCGACGATGTGAAGGAGGGCAAGCCGAGGCCCCATGTGCTGTCTATAGATTTTGACGATCCGGGCGACCTCTGCATGACGTCGGAGAGCGACGAGGCAATCCAGATCTACAGCGTGAAGGAAGGCCGACACGACAAGACCCTGCTCAGCAAGAAATATGGCGTCAAGTTGGCCAAGTTCACCCACGCCAGCTCAAGCATCATCTACGCAAGCACGAAGCAAAACGGTATGCCTACCTATGCATAGGAACGCCGCTGTTGTCCCCGATATTGACGCGCACTCTTAGATTCTATCCGATACCTCGCAACCCACGACAACTCTTTCATCCGGTATTTCGAGGGCCACGAAGCGGCCGTCACCAGCTTGGAGCTACACCCCGGAAGCGACAACTTCATCTCCTGCAGCCGCGATAACACCGTGAGGATGTGGGACCCCAACACGAAGCAATGGGTCGCCAAGATGTACCTGCGGTCACCGTACCTCGCCGCGTGGGATCCCTCGGGCACCGTCTTCGGCATAGCCTCGCCGGGCAGCGGGTCGATCCTGCTCTACGACTACCGGAACTACACCAAGGCGCCCTTCGCGACGTTTGACGTGGGCAGGGCGGCCGGCCAGGCCGCCGGGGAGAACCTGGCGTCGGGCTGGACGAAGCTCCAGTTCTCCAACGACGGCAAGTCCCTCCTGCTCGGCACGACGGGCGCCTGCCACTTCCTCCTGGACTCGATGGACGGCACCCTCAAGGCGCTCCTGAGGAAGCCCGAGGGCGGCACCGGGCGCGTCGGCGTCGGGGAGGGCGCGGCGGCGGCGCGCAATGGTGGCCCGGCCCCTGAGTCCCAGGCCATCGAGACCAGCGGCGACTGCTGCTTCTCCCCGGATGGCCGGTACGTGTTGAGCGGATCCAAGAAGGATGTCGTCGTGTGGGACACCTTGAGCCCCGTCAACGGCCACAAAGTCTTGGACCCCGCGCATGTCCTCGAGGAGAAGGGACAGGCGGCCATATTGGCGTTTAATCCTCGATACAATATGCTTGCCACGGCCGATCAGGAGCTCACATTCTGGCTCCCGGACCCGCATGCTTAAAGGGTGGAAGGGGTTTGCGGACGTAGCTTTTAGGGACAGAAAAGGGTGGAGGGAAGGGGGGCGTGGCTTGCTTGCACCGTGATACCCTGGTTTGCATATAGAGGCGCTTCTGTTAGGGACCTGAGATACAAAAAAAATTGCTATTCTGAGCTTGCTGTCTTTCGTTTTCCACTGGCACTGTTTCTACAGTATAGCTGTCTCATCATTGCGAGTGAGTGGCCCGATTGTGATAACTAAGACGTAGAGCAGGAGTGTGATTGTCTGGATACGACTAAGTCCATTGACACTTATTACTCTGGTATTCAATGTTCATATTAATAGATGTTGGCCCCAAGTGGAATTTAGGAGGCGGATGATCTCAGGTTGATGTGCTCATTAACAGGGGTTTTCAAGATGCAGAGGTAGCTCCCCTCGATTGAACCCCACCACAAATTCATTGCGAAAACACCAAAACGCCAACCTACATCGACGGACGGCCAACTCCTTCGCCTCCAGCCTCCAGCCTCAAAACCTCAAGACTTCCGCTAAATTCACCTGAATATAATTTCGGCTGCTGCCCGATTCTTGCACCAGATAAGACCCCCCTCAACCCTGCGCAGATCAGCGGTCAATCCGCCACTCCCAGACTCAACCCAGCCATGCCGACCTACGAGAAGAGCGAGGACTGGCTCCTCCAGTCGTCCCTCCTGCTCGAAGCCCGACCATCCACAGTACGCACCCCATCTCCTCCCCTCACCTCACCACCCTTCCCGCCGCGAACCCACAACCAGCTAACAGCCTTCCCCCCCCACCCACCAGACTCGCATAACAACCCGCTACTCCCTCCGCCCAGCCCGCCGCCTCGCCTCCAAGAAGAAGGCCGCCGAAGCAGCAGCAGCAGCAGCAGCATCATCATCATCACCCCCGCCCGACACCACCACCACCACCGCCGCCGCCGCCCAGACCAAACCCCCACGCGGCGAGCTAGTCCTCAAGACCTACGACCCCGTCTCTGGCGCGACGCTCAAGTACCGCACCAGCAAGGCGGCCGAGGTGTCGCGGCTGGTGCAGATGCTGGGCGGGCTGGGGAGGCGCATGGCCGCTGTGGCGCCGGGGCCCGGGGAGGATGCCGGGGCCGGGGCCGGGCTGCTCTCGGTGGACGAGCCCATGCCTGACGCGGGAAGCGGGGCCCAGACACCTGTTGTCGCGGGGGCGGCGGGGGCGAGTGGTCAGCAGCAGCAGCAGCAGCAGCAGGGAGGTGGCGGTGGGGCCAAGGGGAAGAAGAAGAAGGGGAAGAGGTGAGGTAGGGATGGGGTTCGTGGTTGTTGTCGCTGTCGTTGTTGGGAGACGTGATGGGCTTTTCCCCAGGGGAACGTGCAGATTGGCAAGTCCCTTCGCAGCTTAACAGGCGTCCGATAGGAAGCATAGAAGGGCGAATCACGCAGAGCAACAAGACACAAGCCTCAGTTGAATGTTTTGATCTGATTCCTTAATTCCAAGAATCTACTAGTACATGCCTCCATCCATGGTCGTTTTCCATCATCCATCAATAGCCGGGGTAACATGAGGTCCTGAACGCCGATACTCCGCCAAACATAAATGGCCCTGAAACCCCAGCAGTGAGAATCCAACAAAAGAAACACGACGGGAGGCAAGAGGTGGGCCTCTATCACCAGCGTCTATGGCCAACGCGTCAAATATACAAGGCCTGCTATTAAAATGCGGCAGCAGGCGACGGCATCTAGAAGTCCTCATCGAAGGCGAAGTCGCCGCCATTAGCCTCGCTCTCCCCGTTGTCTTCCGCCGGCTTCTTTGTGCTGGCCATGACACCGGCCTTCTGGTAGTCGGCGACACGCTTCTCGAAGAAGTTGGTCTTGCCGCCCAGGGAGATGTTCTCCATGAAGTCGAAGGGGTTTGACACCTTGTACACCTTCTCGTTGCCGAGAGCCAAGAGCAGACGGTCGGCAACGAACTCGATGTACTGCTTCATCAAGGTAGAGTTCATGCCCAGGAGAGCACAGGGCAGAGACTCGGTCAAGAACTCCTGCTCGAGGGAGACAGCATCGACGATGATCTCGCGGACCACCTCCTTGCTGGGACGGTGCTTGAGGTGCGAGAACAAGAGGCAGGCAAAGTCGGTGTGAAGACCCTCGTCACGAGAAATCAACTCGTTGGAGAAGGTGAGGCCGGGCATGAGACCACGCTTCTTGAGCCAGAAGATAGAGGCGAAGGCACCGCTGAAGAAGATGCCCTCGACAGCAGCAAAGGCGACAAGACGCTGAGCAAAGGTGGACTGCGTGTCAGAGATCCACCGCAGAGCCCAGTCGGCCTTCTTCCGGATGCAAGGGACTAGGATCGCGTTAGGCTTCATCGGTGGCAAACGGGATCAGACTGAGACAATAAAGAACTTACTCGTGTCAATGGCATTGAAGAGGTGGGTCCGCTGGGCGGGCTCCTTGATGTAGGTATCAATCAAGAGCGAGTATGTCTCAGAGTGGATGTTCTCCATCATGATCTGGAAACCATAAAAGCATCGGGCCTCGGGGATCTGGACCTCGCCGCTGAATCGCTCAACCAGGTTCTCGTTGACAATGCCATCAGACGCGGCAAAGAAGGCAAGGATGTGAGAGACAAAGAACTTCTCATCATCAGTGAGCCTGTTGTTCCAGTCGTGGAGATCCTTGGAGAGGTCGATCTCCTCGGCAGTCCAGAAGGAAGCCTCGTGCTTCTTGTACATCTGCCAGATCTATACCAAAAGTGTTAGAGTTGGCTCCAATCACTTTACGCGTGTGGAACAAGACGCGTCGCGTACCTCGTGATACTTGATAGGGAATAGGACGAATCGCTGAGGGTTCTCCTGCAGGAGAGGCTCATCATCGTTGTTGGCCTTGACAGTAGGAGCAACAACAGAATTGTCCTCCTCCTTCTTGACCATGTCGAGGCTTGTCTTCTCGGAGTGCTTGGCATCAATCTCTGCCTCGAGAGTGGCAAGGCTGTCATCAAAGGGCTTGTTCTCCTTGTCCGACGCGTTGAAGTCGAGCTTCTTGACTGGGGATTCCATCTTAAAGGACTCAATCGCAGATGCAGCCTAGTAGAAGACCCGTGGTTAGCATTTGACGCGTGATGACACGGTGTGGGATGGCAGCACGAGGGGATGACTGACCTGCTTGGAGGGAGTGATCTCAGTGGCCATTGTGGATTAGGATGGGGTTGGGTATGCTGAAGGATTGAAAGGATTGAGAACTGTGGTAATGACGCTGCAGAAACAAGTCTCGAGGATGTGATGCTGTTGAACACGAAGTTGGTCGGGTTGAAAGGTCTGGAGAGAGACGTGAAGGGAAGAGTCGGTTTAAATGGAAACTAAACACGCCGAAGTGGGTCCACAAGACGCGTCCTAACAATTGAAAAGTCGCGTCTTGTTTAAAGGTGGCAGGGAGAATGGTCTGGGCGTCCACTTCCATGTCCACTTCCATGTCAACACCCGCCTCCGACTTAGCTCCGGAAATACGGGAGAGGAGTCAGAAGTCACTTGGTATTAATCAGCTCTGAGGTATATTATGGATATTATCAGGCAGTCATCCCAGAATGTGTCTTGGACCCCTGCCTCTTGCCCTGGAAGCATTCCAGCATTTTGAATAGGATGCGCCAATCCATCAACCTATGGAGTGAAGACGTGCCTTGTATGCCTGTCCACCGAAGACACCCAAGCCCCGTAAGAAAGTCAATGTTCCTTGGCTTCACCGTCGATTGGACCAATTGGCCAATCTCTCACCCAATCCAGGGGAGGACCGTATGATGGAGCACTCCGACACCGCAGTGCTGCCGAGGAACCGCACCCAAGGCCAGTCATCTATTAGACTCGGTACGTCATACCGAGATCCAGACCTCCAGTCGGAGATTGAAGAAGGATCTGATAAGCAGAATGTAATTCTCTAGCCCGCCAACGCCAAGGATCCGCAATGCTAAATATATAACCCGCCCCTCTTCAACGATCGTATCACCGATTCCTCGATACAAGCAGTATCCGACTGCTCACAGTACCTAGAATCGCACCTCCTCACTGGCCCCCACTCTTAATGCCGACCTGCCGATTGAGAGCGACCATTACTGTACGCATCCAGCGCACTGAGTGCCCCATATTGGACAGCAGCCACAGCCAAGCCATCTTTCGTCCTCCCCGACTTCCCCCCACCATACGGCCCGCGACCTTCCGACCTTCCATTTATACGAGGACCCATGGCATCCACGCCGTACTGCAGAGCCGCCATGGCCATCTCTTCATCAGGACGCCTTATCTTACCGTTAGCATATTGAACACCACCGCGAGAACCAGGCAAAACACGAACTTTTGGGGTCGATTGCTCCGGTGCAGCTTGCGGTTTCCTGGGCATCATTTGTATTCCCAGATCCGGATCGCTCACGTGTCCCTTCTTCTCCGCCTCCGCCTTCTTCGTCAGGTACACTTCGAGGAGCCAGGCATTCCGGGTATTGGCTCGATAAACGGCGTCGGCAATGTCGCCAATGAAGGGGACCAGACCCAAGGCGAAGTCAAGCGCAATGTTGAAGTGCATCCTCAACTTGAGGGTAGCTGGTAGGCCGCCGTCTATTTTCGAGCATGTCTTAACCAGCATCAAGGCCAAGAAGGCATCGATAAAGTCGCCGATGCTAGAACGGGGGATTAGCCATGAGCAGCACCGAGCGCTCGGGTTGAGGGGAGTGCTTACACAGGTATGATGGCAATCACACTACTCCAACCAAATCGGATACCGCAACAGTTGAAGAGCGACATGTCAAGCCGATATGCTCGTCTGCGAACCTTCTTCAGAATGGTGGTGTCATGGGCCGAGAAGCCGGTTGGGATGGCTCGCTTCCTCTTCTTGACCTTCCCCGTAGGTTGTCCGTCTCTGCCATAGACGGGGACCTCTTCTTCATATGGGTTCTGATGGGGCGGTTAGGATGCAATGAGTCTATGCATGGTGGGTAGGATCATCGTACCTGAGAGTTGATGTTCCTCTCTGCCGTGTCTTTGAATGTTTTCTTCACCAAAACCTTGGTAATTAGGGAAGCCATGGCTGTTTAATTCAGTGATTTGTACCCAGAAGCGATGGTTGGTATGCTGCTATATGCCTGGGTTTTGAAGGATAGGAAAATGACAGTTGCACAATCCTCCAGAAAAGGGGGACCAAAGTCCTAATCTATCAGTTCTCTGTCGCTTTCTTTGGCTTACCGTCTTGGTCAAAGGTGGCGGCAGGCGTGTTGGGTTTGGGGGTTAATTGGCCGCGGTCGCCTGGCCTTGAGCGCCTTGTGAAACAAACGAAGAATAAATAGCTTGACTGGCAGTGAATCAGCGCCTAATCAGGAGATAGGGAACCAAAGGAATCACAGAAGTTACTGTAGAGGAGATGAATGTGAGCGAGTGCCGCCTACAAGGGAGTTTTTAAATAGACGATCCAACTGTTTGAGGCGAGAAGATCTAGGCCACGCAGTGGCCGATTTTCAAGTTTCATTGTTGACGATGAGCTCTCAGGGATCGGCCGTAATGACGTGGTGGCTTGGTCCCTGATTCTCCAATAAAAAGAGTTCATCACGTGAGGCCCTGATTGGGTCGCAGGCGGCCTCGATGGTTGCTACGATTTCTTGCTCAGCCACTTCCACGACAAAGTCTATCGCCACAGCTATGAACTGGGTTAGGGAGAATGGGAAAGAGACATTTCTCACTTTTGAGCCCACCTTTCGAGGAGTTTACTAGCCTCTCAGACTACCTTTGTTCCAGAGAGAGCGGGCCTGGAGAGACATGCTGCAGTGGGATACTCCAAGCGCTCAAACTTCAACCATCAATTGAGACTACAAAGAAATACCTTTTACCTAGAGAACCCAAGCTGTTTGTCGATGCCGTTGCTTAAGGCCTAACTAACTCAAATCAGGTAGTTCCATCTAAAAGACGAAATCTCTGTAGCCAAAGGAGTAACTACTAGGCTGCACAATGTATTCAAGAAATGTTTCTTGTAGCCTCGAAGTTGGATGAGGTCGTTTCCTTGCTCTGAATACTGAATACCTATGCACTCGCAATGGATGTGTAGGGTAGGGTAGGTACCTACGGAGTACTTCCAGCCACCTTGAGCTCCTCCCCGTGGCGGCAATCATTGGTTAAGCGCCGATGCAAGCCAAGGTGGCAAGTGCGCTGCTGGGGTGCCCAAGGAGCTCGGATCACTGATAGGTACGTACGTACCTAGGTACTCTCGACCCGTTTGATCGTGACACAATGGACTACTCTCTGTGTACTGTCTGGCATCGTACACTCACCCATCATACCCAACGCATCTGGATGTTCTTTGACATCTCGCTCTTCGCAACGAAATTCCCACATAGTTTTGCCCAGAGTTTTCTATTCAAGACCCAAACGACGCGTCTTTACTTCCTCCCTTTTCTCATCTCCCTAGTCTGATAGTGGTCTTTCCTGCCCGACTAGTCATCGACTTGCAACACAGCAAGGTTTTCAGAGGGAGGCGACGCGGCCCCCGAGCGTATTCACGTTGTCCTTGCTGGCCTCTGGGGTTACATCCGACTTCGTCCATCAGCCGGCTCCAACTATCTTTCTACAACTGCTGGGGATATGCCTGCCGGGCCTGATCAAAATGGCAGAAAAGAAGATGCAGCTCGAGGACTGTGAGTCGCGTCGGGTTGCGACTAGTCTTTACTATTACAATAATGCTAACTTGCCCTCCTTCCAGGGTTGGACGACCTCTGTGTCCGCTTCATCATCAACCTCCCTCAGGAGGACCTCTCGTCCGTTGCTCGTATATGTTTTCAAGTTGAAGAAGCGCAATGGTTCTACGAAGACTTCATTAGACCACTTGACCCCACCCTACCGTCCATGTCCCTTCGAACCTTCTGCCTGCGAATTTTCCAGCATTGCCCGCTCTTGGCATCCTTCTCCGTCGAGAACCATATGAGGGCCTTCGAGGAATTCCTGCAGTATAAGACTAGAGTTCCAGTGCGCGGCGCCATCTTGCTCAACGAGGCTATGGATTCGACCGTGCTGGTCAAGGGCTGGAAGAAGGGGGCCAATTGGAGTTTCCCGAGAGGGAAGATCAACAAAGACGAGGATGACCTCGATTGCGCCATTCGAGAAGTCTATGAGGAAACCGGCTTTGACATTCGCGAGGCCGGCCTGGTCCCTAAGAATGACGAGATCAAGTACATTGAGATCTCGATGCGAGAGCAGCAAATTCGCCTCTACGTCTTCCGGGATGTTCCCATGGAGACCAACTTCCACCCGAGGACGAGGAAGGAAATTAGCAAGATCCAATGGTACAAGCTATCCGAGCTTCCGGCATTCCGGAAGAAAGGGAATCAGCAGCCAGATGATGCAGCGGCCGCATCGAACGCCAATAAATTCTATATGGTTGCTCCGTTTCTCGTCCCTCTGAAGAAGTGGGTGATGCAGCAGAAGAAAAGAGACGTTGGTAGAGCTACCAGCAATCATCATCTTGCAACGCATGCGATCCAGGAAGAACCTGCTACGGAAGATGACATTTCGACCCAGACCGAACCAACCAACGGGCCCCCGACGGCCACGGCTGCGGTTAATAATCTTGAGAGCGCAACTCGTGAGCTCCAACGGCTTCTGAAGGTGCAACCGCCAACCCAAGGCATTCAGCTCAGCCCATCTGGGTCTGGAGCCGGAAACAGTGGCAAGGGCGAGGCCCTGATGGCAATATTGCAGAGCAAGGGTTCTTCTACCCAACATCCTCCAGGTCCCCCTCTTCAGCCTCCGCCGATTATGGGTAACAACCAAATCCCGCCTTTACCGTTTGGGTTCGCCTACAACAATCCGCCTCAAGCACATCATCACCATCCCCCTCAGATCTTTCCTCCGAATAGCTATCAACTGCCCCCGAATTTCTCCATTTCTTCAAATATGAATCAGAATATCCCCGCGGCGTACTATAACCAAGTCCGAGCTCCTGGCCAGATGCCACCTCAACATCATGGCCACGTCCGGAATGTGTCGAACATGGGCTCAGGTTATCAGCGTGGCCTAGAGCCTGTCCTTCTCCACCCACAACCTCTCCCACCACAGGTTCAGCAGTCGCGCCTCACCAGAAGCATCCTTGCGACTCCAAATTTACCAGAAACCACCGGGGGCGTTAAAGTAGACGGCAGCTATTCTTCCTTCAATAGCCAGCCTCGCATCCCTCAAGGTCCGCCTCAATCGCAACAGACGACCACTCATGTGGCGCCGCCTCAGATGACAAGCCACAGCATGTCGCTGCTGAATGCTTTGAAGAGCGGCGACCGGGCGGTGGAGCGGAAACCGGCACCAGCTGGTCCTTCCCAGGGAGCAAATGACAATCCGCAAACCAATTTTCAGCCGGCTCAGTGGTCCAACTTTCCACCCTCGCAAGGGCAGCAGCCCGCAGGGCCTTTGGTATTTCCAAACCCGACGCAACCTTTGCAACCCTTGCAGAATGGTGCCGCTCAGTCCATGGCTTCTCAGACTGCATCTACTTTCTCGGCCAAACCTCACCCGCCTACGGATAAGCACCGTTCAGCCCTTCTCGACATGTTCAAAAAACAGGCGCCACCCTCGCCAACAAGTAGTGAAGCTACTGTCAGGCCGAACAAAGCACAACCCGAACTCTCGACACGTGCCAGAGAGGAAGCTACGAGATCCTTGAAGTCCCAGCCACCTGCGGAGGCCAACGTGGCTGCCACACAGGCGAATGGTCGCCCGGTAGTGATGAATCCCGAGCTGAATCTTCCTTATCGGGCATTCCAGATCCTAAGTCGGCCTGTGCAGCGAGAGAACCAGCCCAGCCAGAAGCCAGAAGCCCTTGGCAGGCCTGGCGGGGCTACCTCCAATCCAAAGGAGGCCAAGCACATGATTAGCCCGAACATGCCGTCGCCTAAGACTTCTGCTCGACCTAATCCTCGCACAGAGGCTGCTGAGAGCAACGGGCTTGCTCGTAAATCATCTCTCCCGCAGCCCGCAAACACATCACACGGTCACCCGCAATACCAGGGCTCATCCATTTCGCATGGGGCGCCTGTGTTCCCTGCAGCCGGCATGCTCCCGCGTCGCCAAGATGGAAATCCAGAACAGAAGCAAAAGCTACTCTCGCTATTTGGCAAGCCTCAGCCATCCCCCTCCTCGCTAGCTGGCGAAGGCAAGGGCAAAGAAGTGAGTATGCCGGAGCAAGCTACATCTGGTACACCGAGGTCCCTTATCGCCTCTCTCGCGTCGGCTGGTGGCGATGGTGCCCAGGGGAGTGCGGCCCAGTCGCGGAGAAGCAGCCAGACCCCCATCTCGCCTGCCGACCGTGATTTCTTGCTAGGCTTCCTGCAGTCGGTCACTAGCAAGACGCATTAGAACGGGTTCGTGGGGGACTTCGACGCGCGTTTTGCCAGGGCCCGGCACTATGGGCGAAGATGGAGTTGGAGATTCGGCTAGGAGTCCGGGCGGCTGGCTCCATGGTTGCTGGGTCGATGCGGGCTATTTTCGGCGGTGGAGCTAGGAAACAAGTTCATGAACTGGTTGGTGACTTGCGTAGGAGCGCTGACTGAAGCATTGCGCTGGAGTTTCTCTGGGCTACGCGGTTGCAACGGTTTCCACCGTGGCGATGTCCGAGGATGCCGGGCTGGGATGGTCATATTTATCGGAGTTTTAATCAAATGCGTTGCCAATCTAACTTGCGTGAATGATATCTTGCGATGGTGACAACATCGAGCAGCTGAGGCTACGAAGCTTTTCATGTCTGTCTGGAAGTTTTTCCCACCCCGATGCCTGAATCAAAATGTTGACCTGGCTCTGTCAGGTCCTGCTTACTTTTCCCTCTCCTCGCCTTGCAGTTCGCAGACAAACGAGGGGAGCCGAAAAAGGCTCACGATAAGTCTCCAAGAGTTTTCCTGCCTAGCCAGACCGAGGGGCCCATGAAACAATGACGGCCAAGGGTTCATCAAGAGCCCCTTAAATGCATGCTTCCGATCGAACACCTTCGACTACGTATAGAGCTCGAAGGCATGACTGCCAGGTCTGCAAGCTCGGGGGATAGCCCTGAAGAAGTCGTTAGGTAGGTTCACCTTAGGGAGTCGGTTGTCAATACCTCCATCTAATATGCTATAAGGATCGACATGATATCCACCAACGTCATGTCGAAGTTGCTGGATACCTATCCTCTCGGTTTTTATGCCGAACAGTAACGGCAGGAGCCGAGGCTTGACCCAAGCAACTCGCAACACATGTTCAACGGATGGTATTGTGCTGCAGGACGACCATCCACACCTCGCCGAAGCCCTCGTTCAACATGCTTACATCAATGACGACCTCTCACCAGGGCGTGATCGATTCGGCCGATGCCTTCCCGGGGCAGCCGCGGGGGAAACCAACCGCCGCCTCCTCAGAGTCGCTGCTGCCCTGGCCCAGGCCCGTCCGTCCGTCTCGGCGCCGTGCTCCGTCACCTGCGTTTGAGACACATTGAACCTGGACCCGAGATCACTTCCCCCAGATGGCAGTTGGTTGGAGGCGTCGGATGATGACATGCCTGACGTGCCTGAGTGTAAACCGGCAAGTGTGATCGGATAAAATGATGGACCTGGGGTTAAATACTGTGCAGTACAGATCTACACAGATCGAGATCGGGGGGTCCCAGAGGTTGACTCCCCGGACAGTATGTGGCACGTGCATCTTGCCAAGCCACTAAGAAACCTGGTCCCAAGCCGTTGGGACGCTGTGGGGTAAATTGGGGAAGCGGGGAAGTCGCTCCACTACGAACGACGTCAGCCATTGATGGCCCGTTGACTCGAGGATCTGGAGCCATATATTCTGCGTTTTCGGTGAGGGGTGTTTCGAATAGATGGGCAATATATCCTCGGGGCTCTGTCAAAGGCTTCGCTATGCTTTCTTACGCGAATCACATGCTCAAGGGACATCATACGACATGCGGGCAAAGTGAAGCAAGGAGACTGGGAGATGCATTCCTCTCGCAGTAATCTAGCTCCCACTGCCTAACCGGCAGACCCCATGATCGTCAAGAACGAGAGGCAAATTGGAAGAAGGAAAAAAACGAAGCCATACACTAATGGCAGGTAGCCATGGGGTATCCCTAACGCCGACAGGCAAGCAGATTGCGAAAAGTTACCAGCCGTGATGAGAAAAGCATAACTCACTCCACCGATGATCCTTATGCAGCTAAATAGTCGGTGGCCCAGCAAGCAAAATAAAGAGGAAAAGCAATCCCAAAGCATATGCATAGGCATTATAGTGAAAAAAACCAGTTCAGGGAGTGCCGCTACGCTGCGATCCCAACCGATTTCTTAGACTGGAAGGTCGTAGAGATCTCGTCCTCCTCTTCGTCGCCGAGGTCGAGGAGATGGAAACGGTTGGCCATCGAGGTCGAGTTCTTCTTTGTGGGAGGAGCTTCCTTCCGCGGCTTGAACTGTGGGACTTTCTCGTAGGGCTGCGCACACTCATCCACATCCCACTCGATCTTTGCATTCTTGTATTTCCTGTAGTTACGTTAGAAATGGCCGTAGAACCGATATGTGGGGGGGTCTCTGCTCACGCCCGGCTCATCATGCACATCCGCGCGAACACGGCGTTATGAACCGAGTTGGTTTTGATGTGGCAGCTACCAGCAGCAAAATCAATCTTGACGACAACCAGATTGTGGATGTGCTCCAGGTCGTCCCGAATGCTCTCCTCGGTATGCCTCGAATCGATTTGCCGGATGACTAGGTTGCGGGTCGCACCACCGCCAATCTTGGCCGCCACATGGCCCGGCAAGATGAACTGTCGATCATGCCACCTTAAGTCGACCTGTGGACCAGTTAGTCGCACGGTTGAATTCATCCAAGGCCGCCAGAAGATGATCTTACCCGCTTATTCTTGATGTACAAGTCATGCTTACGGGCGTGATCGAAAAAGGCCCTTGCATCCGCAGCGTTCAAGAAGGACACGGTCGCAGAACGCTCGTGGGACCGCATGAAAATATCGAGCAGAAGACCGCCTCGGACAGCGCCAGTAATGTCTCCATGAGTGGTGCCGTCAGCGAGATTCACCAGTTGGATGGTTCTGGTGCACTGGCGGTCGAAATACGGCCGTTTGTTCTGCTGTTCGGCAAAGTTTGGTACCCTTGAGCCATCTGGTGGAGTATCTCCATCACAAGAGACATCGTCCGGCTCAGGACTGGCGTTTGCCCAAGCAGAATGCTCGTGGTTTCGATTACCACCACCATGGCCGCCGAAGCTGGCGTAACCGTCACCATTGGCGTTGGCAAAGCCATTTCGGTGGGTCTGTTCCCGCGCCAGACTGGATTGTGGATCAGGACTTCTGAGACGAGCCCCGCCCTCTTGGTCGGCTTGGGTGTCCGCAGTGGCTGGCAGGGTGTTGCCACCTTGGATTGCTGCATCGTCCTGACTGAGGAGCTTTGCAGCGTCAGCAGCGTCAGCGGCTATGCCTCAAACGCCGGCTGGGTCTATCGGCACGTACATCAACCACTTCCTCTCCAACACCGCCACGGAGGAGGTTCCTTCTCAGGTTTTCTGTGTCTCATATCAGCCTGAGACATTCCGTGCTAGACGCAGATATGCCGGCTCGGTTCAAGTTACGGACCATATTTCCCAGCTATCGACCTTAGACGGTCGAGTTCAGCCTGGGAGATGGGCACAGTGCTGGCGGACTGGCCGTTGATGTTGGAAGAGTCGGCATTCTAGAGCGATAGATAAGAGGTTAGCATATGGGGTTGGGGCGAATTAGTTAGGTAGGTAGTTAGTGCTATTGATGGTTGACCTACTAGATGGGATCTGTAATGGAAGACAGGAGAGTGTGTCTGTCAGCTTTGTCCTGCACCGAGGGACAGAAACCCAATGGAATGTTGGGGTCGTACCGTCGGACAGGGGTCTCAAAATAGACCTGATCAATGGTCACTGAACCTGCGCTAACTGACGCCATCGTTGGGGATAGTCCGCACGAGGGAAATCGGAGAGGGACTGAATGGAATGGTGAACGGGAGAGGAGCGAGGCTGGACCTGCCCTCTCTCCGATATCAGATAACCTACTGTTGATAAGCTCACCCCGTGGTCGTTGGAGGTGCCAGCTGCTAGGCCGCCTGCCCGCCTATCAAGGTGCCCTTTCTCACGTGCTGTGAGCCCGTTCTGGTGTGATGGAGCAACGGGGCAGCCCTGTCGATGTGATTTTAGCGCCGTTTAGGCCACTCCAATCCACCCCCTAAAAATCTAGCCAATCTCCCATTGTCCTTGACGCCAACAGCAAACGAAACCACTCACCAACTAATAAAACAAATCATGCCAACAACCACCTGCCACGGTGGTTGGATGCCTTCTGCGGATTGGCATGAGCTAATTCGCGCACCTTCTACCTAAATTGGCCAAGATCATCATCATGTCCAGAGGCTCTTGGCTTCCTCATGGTATATATTTCCATTACCAAGTTGACGAGAGAGAGGAAGAGCGTGTACAACTTCCGCCCATTCTCCCGCTAGGGTACCATAAGCACACCTCGAACTTGAGGACTACGTCTTGCTACTTATTATGGTGTACAAGTCCTTGGTCGAGAATAGCTGTGAATTCAAGATAAAGCGGACATATACTTTTGAGAGCCGCGCTCGCCGCGGATTATCGGGGTTTTCTTCATTTGGTTAACTTCTCGATTTCGTTTCAGTGGATAGTCAGAGCCAGAAGAGTTTGTTTCGAGCGGCGGCGGCGGCAGAGCCAACGGCATTAATTGTTAAAAGAAGCTCCGGCGGCCGATGTGCTTGTGCTCCGCGTTCGGCGCGGGGGGTACGGTGAGTATCGGAGCAATAACGGAGCAATCTCCTTTCCCGGGCGGGGGCGTTGGTGGTGGGCAGGCTTCGGGTTGAGGCGGACCGGAATGACGAAGCCCGCTCATCCGTCCCACCTCGATCTCATTTTTACGCCCTTTTCCGGCTAGTATTCGCTGTGCGGTCTATCCGCAATCATGCCACGACTCTTGTCCATGCGGCGTGCCGGACCGCTGGAACTAGCGAGTGCTTCCTAATTTCGGCTATCGCCCGATCGGCGTCGGCCTCTAGTCACACGAGACGGACAAACGCTTGTCGGGGTCAGCGCCTACAGCAGGCAGTTTTGGTCGCGGGCCTGAGCATCAACCTCCCGATGTTGAAATGGACAATATAAGGTATGGCTGTGCGTATATCGGGGAGCAAGGTTTTGGGACCTGAACTTTAACATACTCCGACGACGAAATCTTCAGGGATAATGCCTGCAGGTCCTTGACGGCTGCCCTGGCGCATTCAAGATCGAAGGCAGAAAAGTATGAGCTCCGATGTGCTGAAAGCATCTACCCCTCGGTTGGTCGCAGCCCATCGGACGGCTGACATGTGATTGGTGGCACGGACTGCAGAAGGTTAAGATAATTCGAGGAAGTAAGTACTTAGGAAGAGAAAAACCAAGTAAAGACGATGACGAGAAGGTTCAGGGAACAACGATTGGGAGGGACTGACTTGGGGGAAGGAATAGGGACAGTGCGATAGCATGGATAACTGCGTATGCCATTCATGCCATGCAAGTTTCGTCTCGACATCAGACACGCGAGAAAGCGCCACGATGCATGTGCAACCTGGGCCAAAATCCCGGGCATAGGTAACTCTTGCAGCGGATAAACGTGGATCGGCAGCTGCCCGGTCAAATAAACGCAAATCAGCAGTACAAGACCGGGGAAGTTCTTGGGAGTATCAAAAGTCAATGTTTACCTATCTAGCCGTTGCTACTTGAGTGCAAGAATGTGGTGGCATGATGAATTTCAATCGCAGGCAGCTCCAAAGCCCAGCCAGACTAGGTCCCTACTACGGGGAGCGGTGGTGTGTATTTTTAGCCAGTACTCAGCCCGGACCGCGTTCGTGCTTCGTCTCACCCAATGGTTGTCAGCATTCCGTCTCGGATACGAGAGAATTTACGGGCTTTAACTGGGCCAATACGAATGCAAACGGGTGATCACCAGGGGCGACCCAGGTCCGTAGGTACTAGCCATCCCACCACAACACAAGCACCTCAATTTGTAGGCTATTGCGCTAAACCTGTTTCTCTCGCATCTGCAATTGGCTCAACTTTCCTGATGCCCATCCACGCTTGGCCTCCACTCCTTTTTGCACAACATCCTTGCACTCTTTCAACTTCGTTGAGCCTGTCGTTCTGACTTCTGATTTCTGACGTCTGAACTCCTGCTCTTTGCTACGGCAATACACGCTCGCTTTATTTTTTTGCTTCTGACGCTCGCTAGTCTTTTCCCTTCTCGCTCCGATCGCGACCGTTGTTGACGACAGACTTTCCTCCGCCTAAGAGCCAATAGGGGGGGGTTACGATATTTCGGACGTCGCACCACTTTTTCACCAACAACTCACATACCCCACGAGAAAACTCGCCGCAGACGGGAAACCCTCTCCGTCCCGACTGTTGGCCTATATTCTTATCTTAGTCCGAGCTACCGAGCGGTGGGCTCAAATTCTCTCCCCGGCTTCTGCTCGGCTCAACCTCCACCTCGTCCGACTGCCTTCCAGGAGGCTCCTCCCGTTAGAACACCATGAAAGCCACACGATATGTCGGCCACTTGGCGGTCATTGCTGTGTCACTATCGCCCTTGGTTTCAGCGTGGCCATCATGGCCGAGATGGCTCCCAGAGATGGACTCCCTGGTCGTACGGGCAGACGAGACATGTGAGTTACAAGTTACAGACCCGCGGCTGATGGCTCGATGACATGACAAGGGAACAAAACTAACTGGTTGTCGTAGCATCAACGGACGAGAAACCAACCCCTACCTCGACTACGACAACTAACGGCAAGCCCGGCCCTCCGTTGACGACAACCAACCTAAACACGGGGGGCCGCCCCAAGGCCACGGGTACCGGCGACGGATCGAAGAACGGCACGTCAACAAGCCCTCCGAAGCACACTATGTACAACGAACAGGACCCTGCCGGCTCGGTCGTGATGGTCACGCCGGCCATCACCATGGGCTCCCAGCTGTACAAGATCAAGGACTACGTGACCTTCGGGTGGAACTACACGAACCTGCAGGGCACACCGACGGCCATCGACGTGCTCGCCGCCTGCTCCAAGGCATCCAACACGTGGACGCTGACCCAGAACATGACGTTCGAGACGGCCGGCTCCTTCACCTGGGACACGGGCGCCTACCAGGCCACGGCCGTGCAGTCGCCGCTCCTGACTGAGGAGTACACACTGATCATCTACGACGCCGAGAGCAGCGTCAGCGCCACCGCCGAGGCCGGCTACCTGGCCCCCTTCACGGGCTTCAAGTTCGGCCTGTACCTGCCCAAGCCCTACCAGCCGCTCGGCGAGTGGAAGTGCTCCACCTGCAGCGCCGGCATCTCGGCCACCGACAGGCGTGCACTGGGTGCCGCCCTCGCCATGAGCGTCCTGACCGTCCTCAGCTTCACCTGGTTCGTCACCGGATTGGGCGTGCTCGTATGAGGCTGAACCGCTGTTGGGTTGGGAGGCATGACGAATCTCGTGCTGTTTTGTTTTTTTACGTTCTCGTAATGCTTCTAGACTGTTCCTCTCAGCCACGTATTCCTGGTTTCGGGTCCTTTCCGTTTCATTCTAATTTCGGGGTCGCGGGTGGTGGATAATACTCTTGACTGAACAAGGGCTTGCGTAATTCTTTGTTGGAGGCGGCGTTGGGATGTACTGTCATTTATCGGGGACATGAGCATTTGGTGTTACAAAATACGGCGAGATCCAGACCCTGTTTTTGTTCGGGGTTTGATTACCTACAGACAGATTTGCAGCGTAATGAGGGCGTGGTAGTTAGTTGTAGCTCGACACTTTACGAATGCAGACAACCTTCTTGGTTACCCACAAAACCGTAGTCTATTGCAAGAATGGCCTTTTGCACGGATGGGATGGCCTTGGCGGGAACGACACAAGGTATACAAGATTCTGGCTACACCATCCTCAGCGAGAAGCCGCCGCCCCTCTCCTCCTTCTCCCGCCCCGAGAAGATGCCGCTGAAGTCGACGGCCCCCAGCTCGACGGCCTGCCCCCTGGCCGGGGCGTTGGGCGTGTCCCTGCGCCTCCGCCTCTCCTGCCCGGCCTTGCTGGGGAAGGTGGGGAACATGGCCTCCTGCTTGGGCTTCGGGTCCTGCCTGAAGTACTCGTGCGCCAGCACCTCCCTCGCGCCGAGCCTCCTCGCCGGGTCCAGGGCAAGCAGACCGTTGAGCAGGGCCACGCCGGCGGTGGTCAGGAGCGGGAACTTTGCCCTGACGACGGAGCCGGCGGACAGGGGGTTCTTTGTGGGCAGGCGCAGCGAGCGGGCGTTGGGCAGGCGGCGGAAGGCGGGCCACGACTCGTCGGTCGGGATGCCGCAGAGCTCGAAGATGCGCGACAGCTCGTCCACCTCGTTCTTGCCCTGCAGCAGCGGCTCGCGCGTCAGCAGCTCGCCGAAGATGCACCCGACGCTCCACATGTCGACTGCCCGGCCGTACGTCGTCGCCCCCAGCAGCAGCTCCGGCGCGCGGTACCACAGCGTCACCACCAGCTGGGTGAGCTTCGGAGGCGGGTCGCCGACGTATCGCGCCATGCCGAAGTCGGCGATCTTGAGCTGCCCGCGGTTGTTTAGAAGCAGGTTCGATGTCTTGAGGTCCCGGTGCAGGATCCAGTGGTCGTGTAGGTACGCCACCCCCGAGACGAGCTGGAGCAGGAGGGTCTTGACCTCGGACGCGAGGAACGGCTCGGGCATGTCCTCCAAGATGCTCTTGAGGTCGTGCTCGACAAACTCAAGAACGAGGAAGATACTGTAGAAGGGGGGGGTGGGCCGGTTAGCTACCGAAGGACTTTCCGAGGAGGAATACCAGTGCAGTCGTCTTACTTTTCAATCTTGCTCGTGTCCTCTCCCACGACCACCTCCCGCAGCTTGACCACGTTTCGGTGATCGCAGTCCTTCAATATCTGTATCTCCCGCAGGCCCGTCACCGGCAGTCCGCCGCGATCCTTGGGGTCGATCTTGAGCCTCTTCAGCGCGACGACGCGCCCCGTGGCGAGCTCCTTGGCCCGCGCGACCCAGCCGTACGCGCCCTCCTCGATGTCGTTCAACTTATCGTACTGCTCCACGCTGCGGCACTTGCCGAACCCGCCGCCGTCGAACCGCAGCAGCCCCGAGCCGCTCTCCGCAGAGGGCACGCTCGGCCCTTCGTTGCCTCGCGCGTCGCGTTCTTGTGAGAGCCGTCGTCGCTTCGCGGGGGGCCCGATGCCGTCGTCTTGTCCTGGCCCCTCCTGCGTTGTGGTCTGCCTCGCAGCTGCAGCTTCCGCTTCGCGGGCAGCCTTCTCAGCCTCGAGTTTTCGGGCCTTTTCCGCCTTGAGCCGCCTCTTCTCTTCCTTCTCTTTCTTCCGTTGTGCTTCTAGCGCCGCATCTTCCTCGGTCTCTGCCCACCGTGACCCGGGCTTGCTCGCCATGTTAACGCAAACCCTGGTGGGCAATCGCCGTTGTCTCCAAGGTAGGTGGGGGGGATATCGTCGGTCGGCTTCAATTCAGTTCGTCTAAGGCCCTGATTTCCGGGTCTCTTTCTGTTGTGAAACGCGGGTGTCTGTTTGGCTGACTGAGGTGGGCAGGGCGGCGGGATGTGGGTTGGATGTGGTTTGCCATGCTTGGTTCCTCAGGTCTTTAAAAATTTCCTGGGGTAGCTCCCAGGCTTGCTCGTCAAGCTTCCCCACCAATAGCACCTACCCTCTTTCCAACCCGTTCTTCTCCCGTCCTTATCTTGCCCTTGACAATGGAGTCACCCAGACCGCAGATATCTATCAAGTAACATTTGTGCTTCTTGAAGAGGTCGATATGAGGTCCATCGCGCTCCGGGCAGCTCGGGGCTGCCTTCGTGGCCAGTTCACGCCAAGCTTGCCCTGCAGGAGAGCTGCCCAGGGCTCGAGGAGCTTATCAGTAACCGCTGCAAGGAGGGACGAAGAAAGGCAGTGGTCCACTCCACTGGCGAAACAGCTTGCCGAAGCCATCTCAGTATGTGAAGGCGACCCGTCCGTACCGCTGCGTAATCGCATACTAAATATGAGTCCCAGGCAACCGGGCCAGTGCCGCTGGCGAGCTATATGCGCATGTGTTTGACTGCTGATGTAGGCGGCTACTACACTGGTGCCATTGAGGAGGGCCGAGATCAGTTTGGTGTGAAGGGCGATTTCGTCACCTCTCCCGAGATCTCACAGGTGTTTGGAGAGCTCATTGGTGTCTGGTTTGTGGCCGAGTGGCTAGCCCAAGGACGCCAGAAGCAAGGCGTTGAGCTCATCGAGATTGGCCCTGGTCGGGGCACTCTCATGGCCGACATGCTGCGTGTTGGTGCACCCCCGTTCCACCTCACATTCTCCTCACCATCTCGAGACGATCTTATTAACAAGTGCTCTCCAGACCATCCGTCACTTCAAGGACATGTCTCAGAGCATCGATGCCATCTACATGGTAGAGGCGAGTCCCACGCTCCGGATGGCTCAGAAGAACCTTCTTTGTGGCGAGGATGCACCAATGACCGAGTCCAAGGTTGGCTATCACAGCATATGCAAATCGACATCGTTGCCGATTGTGTGGACTGAGACTATCAAGTCCATTCCCATCGGTAACCCCTCCAGACCCTACTCTACATGACCCCCTGAGCCAGGCTGACCCCCCTTACACTAAACTAGGCCCAGAAAAGATGCCCTTCATCGTCGCCCACGAGTTCTTCGACGCCCTTCCCATCCACGTCTTCCAGTGCGTGGACGAGCCGGCCACTCAGAAGTCGCCAGCGGCCTCGACCGACAGGTCTTCGCCGTCGTCCAAGACCAGCCAACCCACCCTCCAGTGGCGGGAGATGCTGGTATCACCCACTCCGCCGGGATCCACCCACTCCAGCCTCGGCACCCCGCCCTCCCAGTCGCGCTCGACTCCCCCGCCAGACTTCCAGCTCACCCTAGCCCGAACCCCGACCCGCCACAGCCTGTACCTCCCCGAGTCCTCGCCGCGGTACCGCGCCATCCGCTCGCGCACCGGCCCGGGCGCCCTCATCGAGATCTGCCCCGACGCGTCCCTATACGCGGCCGACCTCGCCGCGCGCGTCGGCGGCTCGGCCGCGCACCCCAAGCCCCGGCCCTCGGGCGCGGCCCTCGTCCTCGACTACGGGCCCGGCGACGGCTCCGTGCCCGTCAACTCGCTGCGCGGCATCCGCCGCCACGAGCGCGTCAGCCCCTTCGCCGAGCCGGGCCTCGCCGACCTCAGCGCCGACGTCGACTTCGCCGCCGTCGCCGAGTCCGCGCTGCGCTCCTCCGCCGCCGTCGAGGTCCACGGCCCCGTCGACCAGGCCGACTTCCTCGGCGCCATGGGCGGGCGCGAGAGGGCCGAAGCGCTGGCCCGCGCGGCGCGGGGGCGCGGCGCCGCCGACGCCGAAGTGGCCGACGTTGAGAGGGCGTGGAAGAGGCTCGTCGATCGCGGGCCCGGGGGCATGGGGAGGCTGTACAAGGCATTGGCCATCGTGCCGGAGAACGGGGGGAGGAGGCGGCCGGTTGGCTTTGGCGGCGATGTCGAGGCTTAGATAGTAGGATCTATCTCTCCGTGTATTTAGGTAATCCATCCGTCGTTGAGGTGGACAGGGGACAGGGAACCTTGTGTGTTTCTCTAGGAACGTACGTTCATGAGGGGGAGCTAGCTACTGTATGATAAAACGTCTCATTCACATAACACAATTAGCTTCGGTTGAGAAAACTCCTCACGGACACCTATACGATGGTCCCCAGACGTCGTATTGAAAAAATACCTGCCCTTTATTGAAAACGGGAACTCGGGATATCACGGGGGACGGAACGCGACCATGATCATGATGCTGCAGCCATTTTGTTCCAAACAACGCCGTAGAGAGAGAGAAAAGTCTATAATACACACGATATTACCTTGATGGCCGCGAAACCCGCGCCCCTTCCTTCCCCGTCCTTCCCTCTCCACACTTGCATTCTCGTTGCCTTGCCCTACTTCCGCCCACCTTTGACCAGGTTCGTTTCCTCGCCGCTCCCCTCATCGTCCGAGAACTTGTCGCCGTCCTCGCCGACGGCAAAGATGGTCTCCCCATCGAGGGAGTCGCGCGGCGGACTCCGCTGCCGAGGCTCCGACTGCGAGGCCTGCCGATGCTGGGACGGCGGGAGACCCGAGGGAGCCTCGTACCGAGCGCCGGCGCCGGCGCCCTGGCCGCCATCGCCGCCGTTCGCGGGCTTGCTGCCGATGCGGGCCTCCTCGTCGTCTTCCGAGTCGTCGTCCGGCGCGCCGATGTCCAGGTTCGCAATCTCAAAGGTGCCGTCATCCTCCTGGGCGATCTCGTCGCTCATGGCGAAGCGCCTGTTGTTGGCCGTCGGCCGCCAGACGTAGGCGACGAAGGCGACGTCGGCGAAGTAGACGAGGTTGAGCCAGCCGTCGAGGATGAACCACCTGCTCTTCCAGTGGAAGGGCACGTAATCCGGGTCGCTCGCGGACGCGAATGAGAAGGAGTTGAAGAAGAAGAAGGCAAAGATCACCATGATGGAGAGCAGGATGCACCACCAGAGCTTGCTATACATGGCCTCCTTGGAATGCTGCTTCCGCTCCCGAAGATCCTTCAGCGTGAAGTTCAGCGAGTTCAACGTCCAGACGTAGAAGGCTGTCAGAGTACCCGCAAGAGGCAGCACAATAAGAAGGACGAAGGGTCCTAGAAGCGTGTCAGCATCCGTGCCCGTCGTTCTGGTCTTCTGTCGAGTCTTACCTGCACTATCTGGCGTGACGAGCAAGCTTGTGACGGCATATACAATGCCAAAGACGAAGTGAGCAATAGCCAGCCAACGAACCCAGATCATGGTCCTGCCTAGGGTCGGTTTCACGACGCCGTAGCCCATGCACACGATGAGGAGCAGGAAGAACGAGAACGAGTTCCTCGCGGCGTTCAGAACAGCGACGACGACAAGCAGAACTTTCGAGCCCACGGTCGAACCATTCCTGTTAAGGTAATCTAAACAAAATGTCAAAGCAAGTCCCATAGATATTGCATTTTAAGGGGCTTACCGTAGAAGCCCCAGGTCATCAACATCTCAACGACCAGGAAAATGAGGATTGCCGTGATGTAGTTTTGCACAGCCACTAGGGACGAGTCAGTGACTGAAGTGGCTTGGAAGGTTGATAATGGGGCACAAACAGATATCTGAGCGATGCTGGAAGTATAGGAAGGCCCAGAACCTGCATTGAAGTCAGCCACTCTTATTCAGGTAACGGCATAGGATCCCCTATGGACGGCACATCGACGGCACTTACACAGAGATTAGCGCATAGAGGATTGTTATTCCTCCGTAGAACGGCAGCTTCGGTATCTGGGTCGCGGGCAGCTCGCCATATGCGTTTCGGAACTCGACCAGGACCTCATATTTATCCGCCGAGTATCTATCCGTCAAGACGCAGTAGTATCCAGTCTTGGTGATGGGATAGTTGATGGGCTGGGAGTCTTTGAGGTGAATTGCCTTGCTGACGATCACGGTGTTGGACAGCTCGGTCGCATTAGGAGCCAGGAGGTACCGGCCAATATCGGTCTCGTTGCAGTATCCGGCTTCGACGTACTTGGGCTCGCAGATGCCGAGTTTCTGTTCGAGGGGTCAGTCCGAGTACTAGATATAGCACCGGGGGATGGGTAAGCCGCACCTGAGTAGCACTTGGGCTGGGGCGGATGCCAATGAGGTCCTCATCTCGCCACTCAAACACGACCATACTAACGACCGGGTCTCCCTGCTGCTCCTTGCCGACGTCGGTGAACTTGATGAGAATGAACGGATCGACGGGACCGCCCCACGCTTGCTGGCTATACATGCCTGGACCTAGTTAGAGGGGGTGTACCGGAGAGGGCATCATATGGGAGACGCACCAGCGCATCGTTGCCGATTATCTTCTTTCTCATCCTGGATCAATGCTCGCATCAGTAACCGTGTTGAAACTTGAGGCTGGTCCGGACATAGCTTGAACTGACCAGTCTAACTTCAAGGGCTGTGGCAGTCCATAAGGATAGCGCCAACAGCACCAAGCTGTAAGCCCAGCGCCTCATTGTGATCCCTTCGCCGAGACTGCCGTATGCTTGGCGGGTCTCCGGCGAGTCGCGAGTCGGGGTATGGAATATGAAGGGGGAGGAGGGAATGATCCAAATTAGATGTCTATTGAATTAGCCCCTGGAATGCCCATCCGAGATGTCGAGGGTGGTTTACACGGAAATTATCCGAGAAAGTATAGCAGCAGCGTCATGAGAAAGCTACAGATATGCACTCTGGAGTCTGGACAGCATTACGACGATTGGGCAAGGTACAGTACAAGGTACATGCAAGGGGTGGATTCGATTGGATAGGTATAGATAAGATAAGAATGTGGTCTGTGCAAACTTCACCATGCAAGCACGTGCATTCACTCAAGTACGAATTATACCTATACCTACCTAGATACCTAGGATGGGTGGATGGTTCTTTGAATTTGTAGATCAAGTCAGTTGGTCACATGTGAATTGCCTTGCTAGAGCACTTCCTAAGTCAAGCTGGAAAGTCGTTAAGAAGCTTTGAACCTAGGCGTGATCGGGGCAGATCACAGCCACTGTGGAATCGTTGGCATAGTGACTAGAACGGAATCCTCAATCCAACGCCACATTTTTTTGATCTCGAGCCACCGAACATCCTACTGCCAACAACCGCGAGAGCGCCCGCCCCCCAAAGTCGCCAAGATGGGCAAAGGCACCGACAAGCTCTACATCACCCACTCGGAGTGGTCCTCCTCGGACGCCTACTCCGCCAGCGTCGGCTCCAAAGCCCGCGCCCGCCCCGGCGGCGGGCCCCGAGGCGGCGATGGCGCCAACTTCCGGCGCCTCCCCTTCAACTACTGCGCCGCCAGCCTGCAGCCGTTCAAGAACCCCGTGTGCACCCCCGACGGCACCGTCTTCGACGTCGAGGTCATCAGCACCTGGCTGGAGAAGCACGCGACCAACCCCGTCAACGGCGAGCCCCTCGCGGCCAAGGACCTGATCAGGCTCAACTTTGCCCGTAACGCCGACGCCGGGTCCGGGTCCGCGGCCACAGGGGAAGGAGGAGGAGGAGGAACGGGAGGCGAGGCGCCGCAGGGCGACCTGATCGACCCGGTCAGCTTCAAGGTGTTCACGGACAACACGCACATCGTCGCGATCCGGCACGGCGCCTACGCCAACGTGTTCGCGTGGGACACGGTCGAGCGCATGAACATCAAGGCCAAGATGTGGCGCGACCTGGTCGACGACGGCGAGTTCGGGCGCGCCGACATCATCACGCTGCAGGACCCGCGCGACGCCGCCGTCCGGGACCTCAGCCGCTTCCAGCACCTCAAGGATGGCGGGGACGCGCTGCTCACGAAGCAGCAGGTGGAGGAGCGCCGGGCCGGGAACGTCAACGTCGGCGCCCTGGGGAGCATGGGCGACAAGGTGCTGCGCGCCAGGGAGGCCGTGGAGCGGGCTCGGAGGGAGCGCGAGGCCGGCGGCGACGTCAACAGGTCGTCGTCCAAGGCGCTGGCGGCGAGGGGTGCGGCGGGCGGCGCGGCCCGCCCGTCCATGATCCAGGAGAAGAAGCTCGCCCACAACGCCGCCATGTATACGACTGGGAGGGCGGCCGCCAGCTTTACGAGCACCGGGTTGACGCCGGAGACGAGCGGCGAGAGGGCCCTGCTCTCGGATGAGCAGTGGATGCTCAAACCGAGGCGGGTGAAGGTCAAGGGGTACGCTAGGATGGAGACGAATCTCGGCGATCTGAACATCGAGCTACAGACGGAAACGGCACCCAAGGCCGTGTGGAATTTCATCAGGCTGGCGCAGAAGGGCTACTACAGGGGGGTGGCATTCCACCGCAACATCAAAAACTTCATGATACAGGGGGGCGACCCCACGGGTACCGGCCGGGGAGGTGACAGTATATGGGGGAAGAATTTCCAGGACGAGTTCGAGGGCCCGTTGACTCACGACGCGAGAGGCGTCATGAGCATGGCCAACAAGGGCAAGAACACAAACTCCAGCCAGTTCTTCTTCACGTACAGGCCCGTCAGCCACCTCGACAGGAAACACACCATATTCGGAAAGATCGTGGGTGGCATGGACGTGCTGGCCAAGATGGAGCAGGTGCCCACGGACGGGTCGGACAGGCCGCTGAACAAGATCTTCATCAAGGACGTCGTGGTGTTCCTGGACCCGTTCGAGGAGTTCCTCAAGGAGAAGAGCAAGCAGGACAAGGCCGCGGAGCAGGACGCCGAGACGCAGCGCAGGGGCGGCACCGACGACGACAAGACCACCTGGACCGGGAAGCGCATTCGCACCGATGGGACCATCTCCGGCGACGGCGCTGCGAGCGGCGTCGGGAAGTACTTGAAGGCGACGATAGCTGCTTCGCGAAGTCAGGGAGAATCGGCCGGGGATGATTCCGCTTTGGACACGTGGGAAGAGCCAGCTAAGAAAAAGGCCAGGACTGGTGGATTCGGCAATTTTGATAACTGGTAGATACCTTGGGTGCTTGTGATATAGTGCTTGTGATGTAGATGTGGCATTGCTCGGCGTTCTATGGCTGGGGAAAAAGCGACCATGGTGGTCTGTTATTCAAGATTGGGTGCAGTTGTATACATTAGTCTAAACGCCTTCCATGAATTGGACTTATCGTCCATAAAACCCCATCCTTGCCTCATACACCCCATGCCACACATGGCCAGAAGGGCGGCTTTGCTGTGGTCCTAGCTGTTCTCGTTGGCTAGCGAGTGCTCCATCCGCGACCTGACGTGGTTCAAGCGGACATCCTCTCCCCTAACCACTACAGCGTTTGCTCCAATCGGAATAGCCTCATCTCTTCTTCACTCCGTTGCGCCCTACTTCATGTTAGACCATCGCGCAGAGGTAGTGGCCCGATGGCGTCCTGCCGTTCTGTGGATTCAAGCTCATGAGTCTCCACCATATTGGCAATAACTTCGGCCTGCCTCTGACCTGTCTCGGCGTAAAGGGCGCGTAGACGCTCGACGACGTAGGCCTTCATATCCTCGCTACAGATGGACGCCATGCCGACCAGGTACAGCGGCCAGACGATGGAATTAGTGGCAGAGGCGAGCAGCATGAATCTTTTGGCCTCTTCCTCCGAGTCCTTTGATAGGGTGGGGTTGACTAGTGTCGGCCCAGTGGGTATCATTTTACACTCTCTGGGGGTGTTGCCCTCGCCACCCGAGGAAGATGATCTGCTGGAAGGCGAGGTTGGAGGGCTCGGGGATTGGCGAACCGTCACGTTTGGGATGGGGGTGGTGGCCGGGTTCAGGTTCTCATAGCCGCCGCCGTTTGGACTGAGCAGACCAACATGTTGAGGAACACTGGCAAGGATATCCTCGCATACCCGCTCTAGTTTGTGCCTTGCTTTCTGGAACGCCCGAGTGTATGGTTCAGACATTGGCGTCGGCTGGGTGCTGGATGAGTGCTTTTGAAACTCGTTCAGGATAGACTCGAGAATGAGCATGCGGCAGGAGCGGATGCTATTCCATGTAGTGGCGTGCCAGAGGGTCGGGTAGGTGTGGCACATATTCCGGAAGATAGCTGGATGATTCTTGGACACCTTGAATGTCCGATGTTGCCATGCTGTCGGGAAGCTATCCAGTAAGTTTTCAAAGTCGTCCTCGATGCTAGAGAGTTGCTCGAGTATAGCCTGTGGCTCGGATATGTTCCCACACTTGATGTCGTAGCGGGTCTGTAGGACTCTGCATACGGGCGTTGCAATCTGCCATGCCGGATCACAGTCGTCTAGGCCCTTGCCTAACTGGTTCCCAAGGTTCACCAAGGTTTCGGGCATTGGCATCTGCCTCTGGATACAACTGATCATGACCTTGTAGCAGAGCATGAGGAACATCTTCGCCCCGCCCGGCCGCTTGAACTGTTCGGCGCCCCTCATGCCTGCGAGGGCTACGGCTCCATTAACATGCTCTTGCCATGCCTTCATCGTCTTGGGTGTCGTGTCCGTCATCATCTCAAAGAGGCTGAGAATTAGCACGGAAAGCATCGTCGTATCCCTGGCAGCCTCGACAGGGTTCTTCAGAGCCTGGTTGGTCAGTCGGAGGGCAGTGCCGTACGACTTCCTCGCGGCTTCTAGGACCTCGTCCGACCGGATCATATGGCCTAGGCCGATAAGGCCGACAGCGGTCATGCTCGCCAACACGCCATCGACCTGGCGTTCCGGAGCTAGTGACGCGGGCTTCCAAACATCGTAAACAAAGTCGAATCGCTGGTGGCCACCATTCTCGTCGACAGTGACGTAGCGCGAGAAGAAGAAGGCCGTGCCGCGTTCCTGGTAGGTAGGGTTGAGGCTGTATAGCAACGCGATCAAGGGCGTTGTCGGCCAGCTGCCCGAGTCCGGCGACGGGAGTAGGCTGTTCTCATCCTTAGCCCAAGTGAGCGTCGGGCCGGCTGCCGGAGTCTTGGCATGACTGCTAGGTGTTACTAGCGACAGTGGCTTGCCGCGTGGTTCAGGTGTGACGGATGTCCTGGATTCCGTATCCGGAGAGGATGAGTCCCTATCGGTAGAGAGCAAGGCCTTCTTCCTCGCCTTGGCTTTGGCCTTCTTGATGACGTGTGAACTCTCATCGCGGAACATGAGATCCACAAGGTTGCGGTAGCCGGGACACTCCTGCTGCCGCTTCCCACATTGCCCGCATCCTGGTTCCCGCTGGTCACACTGGCAAACTAAACGTCAATCCATTGGCCCTTGTACATGGGAGAATGCCGGAAGGAAGGAAAAGGGATGAAAAGAGATGAAGGGCTGTTTCATTTTTAAGACCGGTCATATTTTTATATATACTTCAGGTCCGAAACTGAGAAGGTAAGTGCCGTCGATGTTCAACAGCCTTGGGTGTGAGGTGGAGCTGGGTCGGAGAAGGGAGCGAAAAAGGGGTAGACTTACGCGGATTTTGCGCTCGCGGCAATTAGAGCAGCCCTTGCTCGGCTTGCCACAGTATACCATGCTGGGTGAGAAGGCCGAGATGGGCGAGACCTTAGGACTTAGGTTGCTACGTGCTTCGGAGTGACCGCAGCGATGATCGCCTCTCGGACTTGGTTACTTAATGTTTCTTGTCTTCCGGAGTACCGGTACGGAGGTACGCGCGTGGAAGAGCCCCCGAGAGAGTGTCGAACACGCGACAAATCTGGCGGCCTCTCAACCACTATTCTAGCCGGAAGTCCACACCGGATGGCTATGGCTTGCGGTCCTAGGACGGGGTCAGTGTTGTTGGCCCATGCTGTTGAATGGTTCAGTCCAGGGGCTGTAATGTGACGCGCCTCTTCTGAGATTGAGATTCTAATTATGGTCTGAATGGGTTCTTGCTTATATTGGGAGCCTGACAGGACCCTCTACATAGCTCCTATGCAGATCGGCAGCCCGAGCCGGTTTCTCGGTAATCCTGTGGTAAGGCTGCAGCTGACATGTCGAAAACGGTGTCAGGGTAATTAATGCTGGCGGAAGGCATGGCTTAGCCCGCACTGCCCCAGGAAACTGGTTGAACATAGCAAGAAGCAGCGGAGAGGGGGTAGCATGGGAGTTGATGATCAGGTCGTCTCCTCTCCCGCAGGTGATTGGTCAAAGTGCGACGTTTCCTAATTGGGATAGCTGTGCGAGCCAGCTACGTACTCTTCTAAGCGGAAGACAATAACCTTGTTATTGCATATATACACAATTATGCATATATGCGGTGTATTGGCAATATAGAACCTGGATTGCAACTGTGCATTAACTGCGCTATTTTGCTGCAAACCGCATTTTCCGTGGCTCAACCTCTCCATCAAGCAGATATGCCAGTTATTACCCTACGAATCGCTCCCTGTTTGCCAAGGTATGTACTCTTGGCAAGGCCAGCCCTACGCCAAGTACTCTACAGATCCTCGTGTGAGAGTTTTAAGTGTGGCGTATAAAACATCAACTCCCAGGAAGCCAAGTTATCATGGCATCTGATTCCAGGACTCGTCTTTGGCCGGGTGGCATCCTTATTTAGGAGAGGTCTTATGGGGTATCTCTGTCTGGTCCTACACCCTCTCCTCTCAGACTTCCTATCCGAGGTTTTGGGATCATCAGTAAAATAAGGCAAAGTCCGCTTGGAGTGCATTTTACCTATGTAGGTATAGAAGCTCCATGGAAGACCACTAACTCTTGGCAGAGACAATTCCATGTGGTCCCAGTGTTTGCTTGCGGCCTGGGGTAACGCTGTGCCACGCTCAGGTTGCATTTTATCGGCATACCCGATCCGAGACCCGAGTTGTGGCGTGGATGTCGTGGATTTGTTGGAATTGCTGCTCAGCCCTATGAGGTCGTTAACGCTAAATGCTTATTGGGCACCTCCCCCATCTCGCATTCGCATACCAGGGGTTCCCCTCGCTTGACAACCTGATTAGACGCCAGCTTGAGGAGTTGCTCTGTGCCTAATCAAATGGAGATAACCGACAAAGCGCGATATCTCCAACTTCTTAGTCTAGCTAATGGGAGGCGAGACATGAGCCTTGGGTGAGCGTTCATTTGCTGTCCTTGATTGAGCGGTGTGTTCTGAGGGGCGTGCCCCACCATTTTAATATCCCATATCCTCTCTGCCACGTTGAGGAGGCAGTCCAAGACCAAGAGCTTCTATCCTCAGCCTTGAGAATAGCACACCAACACATTGGACGCATCCACCCTCGGCGTTCTCGACAGCATCTCAGCTTGTTGCGATGGTCCAGCTCAGTGAGCTTAACCGCGTCGCCATCGCAGAAATCTGCGTGTACACACCATCCCTCTTCATCGCCATCCTCCTGTCCATCCGCCACGGCTTTGGCCGCAGCTCGGGCTGGATGTATCTGATTCTTTTCTCCGTCATGCGCATCCTGGGGAGCGGGCTCCAGCTGGGCACGATCGATGATCCAACGAACGTCAGCCTCTACATCGGCGCCAGCACCCTGCAGAGTATTGGCCTGTCCCCCTTGATCCTGACCATGCTGGGCCTGCTGAGCCGAGTTCTCGGCAGCATCCGCCAGAACCGCACCACGCTGATCACCCCAAGGCACATCCGTCTGGTCCAGATTCTAGTTCTCGTCGGCCTCGTCATGGGTGTCGTTGGCGGCAGCAAGATGGGCAGCGTCGTCAGCAGGGCCATCGAGGATGGAAACCGCAACTATGCGATCCCGGGTGCGACCCGGGCGGGACTGGCCCTCACGATATCCGGCTACGGCATCCTCACCATCGCCACCTCCTCCACCGGCTTCCAGGTCCGGTCCGCCGAGCCGGGCGAGAAGCGGCTCCTTCTGGCCAATGCGCTCGCACTTCCGTTTATGCTCGTCAAGGTCGTGTACTCGTGCCTCGCGACCTATACCACCGAGCCCAACTTCAGGGCCTTTGGCGGCTCCATCGCGACCTATACGAACTACCTGTTGGGCATGTCCGTCATCATGGAGATGGCTGCCGTGGCCATCATCGAGGGCATTGGCTTGACCCTACAGCGGGCAACCGTAGGGCAGAAAGAGGCGGAAACCCCTCTGGGTACAGTTACTTCACCACCAACATATAGTTCCGAACCAGTTCCTACACCGTCTCATTATCAGGAATCCGGCGTAGAGCGCGTGTGAGTTGGTGGCTCCCAGAAGCAAGATTGTGTGTGCTGGTTTGTTTTTTTCGCCCATTTTTTCTTCTCTTATTTGGAAGAAGGGGCTTCTTATTCAGTTCGATATATACCCAATAGAGTAGGCCCTGCAGCCACGGCGGTTGTTGGAATGCGCGCTGCGAGAAAAGAGTTCGAGGACAAATTAGTTATTTCTTTTTCTTACGTATATGCCACATACACGCCACGTTTATACCTCTTGGCAGAGCGTCATTACATGACACGAACACAGTCCGACTCATTTCGCAGAGCCATCGATGGATTCGACCGTAGGCCGACTCCTACCTGTGTATCACTAACACTCAAGCACCTTCCGTGCTACCTTAGGTAGGTACCTACGTGTAGATAAGGTAAGGCTGAACGATAGCGCCGGGATTTCCCAACCGGGGACGACGGTGCGTCGTTTTGAATGCGAGCGCGTTATGTCATAGGCAGCGTAATGTGGCCTGGGCTTGTCAGACGATTGCGTCGCATGTCAACGTACCATTCTCCCAGCCAATTTTATCGAGCAAATGCAATTTACCTTGCTCTCCTATTTTTTTCAGGCTTTTGACTGCTGCTGCGAGGTCGGTCACTGCAAAAGCGCGTGACCTCGGATTCCTCGGGTGGTGCCATTCGGCCCAGGTGGCAAGGCTCGGAGCCCGGCGGATCCTACAAGCGAGATTGATAAAAGTCCTTGGCCTGGCCACCCTCAAAGTGAAAAAAGGAGATCGGGTGTTTTTGCGAACCTTCAACCGCCCCCTCTGCCAACATATAACTCTCTTTTTACGCTATCCATCGCACTCTCTAGTCTTCTTTCCTTGCTAGCAACAACTTTCCTTCCACTTTCCCAGACGGACCACCCACGTCCGCAACGTTCGATTGACCCGGTGACGGCGCCATCATGGCGAACAACACTACGTCGTCCATCATGGCGAACGGAACTATGGCACACGATCTACCGCCATTGCCCGCATACACGGTCACGCCGATGCCCGACTTGGTTCCCTTCATATCCGACTTCTGGCTGTCTCTCATTCTACCCCACATTGCTTACTGGGCCGTGTCCATGTTATTCCACCTCATCGACGTCTACGATCTCTTCCCGCAATACCGGCTGCACACCCCTGCCGAGATCTCGCAGCGCAACCTCGCATCGCGATACCAGGTCGCCCGGGACGTCATCCTCGAGCAGATCATCCAGATCGGGACGTCCGCCGTCCTGTCGCTGACGGAGCCGAAGCAGATGATCGGCATGGAGGATTACGACGTCGCCGTCTGGGCCACGCGCATCCGGCTGGCGCAGCGCGCCGTGCCCACCCTCCTCGGCCTGCTCGGCCTCAACGCTGCCTCCATCTCTAAAAATATGGCCTCGTCCCACCCGCTGATCGCCGGCGCGCTGGCCGGCGGCCACTATCCGTTCCTTACCACCGAGCTCGGCGGCAGCACTGGGACTCACGTGCCCGCCTTTGCGACCTGGGAATTGATGGTTGCCAAGGCGATCTACTGGCTTATCATTCCCTCCTTCCAGATCTGGATTGCGGTCGTCATCCTCGACACCTGGCAATATTTCTGGCACCGTGCCATGCACCTCAACAAGTGGATGTACAGTGAGTGTTTGTCCTGCCCGGTTCGAAGAATTTCAGCCTACTAACTCCCCGTTTGCAGCCAACTGGCACGCCCGACACCATCGTCTCTACGTTCCCTACGCATACGGCGCGCTTTACAACCATCCGGTCGAGGGCTTCGTCCTGGACACTGTCGGCGCTGGCCTCGGCTATAAAGTGTCCATGATGACGCCCCGGCTCGGCATGTGGTTCTTCGTTGGGAGCATGATCAAGACTGTCGATGACCACTGCGGCTATGCGCTGCCATGGGATCCTCTTCAGCATATCACGAGCAACAACGCGGCGTACCACGACATCCACCACCAGAGCTGGGGGATCAAGACCAACTTCTCCCAACCCTTCTTCACCTTCTGGGATAAGCTCCTGGGGACCATGTGGAAGGGAGACGCGATGCTCAAGTACCAGCGGACAAGGGAGGCGGCAGCCACCAAGAAGGCGGCCGCGAAGAAGGCTCAATGATCCTGAATGCCCTCTCGAGCAAATGTGTGGACTGGGGGGAATCATAGCGGGGATTTGTTTTGAAGTTATATGATTCTTGTACGGAAAACCTCTTCTGAACAACAACTTTTCTTTTTAATCAGCAGTACCGAACTTGGATTCTGGGACCAGATCCTAGCTAGGGTTAATATGGTACGGAGAAGCGGCGTTTTTCTAGCTTTCTTTGCTGGGGCGGTATCATGGCTATTTTGTCCCCTTTTTTGGGGTGGGGAATTCGGGGAATCTGGGCGTTGGACTGGCATGATATTGAGGGCATTTGTACACACACAACACACCGCTCTTGAGATGGGGCTGGAGAGGAGCAGGGAGAAGAGGGTTCCAACGGCCGTGTCGCTCGCTCATAGTCGGGCTTGTTGGATGGCGCTGCCTGTCTTCCCTCCTATAATGTTAATGTTGACAAGATATCCACAAGAAGATATTTGTACTTTTGAGATATTTGTACTTTTGTACATCCCATCTCGGGGGTTATGTGAGATGGTTGTCGTAGTGACGGTCAGTTCTATCAAGCAGGTGGGGAGGATGACCAAGGAAAGCGTGTTTCTTCCCAGTGTTCTGTGTTCCCCGTGTCTCGGGTACTCCGTTGGGGAGGACGAGGAAGATTAAAGGGCCAGCTGTGTGATCGATGACAAAGTTCATCTGATGATCTGATGGGGTTACCCGCCGTGCTGGTACGGGTGCTTTTAGCCGTATGGGAATTTGTGAGACCATCTGCAGGTGCTTCAGGTTCCACAACCATATCTGGTCAACCTTTACTCAGCCGCTCGCGGGAGCAGATCGATATTAAGGACCTCAGCTTGGGCTGGGTGGCTTACAGTGGAGTTGAAGGGTCGTGGAGACACAAGAGAAAGACCCGGTCTCCTTGTGCTGATCCAAACAAGTTCCCCGGCCGAGAATTGATTCTCCAATCATGGCATCGGGTTTGTTTACCCACTGCACATATTAGCTCTGTCTTCTAATTTCCGAATAAATTGTTCAACCACGAGCCGTGTTGCTTCAGACTTCGTGAATTGGATATTGACTTAATAAACAAACTCTTGGGTTCCATCTTGGCACTTGGTATGTACCTCCTTTGCACCCGGCGGGCAGACAGATAAACCTGCGGTGAGGCAGGCTTGGGCAAGACCAGCTGAAGATGACAGCAGGTATGACGTGACGTGGTAGGACATGTCTCGTCCCAGTCGTCAGAGCTGATGGCAGTGGAGCATACCGGTGAGACGGAAATCAAATCATCGAAAGACGATCCGTAACTCGATCGCTGCGCATGAAAGAACCCGGGGCACCCCAAATCGTCACTGGACCGCAGCGCCACAGCAATGGTTTGACCCACTTTCTATCCCATTGCTGATTGGCAAGGACTTGGCCTAGCATGAATCTGGAATATCGACAGGACAACCACTCCTGCAGAGTCGGAATTGTTGGCTGAGTTACCACCATACGGGCGTATCTCTTAAATCCCTCAAAATTGAAGCTCTCGTAGAAGCCCAAGTTGCATGACAAGCAACAGTGGGCGCAGATCGATCGCCGATTGAGCCACGCACACACTATTGAACCCGGATTTGGTGGACGTCACGCTGATGATGTACGCACTTAAGACGAAGCACTGCATACCATTAGAGCCACCACAGGCAACTTGAATTTCCTTGGTGCGTGCGGCTGATCACTACCTACATACAGTCGTAGCAAAAGAGAGCTGTCATCACGCTCTCAGGGATCGCAGCTACGATGATGCCAGGCGCCTAGGAGGTGGTACTTTGGAAGCCAGAATTAGGCGGGTACTTAATCTTGTGGTAATATTGGTAGATTTGGCAGCCGTCAATAATTGCTATCCCGGCAATCTGGATGTACAGCTCTATGCCGTGTCCTGTTCCGGCGACCCTGTCTCAAGTATACCAGTTGGTAAACCCCGCTGCCGCCGGGCAGCCACTCGCAGCGTGTGTGCCAAGCCCTGCTCCTCCCCAATGGGAGCGAGATTAACCTCCCACATGGTGGACAGGGTCCGGGAGCCCTGGCGAGATTAGCTGCATCAGCTCGACCCAATCCTAGCCAAGGGTCTCTCCTCCATGCCCACGCGAAGCCACATGAAGAGCAGCTTGGCTGAGTGACGGGCTGGTAACTAGCTAGGTAGCAACATACAGGATCATACAGCCCCGGCTCCGCCGGTTTCGCGACTCTTTAATGAGAGCCTTCCCAGCCAGACGCGTGCCCCGGGCAGGTCCCCTCAAAGGCAATCGAGAGTTTTATCATCCTTTCGTCTTTGAGGGACCAAAGAAAGAGAGTTTGACGAGATTTCGTTTGGCCCGGAGACGCAAACCTTGAAGCTTCCCATCCAACTACCATTCAACTACCATCCAACTACCATCCAACTTCGCCGTGAACCCTGTCGAAAACGCAGTCTTTAAGCGCCGTCGACCCAAACCAAACTTCATTAACATCCACGGCGCTTCGGTGACCCTCCCAAAGACCCCATTGGCCAATTCCTCCATCCTTCAATCATAACCTGTGTCTTTATCCGGAGATATTCGCAATGAGTGGGCTTCGAGGCCTTTGAGACGCTGCCGCCGCCTGTATTCTGTATATTCATTCCGACTTATAAGACCAGCCAGCTACCTCACATTGAGTGATTCGACGCTCAAGCGCGTCGAGTCGACCTCGACCTCTGGCCATGGACCCAACTACAACGCTCTTTACCTTCATGCTGTAAGTCCTTCGTGTCTGCAGACTGCTTTTACTTTTTGCTGCCGTCGAGCATTTCTTTCTTTTTTCCATTCTCGGACATATCATTAGCCTGCCGTTGCTTCTTCCCTCCCATCGTCCTTCTTCGAGGATAACGCACTTCCATCCCAAAAGTGTCAGGCTTACGGGCAACCATACGGGTAAGAAAGAGGATGCATGGCGGCTGGCTGCCGGAAAGATCCGTGGGCTTGTGTGTGTGCTGGCGTTGAGTCCCCTAATTCCTAAAAATATCATTCCTTCATGTCTCACTTAGCCTGAAGGAATTGGGTGCAAAGGTCATATCGGCCAAAGGCATTTGGTACCCGTTGTATGGCCCATATGACGGTCAGCACTATGGCTACTTGGGCTTCAGCCGTGGCCGCGAAACTGCCAGCACTGCTGCCAATACCGGCTCACCACTTATACCCTCAGGGTCCTACGATCCTGATAGGTCCATACCACTTCCGTTGATTAGCTGGCGACGTGGGATGCTGATGCCAGCCAAGTGGCTTTCCACGTTCCTTTGCTTTTGCCCGGCTCTTTCGCGTATAATTCACTCAAGTCCTCGATAACTCGACTGACCACACGCACCATAGGCAAACCAGGCCTTCGGTTCAAGCTGTCCATCTTGTCGGATCTTGGGACAACTTCTCCAAAACCTACAGCATGAACCGCGACATCCGACGAGACCGTGGTCAATGGAGAGGCTGCTACTCATTCAAAGACATCATCTGTGACGGTGACGGTACCATCCCTCGACGGGACGGGGGTCTGAAGATGGGGCAGACCTATTACTTCTATGTAAGCACAATTACCTGCGCCAGACCGGAATGCGCAGCTGACCCAGCCTTACAGTACGAGCTGGATGGTTCAACTGAGACATACGACCCATCCCTACCGTCCACAAATGCCTGCCCGTACCTTCCTGGTCAGACTGTCAACACATTGTGGGTTCCTGTGGAACAATCTCTGAGGAAGCGAAGTGCCTCGCTGAGCTCCATGAGGGACGGAGACTGGAAGACCATGAATCCAGACGATAAATTCGCCACGCCGCGCCCGGCACCATCAGCGCCAGCAACTCCCGGACTCCGTCGCATAGGAACTGCTCCTCTGACGGTCCGTCACAAGAGGTCTGCTCGGTCTCTTTCGCCCAGCTCGAGCTGGTCATCGTTCTCGCCGAGGAAACTCTTCAGCCGTAAGGCTAGCACATCCTCCCTCAGGGACAGTGAGCGCTTCGGTTCCCGAGGTGCTCGATCCGCCACACCCCCAGATGATCGGCAGAGCATCCGCGATTCGGAAGGGAGCAGGTCTAGAGACATATCTCCCGATTCATTACTGAGATTCCTCTCGGATGATACACCCTCGATCGCTGAGCCTACCGAAACGAATGACCGACCCTCACTTCTCTTTCCGGAAGACATTGCAGAAGAGAACGAGGATGACGAGAACTTCGCCACATCCACTACCTCCGAAAGCATGCCGTTCACCGTCTTGTCACCACCCCCTACACAACATTCGCATTCTTCCAGTTCATCTCCTGTCTCGTCACCAAGGTCCAGGGAATTCGCAGTGACCCCACCACCAATGGAGTTCGCCCTGCCAGAGCCTCCTTCTCGCTTGCCTCCCATGATCCCTCTACGCCCTCGGGTCGAGATCCCATCAACGCAGTCACAACCCTCCCTCGCAGACGTCAGCTTCTTCATGCCAAACTCACCCAGGTCAGCGGCCTCCAACGACCTCCCATCCTTCTACTTCTCCGAGGACGACGAGGACGACGACGAGGACGAGACCGCGTCAACCAACGACGACGAATGGCTGCCCTCCTCCCCCGCAGCCGAACAGGCGGGGCCGACGGGCTCGCACACCAAGAGCCTGAGCGCCACCCTCTCGACCTACAGCCTCCCACGGGATGCCGGCAAGCTGCTGCCGTCCACGGAGGAGTCGAACGAGCGGACGCCCCTGGCGGCGGACCTGGGCCTGGGCCTGGGCGGCGGCTCTCCCGCACTCGTCGCGCGGAACGGCTTCGACGTCCCCGTCGGGAACGCGTCGCTTCTGACGAACCCCATCCCGAACTCGGGGCTGCACGAGCTCGTGCGCGAGCTGAGCTGGATCGCCGATGTTATAGTGGGAGAGGGTAGTTAGGGCGCGTGCACCTGGGCTTGCCTCTGTGGCTCGGTGTACATTTTATTTAGTAATTTCTGGAGGTCAAATCTGGGAGGGGATGGATCATAAAGCGTTGCATTTTCTGCTACAGGAGGAGCGGATGGGATGGCATATTTTGGAGCTACTTTACGTTGGCCTACAAAAGGCATATAGAATACCCCCTTTTCTTTTCACGGCGGGACTGCCGACGGTTGAGGTCGACACTCCCAGGACGGGAGATGGCATTACACCTTGCTTTTCCACCTTCGTGTGGAATCAGGCAAAGCATGAAAATAAATTTTGTGCTAAAATTACCTCCTTGTGCCGTTCTGTTCGTTGCTTTGGTGTGCCAGATATGACTGTGATACTACTTGACTCGGACAAAGCACAGCCATGCTAGAGATATGCAAATCACCGTATATTTTCGACTTATTTTCAAGATCAGAGCCGGGCCTACTTGCGCAGAGGGGACGAGAAAAATATCAATGAATCATAGAGTAGCTCGAATATAAGGGGCAGGATGAGGGTCAACCGCCCCCTTTCCCCCAACCTAGACATATTCTCTCATCGCACAACGCAGATCGAGGGACATGAAGTGACGTGGGTATCATGATTTCATGAGCAAACAATACTATAGTACATCTACCAGGCTGTAGTCCTACAACGCCCTATCAACTAGCCAGCTGCACAGCCGCAGGAGCCGGCGCCACGCCGTCAACACCAGGTTTCTTCCGGTCGTGGTCCGGCTCCGGCTCCTCCTTCGGCTCGGGGTGGTCTTTCCGGCCGCCACCGGATTCTTCCTTCTTCTCCCCCGCAGCCGTCTCCTTCTCCGGGAGGGGGCGAGGACAGGAGGATCGGCTCTTGGACGGGTCGAGGAACCGCTCGGGGACGCCCTTGGCGGCGAAGGAGCCGCTGCCGACCCAGGCGCCGACCAGGCGGCTCCACTTGTAGTCGCCGCGGTGCAGGCGGCGGATCTCCCTGAAGGCGTAGCTGTTGTGGTACGGCAGGCCCGTCTTGGGGTCCCGGTAGCGCGCCGGGTGGTTAGTGATGACGCAGTGGGGCGGGTGGGCGGGTTCTTGTTACGAGAAATGCTTGGTCAGTATCCTTGTGCGCTGGGGGGAACTGGGAGACAAGGAGACACATGGTACTCACTGGCGAGCTTGTTCATCTTCCTCCCGAAGAGGATCTGCGTCTGCACCTGCCGGTCCTTGATCGCGTTCTCATTGAAGTTTTGTAAAATGATGCAGCTCTTGGTAACCTTGCCCTCCAACGGCGGCTCCGGAGGAGTTTCCTGCGCCGGTTCCGGGGCCATTTTCGGTGGTGCTCTGCCCTGAATGGACTGGAGAGGCGTTGAGGCAGTTCGGCTCGGGGTGGGAGCAGTGGGCTTCGAGGCAGGAGGGGGTGTCGGAGCGGGAGATACTTGCGACAAGGATGGGTGCGATGGAGAAGGTACTGAGGGGAGAGGTGACTGCCCCCCATGCGTGGTGTTAGGGGCCGCAAGCACGTTGGATCTTGCGCTCGGCGATGAGAAGCCGAGTGCGGGCATGTGGCCGCCGGGACTTGCTCCAGAAGGTGCCATAAGAACAGGTGCGGCCAAGAAGCCAGCACTACTCGATCTCATCTCCGGGGGCGGAGGTATTGGGGGAGGCGCTGTAGGGCCTCGGGGTGGCACTAGGCCTGACCGCGGTGCAGGCGGCGCTAATGCGCCAGCTGATTGACTGCGAGGAAGTGAGAGAGATGGAGTGGAAGGAGTAACTGTTGGCGACGACGCTGCCGTTGCGGGTGCTTGAGAGGTTTGTGCTGGAGGACTTGGGAGAGGTGGTGCCGGGGCAGCGGAAGGTGCAGGCGGAGCTTGTTCGGCCGTGGCTGACGATGGCTCAGGGGGGACATTCGGCGTTGATGCGGGAGCCTGAGTCGCCTTCTGATCTCCATCTCCCACGGGCTTATCCGCAGTACTATCGCGGGGGGGTATTGGCTTCGACTCTGACTCCGTTTTGACTGCATCCCCAGCCTGCTGTTCTGCCACTGTCGGGGCGGCTGGTTGCTTCTTCTTTCTAGGCGCCTTTTCTTCCACCGAGACCATCTTTCCGATGTGCTTCATCTGGCCTTCCTCCAGCTCCTGAATCCCGCTCCAGAAAGAGACAACTGGCCCGTCAAGTTCCCGGCTATGTAATGCTGCGATTTTCTTAAGGCGCTCTTCCTCTCTTTGCTTTTCTGCTTCCTCCCAGCGGTTCAGGCTCTTGGCATTCCTCTTCTCCACCAACGCAGCCTCCGCTAGCCGATCAGCTTGTGTCATGGGGGGCTTCTTCATCGCCTCCAATCTCTTGGCCTTCTTCTCAAGCATCACCAACTGCTTCTCACGCTTGAGTTCGCGCTGTACCATCTGTTGGTGGAGTTGTTCCTTGCTCAGCCGGGTCGTGTGCCGCTCAGACGCCCGAGTTGGCAGGTCGGTCGCGGTGGGGAGCCAGCTCGTCCGTTCCGACTTCTTTTTCGGTCTTGAGCGGGTAAGGGCCGATGAAGCCGGGCTTTGAGACCTTGTGGCCGGTTGCTCGATCCGCACCTTCTTCCGAAACTTGACAGGTATAGCGTCTTGCGCGCCTCGCTTCCGCTGCGCCGTCTTTTTCGCCTTCGCCTGCCGTATCAGCTCCTTCTCGCCCTCAAGATCATCCCCGCCGTCGCCTTGATCCTCCTCGTCAGACGACGAGTCCATCACGACATCGGACGCATCCTCCTTCTCCTCGTCTGTGAAGCCCATGTCGTCTTCGTCTTCTGCAAAGAGCAGTTCAAGGTCCGAGTCATCGGCGGCCGGCTCTTCGTTTGCGAGCATCGATTTCATGCGGTTTCCGGCTGTGGACCGCTTCGCACGCGCTGTGACAAGCCATTCTATGGGCTCTACCTCGCCGGAGTCACTGGCGTTGTCGCTTCCAGCACTGGTCTCGGAGTCGGAGGGCACGTCTCTGTCCCTCTCGTCTTCGGCGGTCGCCATCGCGGCTTTTGTAGGCCGTTTCGGTTTAGCAGAGGGCGTTTGATACCGCGTAATGTTTCTTAATCGCAAGTGGCCCGATTGCGCGATCCGGGGTTCGGGAAGTCAAAACTGGCGCCAAAATATCGTGTCGTGACAAAGTTTAATTTTTGTTCGTCGGCCTCTGCCAGCTGGCTGACATCACACCTCGAAATGCTAGGATAAATCTTTAGGCTGCCAGCAGGGGTGAAGTATTGCCAGGCCAATAGGTAGCCACTGAGTAGACCCTCGAAAACCCCGCTATGCTGCAAGCTAGCGCATTCATCGGCGAAACTCTGCGGGAAGGTGTCTTGATCGCCAATCCACTAAAATCTCTATACAGAGTTGGAGTGAGCTCTTCGCTTCGATATAAGGTCAAGTGGCTAGACAGGGCGCAGCTCCCACGAAACCCATCCACAATGTTTCGCCGAGGTGCCCGTACGTTCGCGACCAGCGCCCTGAGGTTGGCACATGAGCCGAGCCCGCATCTCCTCGCCGTCTCAAAGGCACAGGGGATCTCCAAGGGCCTTACAGGAGGTAACGACATTATGCCCAGGCCAATGATTGGAGCCCGTAGCCGCTGACTTGTGTGTTTTCCTCCCCTCTCCGAAGCCATTGGCAACACGCCCCTCATCCGGCTCAACAACCTATCCGAACAGACCGGGTGCGAGATTCTCGGCAAGGCCGAGTTCATGAACCCGGGCGGCTCGGTGAAGGATCGCGCGGCCCTCTACGTGGTCAAGGATGCCGAGGAGAAGGGCTTCCTACGGCCCGGCGGCACGGTAGTGGAGGGGACGGCGGGCAACACGGGGATCGGGCTGGCACACGTTTGCCGCAGCCGGGGCTACAAGCTGGTCATCTACATGCCGAACACGCAGTCGCAGGGCAAGATCGACCTGCTGCGGCTTCTGGGCGCCGAGGTGTACCCCGTCCCCGCCGTCGCGTTCGACAACCCGCAGAACTACAACCACCAGGCGCGCCGCCACGCCGAGTCCCTGGACAACGCCGTCTGGACCAACCAGTTCGACAACACCGCGAACCGCCGCGCGCACATCGAGACGACGGGGCCCGAGATCTGGGCGCAGACCGGCGGCAAGATCGACGCCTTCACCTGCGCGACGGGCACGGCCGGCACGCTGGCTGGCGTCACGAGGTATCTGAAGACGGTCTCGGACGGCAGGGTCAAGTCCTTCCTGGCGGACCCGCCGGGCAGCGTGCTGCATGCGTACATCACATCAGGGGGCAAGTTGATGGAGCGGAGCGGGTCGAGCATTACCGAGGGCATTGGGCAGGGACGCATCACTGATAACCTCAAGCCGGACCTTGAATTGTTGGACGGCGCATTGCACATCAGCGATGAGAAGAGCATCGAGATGGTCTACAGGTGTCTCGACGAGGAGGGCCTCTATTTGGGGGCAAGCTCCACCTTGAACGTCGTCGCTGCGAAGGAGGTTGCTGAGAAGTTAGGGAAGGGCCACACCGTTGTCACCATGCTTTGCGACGGCGCATACCGGTATGCGGACAGGCTCTTCTCGAAGCAGTGGCTTACAGAGAAGAATCTACTCTCGGCCATCCCCGAGCGGTTGCAGAAGTACATAGTCTTGCCGTAAGATGCTCGGCACAGAACAAATAATGTTACAATATATAGTCCGTCCCCAAAACGCTCCCTAGGCATCCCGTGCGCCGAAGAGCTTGATGTACATGTCTTCTCCTCTTCCTGCTGGAATCCTTTTTTCGTCCGCCCACGCCGCCTCAACTTCCTTCTCCAACGGCGTGCTCCTTTGCCTCAGTTGCTCAGCCAGCACCGGCTCAACGACTTGGGCAGCTGTTTTCAGGCCGCTCAGTATCGGAGCCGCATACCACAGGAACTCGTTGGGGTTCTGCAGATACCGCAACTCCTTCCTCTCCTCGTACGCTTCAGGGGAGTGCAGTTCCATAAGACCATTCCCTTCCGGCCATAGGGAGACCAGCTCTTTGGCGTACTTTGCGACCCGTCCGCCGACATCCTCTCCGCCGTGATGTTTCGCAGCTAGCGCGGCGGCCAGATGCAGACGAGCGGCCAGGACCTGGGGGTCCCTGAACAGAGGATACGCCTTCAGATCCTTCTCCCCGCGCCTCCTCTTGGGCTGGTGCTTCTCGTCCTCCAGGGTTTCGATCACTCTGTCCGTCCAGGCCAAGGCCGATTCCGTCGCGGTCTGGTCCCAGCCACTCTCGACTGCCCCCTTCTGAACCCACACCAGTAGCTCGTTCACCGTCTCGGATGAGGACAGCTTGAAACCGGTCCGTTTCGCCTGGCGCACGCAGGCAAAGATGATGCCGATGCACCCGTGCATGCCCGCCTTCCTCACCATTTTCGGGTAGTCGTAGAACCGGAGTTTGCGGCCGGCATGGACACAGACGCCCTCGAGGAGCCGGGGGAGGTTCTCCCAGTCTTCGGTTGTCTTCATCTTGTCGATTGCCTGGAACACCACCTCCCTCGTGTTGGGAAGCTCATAGATATTTGTGTAATAGAACTTGAGGACGTTTTCATCGATCTCCATGGTTACTGGGTCGGCCTGGAGCTTCTTCTCGTACTTGTGGTCGTACAATTTATTGCGCTGCTCCATCCGTAGGTACGAGGGGAGGATAATCTTTTGTCGGATGGTTGAGAGAACATCGTCAAGTTCGCGGGAAGACGTTTCGGAGAATGAAACAACATGGACCGCTTGACAGATATCTTGTCAGCGGAAACAGACAGGTAGGACAACAATCGCCAGCACGTACCTTGATGACTAGGGGATGAGGAGAAGCATCGTCGCTGCAACCCCGGCAGCCCCGCTGCTCGGGTGACTGCGCCCCATGGCGAGTTTCTTGCCGCAAAGGCGCTGCTCGACACTCTTCCAGACATTGAACTGGTGGTTTTCGTGACGCCAATGCACTGCTTCTGGTGGCGCGTGGGACTATGAAGAGATGGAAGTTCCCAAGATCCAAAAAATCGGGAGCGAGCTACCTGATTGGCTGTACGGACAATTTCAAGGCTCGGGTCGGACTTTATTTCCACCGCAGCCAATCATGTGATCCAATTCTCTTCGACTCGAGAGAGATTTTGACCTCGAACATCAAGCTCCCCTAGACCACAAGGGGAGAGCTTCCCAATCACACAGAACACGATGAATCTCACACCTTTTACGCGGCGGCCATTAGGCTGCCTAAAGACAAGCCTACGACAGGCAAGACAGCAGCGCCTCCTCTTCCGCCGTACACTAGCAACGGCGGCCGAGTCAACCACGCCAGCACATACTCCTCCAGCCCTTCCAGATCACAACTTCTGTAAGCATCCCGGCCGGTGGAAACCCTCCACACCAATGTCACATGAAATCGTCACATGAAATTGTCGGCAGTGGTCACATCTTAGAAGCTAACTAACACCCCTTCGCCAATCCACAGTCACAGTAACCGACCCCAAAACCAAGAAACTCCGCACCGCCTTCGCCGTCTACAGCAACACCGCCCCGGGCCCGACCCCGTCCTCGGCACCAGTCCTAGCGCCAGCGCCCAAGAACGCGCTAGCCTCCCTCCATGCCGCGCAGATCGCGCGCATGGACCCGACGGGCGCGCGGACGGCGCTGTTCAGCAAGGCGAACCGCGACAGCGCGCGGGTTGGCGACGTGCTGATGGTGACGCACCGGCGGGGCGGCGAGCCGTTCGCCGGCGTGCTCATGTCGATCCGGCGGGCGGGCATCGACACAGCCATCCTGTTGCGGGGCCAGCTGACCCGCCTCGGCGTCGAGATGTGGTTCAAGGTCTACAACAAGAACGTGGCGGGCGTCGAGATCGTGCGCCGCAGGCCCAAGCGCGCCAGGCGCGCCCGCCTGACGTACCTGCGCCAGCCGAAGCACGATATGGGCAGCGTGGACCACTACGTCGCCGCGTGGCGCAAGTCGAGGAACGTGATGACGACCAAGGTTGGCGCCGCGGCGAAGGCGGCGGGTAAGGCGGCTGGGGCAAAAGCGAAGGGCAAGAAATAGAGTGGGCGATATTGGGGGAGGTTGGTTGTAGCTTCGGCGCAGTTACCGTCGCAGCCTGTAAATGTCTCTAAGCCCCGTATGTTACACTACCTAGGGGAATGTATAATATGCATCATCGGAACAAGGGGTCACTCCCCGTCTCGCTATCTTGATTGAGATTTAAGGGCATCTGGCAATAGCCATTCTCTCCCAGAATCGCACCTCGACGCAGATCATAGGAGCTTGTGGCTCTCCGGATCCTACCATACATTGTAATCAGAGACCAATGGCGGGATTGATGGTTGGCTATTACTCAGTGCCATGCATGAATGCTCCGTTAGGGCTATGCACTAGCCCATCCCGCCGCGGCTGTATGGCCCGGGGGATACACCAAATTCTCCGCTCCGCCACGAATAGGTCGATGGTGGGATCGCGCAACTCTGTTGCCAGCATGGGGACCCCATAACTTTCGCGCCATGGCCGGAAGGCCTATGGAAGAGCTGCGGCCTGCTGTGGGATTTGGAAGGTGCTGGGGCTAGGATATCTGGCCCAAGAGTGGCATGTCCAATGCAGGGAAGGGGGGTGGGGATGAAGCTCATTACTTCAGGGTGAATTTCTGTGACGTTATCGTGGGAGCAGAAGCGCTAGATTTGGTGCTCGACTTCCCACAGATGGCGCAGGCTATGCTCATGCTTGTCAGCTGTAAACTGTCTAGTTGGGAGAAGGAAAGTCCAAACTGACCGTTCGACTGGTATGCACATTTGTGACAATACTTGTGTCCTTGGGACACTTTAGTCTTGCATTTTGTACAAGTGCTTGGATCGGTTAGCAGCTCCCATTACCGAAGAGGGTGGTTGCCCAGCGGGCTTGGATTCCTTACCTCGAGTATTGGGCATATGGATTCTTTGCACTTTTTGATAACAGTTTGCTCTTCATGTAGTTAGCTTGTCGCTTCAGGTAAACACAAGTTTATAATGGGAATACATGCCTTTGAGATGCCGGTTTGCCCTAATGTTGCCGACTTCTTCTCACTCGTAGATGAAGACGATGCTGGTGAGCCGTGGTATATGTCACTCTTCTTCTTCACACCAGGTGTGGCAAGAGTCGTCTTGGAGAGCTTTTGGCACTTGTTGCAGACCATCTTGACAAGAGACCAACCTACTCTCCTTGTCACAGTTGTTTGGTGTGTAGATTTAAGAAGCGGTTGGGGGGACGAATCGTGGGGCTATGAGGAAGGCGGGTGGATGTGAGTCGCCTCAGCCTCGTTGTATTTCTCAGTAGCGGCTTATAATTAGAGTCCATGTCTGCAGGCACCTAACGGGTTGATCACGTGTATGGCGAGTGATGGGCGTGAGTTTATCTACCTAGGTACATCTGTATCCACTAGTACATGCAGCTAGCCGAACACTAGAGAGGCTAAGGAGGCCAAGCTGGCCAGAATTGAAGGCTGAAGTGGCTGAGGCGGAAGTCGTTCAAAATGTATCTGATATTAATGCTAGCTGGTCTACATGACCCAATATCACCCCTTCAGATAACTGCAGCCGGCTGGTTTGACAGGTGTTGAGGTGGTTGTAGCTCACGAGGGATGTGTGGTAAGTCGTGAAGTCGTAGCGCGTGTCTCTCTGTGGCCAGCGGATTCATCTAAGCCCCAAGATTACATGATTACCCAGGCTGGCGAACGAAACCACGCGGTCTAGTAATAGCTGCTCAGGCTGAAAATAGGGGATGCTCTTGCATCTAACCTACTGAAGTCAGTCGGCTTACCGAGGCAGCTGGGCAAGAACACCATACCGCATGGAGGATGATGATCTTCCTGAAACTTCGTTGAGGGTCCTGTAGCAGTAGAGCAGGATGAACATCGCCAAGCAGGGTGGTACCCCATATCCATTTCAAAAGCCAACGACCAATGACAACTGGAAGTATTGATTTAGTTGGGAACTGGGAGTGTCATAAGGGGAGAAAGCATACCGCCATAACGATGCAAGCCAGGCTTATGTATGGACTCATTCTCTCGCCGATTCTTGCAAATTTCCAAAATACACCCATGACTCTGTTGTTGTGTTAGAATGGGAGGCTTCGCTTCAAAGAGATTGAGTCACTCACCCGTCCTTGTTCGAATCGAGTATTCTCGGGAACATCTGATGGATATATGTGCAAGTACAGACTAGAAGGAGAAGCACAAGCAGAAGTGACTGAAGGTTAAAAAGAGCCGACTGCAATCGCCTATAGTTAGCAAAATTACTCGCATAAGATCGCCGAGGTTGGAAATACCATATTGACTGTTTGTTGATGCCAGATTCTCTGTGATATCTTGAGCTCTCCCTTGGTTTGCTTTGCCTTGGTTAGCTTTGGGAGCTGTTGTCCAGATCGTGACGCGCCGCCATAGAGCTGGCGGAGAAACAGCTTTTCCACTCTGCAGCAGGCCCGCCGGGCCCAGCTGGAGGCTTGTTGTGCATGTGGCGGGGCCCACAATGAATGGCGGGAAATGTACTAGTACTTATCGGGGGCGTGTTTGGCAGTGCTGAAAAAGTACCTAATCCTAGTGCATACAGATCGCTGTACACTTGTGCAGAAAGAGGCTGTGCTGCAACGAATACGGGACTCTATTCCTCATCCCTGGTCTAGCTGCGGCCGCCAGCACCTTCGCAAGACGACGACACACCATAACCATAACCACAACCACAACCACAACCACAACCACAACCACGGCGCCACGACATCAATACTCTCATTCCCCAATCACCTCTCGATGCTTCCTCGTCCATTTTCTTGACCACGACTCCGCATGCATCGCCAATTATCTCCCGAGTAACCTTGATTACCTCCAACCTCCCCGGCCGCCGCCATGGCTGGGAGACCTCCTCCAGGAGGTTCTTCGACCTCTCGAAATGACCTTCTACTCGATCTAGACAATGAGCAGCCCATTTACTCCCAAGGTCAAAGATCAGATCTAAATGACGACGACCTGTTGGGATCATTTGCGCACGACAACGGAACCCAGTCACGGCCATCCGTTTCCTACGATGATTTTGTCGGTGCTGGCCAGACAACGCATGCTTCGGTGAAAGCAACCAGGGGTGTACAAGCAGGGCCCTCCTCGACGCCCCCCGAAGGCCCGTATCTCGCTACTAGGGGCCGGCAATACAGCCAAACATCCGGCTTGGGCAACTACCAGAGATACGCCGACGACTTCGACGACTTCCCCGACGACGGCCAATCATATTATCAGCATGAGGGCAATGTAGGTTCTGGGCCGTCAGAAGCTGGCATCCATGCCGCGCGAAAGAGGAATAGTGTTCTCAGCTTAGGTGGTGGCCTGCTGGGCCGCGCGAAGAATATGATGGGGCTGGGTCAAGGCTATTCAGAAATGGATCTGCCCTTAACAGAGCCAGGAGGAGGGGTCAGAGATCGGACAGACTCGGATTTGGAGCCTCGGCCAAAGCGAAACAAGAAATTCGACATGGGGAACTTCAAGTTCGGCTTTGGGAGGTCGAAGCCGGACCCTGCGACCCTGGGACCGCGCATCATCCATCTTAACAACCCCCCCGCCAACAGCGCGAACAAATATGTCGATAACCACATCTCGACCGCCAAATACAACGTGGCAACCTTCCTTCCGAAATTCCTCTTCGAACAGTTCTCCAAATTCGCCAACATCTTCTTCCTGTTCACCGCCGGCTTACAACAAATCCCCGGTCTATCGCCCACCAACAAATACACCACCATTGGTCCCCTCCTCATCGTGCTCATGGTATCAGCAGGCAAGGAGTTGGTGGAGGACTACCGGAGGAAGCAGGCAGACAAAGCCCTCAACATGTCCAAGGCCCGTGTATTACGGGGATCGACATTCAATGAGACGAAATGGATTAGTGTCGCTGTCGGGGACATCATCCGAGTCGAGTCCGAAGAGCCCTTTCCCGCCGACCTGGTTCTACTGGCGTCATCCGAGCCCGAGGGCTTGTGCTACATCGAGACTGCCAACCTGGACGGCGAGACCAATCTCAAGATCAAGCAGGCTCTACCCGAGACCTCCGAGATGGTCAGCTCAAGCGATCTTGGGCGCCTTGGAGGGAGGATCCGATCAGAGCAGCCCAACAGCAGCTTGTACACTTACGAGGCTACCCTGACAATGCAGACCGGCGGTGGGGAGAAGGAGCTCCCCTTGAACCCGGAGCAGCTGCTCTTGCGAGGAGCCACGCTTCGAAACACTCCCTGGATCCACGGGGTCGTGGTATTCACCGGCCACGAGACGAAGCTCATGCGAAATGCCACCGCTGCACCAATCAAGCGGACCAAGGTCGAAAGACAGCTGAACATGCTGGTTCTGGTCCTGATCGGCATGCTATTGGCTCTCAGCGTCATCTGCACAGTTGGCGATCTCGTCATGCGGAAAGTTCAAGGAAACGCCCTTCCCTACCTCATGTTGACCTCCACCAGTACCGCTGTCGAGGTTCTTGTCACATTCATCCGAGACATGGTCACATATTGGGTCCTGTTCTCCTCCCTCGTCCCGATCTCGCTATTTGTCACCCTCGAGCTCGTCAAGTACTGGCACGGAATCCTCATCAACGACGACCTTGACATCTACTATGACAAGACGGACACGCCCGCGAACTGCCGTACGTCTAGCTTGGTCGAGGAGTTGGGCATGGTGGAATACGTCTTCTCCGATAAAACGGGAACTCTCACGTGCAACATGATGGAATTCAAGCAATGCTCTATTGCTGGCATCATGTATGCTGATGAAGTGCCGGAAGAGCGGCGTGCGACCGTTGAGGATGGCATGGAAACTGGCGTCCATGAGTTCAAGCAGCTACATGCAAACCTGAAGACTCACGAGAGCTCGGCCGCGATTCACCATTTCCTCTCCCTACTCGCAACTTGCCACACCGTTATTCCGGAACGCAATGACGAGAAGGGAGGGGCGATCAAATACCAAGCCGCCTCCCCCGACGAAGGAGCGCTCGTACAAGGCGCTCTGGAACTGGGATATAAATTCACGGCTCGAAAGCCCCGATCAGTCATCATTGAGGTCGAAGGCCAGGAACTGGAGTATGAACTACTAGCAGTTTGCGAGTTCAATTCCACTCGCAAGAGGATGTCGGCCATCTATCGCTGTCCGGATGGGAAGATACGCTGCTATTGCAAGGGTGCCGACACGGTGATACTGGAGAGACTCGACGAGCACAACCCGCACGTGGAGGCAACCTTGAGGCATCTGGAGGATTACGCCTCCGAAGGCCTACGAACTCTCTGCTTAGCCATGCGCGAGATCCCCGATGATGAATACAAGGAGTGGTGGCAGGTGTACGATAAAGCACAGACGACGGTCGGAGGCAATCGTGCTGAAGAACTGGATAAGGCCGCGGAGATCATTGAACATGACCTTTACCTGCTCGGCGCTACCGCCATTGAGGACCGGCTGCAAGATGGCGTCCCCGAGACCATCCACACTCTGCAGCAAGCTGGCATCAAGGTGTGGGTTTTGACGGGCGATCGACAGGAGACGGCCATCAATATCGGAATGAGCTCCAAGCTTCTCAGCGAAGACATGATGCTTCTGATCGTCAACGAAGAAACGCCGGCGGCAACGCGGGACAACATCCAGAAGAAACTTGACGCAATCCGGACGCAGGGCGATGGGACGATCGAGAACGAGACCTTGGCTCTTGTTATCGACGGAAAGTCCCTGACATATGCCTTGGAGAAGGGCCTGGATAAGCTCTTCCTCGACCTCGCCGTCATGTGCAAGGCTGTTATTTGCTGCCGTGTCTCGCCCTTGCAAAAAGCCCTGGTCGTGAAGCTGGTCAAGAAGTACCAGAAGGAGTCCATTCTCCTCGCCATCGGCGACGGTGCGAATGACGTTTCGATGATCCAAGCAGCCCATATCGGGGTAGGTATCAGCGGCATGGAGGGTCTCCAAGCGGCGCGGAGTGCGGATGTGTCGATTGCCCAGTTTCGGTACCTTCGTAAGCTGCTGCTTGTCCATGGCGCATGGAGCTATCACCGGATTAGCAAGGCGATCCTTTACTCGTTCTACAAGAACATCACTCTGTACCTGACGCAGTTCTGGGTAAGTCTCCTCCTCTTCGACCTTCTCGATTGACATTACTAAACCGTTACAAGTATACTTTCGAGAACGTCTTCTCGGGCGCGATTATCTACGAGTCATGGATGTTGTCGTTCTACAACGTCTTCTTCACCTTCCTCCCTCCCTTGGCCATGGGTATTCTCGATCAGTTCATCTCGGCTCGTCTTCTCGATCGCTATCCCCAGCTTTACAACCTCGGACAAAACAACTCGTTCTTCAAAATCAAGACGTTTGCGTCCTGGATCATCACTGCGGCGTACCATTCCATCATCCTCTACATTGGGGGGGCTCTGTTTTCGTGGGGAGATCTGATCCAGGGGGATGGCAAAGTCGCCGGCCACTGGGCATGGGGCACGGCGCTGTATGCTCCGGTGTTGTTGACCGTCCTCGGCAAGGCAGCTCTCGTCACCAACAACTGGACAAAATACCACGTCATCGCGATCCCGGGCAGCATGGCTTTCTGGTATGTTTTCGTCGCCGTTTACTCCATTGTGGCCCCGAAGCTTCACATTTCGACTGAGCTCGAAGGGCTGGTCCCACGGTTATTCCCGAGCCCCCTCTTCTGGCTGCAGGCGGCATGTCTCGCCGTTCTGTGCCTGCTACGAGACTTCGCCTACAAGTACGTGAAGAGGATGTACTATCCGCAGACATATCATCACATCCAGGAGATCCAGAAGTACAACATCCAGGATTACCGTCCAAGGTACGTAACCAAAACCACCTGTTCCCGCTCCTCCCTCCCCTTTTTCTACCCCACATACTGACGTCGTCCGAAACGCACAGGATGGAACAATTCCAGAAGGCCATCCGGAAGGTCCGGCAAGTCCAGCGGATGCGTAAGCAGCGCGGCTACGCCTTCTCCCAGGCCGACGAGTCTCAAACACGTGTCCTGCAAGCCTACGATACCACGCAGCATCGCGGGCGGTATGGCGAGATGGCCAGTTCAAGGCCGACCCAGCAGGGCGGGAGGTGATTGCGCGTTTGTCAGATATCGAATGTTTTGATTTATAAGTGCGTTTGATACCACACTTTTTGGAGCTCCTTGCTAGCCCGTGACAGTCATCGTAATCGCTGTGTCGCGATCCCTGGCGGCTGTTTCTTTGCTCCATTCTCGGTTTCTGCCATTTGTCTTTTTTCCTCCCAAGTTAGCACGGCAGCTGCGCGGTTCACGGGGTTAAGGGGGGTTTTGACTCTTCTCTCATACAAAAAGGGGTCCCTCTCTTCTTTTGCGTGTTTTGATATATTTCCATGGCTGCGGGCGCCTTATGAGGGAACATATTAGGGGTTCCCATACCTAGGTTATTGGGAAAACATCGGGTTGACCTATACGAATTGCACTGTACCATATTTTGAAATGGAGAACGTGGAAGAGAACGTGGAAGAAAATACTGCCTGCCTGCTGACACCGAGACTACCCCGTATGGGAAAACGGCAAACCCGGACTCTACGGATGGAAGGGTACCTAGCTTGGTTGGCGTGATCGGTCCCCATTATTGTTGTTCTCTTCCGTCATCAGGGGCCGGCAGGGCTGAGGGTCCACAAGGGAATGGCTGACGCCTACGCCACCAAGCCCCGAATTAAATCCGGTGGCCCATCACCACCATATGGAAGCCGTCCCAGGGTCTAGAATGCGTCTTCTGGAGATACGCGAAGGATCCGAACTGGGTTCGCTGCAAGGGGGGGAGGGGCAATGGAAAACGTAATCTACGGGGTAGGTTAGGTATCTCCAACTGGTTTCTTTCGTGGTTTTCTCGCGCCAAGCATAATTCCATTTTTAGAGACCCCACGCCTTCAACTGAATCTGTTGCGTATGATTGCATATATCACCTCCCCCAAGTGCAGTTTAGTTCTTCAGCCAGCCCAGCCCCCGCATGATGATCTATCCTGGAGCTTCCCGATCGAGAACGGCTTTTGGGCGAAATGATTAGATAAGGGCGGATTACGACAGCATGTCAACATCTTAGTCGACTTATAGCACGAGTCTATTCATCCCATCGCGTACACTAGAGACTTGCGCCTATCTTTCGCCTTCTGCAAGCCTTATCAGATCGACAACAGAGTCAATCGCGCAACTTCCACGAGTTCCGAGCTCCTCCGTATATCGGAGCGCTGTTGACTGACACACAGGCTTCCTTCGTACGGCTTGCCAATGTGGGACTCTCAGCAAGTCCCGGGTTATACTCCACGCTCGAATTTGCTTGATTCTTTTAGAGATGGTGGCATAATTAATATATCAAGATGTGTGGCAGGCCTTATTCCAGGACACTATCACACATGGCGGGATAAGATGTGAGCAGAATGGCCCCTGACGCCCGATTAAGATATACAGCCAGAGCCAAAGATGAGGGGGTGTTCCCAAAAGAGAGATATCCAAAAACCCCAATCCAATCAAAAATGCCAAACCAAATGCCCTTGGGTCATAGACGACAACCAAATATACACCCTCATTCACCAACATGTATCTGCCAGAAACCTTGCCCCGTGACGCCGATAGCCCCTAACTCATATGCAAGTGATGCCACATGCCCCATTTTCCCCGTGTAGATGCTGATGTAATACTTTTTTGAGTGGAAAGAGATTAAGACTTGGAAGTTGGCGCCTCCAGAGTCGGCTGACGTGTGGGGGTTCCCTGGAAGGAGACTGCCCTAAAGGCCGTCGAAATAGATCTGATAGTGTCAAAGACGCCGAATATAGGTGTATAGATATCGTGGTGGGGTAGCCAAGCTAATCGAATGGATTGACTTGAAACTATCGAAAGACTCTTCAACTCCGGATCTGTGCCGATAACAGATACCGAGAGACGATCGAATATGGCCGCATCGCAGAATTGAAAGACCAGCGGTATGGGTGTGTGCATTTAATGCAGCCCAGAACCCCCACACCCCAGATAGAAGGGAATGGGGAACGCTAACTTGCAGCGATTCGGTGGGGTAAGATGCAGTAAGCACTCCTACAGGCCAGCTCGGCGGCTTCATTCCGTGAAAATGCACGCTGAGGCACACCATGACTGACAGCCGTTCCAATGACCCCCAGGGACACATGACCACTGAAGATTCCGCCGTTGGGCTGGGATCGGTTGTCGCACATGTTCAGCACCTCAACGGCCAACCATGGGCGTAACAAGCTCAATGCTCTTGGGTCTCGAGTGAGCCCCTGGTCTCCTCGAAGGGAGGGGCCGGTCAATGCTCGAGGAGGTCATCCCATAGCTGACTGCTCCAGCAACACCGTAGTAACCAGGGTCATAGGTGGATGAGAACACCCTGGGAGCAACCTTCGAATAAGATGTACTCGGGCTGGCCGCAGGGCTGCGGTTGAAGGGCCAGATGCTGGTGTGGTAAGACCCCGTTGGCGAGGGAGGACTCGGTGGCCGAATGGAAAGAGACCGCAGAGCTGATATGGCTGTCGTGTGATTGGAAGAATTGGGGGTGGTAGGCGGGGAGAAGTGCGTCGAGCTAGGTCGGGATGGCGATGCGCGGGGTATGATGTCTTTTGGCTCCAGGTGACTGCCCGAGTAGAGGGGGTAGTTGGCGGTGTACTGGCCCGCATAGCGACTTGGAAACGCTGTGGTTGCAGATGTATTGTTCCGATCGTGAGCACGGCATCTGTAATACATTCTCCGTGATTAGCAATGACAAAAAGAGTGGCGGCGGAGCTCTTGCGGGACTTACGCTTCGGAGCAGTAAAGGAACCGCTCATCGTGGGGTACAAATTGCTTTTCGCAAGTCATGCTGGACACACACAGTCAGTGCCCGCTCTTCCAAGATATGCACGATATGCAGGAACGATACGCCAACGAGAACAGGGCTTCCATCCGTCCCAATAGCCAAGTTGATCCATATCACCCGCATATCAGGTGACGCTCCGGAATGACCGAAAAGGAAATGCCATGAGGGGGTGCTCGAAGAAGCAATTGTATACAAAAAAAATGCGAGAGGTGATACAGAATACCTGCAAAGAAGAAAGGAAAAGGGTAATATGGGTTGCATCGGAGTGAAACAAGAAGCTTACCAGAACTGGGGGAAGCTCTCCCTCTCGTCGTCGAAGAAACGGTCCTCCTCCCATTCTTTCTCGCGGTCCCTTGGGCTCTTTCCCAACTTCTGGCCACCCTGAGGCGTAGTTTTCCTAGTCATGGGAGCGGGACGTGAGGACTTGTGTTTGGAGGAGAGGTCCGAAACCGTAACGACTTTGCGTACGTCGGTCATTGAGGTATTGGCAGACGCATGGCCAGACTTTCGGCGATGATGGTGCATGGAGAGCGAAGTTATCGGTTTTTGGCACACCAAGGTACCAAGAGGCTAATCGCTGGGCCAAGGTGGTGACCTTTTTGCGGGGATGGCGGGGTTTAAGCAAGGCCCTTCCTTGCAAAGAGTAACGTCTCCAAGGCCCAAGAATTGTAGTGCCGTACCAAAAGTTCCGCTTCAGGATTGACAGCCCAAGGATATCGACCAAATATTTGTCGTTGCCGCGTCTCGCCTCTCGCAGTGGCGAAACTGTAGGGGGCTTGCAGGAGAAAATTCCCTTGTCGCTTTCCTGATTTGGAATCGGGACAGCCGCAACTTGACGATTGCGCAATTCGATGGAGGGGCAGCTAGGATGTATTTTTGTGGGCTATCTCGGCTGCTGTGAGTTTGGTATTGGAGGCCGAGAACTTGGGAAAGTGTCGAAGTGAGGTCTGGGTGCTCAAGGAAAATAAATTCGATGTGACCAGAGCCGAGCAAGACCGAAAGTTATTGGCCAGCCGTTTTCGATCTGATAGCCGGTTGCAAAGGGCTAGAGGTGGTTCGTGGGCTTTCAATTGCGTTGCCTAGAGTTGACTGACGTTGATCGTGGTGTAAGGCAGGCAAAGGCAACTTGAGCGAGTGAAACGTAGGTGGGTAGGGTGATAAGTTGTATGAGGTTGCCCTTACAGAGTGGTAGTGGGAGGAGTCTCAGTGGTTGACAGGACAGGATGGTAGGGATGGTAAGAGGAGCTGTCTGAGGTGGGAAAGGCGTAGGTAGTTATATCAGGGCAATGGAGAATGCAATATCTTGGTGAAGGTGACTCTTATTGCGCCTGCTGGCGTGATTTGGCAGTCGCTTCGCGAGTCCCTCTTTCTAGTCCATCCAGTGCTTGGCGCATGTACTGCGGTATCTGAAGGCGAGCCGAAAGCGGAGATCAGCCGCAGGGATGCTCTGGCCAATCGTCTTTGGTAATCAGGATCAGACTTTCTCTTTTAGCTTTCCGGCGCCCGGGTGGACCCTACCTGCCTGGAAAGGTACCTACTTGCGGAATGCAAGGGGCAGAGTATGCTGAAGCTAGGTAGGTTGTGAGGAAGCTTTTCTCCCCTCTTCTGAAAAGTTTTTGTGAAGCGGACTATCTGCTGCTCACCACAGTACCAATCTGTTAGGGCTGTGGCCAATGGAAGAGATCTCGCAGAGAGAGGAGAGTAGAAGCATGGCCAGACGAGTGGACGAGAGGGAGAGCGAGGCTACTAGTAGCGGGTTCTTGTAGGTCACGTCTTCCACTCTGCCTGGGCACTTACGAATCCTTACCCCTCCTGGGCCTGTCTCACGCCTTCCCACAGCCCATGTGCTTGCTGGACCTTGCTGGACCCACCCAGAGCTCCAGAACCTTCGTGACCAGACCACAAAATTTTTATTTTTCTTCTCCCCTTCGTTACCTTGCCTTTCGGTGCTGGCACCCCTTCGACTTCTTGGCCCCTGACTATCAGCTGTATCTAACAGCCATGACCGTAGGTACCATTTGTCGCGGAATCTATTTGCCTTTGTTAACGTCGTCAGATTACCATCAGGGTCCCAGAGCGCCCCGCTTCCTAGTGTACATAGTAGGTACCAAAGTTATAACCGTAAGTTAACTTAGTTCCGTTGTGGCAGCGGCCAATGTGAGCTGCCTATCTTTTCACGTTGGCCTGCTGTTGCGATTTGTCAATTAGAGCTCTGTGCTTCTCGGTCGGTCGATCGACGGTTAGATACCGGATTCATCCACTTGCACCTGTCGGTTGAGCTGCGCTCCGGCTGATTCGTCCCACTCCCATGATGTTCTGCCATCCCTTGTCACTGGCTGCAAGCCTGCCGCGTTCCTCATCCGCCTCCAAGGTGTTGGATGTCACTTCAAACCGGTGCTGCTCCGCATAGACACGGCTACCGAAGCGAAGCACTTCGAACCATGGGAAGGTTTATTGCTGCAGCGTGGGGTTACCCAGAGCAGTTAAGAAGGCTTAGAGTGTGGTTAGAGAGCGTGGGTAAGTCCCGAGGCTATTATTCCCATGAGTCGTAACGACCGGGAGCTAGACAACGCACTGGGTATACGACGACAAACACCTAGTCGACTTACTGTAAGGGTATCGTTATCAACAACTAGGTATCTTCTCCCAACCAGAAGTTTCCACCATTAGCGAGTTGAGTAGCTCCATCCAACGTTCTTGACCTGGGTAAATCGGGTTGTGATGCACTTGTTGACGTGGGTATCGGTACCAGCAACAAGTAGATTGTCCATCCCACGCTGGAGGAGAAGACCTGCCAGATCCATATCAGGATTCATATCAAGTCGAGTTATTTTCGGGGGTTAACATTTAAGGCCCAGAACGGCGGCCCACGAAACAGGAACCTCTGGATATGACAACGCAACCTTACAGTTGAGGGGGTTTGTCGCCCGCTCATGCACTATATATTAACGTTTCCATTGAAGTCTCCGACAGCCACCACCACTCTAACCCCCTTCCATCTGGTCCGTACGGCCATGGTTCATCGCCAAAGCGCAGTCTTCCTTGTCTCAACGCACGTACCCGGCGGCTCTCGACAAAGGAATGAGACCTGTCCAATGGGCAGGGTCGACCATGACCCGTCCATTCAATCCTTTCGAGCATCGGGCAGAATACGTACGAGCTGGCTAATCTATTCAAACATGAGTCGCTCCCGTATTCTCTTATCCCTTCCCATTGAGTAGAAACCGGCAGTTTCGTGCAACCCTCGAGATAGCACCAGATATCACACGGCGTCTCGAGATGCGAAAGAATCCGTTTTTGGTTATCGTCGGCACTACCTACATAGACGGCTCTTTCATGCGAGATAACAATAGAGTATCCCCTGCTTCAACCCCCCAACTCCAGGGGCAAGTGACGACTGGATTGTAACCCTCCAGTACCCCCAAATGCCCCCCATCTTTCCCACCACCATCCCACCCCAGGCAATAAGATGCAGGTACACCCAACACGTGAGCCACGGAAGTCCTTATCTGGTGGATGAGCGTAAGGGTGGGTCGGTAACGGCCGGGCTGATCTGACGTAGTTGGATCCATACAGTCTCGACCACCAGGGTGTGTGTAACTTAGCACTTTATTACCTAACGTTTCCGGACCTGGACGGCTCACCATCGACTCATAAACTTGAGCTCCGGTTTCGCACCGATGTATTCCTAACTCCTGGTCCCCTTGTGTCTCGTCAAAGGTCTTGAACAAGAATTTTTCACTTTGGATGTTGTGGATCCTGTTGCTTGCCAAGTTGTTGGTGGTCTAGAGACTACACTAGATGAGGTCATATGAGTCACTTGTTAGTTATCATGGACAGAAGCCGCCGGATGGCTTTTCGGCCGGGGGTCACAAGCGCGGACCCACGCGACCGGTTCGCGCGTCCCTTACTCATCCGACCCTTGCATTGCGAATCGCCTTGCGGACATGTCGCTAGCCGTCGCGTCATTCGCGCCATCTGGCAGATCCACCAAGGTGCTCCAGTTTCTTCATCTGCGCGGGCCGGAAATACGCATACTTATACGCATATAGTGTACTGCAAAGAGTACACCTCCATTACGTACAAGGCTCCGTATTTTCCTTGACGCAAGAAAGAACACTGATGGCCTTTCCGCTTCCCAATCTAAGCCTCCACGGGAGTAGTATGGAGTCCAACACCTTGTTGTCCACTCTATTGCTATTATTATGTTTACTCCTTTGCCCTTGCAGCCCTAAAGTCTAATGATCATCAGTATGACTTTTTTGTGACATGTCACAGCATAATGGCGAGATGAGATCGTCGCAAAAAGCGGTCTTGAGACGCTCGTTACCGGGTCTCACGGATGGCAGTAAGTTCCGATGCATTGGCCTTCGTCCATGTGCGGCACCCCGATCCCCTTCCTCTGTCGTCCGCGTCAGAGCGCCCCCCCCCCCCCCTCCTCTTCTCGGATCCGAGCCCAGGTCCTGCGGATCCCGAGTTTTAGCTCCTTGACCGGTTTCCCACCAGCTCCACCTGGCGGGCACCCGGCCGGTAGCTGCCGGGCCGTTTCATCCGGCCAAACCGGCTGCACGTCATACATCAAATGGTGGGGGCGCGCTACCTCAACCGCTGCCAAGCTCCGCTAAGTTCCCGCTGGACATGAGTATATTCTCACACACACACATACACCTACCTAACTGGACTCCCCTCGTCGACGTCGAACTTTGTAAGCGGCTGCCGACGCCCGCTGCCTCCGGTCTCCACCCGGCTGCGACGCCGACAGGAGAAATATATACACGACCGGCCGTCGAGAACCGCACCAGACATCCGGGTCCCACCGATGCATCCCGGCGCACTCGAGGTGCTGCAGTGCTGCGGGCCGAACAGCTGTAAAGGAGGGGCGGGGCAATCCCAACCGAGACCGACTTACGTCTCAGACTCTATCCCGTGTTTTTGGGTCGTCCCTTGATAGTGTAAAGAATGTAGAGGATATGACAGTTTTGAAGGTTGCAATGCAAGGGGGTTGCCCTAGTGTAGCCGATAGTCATCGCTAGGGCCAGTCCTCTCTAATAGTAAACAGAGTCCGACGGACACGAAAGTGTCGGCAGACACGCCGCTAGCATCCCTTGTTTATCCATACACGCACTGCCGTCGAAGCCTTTGCCCCTTATCGGTCACAATCCTTGGGTCCTTTACCGCGAGATTGCCGTTTCCAACGCTGGCTTTAGAGCTGCAAGGGCACTTGTGATGTCCTGCTTCTTTTTCAGGAATTGCTGAACCTCTGCTCGAGGTTCTGCACCTCTACTGGAGCCGCTGGATGTCTCGTCTCTGCCCTGGCTGGGAAGATTGAACGGCCGCGCGAATCCCCCGAACCCTGCTTGCGTACCAGGAGACTGGAGCATGTCGACCAACTGCCGATCAAGGTGTACATCTTGGACGTAATCGCCTGTAGCCAACCCGACTGCATCTGCACCAACTGGCTGTTCCTGCTGCCTCATCAGGCTTACGGACCGGAGGGTGGCGTTTGTGAACAGGATCAAGTTCATATCTATCTTTGGCGTTTTGAAACCTGTTGAGCCTTGCCACTCATGCCATAAGCTTCGGGCAGCCCCTAGCTCTCCCAGTAGGAGAATGTACGCCTTGTAGGCTTCCCGGAAGTCATTTGAGTCCGATATCATTGCTCGAACTGAGGGCTTCACCTCATCCTTGGAGGTACCTCGGCCTGTCAGAAGACTGAACACCTCTGATCGCATTTCCAAAGGGCCACCATCGGGTCCGGCCTGCTGCGAATGCATATGGTCGAGGATAGAGCGGAGAGCTTCGTGAACCGCATTTGCATCCAGTCTGCCAGTCTCCCCGTCCAGCCCCGTTTGCTGGTCAAGGCCGAGGAAGTTTGTTATTGCTGGAAGGCAGAAAAGCTTGGATGCTAGTCGCAATCCAAGCCCTCGTAGTGGCGCCGGAAGGTTGATATCGCGCGCACTGAGGCCTATCGCGACATTGCTGAGAAAGACAAGCACCTCCGTCGGGTCATTCCCGTCGCGCAGTTGAACTCCATGGCGTAGCTGGGCAGTATCGGCGAGGGCAAATGCTACCTCGGCGCCGCAGAGGGAGAGCATTCTGCTACCCGCGTCGGTCTGGAGCAGTTGGGCGGCAACCCTCCTTAGGTGGACGAAGCTTTGGCGCGATAATTCTGCTTTCAGGTTCGCCAACTCTCCACTGTTGATGCGCTGGGGCTCGTGGCGTTCTTGCCAATGAAGCATGAAGTTGACGGTTTTGGCATCATCTTCCAAGATGCGTTGTGGAATGCCATTTGATCCTAGAATTTCCGAGGTGCTGCCCAAGGGGACCTGGCCAACTTTCTTGTCCGGGCTCCCAATGTCCACTGCTGCATCTCTCCCTCCGCTCAACGCCCCTAGAAATGCAACAGAAAGAACATCGCGATCGGATATTCGACGTTGGTTAAATGGGCCGGGCGGTGCGTTCCATAACCTTTCTGAGCGACCAAGTTCCTGCCGAAAGGTCTCTATACGCCCTGATAGAGCATCAACTTTGGGATTCTGACTCCATCGCTCGAACTGGTCCTTCTCATCCTGTTCGGTGTAGGCTCGGACTCGGGGATTGTCCTCAGCATCGAGATCCAGGAGCGAGGAGGGAATCTCGTAGAGTGGGACGGTTTCTCGTCGGGGGGATCTGGCTTGTTGGCGTCGCCTAAATCGTCGAGTTTTCTCGATTTGACTGGGACTTTTATAAATCAAGGTCCTGACTTGGCCTTGGGATTCCAGGCGCGAAAGGAGCCCTTGAATGAGCCAAGGACTGCCCAATCGTTGCATGACTGATGCGCTCGTCGTTCACTATTTTCCATCACTGCAAGCACGCGTTAGAATAGTCGATGTCCTGATATGGCGATATCCCCGGGAAGTAAATCTAGAGACCCCACTCGGATAAGGACCTAGGCGGGCGGTAACCTATTTTTAGGAGGCTAACCACAACCACCACCTAAACAAAAAGGGAAACAAATAGATCGCGGTGCTACACTCTCCATCGATAACATACTCAACCACATCCCCAACCATGCCGCCTGCAAAGAAGAGAAAGACGGGCGCCTCCAAGTCTCGCGCCACCAAACAGGCTGATCCCGAGCAGCCTGTCGAGCAGCCTACTGCAGAAGCACCAGACGAGCAGCAAGAGCCCCAGCAAGACCCTCCGCAAGATCCCTCCCTAGAATCGATGGCAATCGCGCCTCCGCCTGAACCCTCATTATCTTCCAAAGACACGGCGGACACCAAAGAGGATGCCGCCGCAAAGGCCAAGGAGCGCATGGCGCGGTTCAGGGCGCTGCAGGCGCGGGCGAAGACGTCGTCCGACCAGAACCTAAAGGAGGCGACCAAGGAGTCGCAACGGGTCGCCAACGACCCGGGCCAGCTGAACGCGCTGAGCCGAAAGCAGGCGATCGCGTCGCAGAAGCTGCTCAAGGCGGACGTGGAGGAGGCGGGCGAGGACTTTGAGCGCAAGCGGGCGTGGGACTGGACGGTGGAGGAGAGCGAGCGGTGGGACAAGCGGGTGCGCAAGCGCGAGGCGCACCGGGACAACAACGCGTTCAAGGACTACGGCGCCGAGAGCCAGAAGGTCTACAAGCGCCAGGTGCGCGACTCCATTGCGGCGCCGGACCTGGAGCGCTACACCCGTGACAAGATGGCCGCCATCGAGCGGGCTGCCGCCGCCGGCACCCTCGAGATCGTCGAGACCGACGACGGAGAGCTGATCGCCGTCGACAAGGACGGCGGCCTCTACAGCACCGCCGACTCCACCGCCTTCGCTGAGAGCAAGCCCGACAAGGCCGCCATCGACAGGCTCGTCAACGACCTGAAGAAGGCCGAGGCCGTCTCGCTCAAGAAGAGGAGGGACAGGATGGCCGCCAACGGCGACGATGCCGACGTCACCTACATCAACGAGAAGAACAAGCAGTTCAATCAGAAACTGTCCCGGTTCTACAACAAGTATACGGCTGAGATACGGGATAGCTTTGAGAGGGGAACTATGGTGTAGGGGCTCTTCATGGATTTTCGTGTTGAGAGATTCGACCGTCGATCCGTCTTTTTTATTTTATTTTTAGACAGCGAATGGAGTTTGTGATGGTACATTCTAGAGTTTCCAGATATTGATACACCTAATGGAACACGCCCCTTTAAAGCATGGACCTCCTCCACGCCTTGCTCGCCAGATCCTCGATCTCGGCTGGCTCCACGGGTCCCCTAACATTCTCATCGTTCAGAGCCTCGACGACAGCGTCGGCGACCATGTCGGCCTTAAGCGGCTTCGTACCGGCGACGCCCATGAAGCCGCCCAGCACGCCGCGCGTGGCGCCGTTGAAGAGCGACCCCGCGAAGCTCATGGCCGCGATGGGCAGGGTGGCGGGCCTCGAGCTGTCGTACAGGAAGGGCGGGCGGACGAAGATGCTGCGCATGCCCGGGAACTCGCTCGCGATCACGGCCTCGGCCTCCCGCTTGGTCGAGATGTACCGGGCCGGGAGGACCGGGGCGCCGGCCGCCGCCGAGATGTAGGCGAACGCGCCGGCGTCCTCCCTGGCGGCCTCGCGGGCCAGGAGGATGGCGCTGTCACGGTTCATCATCTCGTACGTCAGCTGGTTGCCCGACTCGGGCGGCTTGATCTCCTCCCCCTCCCCCCGCTCCAGTGGGTTTGGCGTGCGGCCCTTGGTGGGGGAGAAGGCCTTTTGCAGGCCGGCGAAGGGTGATTCCCGCCCGGAAATGACGCCCTTGTAGTCGGCCTCCAGTAGGATCCCCATGCTGTGAATGACATAGTCACTTCCCTTGAGAAGGGGCGCGTATGGGGCGGGGAGGAAGATATCTGCTCGTTCCCATGACACCCTGTGGGCCCATGGTGGTGGGGTTGAGGAGGCTGTCACCGTGTCCCACCGTGGCTCGCCAGACCGACTTGAGGTCAAGTCAGAACAAAGTGAGAAGTTGGTGTGATATGGGCCAAATACCTTATTGATGTGACATTCCAGCCTCGGGCAACTGCTGCCCTGCATATCCTGGAGCCCAGAAAGCCATTTCCTCCGCATATAACGAGCTTCTTGGCGGCTGACATTGTGTTGTTTCTTGGTACAGCTCTGTCCGGGGTCGCCGGTATATGGATATGTGAATGAGTGGTTGCTATCTCGCGACTGTCATGTCACGGCAACTTGAGGTACGGCCCTGGGCGGTCCTGCGTTTTGAACAGAAGCGTTCACTTAAGCACGGGGCCAATTCGAAGCGACGGGATTCTGAAGGCCGGCGTGCAATAGGAGCTGGCAGAGGCAATGGGTGTAGTAGATTGAGCCTCGAATGATCTGTCAGTGTTATCATGCCATGGGCTGCGAATTCGGATCCAGTACCAACCCTAACCCTTACCTAGCAGTTTACGTCTTGGCCTCCTTGTTCATTACCGACTAGATTATGATTAAGTTACCATCCAATTTAGACGACGAAGAAGGGAAGAAATAAGCTATCTAAGTTGTGTGAAAGTTGTGCTGTCTCATCGCTTGAATGATGACTGCTCTCACTCTTATTTGTAGGTATGCCATTGCATCATCAAAGGCAAGGCTGAACGCTTTTTCGAGTTTAAAAAAACAAGCCACCAATCAAAACACCAATCAAAATCTGGACCCCGTAGGCCGTCCTCAAGGCTCCCAATTTTGAAGGCATGACGTCCACCCCATCCCCTCACCTCAGAAACGTTCATCCCCAACAAATCCACCATACATCCCACAATGGCGCCCCCGAGCGGCGCCGGCAAGCGCGTCAAGGGCGTCCAGATATTCCGACCCTTCATCTACGGAACCACTGCGGTACCTTTCGATGAGAAGACTAACCCGAAGCCCGCGGGCGTACCAGACGACCACACCCACTCGTGGACTGTCTTTGTGAAGGGCATCGATGATACGGATATCACCTATTGGTTGCGTAGAGTGCAGTTTAAACTCCACGAGTCCATACCCAATCATGTCCGAAGTATGAAGTTCAATTTTCCCCTGACCTCCCCCTGACCAAAAACAAAATATCAAAGACCAACCCCCGACTAACCTCCGTTGCCACCCCACCACGCAGTGATCGAAGGCGAGCCCGGCAAACCCTTTTCCGTCCAAGAGACCGGCTGGGGCGAGTTCGAGATAACCCTCAAGCTGTACTATGTCTCCGAGTCCGGCGAGAAGCCCCAGACCCTGTACCACCACCTACGCCTACACCCGTACGGCCGCACCGAGGAGGAGAAGGAGACCATGCGCCTCAACAGCAGCGAGGTGATCAGCTGGACCTACGAGGAGCAGCTCTTCAACGAGCCCTTCGAAGCCTTCTACGAGATCCTCACCTCGGGCGCCATGCCCCCGCACTCCTCCACCACCTCCACCTCCGGCCGCGGCGGCAAGGGCAAGGGCAAGGACAAGGACAAGGACAAGGCCGCCCAGCCGCGGCGGACCGAGGGCGGCGTCCTCGAGCGCAGCGCCATGATCCCCCTGACCAACCGGCCCGGGCAGCCCTTCAGCCGCGAGACGGAGCAGGTCGAGATCAAGAAGCTGCGCGACGCCCAGGCCAGGGTCGAGAACATGACCCGCGAGCTGGCCGAGGAGGTGAGCCGGAAGGAGGAGAGGCTCCGCGCGCTCAAGAACGAGGCCGCTGCGGCTTAGTAGCTGGCTGCTTGCTTTGTTTGTTTGGGCTGACGATGGGACGAGAAGGTGCGTTCATAGTCCTAGGCTCCTTTTCGTATTTTCCCCTTTTGGGTTCTTTCTTTCCCTACCATTTTGCCGGGGGGGCCGCTTTATGGGAGTCAGGAGAGTTTTATTGGCGTTTAGGTCTGGAACTAGGCATTAGGGAGCGGTAAAAAAACCAGGGGATAGGAATATGTTACTACTTTGTAAAGATAGAAAGATAGGGCGACTTGAAAGCCATGTTCACGTCACCGACCGGTTTTAGATCCAACCTTCGGTGTAGGTTGTTGGAGGAACAGTCATAGATGAGTGGAATGGCGGCTTCGACTGAATACAGTGAGAGCTGCATGAAAATGGACCGTCACTAGAGCATTGCTTCGAATGAAAGCAACCGTGGCTGCCAATTTTGTGTTATGTATCTTGATGGGAGATGATTCTCTAAGAAAGTCCCCAGAATAGGCCTGCTATGCCAGCAGGGAGCTCAGCCCGTCTCTCTCTCTCGCCTTGTCCCTGCCGCCGATATGTTACATCCGATCCCACACTGCTATACAAAACTTCCCTTCCACACAGGTTGTCCAGTCCAGCACCCGGTACAAAGGAAATTTCTAAACTTGACAAGTATGTACAATGGGAGCAACGGCATCCGTGGCCCGGCTTCTTGCCAAGGCTAGGGGTGATGCTGATCCCAACCTCAATGCCAGATATTTTTATGCCTCGGCGCCATGCCTCGAACGCCATGCAAGGAAGAGCCTCGTGGGGAATTATAAAATTACCACGAATGGCCCCAAGATCCCCCGTTGACGCCAGAAAAGAAAGCAAACCCGCTCGCTCAAAACATGAAGACAAAGGGAAGTGGAGAGTGATAACGCTAATGCGGTTATCTCGCCTCGTACGCAGGAGGCGGCGCGTCGTCCTGGTCCTCCCAGAAACCGGCATTCCGGCGCTTCTCGTCGTATACGCGGCGAGCGATCTCGCCCGCCATCTTCATGATCCACGCTTGCTCCAGGATAACAGACGAGGTATCCGAGGTGGGGCCACGACGCGGCGGCTGTCCGAAGGGCGACTTGAGGTCGGCCGGGACTGACACGCTCCTTTCAATAACTACTTCGCCGTAGGCGGGCTTGTCGGATGGCTGGGCCGTCCTGCCTTCGGTGACCACAGGTTCTCCCTGCTCCCCCGAGACCATTGGGCTGCTTGGCGACCTGTACAAATCCGGGTTCAAAGGTGGCCGCGCAGGGGGCTGGGCCTTGTCGACAGATGGCCTGAAACGCACCCTACTTGCTGATGACATTGTCGGCGGCATCTCATCTTCCAGTTCCTCAGGAATGGAAGTATGCAGCAACGGCTCGGACGCCGGTGACTCAATGGAGGCCGTATCCGAAACTGTGTCTCCCGTTTCGCTGGTCGTCTCGCTTGCGGATGTCTTCCGCCTCAGATTAACAACCCTGGTCTTCTTCTTCCGGCCAGACTTTGAATGCCTGCCTGAGCCTAGCGTCAAGCCAGTAGTCGCGGAGTGCAGGTTCACAAGAGACGGCCTCGACGGGAGCTGGTCATTCTCCCGGCCGCCAGAATCCGAGAAGGTGTAGGTGGTCGCACTTCCCTGGAACGAGTGTGACTTGGCAAGGCTTGGAGTGGATAGTGGCGAGTTGAAACCCGTATCCGAGCGGTCTATTGGTCCGGCCCAAGCCCTGAAGACGACATCCTGAATGCCTGGGGTGAACAGGGACAATGTGCGGTGGGAGTTGGAGAGTGCTGCCAGGCGAAGGATATTCTTCTGCGAGAACAGTGACTGAATCTCAGCCCCGCCATCAAGAGAGAGTGATGCAATCTTCAGGGGGTCAAGCAAGTGGCCGTATGCATCGACGGCATCGGGCGGGGGAGTAGCTAGTGGATCCACAGCAGGTTCGTCGCTTTCCTTGGCAAGATCGTTTTCCTTAGGCAGTTGATCTGGGCACCACAACTGCAACGAGAGCCGATGGATGATGGCAGGCAACTCGTCCATCATCAGGTCGCGCAGCTTCCCTTCGATGGTTCTCTGCAAATAGTCCCGGACGAACTGGATGGAGTCAAAGGTCGATGAGACCTTGAGCGACTCGAGCGGGTCATTTCGAAATACCAAGGTCAGCCCTTTCTGCTTCGAAAAGACAACAATGATGAACGCAGACAGCTTGATCTCAGACAGAGTGATCTGAAGAGGTATCGTGAGACCTGACGCTGCTGCCAGGGGCTGTGGAGATGTGAAGCTAGGCTTAGAGCAGAGATATGTGTTCAGGGGGTTGGCCTATAGTTTGTTAGTCTTATAGGGCACGACCGACGCGGAAATGAGGGAGATGAACGCGAATCCCTGCCTCGCAATTTATAAAGCAATGCAAAAGAACGAGAATCCTGGCGAGCTTTCAGCCGGAGAGAGCTGGGAACCATTGCAAGCTAACCGGGCGAATTGAGTTTCCCATCAAGCTTGGAAAATTGCGCAAGAGCCATGAACGCGTTTTTGAGAATGCCCGCAAAATCCAAGCTTGGAGCCCACGTTCCAGAATAAGGGCCATCCAGAACGAGGAAAACAGGTATCGGGGGTATAAGACGCTTGTCATTGATGACCCCATTGACCATGTCAAGCCAGAAGGTGAGATGCGCTGCATGCGTGGTGGTGATGGGGCAATTGATGTTGCGTCTCGGAATAGAACGGAAGCCGAGGGTGGAGGGGCTTAAAAGCAGACGAGTGAGAGAGAAAGGGAAGCAAAAGAACCCAAACATACTTGAACTCTCGTTTTCAAAGTCAAGAAGGCATCGCCTGAGTAGCACATCTTGAAAATGCCTCGAAAGCGGTCCTCCGCAATATCCCCTATTTCCAATATCTCCAGCTCGGGGGGCACGGAGCCCAGGTTGAACTCGGTCACGAGTATGTCATCAACGATGATGGGCGGCTTCGGCGACTTGTTTAACGCAGTCGTCAGGAGATCTCGTGTGCGTTTGTAGAACTCTGCGTCGGCCGTGAGAGGCGACCAGTTGAAGTTGAAGGCCATGTTGAACGGCTTCCGCTACACGGTCATCGCATCCAAGAGGAGCAGGGGGCGGGCTCGTCGATAAGCCCTTTGTCGCGCAACGTAGAGATGGCAATATGAGGGCGCAAACCGTCGTGAGGGAGAGCGCGGGTGTCTTATCAATTGCCGACGTAGGTATCGCGATGATTTGCTGTGTTGATGAGGCCCGAAAGGGGAGGCGAAGCTTTGGTTGGAGATGCGGAAGGAATGACGCTATTTCTTCGGGGGTGCGGGTTTGTTTGCGAAATATTTTTCCTGGCACACCCGACCTTTGTCGCGTGTGGTGGGCACCTAGCGGGTCATTTTAGCGTTGTGCCAAAACAGCGCCCTATTATTCTCCGCAAAATTCTTAGTCATCGACTCTTCTTAGTGGGTACCCCCGCCATGGCCAAGATGGTCTGACACCATGACCTCCACTGCTGACAGCTGCGGGCCTCATGCTTCGCCCGCATGCATTGATTCCTGAAATGAGATTGCCAGGATGGCACTACAACGATACCTACAATAATACCTTGTTTGCTATATCGTCACGCTCCTGATAAGGCAGACGCAAACCTTCTAAAAGAGAGGACGGGGCGAAAAGGGGTAAACGTGAAGCTGAACGCAGGAAAATAGTATGTCGAGCTAGGATTAGGTAGCTCCGGGTAGCACCTTCCAGCAGCTGGCCAGAACCGAGGCACTGGAATCGGCTACTACGCAGTGCTCATACGACCTGTACGCAGCACCGCATCCAAAATCGCCCCAGTGAAGGATCGAGGTTTTAGCTCCATGCGAGTGAAGTGCTTGGCATATGGAACTAATAGGTCTTGTAGGTATAGGTGCCAGTGATTGCCCTGATTATTAGTGCATAACCTGGTGATGCTCTTCGTTCCAATTCTGAAAGAGGACAGTCGTGCGGCACGCCATGGACACGATCCCGACGGGATGTGAGGCTGAATTCGTCGGCGAGGGTGCTGCCAATTTGGTCTTCAAGATCACCCCACCAAACAACTCATCGAGCCCGGCTTTTTCAGAAGGCATGTATATGTGTGTGGGCCACTCAGCATCTTATCCCGGGGTTGCACTGATTGGCCAAACAGGAAAACTCCTCCGGGTGCCCAAAGCCGGCACTAGAGCATATCCCTACCCGGAGCTTCAAGAGTACTGGGAGAACACCGTCAAGCCCCTGTTCAAGGGTGACGACCTAGTCCAGCAGTCTCTCGTCAGGCTCACGGGGAGCGGCATCGTGCCCAAGCTCAACGCTCTCCTATCTGAGAATGAAGCGAACCGACGGGAAGACTTCAGGGGCCACAGGGTCGCCGACGCCGAGTTCGGCATGCTTGTGGAGAACATGAGGAAGAGTCAGCATGGGGATCCCAACACCAGGCCCGGAGCCAAGTGCTAACATGTTTTTTTCTATCTTCTTCTCCCCCTCTGCAGTCCGCCCCGGAGACATCGTCCTTGAGTTCAAGCCCAAGTGGCTCGCGCAGTCGCCCAGTGCGCCGCCAACTTCGCGACGGTGCCGCAACTGCGCCCTCGTGGCCTACCGCAGCCACAGCAGCAGCAGCAATAACAACGACGACGCGCACGGCACGTCCAAGGCGGCCCTGTGCCCCCTCGACCTCGCCCGGTGCCACGACGACACCGCAGTGCTGCGCCAGGTGCTGGGGCACATGATGAGCCTCATCGGGGGCAGGAACGCCGCCGCCCTGCCGGAGCCGCAGCTGGGCCGCTTCGCCGAATGGCTTGAGACCAACGGACTGATTGAGAGGCTGCGCGCCGCGCAGGTCCGGAATGATCCCGGCGGGCCCCTGGGATCCAGCGCGCATGATTCCCGGTTCCAGCTGGCCATGACGCTGAGGGACTGCGCCTGCTTCATCCGGATCCCTGCGGACGCGGGCGCACCGGTCGAGGTGAGGTTGGGGGATATGGACAGGAAGAACTCGGAGGCCAAGCTGGGGTACTGGCAGTCCATGGAGCGGAGGCTCATCGACGGGGGGTATTACGAGGGGAGGGAAGAGCCGGCGCAGAGGACTGCCTGTCAGTTGGAGCGGGAGTAGGTGGCCTACCAAGGCGACGGTGTAATGGTTGCTCTTTTAGAAGGAGAGCAAAGCTTGAAACATTATTCATATCTAGCTGAGGCTCGTTGTGACTCTCAATAATCATATTCACGCCTGGCCTTCCCCAACACCGCTGACCGTGCAAGCCCCGTGACGCCCACAACCTGTACGCACGTAGATATGAATATAGACAACACAGGGGTAACCGCCCCGTATCTAAATCCCCGCAGCACTAAAGCTCAACAGACTACCAACCGTCAAGCCCGCCACGAGGCAGAGGCCCATGAACCCGCCCGCAGCCTCCCTCTCGCCTTCGTCGACCCACTCCCCGGCCGCCATCATGGAGCTGGACCCAAGCCAGCCGTTTGTGAGGCCGAAGGGGAACTGCACGGCCAACAGATAAAACGCGTCGCTCGGCACGGCGGCCCCGCGGCCGCGGACGTTGCACAGCGCGTACAGCGGCAGGAACAGCAGCCTGGCGACGGCGATGGCGAACAGCGCGGCGGGGCGGTGCCGCAGCGAGAACGGTAGCATCGTCGACACCCGCCCGGCCAGGTCGCCGAGGTTCCACACGAAGAAGCCGAGCGGGATGAACACGTCCGGGCTGAACAGCCTCCCGCCGCTGCCGTCGTCCCGCACCGACACGATCTTGCTCGTGAACACGGGGAAGAACATGGCCACCGCGAAGCACATGAACACGGCCGCAGCGGGCCAGTGCAGCTTGCGCAGCAGCGTCGGGATGCTGACGAAGTGGCGGGCGGGGGGTTCGGCCGTCTCCTCGGCCCCGGCCAATCCCGCCGCCGCAGCGAGGTTCCCGAGCTCGCGCCGGCGCTGGCGGCGCACGAGCGGCACAAACGCCGCCAGCGCCGCCAGCGAGACGGCCACGGCCGTGAGGAAGTAGATGAACGCCGCGGTGCCGACCTCCCGGAGCGGGGGAGGGCCGGCGTCGGTGGGATCCGACCCCCCCGCCGGCGGCGGCGGCGGGGCGATCAGCACCGAGGCCATCTGCGCGATGGGCGGCAGGACGCCGGCGACGCCCTGCCCGGCCATGATCGCCTGCATGTACTCCGGGCGGCCGAAGCTGGCGGCGAAGGCGAAGGCGCCGTTCTGCATCAGACCCGTGCCCCAGGCGGAGCAGCCGACGAGAAGCAGGAGGAAGCCGAGGTAGGCCGGGGCGGAGACGTCGAGGAAGGTCTTTGTCGTCGCCGTCAGGAGCGTGAAAACCCCGATGTTGATCAGCAGGCCCGCTTTTATACGGAAGGGGTACGAGGCGGAGCTCTGCATGTTGGTCAGGATAAGCATCGCCGTAAGGTTGGTCACGGTCGAGACGGAGAGGATCGCGGACTGGGAGTTCTCGAGGATCCATTCGTGGGAACTGAACCGTTTCTGGAAGTAGGGCGCGGCGGCAATAAACATGTTCCTGGAGAAGGGGTTCACATAAGCCTTGAGCTCGCGAAGACAGAGATGGCAGGCAAGTGGGGGTTTCTCCTACCAAGCCCAGAGCATAGCAACTCCGATCAGCGCAAAAATGGAGTATTCCAGCCATGAGAAAGGTACCTCCTCCCTTCCCGGGAGATATCCCGACTCGTCCAATGCGCCCGACTCATCTGTAAGCGGTTCGTATTCTTGCTCATTCCCTTTCTTCGGGGCAAACAAGGCCTTGATGCGGTTCATCATGTCGGCCATGGCTTGGCGGTGGGCAGCTTTCGACCGATGCTATCTATAGCACATCTGGGCTTTCCGATATGGTAAGAGTCACGGAGAATGTCGGCATAGGTTATGGATGTCAGTATCGGCTTCCGGCCGACGGTGTAGTGTCGTGCCGCGATTGCCAGTCTGGCGAACGTGTTCGATCGCCCGAGTTACCAAAAGGCTTCAGTGTGCACTAGGCAGCTAGCCACAACCTCGGATTTGGCCAAAATCGAGTAGGGTTGTTTTGCGTGGGCAACTCGTGGGCTGCAAAGCCTCGTAGCCTAACGTGATGATGATGATCACAGGGCACGGTTGACAGGTGCTATTTAGGCGAGTGTGGGTCCGGGCATCTGGCGGAGCCGCATATTTTGCCGGTGTGGATCCCCGGCTCTTCCCTCCCGCCGGCGCTTGACGAACATGGACCAGACTGTTGCTAACTGTCAGTGTTTGCTCCGCGCTCTTGTACAAGTCCCATTTCCATATATTTGCTACGTTCGCCAGTTCTCTCTGTGTCATATTGCCATTTCCCGGGCCTTCGCATCCTATGGTCACAAACGACAGAAGTTCTAAAAATAGCAGCTCTAAAGGGGGCAAGGACGATGCGGCCCATTCTGCGACCACCCACGTGATGCCGACGTCCTGCGATGCAAGTATGTCGTGCAGAGTTTATTCAACTTGCCAAACTCTCCAAGGTGCTGAGAGAGAGAGAGCCGGTTGCTTTCCGCGCCGTGCGACTCCCAGAGACCTGGCTTACAAGGCCTTGGCCCGCATCGAGCCCCCAAAACTCAAGTCTTGTTGTGTTGTTCACTGGGCAGTGTGAGCAACAGTTTGGGCTGTATTTACAGTAAGCCTTGTCTAACATGGGGTATCGCTCTCCTAATTCAAGCCAAATTCGCCGTCGCTATCATGCACTCTCTCTTTCTCGATGGCCCGGCCCGGCCCTGAGAGCATGCATCCTATTCCAACGCCCTCTGCACGCGCCGTCGAGGTGACCGTCGCAGATGGGCATCCTCCACTTCCGGGAAGGGCGCCTCGATTATGCTCTCGTTACAGGCAACGCTTGCGAACTCGGCCTCGACCACCTTGCCTCCTTCCCCCACCAGCTGGTCCTCGGTCATCCAACCCGCTTCCACCGCATATCGCACCGCGTCGCCCGCCCTAGAGAAGGACAGGACCACGCGTGGCGCTTCGGGGTTCAGGTGTAACCAAAACTCCTTGGTGGTGCGCTTGAATTGGGCCAGCTCCTTCTTTTCTCCCGTGAAGTTGTCAACCAAGTACTGATATATGTACGCGAGCCAGAGAACATTGGTGTAAGGATAGTAGCCGTCCCAGGAGATTGGTCCGTCAATGCCCAACTCGTAGGGTTTGGTATGTGACTTGGGTGGCAGACACACACGATCTCCTTTCAGGAGAAATGATCTCATTTGTCGATAAACCTTGCACTGCAGAGCATGTGTACTGGTAAAGATACTCAGGTCCTTTTCCAGGTCGCACGCAACCGTGAATGCCTCTTCGCTCGTGGTCTCGGTGTCCTCGGCGCGAGATAGTCCGTAGTCGAGAATGGTGATGTCAATGCCAGAGTATCCAAACTGACAAGGGCTCTCGTCCCGCTTTGCCAGTGGTGTTCCAGTTTGACGAACACATAAATTACCCTCATGGAGGTCGCGGTGCTAAGCGGTCAGCCTATCAAGCTGTCAATGGCTGCAACCGGATGATGCATACCTCAAAATTGACCAAGTCCTCTGCCCTAGCTAGAGCCACGGCCGTGTGGAGGAAAATATCCCAGAGCTGAGCAGTTGAAGTGAGCTCAAAATCTTCCAGTGCGATGCCTGCGTCCCCTAGCTCGACCACCAAGAATCGCGTGTCCTCGAGGTACCGACTCGGAGAAGGGTAGAACTGCAACCGATCTGGGTCTTTCCGCTTTGCCTTCCGCTGAAATGCCTGATGCGTTTCCAGCAAAGGCTTCGGCGCCTTCCCTTGCACAACGTATCGCTCTTTGTAGACAACAAATCCTGGAATATCGGCAAGCCACTCGGATATCCTTATCTCTCCGACTAGATCATCTTCGGAGTGAGGTTCTTCGTCAACCAATTCGGACCTTTCCTGGGCCTTCGTCTGAGGTTTGATGGGTGATTCCAACCGGATAACCTTGATGATGCTCGTTCCCCTTTCATTCGTGATCCGATAGACCTCGGCATATGACGCCTCTGCGATCTTCTCTATCCGGTCTCCAAAGGGGCAAACGTCATCCCACGCCAAGACTCTCAATTCATCGTCGCAGAATTGTGAAGAGTCCTGCAAGGCTGACTCTTCCGTCTGAGAGCCTGGTTTAGGGGCTTCGGGTGCTGCGATGTCTTCTAGAGACTCCTGCCGAGCATCCTCACCATACCGCGTCTGATCATTTAGTGAGATTGACTCGAGTTGATCTGTTATGAGATTTATGGTTTCCTCCGCTTCTGGAGCCTTTTTCGACGGGCTCTTTGGTAACTCGGCGAAGAGTCGCTCTGCCCTTGACTTCGTCGTCGCTTTGCCGTATCTCCGGACAGTCGCTGTTCTGGTCATCCTGAAAGATGCGTCCAAGTCAACAATCCCAAGTTTTTAATAGGCTGTACAAAATGCTGAAAACAATTTGGTTTATCCATTTCCACCTCTCTTCCCTGATTCTGCGGCCCAAACTTGGACCATCCCGTCTTGCCACGATAGGTCGGTTGCGAGGGGCAACCGGAATGTCGGAGTGGCAATTCAGCCGAGGGCCAACCCCGGGCTGGCGGGGCCCCAGAATCTGGAACTGGTAACGACAAGTGGGTCCCACAACGCACGGACGTCGTTGAAGCTTGGGGAACGACCAATTTCGATTTCTTCGACAGCTTCCAGCTTCCAGCTTCGATTCGATAAACTCGCATGCAATCATGGCGCAGGTTTTCAAGGACTTATTCGGAGGTGGCAAATCCGTTGCGAGCCCTGTTCCCTCTGCGGACTCGGGTAAGTTCTTTCAGCGATCCAGCGAAGCCAATCTGCTTCGGAGCATGTAGTCACAAACCTGGTGTGGCGTGGCTCAACTCCCGAGCTCTCTATCTCTCTCTGTTCTCGCTAACCCTAAACTCTTCTGTGTGCAGACTTCGCCGACTTTGCGGGGGCACCAGACCCAGCACCTGGCTCTTTTAACCCCGTGCCTAACGCCCCTGTCGCCCCTGGTGTGGCGGCGACGGCGCGCCCCTATTCAAAATGGTACAACGTCCATGAGCGACACTCGCTGTCCGAGTTCAAGATCGAGGGCGGGATCATGGCCGTCATTGCCTTCATCCTCCTGCTGCACCTGATCGGTTCGCGGTTGAATCGCTCCAAAGCGCGCAAGTGGGCCAGCGCGCACGCTGCACCACTTGCCTCGGAGTTCGCGGTCGTGGGATTCGAGGGATTCTCGCCCGCGCACGCCGACAAGTCCGGTGCCGAGCTGGTCCAGGCCCTCGAGGACGCCAACATCCAGCGGGGCAACTCTATCCTGAAGGAGAAGAGCCTGTTCGAGTTCGCGACCTACGCGACCGGCCGCCAGAACGTCGCCTTCTTGGATGCCAAGTTGACGCTGAGGAAGCGCTTCAACCCGGTAGTGATGATCATCGAGTCTGTCCTCGGCTTCTTCGCCGAGACCTTCGCCGCACCCGAGGAAGCTTTGGATGCTGTTCTCTACCCCTTTGATGGCATGGAGGCCGCTACTGTTCCCGGGCTGCCAGGCGCTGCCGAACTGAAGGCGAAGGACAACAAGAGCACGTTTGATGGCTTCGTGTGGGCCCTTGTCAACAAGGAGAAGATGAGGGAGATCCGCGACGATCGTTACGATATCTCCATTACCACGACCAAGGATCACGCGAAGCTCCCAGCCTGGTTGACGGTCATGACTGAGAGCGCCGAGGTCACCGATGTATTGCTCACTCCCGAGCTTATCAAGGCTGCTGAGGCCGCTGGTGAGCTCCTGGACTACCTCATCGTATCTGATCAGCCCGTTGAGAAGCCTACCACGTATGTCTTCACCACCTACACCTAACCCAATATTTGTGACCATATTTCCCGCTAACCGTACCGCTCATTCACAGTCTCGATGAGACCAAGCCTCGGAAGCGCATCTTCCTTAGGTACCGCCTGCCGTCAAACGACGACTACGAGCCGCTGGTACCCATCTTCAACTACTTCATGCGCATCTCGGACCACCTCGTCAAGTCTGCGCACTTCCGGCCCGAGGTCAACCGCAAGCTCAAGGTCGTGCGCGAGGAGAACGTGAAGCAGATCAAGAGGGCTGAAGACGACGAGAAGGCCGAGGAGCGGGCCCTCGAGCGCGAAAAGGCCAAGAAGGCTAAGCGGGATCAGGAGCTCAGCCTGCTGGACGCCAAGGCGCAGAAGAAATACCTGGAGAAGGAGCGAGACAGGGAGCAGCGCAAGTCCATGAAGAAGCAGACTTCGCGCATGTAAAATGCGAGATAGGGTTGCAGATGCTCTGGATCTGCCCGGCTCAGGGGATTCGAGGGCTTATGGTGTGGTAATGGAGGCGGGCAAGTTGTAAAAGTGTCATCATCGTGTACTAATTCGTTTTCCAATTTCGACGTATCCATCGTCTGAGAATAAACTATGTACATGTACAGTCAAGCCAGAACCAATATCAAACCGAAGACCAGGCTTTTTTCTTCCTCTTCTTATTCCCTTTCCTCTTGGCAGGGCTTGTAGAGTTATACCCTCCTGTGCAAGGATAGAACAGCTCACAGCAGCAGGGGTGGGGAGGTAGTTTGCGGCAAACAGGCTAGGATGCAAATGTCACGACTCCTACCTCCCCCAATAGCCTACTCAAGATCGCGACTGTACCCATCCTTCAAGGAAGCCGACACATCCTTCTCTTCCAAAATCGAGCGTCTACGGCCTACAGATGCTCCCACTCTAGTTGTCGAATCGGGCTATTCCAAGTCCTTACGTCACCTTCGTGCAGATGCAAGCTGGTGGCTTCAAATCCAAGAAGGGTGACGTTCAAGCAGTTTTGATCATCAAAGTCAAGCACCAAGACTTTGAGATTATCCTTGAGCTTTGGAAGCTAGGTCTACTGTATTAAAGGCCTGTAGCGTTAATTGCAAAGAAAATCTGTGTACTTTAATCTTGCCTATCCAGGCTGTCTTCAAGACCAGGCCCTCTTCTTTGATCTTTTCCATGACGAAAATGCTGCCAACCTGCCTGCTATGGATCTGGCTGGCGAGACAGGCGGAGGCGTGTCAGGACGGCTACAGAGCCAATTAGAAGTTGACATAGTTCATGGTACACATCTAGAGCTTGCCTTGAGTACGGCTCCAGCTTGCTCTCAGCTTGCTCGGCCCTATGGGACTCTTCTTTACGATAATCATATCCTGCAAATAACCCTCAATCCCTCCCTCTTCTGAAGCCAATACATTTCCCATGAATAAAATCTATTACCTATTCATCCAATCCAATATGGCATCACTCAGAGCTTCACCGATATTTCAGGTTTGCTTCACCGTTTTGTCCCTTTGGTATTCTCTTTGTTCCCTACTCTCAACCTCAGCTTCAAATCCAAACCATTTTCTCTTCTCTCCCAAGACCTGAACAGCAACAGCTGCTGCTACTGTGATTGCTGCATTCCCCTCTATCGCCTCCTCTCCCATCACTTTCTTCCAGCTGGTTCTTTCCTTTTCATCGCAAGATCCTGTCCCTAGTCGCATGAGTTGTCCTCGCAAGCACGATCTGACGTCTTTAGGTACGTTCTTGGAAATTCTCAGTTTAACAACATCAAACCTATGAGATACAGACAACCGATTCAAGCTCTTATCTACCAAGTTCTCCGAAGCCACGGCCATGGTGTCTAATGCAGATGGTTTCCGCAGCATCGACTCGCCAGGGGCGCTAAATGATCTCGAGAAGCTTAGGATCACTCGGATGGGGCAAAAGGCAAGAGAGAGCGGCTAGTCCACAGCACAAGGTCTACGAGACTTCTTATTTTTCATCCCGGGCCAGAATGTCCTGGACACTCTTGATCTTGTCATCGGCAGTCTGAGTCTTATCGGTTCTGGTGCAAAACTGTAAGCTTTCACGCCTGCTGTCCGTCAAGGCGGGATTTTACCAACCGTGATCCAACACGCATCGACGACTGGACCCGAACAGCGCCATTCTGGTGGACGATGCTGTGGGCCTGGCCGATGACCTTCATGACTTCGTCCCAGCTGCCCTCTGTTGCGCGCAAGTCAGCCCAGATTCGCGGACCTTCTTCCCCAAGGCGCAATGCGGGGGGGTGTGAATTCCCCCGTAAAAGCTCGTAACTTACCGACTGTGGTTCCGGCCGAGTGCATCTTGTAGTATAGGCCGCTAGCCTTGAGCACCTTCTGCACCTCGGCGACCTCCCGGGAGATGGACGGGCTGCCCGTGCCGACCTGTTCGAGTTAGTTTAAGACTCTCAGCACTCGGGATCCAGTGGCAAACGCGGAGCGGAGCAGCCGCTCGGATAGTGGGGATTTGGAGCTCACCGGAATCATGCAGAAGTCGGCATAGCAGCTAGCCGGGGTTTTCAGGTTCGAATAAGCCATTCTGGGTGCGGAACTACTGAAGAGTCTGTTGTTTTGGACTGTTGATCTCAAGACTGGAGTTGCGATTGAGAGCTGGGATGAGCCTGCTCTTGAGATGAGGCGGAACGGGGCTTTTAGTGACATTAGCATGGACAAAAAAAGGTTTATTTCTTCTGTAGATGCAGATGCAGATGCAGAATAAAGTTTGTTGAGTTGCGAAGAAGGCCGGGCTAGGATTCCGTCATTGGTTGTTGAATTTATATGATGCAACCAACGTCAATACCCACTGCGGCCTGCGTCTTGCATCTGCCAAGAGTCTTGAGGCGACGCTTGGCTCTTGGTTTCCTTCCCGAGAAAACTGAAGAGAGATGACAACTCAACGACGACAGCCTTCTCAGCGTCATGTATTCAATCCAGCCTGGCTTAAAAGCCAACTTCCCTCTAACCCTTTCCAGCCACCTAAATGCTCGCTATGGAATGTCAAATGCTGCCCAAACCTATGAACCCTACCTGGCAGCTACCCTTTATTTTCCGTTTGTTTATATTCCCAAGGCCAATTGGTCAAGTGGGAAGCCAAGCAAGCAAACCCACATCTTATTTCTCTTGGCCTCCTCCCTTCCCCCCCTCCAACGCCACCGAGACAAACGCCCAATTTCCCCAAACCTCCATGATCTCCCCCGTGAAACCGTCACCCATCACCCCCCGCCCGCCTCACCCCTGGCAACGGCAACAGCATCCTCCCACCCCGCACTCGCCCGCCTCGAGCCCTGAGGGCTGACGCTATCCACCGCCGGCGGCGCCCCCGCCCGGCCGCCCGTCCCTCGCCCCCGGCGGCGGCCCCGGCCAAACTCCATGGTGAAGTCGCCGAGCATCTCCTGGTGGCGCAGCCTCGTATCGGACAGGGGCCGCTCGCTGGGGTGCAGCTTGCTTTCTCTGTTTTTGCTTTTGATCTTGCTTTTGTTTTTGCTTCTGCTCCTGCTGTTTTTGTCGTCCCGCCGCCCGTCGCCGTCCTCTCCCTTCTTGTCCTTCCCCGCCCGGGGTTGGTGCTGGTGGTGGTGGTGCGGCCGCCAGCCGAGTGTCTTGGCGAGCAGGCCCGGAGACGACGGCGGCGGCGGCCTGGCGGGGTCGCTGCCGTTGCCGCCGTTGGCGGTCGCGGTTGTAGTGGTGGCAGTAGTGCTGGTGGCTACGGCGGGCGCCGAGGTCGCGGGTCTGGCTGTGGTACCGGTTGGGGGGGCGCCCGCGGTCGGGGAGGGTGCGGAGGATAGGGACCTGCGCGAGATGAAGCGGTTCCAGCGGTCCTTGATCGTCATCGTCGGGAGGGAGCTTACGACGCTGGCTGGACTGTGGTGGGTGATGGGGAAAAAGTTGGGATGGACATGGTAAGTAAGGTATTTGTCTTGGATGAGCTAGTGAGTCCGTCTGCCCACATTCCCTAGTAGATCCAGATCCAGAGACAAACACCCTATATTGAGGTACATGTCTTGCGCCGCACCTATTCGTAGTGGTGTGTAAGTCTGCAGATATGTGGAGGTCGGGGTCTCCGAGGGATCCCGTCTCCTAGCGTTCCGTCGACGTCATCCACCACCACATAACGTGTTTATCAGATCTCCCGCAAGCTAACAGCTGGGTCGTTGAAGCTGTATCGGAAAGCTAGACGAGTCTAAGTTATCACAATCTCAAATTGCGGCTTCGACTGTCAGGACGGATGATGGGCTTCGGGGTTTTATATGTCATCAATATTAGTCGCCAAGTTCATTGTACCTAGAAGTTCCAACAATACCCATGAGTCGTGCGTATGTAAACGGCACCTTCCAAACCCGCGCATGAAATTATCCTTGGTCCCGTTTGCCACAAACTAAACGCCATACAATCTGCCCTGGGGCCCCTGAGACCTACTCGATACGTATCATGTTGAGTGCCTGCTCAACGGATTCCTGTGAGCTACCGGGATATACACTCAGCACCAAACACGCCAGCAGAGCCGGCCCCCAGTCCTCCGAGAGCCGTCAAGCCCCATGCAAGGGACGCGGCTTCCCAGTCGTCCTCTGTCAATACCTCGTCGCCCTCAATGACACTTCCGGCAACGCTGGGAGAGGGAACGTAAGTCTCGTCGCCAGGGGCTTCATCCAGGTTGGGCTTGACCTTGCGTGGCCGACCTCGTTTCCTGGGAGCCGTCGCGGATGTAGCCACGGCATCATTGGCATCATTGGCATCATTGGCATCATTAGGGGTGCTGATACTGGGAAGTCTCGACTTCCTTGGCCGGCCGCGACGTCGCACCGTTGTTGGCTGCTCTGACTCTTGGTTCAAATGCTCATCTTCGGCTGTGCTCTCGCCATCGGCTGTCACAAGCGCTGTCGGGGTGGAGAGTGTACTGGCTGCGCACTTGTAATACGGGGTTGAGGCTGCGAGAATACTGTCAACGTCGATGGCGCGCACAGCCGCCCACAACCCGATACTAAGGGCGCTCAGAAGGACATCGCTGCCCACGGCAGCAACGACTGGATGGTCTGATATCGAGCCCAGGACCCTCCCAGCAGCTGTCGTAGTTCGCTCCCAGTTTGAACGCTCTTCTGTGCCTAATGGCATTAAGATGCTGTGTCGATGCTCGTACGATCTAGGGAGGTTGTCAAGGACGCCGGAAATGCTGGCCTTCCAGTGAAGAGCGGTACTAGCGAGGGAGATGAATCGGAAGAGGCTCGTGAAAGCGCTGTAGGCATTGTGAGGATGTGCATGGACGGTCCCCCACGATTCCGGGACGATAACTGGTAGAATCACCACCCCAAAAGTAAAAAGTGTCGTCAGCCCCGTTACGATGGGGAACAACTGGCCTCCCGCTACAGCCGGAAGCAAGGCCAGTGAGGCATAGTTAAGCATGAGTAGGCCCAGGAACAAGGCTGGGTTAGGGCACCAGTTGTTTGGCTTGGGTGGGAACGCTCTGGCCAAAAGTCTCGATAGCCTATTACTGTGTTAGTGCCCAGGCTTATTGCGGAGTCTGGCATAATAGGTACAGTACCTTGAGTCCGATGAGACCGTGCTACTCTCAAGTGGAGATGGTGTGAGGAGCAAGGAGAGGTAGAAAAGATTCTGTGCGAAGGACAGATTGACGAGCTGGGCGAGCAGAAGGTAACCCACGAGGAAGGGTATCTTCCGACGACGACCTTCAATCGCCAACAGCATGCTCCAGGACGTCGTTGCAAGGGCTCGTTGATTGGCCCACCAGAAACGACGTCCCTTCTCTGCGACTATCTCAAGAGCATCCCGGTAGATGGGCGTGTCCGTAAGCCACATCCTGACGTATAAAGGGGCGGCACTTGTTCCATTCGTCACCGGTGATGTGGCCCCAATCAAGCTGGAATTCAAGTCAGTTGCCATTCATTGTTAGTGTTTAGTGTTTAGATGAGAAGTGTCATAGTACGGACCTATTGGGAAGTACGACACCTCGCTCGTCGGCCCAAACCTTGTAGGATAATACCACGTAGTTGACGGCATGATAGGCAGCAGTAGCCAGACTCAGTAGTGCCAGAACGGCAAAGACTGGGGTGGCCTTCTTGCGCTTGGTGATACGTAGGCGGGTGTCTTGTGAGGGACGTAGTTCCGTGTATGATTGGTGTAGACCAAGGCTGATAACACACGTCGAGTAAATCACTGTAGCAATGTGAGATGCCACTACGATGAGCGGCGCATAGCTGTTGTTGTCAGCCAGCCTGAAGGCTAGCAACTAGAACAATGTCATCATCATCATCACTCACCTCGCTTGAACCTCAAAGGAGACAGGTGCCATGTTGGGAATTATTGGATATGTCCGCCCCTCCAAGTTAGGAGAAAGCAAGCGATGAGATAACTCATAGTGAGGAGCAGTTGCCCACTCCATATGCGTATGTAGGTGGAACCTCCTACCTATATGCGGGTAGGGAAGCTGGCGGCTGCGAGACCTGCCCCGGTCTGACCTCATAGGGCGGGAGTTATTATTAGTTAGCCTATTGTACTTGTACACTAATTAAAGTCAATCCTCAGTGAGGCTTGGCCTGAAGGCGCTAAGTAAGCTTCCCGTCTCCGGCGCGGGGTGCCACAAAGTCAGCGCATCCCAGCGGCTCGTGTCACTACCAAAATGCACTAAACATTTAGACTTCTATGTGTAAATCTCTCCAAGCCCTCCTTCTAGTCGCATTGCAAGGTGTAGCGAGCTGAGTAGTTTGCTCCGCCGCGCCCCAACCGAACAGCATGTACCATCTCGCCAAAGGCCTTTACCGGCTTGCAACGAGCAAAGAAGGTGTTGGACTCGACGACTCCAGGCCCCGGAGGGGGTGTGCATGCTGCAGCTGCTAACGCGCCTCCACAGAGTACTCGGTCATCCTCCTGGGCCTCGACAATGCCGGCAAGACGACGTTCCACGAGCAGGTCAAGGCCCTCTTCCTCCCCGACAACCCGGAGCCCAAGCTGAAGACGGTCCCGACCGTCGGCCAGAACGTGTCGACCATCACGCTGCCGGACATGTACCTGAAGATCTGGGACGTGGGCGGGCAGCTCAGCCTGCGCAAGCTGTGGCAGAGCTACTACGCGAGCTGCCACGCCATCGTCTTCATCATTGACAGCACCGACATTGGCGACGCGAACCTCGAGCACGACAGCACCGGCCGCCTCGACGAGTGCCGCCTCGTGCTGGAGGACGTCCTGCAGAACTCGGAGACCGAGGGCGTGCCCCTACTGATCCTGGCAAACAAGCAAGACCGGGAAGACTGCGTCGAGGTGGTGAGGATAAAAGAAGGGCTGGTGAAGAAGGTGTTTGAGGGCGAGAAGGCAAGCAGCATCCGCGATTCCAGAGTGCTCCCCGTCTCCGCCCTGACGGGGACTGGTGTGAGGGAAGCAGTGGACTGGGTGAGATCGAGGGTAAAATGGAACAAAGAGTCTAGGCCGCCGGTGATGAGATGAGACGAGCATGAAGTCATTGGGTCACTGGTTTCCTATATTCTTATAGGCGTTTGGGGATGGCGGAACGGATGCTTGGATGAACCTAGAGCGATTCTATACCAGCTTGGAGTTTTATTATCAGGGGACTCGGACATTGGTCCCAACATGACAGTGACCCCAATGGTTACCACTACTCTCCTTGGCGGCTCTAGCTTTTAGATTGCCGCATCTTCGACCGTATTCGATGGAGAGGGCAACATCCACGGTACCCAAAACTCTCGCGCCTAGGGGGCAGCGAGGTGGTGTTGTAAGGGGGGTATCTTGCCTTTGACTCCCAATCCCAAAACCCTTTTTCTAAGCCCTTCCCAAACGCATTCTATCTATCGTTCTCGGCCGAAAGTTCTGCCACAAGTCCTCCCCGGTCTCTCCTTTTCGCGTCCTCGGCGAGCATCTTGTCCAAGAAGGTCGATAGATCCTTGACTTTGGTCAATGCAACACTCGTACACTGCAGCAACACCACCGCCTCCACCGGGGTTCCTCCGAGCTTCGCGATCTGGCAGATTTCCCCGTGACGATTCAGGCTGATCGTACAGCTACCCACCCTCACCTGCTCCTCGAGCAATGTCGCGTCCAGCAGTGTCGTCTCCCCCTCGTCGCCAAAGAAACTGAATGTGACACAGAAGGGGGAATGGAGCCAGCCCAGGGGAACCGGCTCCCGCTCGGCCGGGGTGTAGATGGTCAAGACCCCTCCCTCTATGCTCGTATCGGGTTTCCTGAAATGCCGTAGGGCCGCTACCACGGCGAAGCATGAAGCGTCGATAAGATTGCCGTCGTGCGACATGACGTGGACGTCCACCCTGACGGACCAACACTTCTGCCCGGCGACTAGACATAGGGACTCCGTATCCAGAGCTCCGGACCGGCGAACAGTCTTCTCGAGGAGGCGCGATAATAGGACTTCGGTCTCAGTCGGCCGGTTTAACTCGAAGGCCGGGGACGTCATGGGGCTGAGCTCCGTTGCGATAGTGAATATCCCATCCAGTGGTCGATCGGTGTACGGTACAGTCACTTCGGCGGACGCCTTCGCAAGAACCCTGTATTTCCCCAGTAAGCTCAAGAATCAATTGAATCAGGCCGCACTGCATGTGGATGGCATACCTCGTCTTGCCAAGTGTGACATTCGCGACTCCATGTTCGTCCCCAAACTGCAGCTCTATGCCGCGGTATTGGTCGAATTCTCGACCATCGAGTCGCAAGTTTTCTTTAAGAGCTTGCAACACAAACTGCTTCTCGTTTAGAGAAGGTTCCGCTTCTCGAGGCATCTTTGTTTTCTGTGCGATTCAACCCACCGCCCACTTGCCTCGAATCTGCTCTGATATTGATGGTTGTACTCGGAGGGGTCCCTTTCTGCCATTGACGCCCGCCAAATTTTCCGGTGTTTTCTGCCGGGCGGTCAGGCCATGACTGCAGGGGTTGCTTGCATAGCGGACCTTTTAAGCCACCCAACTCCCCATGTTCCATCCTGTCAATAAATAGCAACAACGAATTGAACAACGGACAACCTCAACATCTTCCAAAATGACGACCGCTCACAGGCCTACTTTCGATCCCGTAAGCCCTGCCCGCCAGATGAACCCCGCGTACAGCTGCTAACAACCCCCCGACAGGCTCGCGGAAAGGACGCCCTTCTCGGGCCCGCATACCATCAACGACTGCTCCCGGCACACACGCAGCTGAAGTTCAGGTATGTGGCTCTCGAAACACAACCCTCCTCTTCCCCGTATAACCTCAGAAGCCCATTTCTGAACCCCAACCCACCGAGCAGGAAACCAGGCCAAGGCGGCGATGGCGACATCAAGCAGGTGCGGGACCTGCGCGCCGAGCTCGAGGCCGCCGAGGCAGCGCACTTTGCCAAGACGCGAGGCGGCGGTGCCGCTGCGCCGCTGCCCTCCTCCTCCTCCTCCTCCGGCGCCGCCACCGCCTCGTCGGCGAAGCGGCCGCTGCTGGGGGCCGGGGGCGACGAGGACGGGGATGAGGACGTCGAGGCCAAGAGGCGGCGGATATTGCTAGAGACGAGGGACATCGATGCGGACGAGTCCGGGGAGGACGAGGAGGACGACGATGATGACGATAGCGACGACGACAGCGACGACGATGAGGAGGCGGAGCTGCAGCGGGAGCTTGAGCGGGTGAGGAGGGAGCGGGCCGAGAAGAGGGAGAAAGAGGTAGGTGGTGTCTTTTCGACCCGACATATACTCCCTGGACGGCCTGGGGGTGCGCTGGGCTAACGTGTTACGGCGGAACAACAGGAGCGCGAGAGGGCAGAGGCCGACGAGGAGCAGCGGGAGCGGGACATCGCCCTCGGGAACCCGCTGCTCAACAAGCCCGACTTCAACATCAAGCGCCGGTGGGACGACGACGTCGTGTTCAAGAACCAGGCGCGGGGCACGGAGAATAAGGGGAAGAAGGAGTTCATCAATGTGAGTCCCCCCACCCCCCACTTCTGGCTGCAAACTGAGTCACCCCTTGCCATGTAACGGCGACTGACGACCCATTTTAGGATCTTTTGCGGTCAGATTTCCACAGGCGGTTCATGAGCAAGTACGTTAGATAAGGAAGTGGTTGTAGGTCTGTTTATTGCTTGTCGGGTCACTGGGTTGTTGGTATGGGCCATGTGTAGTCCCAGTCTCACAGATTTGGGCCCTGAGCAAGCACGGAGCGTTACCAAGAGCAAGGTGCTAAAGGCACCTAAAATAGAATCATTGGTAGAGAAATGTTGGCTGAAGTGTAATTCATCGACCATATCTATCTGTAACAATTAAGAGTCTTATGTGTGTTCTAGTTTTCCCAAGTCAACCAGTGAAGTCTTCAGGCCCAACCACGCCTTTCTTCGAAGGGTAGCCCCCGATCCCATTCTCTTCCTTCCACCAGGAAACCCGGTCCCGCCAACGCCGAGCTTCTGAAAAAGTGAAGGAAAAAAGGGAAATATTGCGAATAACGAAAAGGAAAATGAAATGAGAGAAAATAGTTCACAACCGACAGAGCAGCCTCAAACCACATAACCAGTTCAGTGCCACAAAAGAAATAGAGATAATAAGCCCAACTCAGAATATCTCGACAGCGAATCGGAGAAGAGAACCAGCAACGCCATGCTCATGCCGTGGTATAAATATCGAGGACACGGGTCGACGACAAGGTAGAGCCCGCAATAACAGTGTCGATTACAAAACAGATAAGAATGGAGGAGCCAGTTCGTCAAGCGTTCCCGGAGGAGCTGATTAAAAAGACATTGTACGAATAACAGTTTCCGGACTGAAGCAGAGATGGGAGTGGTAGGTTGCGAAACACAAATGGACAGGTCCCCAAGAAGAGATGGTAAATCTCATGCCGAGGAAGTCGCTATTGGCTCTGCGGGTGGACCGGATCTCGAGGCTCCTGGTGTACTTAATGATGGGCCGACGATTTCAGGATCCGGTATTTGAATATCCAGCTACGCGGTGCTGTCAGCATGAGGGTGGGCGGGATGAAAAGATGACAGTCACAACGGGCATAAAACTCACAGTCATATACCCCGTCCGCCTCAGTGGTATAATCTTCGGAGGGATAGCACCCTCCTCGCCGTTGGCAGTCTTTTCCATGTCTAGATTCCACTTCTCGATCCACTTCTCGAGATTCCGCAGGCGAGACTTGGCCCCTGTGAGACCAAAGTCGTCCCATATCCAGCCTGTTGCGAGGCCGAGCACGCCGTCCAGGAGGTTTCTCCAGCTGTACGGGCTGAATATCGGCACGAGCTCGCCGTTCAGCTTCTCGATGATGCGGCGAAACTCCTGCTCGGACAGGCCGGCGGGATCAAGAATCTCGGGGTAGAGGTTCGAGAAGGTCGGTGCTAGGTCGCCCTGAATGAGCCAGTCGCGGCGTACGCGGATGATACGGGTGCTTGTATACTCGGGCGAGTCGATCGGGACGTGGGGATTCAGATGGGGAAAGCAAGGGTGCTGTGGACCCCATCCCTCCCCGAAATCTGGCTGCTGATCCGGATCTCCCATTATCGACGAGTCACTGGACGAGATGGCCGACCCAATGCCGGATATCCTGGATGCGGTTGAATGGCGGACATTGAGGGCATCAGGACCTCGCTCGAGATCCTGAGAAAACCCCCGCTCCTTGTCTCCATTTTCTGGAGACGCCATAATCGCCTTCCCCTTGCCTTTGTCTAGCTTCCTCGGTCGGTCGGAACTCGTTCTGCTATTGTCGAGGATGAGTCCCACGGGAAGCTCGGGGTGTCTCGTCGCACTCTGGACACTCCCTGCAGGCTCTCCGGCTCTGTGGTTCCGCGGTGCGTCCCTCTGCGGCCTGGTCTCCGAGGGACCGGCTTCAACTATTCCTTCTATGGGTGATGGGGTGACGCTCAGTCGCTTCTCGTCGTAAGAATGGCGGACGGTCCTGGGGAGGCTGATGCGCTGCTCGTGGCCAGCGCCCCGCTCGATCTGCAGGCTGGCCCGGGTGGAGATGGAATGCCTGCTCTGGCGCTGCTCGGGGAGAGTGAGGAGCGGGTAGTCGCCGGCGCCTGTGCCTGTAGGATCGGCAGGGTCGGTCGAGGTGTCTAGGGTAGGGTGTTCGAGGGGAACTGCAGGAGGTGGTGGTGTGGATGGCCGGCGCCTGCGGGCAACCACTCTCGGGGTTGAATTGGTTGGATTCCAGAGGCGGGCGGCCGAGAGACGTAGTAAAGGGCGTTGCGAGGAGCTTGAAGGGGAGGCGGCTCCACGGGTTCGGAAGGGTGATTGCCTGAAGTAGGCTTGCGGAGATGGGTAGCCCCTTCGGAGCAAACTATTTCGGCGCGGTTGGCGGGCAGCGGCTATTGGGGGTTCGGGGGTGGGTGTCGAAGCGCCTGGATAGGGTGGCTGCTGAGACGGCGGGATGACGCGCGGATTTGCAGACGAAGCAACGGCATTTATTACGGCGGGCGGGTCAGTCGATCGCGAAGGGTTGCCTGCTTCCGCCGTGTGTGAAGCCGTGGGAATGGCTGATCAGTGGTGGCCGCCGAGACGGCCGCCTCAACTCTGCAGCGTCTCAATTTGGGAAAAGCCGGCAGATGCAGTAGTGCCGTCGCCAAAATAGGATTCAGCCTCCTTTTTCTTTCCAGTCGCAGAAGTCGTGTTTTCCTAACTGCAAACTCTGCTGCTGAACTGCGGTACTGGTCGTCGAGAGGATCGATTCTTGAGACCGGGCGGGAGAGAAAACGAGAAGACAGGGGTTTCAGCGTGTCTCTGGCAATGCCCAGCGAGATCGCGACTGTCGCGGCACGACTGGCACCAGCCGTGCAGGTGGTAGGTGCGTGCGAGTGGTCAGTGTGGCTGAAATTGCCAGGTGTCGAGCGCAGGGAGTCAGCGTAACCCTCTGGATTTCTCGCTAGTAGTGGGTACATGTACATGACGTTCCCTGGCAAGCAGGACCGTCGAGCGTCTTCATGTGTTAGTTAGGTCCAGGGGCAGGTTGTTGGAGGGTGCCTGGGCAAGTCGAAGAGAAGAGACTGGAGAGGACGGGTCGATGATATTATACGAAAACGTCCCGTCGCTTTTACACTATTCATTGCTGCCGCCTCCTATCCTTGATGAGTGTGAGCTGGGAAGCCCCCCAGCGCCTCATTACGCAGCTTCTCCCGGCTGCCAGGGTAGGACCTTGTCACTTCGTTTTTTCCTTCCCTGCTGGGACAACCCCCACCCCCATGAGATCGAGGAACCCGACATCAGCAGGTCAACTGGCGCAGGGGTTACCTATGTTCCTCCCTTTCTTTACTCTTTTTCGCATGAGTTCAGAATATGGCTCGGCCCTGGTCCCTCATCTGACTCACGTGGGTCCATGGTTGTGCACAGTCGAGGGCTTGGGCCCGACAAGATATGAGGTGACGATCTTAAAATTCTAGAATAGGCGGAATGGCTACATTATGCTTGGACCCGGGTGCCAGGCGCGCCCACCACACTAGATTATTTTTGGTAAGCGTGTGTGCCTCTTCTATCTATCAAAGGTAAGATCATGCCTAGAGGTACCTACCATGTGGTAGAGGTAGATAGGGTACCTATGGGCACCTCACATACCTGTCGTTGCGTACTTGATTGACGAGACTCGAATTCTAGCAGGTTCATCAAGCCTGAGCTCGACAGAGGGCCCGAGAGGTTCATCTGCCCCTGAGCTGGACCGAATTGAATGGCCCAAGATCGTCGGGTAGGTCTTAGTACAGCACTTATAGACACCATCCATATATAGAGCGACATGGAACAATCAGTGTCATCTTGGACGTCTCAATATTAACCCATATTCTCACCACTTACTCGGGTCGCTACCTTAGTTATGCAGGTGGAATATAAGGTATCCAGATCCGTATCTGCACGTTTTCTCACAGACAAAGTGCATGATAGGACCCGACATGTCCAGCGTTCGGATATTGTCTACATCCTGGATGTAAGGCTGTCTGGAGTACCTTCTAGCGTCGGATAGATGTGTAACCCCTCTGCCCCTGTAGGAAAATCTCGCCCGACAGTCGGGAACGCCGAATAAGCCCCAGATTTGAAGTGGAGAAATGATATTACACTACATCTAGGTAGCGAAGGTGGATCTGGGCATACAGCTGTTGACGAAATTCACCTGCGAGGGTTAGTAAAATTTCCAATCTGTCATAGAAGATAGAAATTACCTACCTACCTACCTCTAGATTTCATGTATGTAGGTAAGGTATGTCCAGTACATACTTCATGGTTGTAGCTTCTGGGAGTGGAATGAGAGCACCTGACCCTGTGTAACTACCTACCTACCTACCAATTGGGCCAGTGCCCCAACGTAAAGTCGGGTAGTGACGTACAACACTTGGATCCACTTCGCCCTTGGTAGCAAACGAGAACCTCAACGTTCCATGACACGAGCATAGATGCACCTCTCCTCTCCATCGAAGATATGTTCGCCGAGGAGAACCGTAATCCTACTCTTCATCGGACCGGCACGAGCAACAGCGCGGTCGGGCCCACCGGCAAGTCGTCCGCTCTGCCGGCTGCTCCTCCAGGCCACCACCCGCCCCGGCGTTCTATGACTGTCGACGACAGGGCGCAGTTTCGCCGCCGAGCAACTACCGGCCAGTTTTCGATGGACAACGCCTTCGAGTCCCCGAGGCGCGACTCCATCACCTCAGACTACAGCCTCAGCGAGAGACGGCGCAGTCTGCAGGACGACATCCTCAACCCGGGTGGCGCCAGCCTAGAGAACCACGAGGGCTCGCACTGGTCATCGCTTCCTTTGGCCTTCGCCCTGCTACCCGCTGTTGGCGGGCTCTTCTTCAAGAATGGCAGCTCTATCGTCACCGATATCATGCTACTCGGCCTCGCGGCCGTCTTTTTGCATTGGTCTGTTACGCAGCCATGGTAAGTGATTTAAAGCAGGACCCGGGTGTAGGGGTGTCTCGAGTCGCTGACATCATGCAGGATCTGGTACCACTCAGCTCAGGAAATTCGCGTTAGGGAAGAGGCTATGGCTGGGATGATGGACATGGACGATGAGATTGAAGAGGAGCTGCCGTCCAGGCCACCAGCCGGGGCAAAGTCTAGTACCCTGAATGGAGCCCACGAGGAAGTGGATGGCCCTACCCCAGAAACGCAAGACTTCAGACAGGAAGCCTTAAATGAGCTGTATACGCACGAGGTTATGGCATTGGCGTCGTGCTTCTTCTTCCCCCTGTTGGGTGCATTCCTGCTTCACACGATACGAAACCAGCTCAGTCGGCCGTCAGAAGGCTTAGTTTCCAACTACAACCTCACAATTTTCCTGCTTGCGGCTGAGATCCACCCGCTCGGCCACCTCATAAAGATGGTCCAAGCCCGTACCTTGCACCTGCAGCGGATCGTCCACTCGAATCCGTACAACGAGGCCTCCCCGGCGTCAGGTCGGATCGAGGATGTGATGCGGCGACTCGAGGAGCTCGAATCCCGTGTGGCAGAGAGCCGGACGGGCGCGTCTCATTGCGCAAACGGAATCGCGGATCCAGGGAAGCAGGCGAAGCAGGATGGTAACTTAGTCCGAGAGGTGCGGAATGCAATCCAGCCCGAGCTGGACGCGCTGAACCGGGCGGTCAGGCACTACGAGAAAAGGACTACGATGCTGGCCTTGCAGACAGACTCACGGCTTGGTGCTATCGACACGCGCCTCAACGACGCCATCTCGCTCGCTGCGGCGGCGGCCAAGACTAGCATCTCTCGGCGCAGCTTCCTCAGTTGGCTGACGGAGCGGCTTGTCGAGGCAGTGATGGGTACACCTAGAGTGATCTTCAGGGCGGCGGTCTTGCCCTTTCGAGTCGTCTCGAATCTCCTGAGCCTGGACAGCAAAGGACGCCATAGGAAGGGGCCCCGGGACCGGAGGGTTGGTAGGGATCGAGTGACTCGTACTTGGGGATGACATCAAAGCTATCGAAAACGCAAAAATTATCCGCCGCCGCGCCATTATTGTTGTTCTAAGGCCATTTCAATGTCATATCATGCTTAAAAAGGGGCAGGTTTTTTTCTTAAAGATACCAAGGATAAGGGGTAGGGAAAGGCGGGAGTATTAGACCGGCTTGGTTGGGACGGGAGAGGGATTCAGGCAATGGAGGAGTTCAGGGTGTTTCCTGGCTTGAGCCGCGTCTGATACTATCAGAATACATTTTCCGCCGGGCAAGGCCGATTGCGTCAATGACGTGCCACACGCTACCTTTATATCGACCTAGGATTTTGACATTCTTCGTACTTCGTCGATGCCCGCCAACTCGGACAGAATCCAAACGCCGTCCTGCCGGATCCAATGCTGAAGTTTTTCGCGGCCCGACTTGTCAGAAACCATCGCGAGAGGGGAAAATGGGCGAGAGACGGGTTCGGCGTAGCCAGGCTCTTTACCCTCCCTTGTCAGAAATTGACCCGTATACGAGAAGCTTAAAACTCGGATTTCGAAGCTCGAAATTCGAAGGAAGAGAATCAAATGCCGATTAGAATATGTGGCCTTGAGAGATGGAAACCGGCTCCTGAAGGTCAAAACCGGCCGAGCCGCCCATCTCAAACGACGATCTGTGCGGGATTGACGTGTTCTATATGGTCTTTGTCAATAGCCGGAGGTGGAACCCGGTCAGCTACTCAGTCGAACCAGTCGACGATCCCGGTCGGAGGTCGGAAGGTCGGAATTGCTACACTGTGTTCATCGAGAGAGCCCGAAGGTACGACATCGGGTGCATCTGATGGGGCAGCCAACATGTGGATTGATTGCAAATCCATTCGGGCCATCCTTCCTCGGGCGGCACATAAATTAACTTGGTCGGCTTTTGTTCCACCATGTACATACATAGTAAGCACCTGTAAGCACCTGCCTCCCGCCTGGCATGTTGACATGTGAAATGCAAAGTCCTAGGTTGGGTCTCCGTTTCCGGCCATAATCTCGCGTCTGCGCAAAAGCAAGCGCAGAGGCAGAGGAGAGATGAAGTGTGGGCGAACACGAGGATGGTTTTCATGCAACAGGGCACTGCTTCCTTGGTTGCTTGATCATACTTTCTTTTTGCTTTCTCCTTTTTCAATTTCGAGGGGCGATTGTGCGAAGTTTGAGCGCCACAGTTCATGCGCATATGCCGTGGCGCATCACGTCTTACCTCGACTCCTACCCCGGGATCCTCTTCGAAAAACAGGTCGAAGCGGCATGCATGAAATAACATTGGTTCCATCATCCCCCTCAGCCCCCCCCACTCCAAGCACGGAGATTCTCTCCTGTCGCTGGCGAACATGAGATGGAGCCGGGTGATGGTGGGTCGATGACCAATCGAGGCAGAAGCCGAGAAACAAGGCGTGTTGATCGGAGACCGCAGTAAGAATCACTGTCTGCCTGTACTGCAATAGCTCCTCCTTATTACTCCTTACCATAGTAATCTGTACAAAATAGACATTTACGAATTCATCGAAATGGAGGACGCACTTTTTTTGCTAGTTCCCCCAAGCAAAACGTCATTCTGAATGAACATCATATGCAAGCAATACAACACACACGCCCCGTACAACACCACCATGTCCAGATTGGAGCACTAGGGAACAGCCGTGCAGGACGGGGCAAGGTCGGGTGCTACCAACCTAGCGTCCTCTCCTAGTCCTGCATCCTACTATAGAGTAGCTGCGTAGTTCCACGAAGTGCGTCTGATAGTCTGTCTATTTAAGCCTCTCATCTCACCTCACGCGTGTGGTTGGCGACTTGGTGACAAGGTTGCGCGTTGTGATTTATTTAGCCTGCACCTTTTTTTCCTTTTGGCAGAAGCAAGACTGGCGGTTGGCAATTACTTACCGACTCTCCTGTTCCTCTCATTCCTACTGCGTCGAAGCATCATCGACCCACTGGCCTTGGTCGATGCCGTGCCAATATACCTAGGTAGGTGTTTGCACAATGTATATGCGTAGGTAGGCCAGACGCTAACGCTAACGGCAGTCCATTGCCGAGCCTGCCTAGACATGCCCACACTCCACAGCCCTTTCCCATTTAATGGGTTTACAGGGGGCAGTCAGGTACCATCATGGAGAGTGGGTCTAGTCTGCGAACGGCGCAAGGTTTACACAGCGAATCACCTGGCCATAGCGCGCTCCCTTCCAGATCGGGCAATTCTGGATGAAAACGCCTCAATTCTCGACATCGACGAGTTTAAGGAGTGGCCCCACAACCTGCGCTGTGAAGGCTTTCCGGTTCAGGCTACAACCCACAAGAGGCTTGCACATGCACAGGATAGCAGAGCACAGCAGATCTTCTCTTGTCCGCAAAGTTAATTTAAAATTCATGTCGGATCTCGAAAGGAGGCGAAACAGCCGGCCTAACATCCAGCCAGCCCAGCCAGCCATGGCTTGCTCCCCTATGCCTTTTGAGCGGCTGGGGTTTTTTTTTTGGAAGGTTTTATTTGTGTCCTACCATCTATGGCACTATGGGATCATCGATCAAGAACCCGGTCGTCCGGGTATGGACCACTCCCCTGTTCCTGGATGCACCTCGTCGCAACTTAGATTCCATGGTGTAATAGTTTGATCACCCGCTATTCCCCTCCCGGTCATCTCGAGACAGGATCCATCCATGGGATCTCAGCGATAGTATAGTATCTTGTATCTTGCATTACTCTAAACTTTGCTTACCCTGGTTCTCCTACCCGCGGCCTCAACAAGCTATCTATTCGCTCCTGGTTTGTTTCCTCTCTCTTTCTTCTCCTTACACGTCCGTCTCCGGGTTACTTTTGGCTCGCCTCTTACAAGCCGACCGAAACCCCCTCCCACTGTACGACTAGTTATATCCTTCGGTTGGCTAAGAGGAGAGGCACCCCCATCTCACCCACTATCTTCCAAGCAATGGTTTGCATGTACCGTTGAGGTGCCATTCGTTCTCTTCTTTCAGTACCTTGGGCCTCACCCGTTCCAGTGGCACCCGCTGGCACGATCTTGATCGTTTGGTTCTGTTTTCTCTCTGTCTCCTACGTCAAGCTGGGTTATCAGACGTCATGATACTTCCCAGGCCTTTTGGGACCAGGACCCTCCTATGCCTCTGGCTGTGTCTTAACCTAGCTGTTGCGGTCCTTGTTAATCCTATCAGGAGAGATGACGGCCCGTCGTCGATCGCAAGTCCTGATCCGACCCCGGCGCCGAGTCCAACTCATGGCGGAGACATAGCATCAGCACCGGTGGACAGCTCCAAGACCCCCGAGACCCCTGAGACACCCGCCAGCTCATCCAAACCTTCGACGACGACTTCGACGCCGTCAAGTGTCTCCCCAACCCCTTCCGTTGTCGGTGGCGGTGCCTCGCTGAACAGCACTCTCTTCAACAGTAAGTATGCCCTGGACAAATGCGTACCTTACCTTCCACACTCGCTTATGAGGTTGTAACTTAGGTACAATTCTTGCCGGGGAGCTTCCTATTTCCCCCAAGATAACTCCAGCATGGGCCGCTTCTGGCGTTATATTGCTGGGAGCCGGGGTCATCTACACCCTTGTTGGCATCAAGTCGAAGGTGTTGCACGTCTTCTTCTCCGTTGCCGCCCTAGGAAGCCTCGGGACGACTGTGCTCATACTATACATCATGACGCCGCCGATCCGTGAGGCTATCCAGGGCGCATATGTCGCTGCTATAGTTTGCACCGGCTTTATACTCGGCGGAGCTTCCATTGTCTTTAAAGATACGACAGAATCAGCGGCCTGTTTTCTTGGAGGCTTTTGCTTCGGCATGTGGCTGCTCTGTCTTCGTCCGGGAGGCCTTCTGCCAGAAAAGGGAACCAAGGTGGCAGTCATCACCGTGTTTGCCGTTGCTGTATTTGCCCTGTATTTCATCCGACGCATCAGGACATATGTGCTTATCGGCGGCATATCGTTCTCGGGAGCGACTGCGATCGTGTTGGGTATCGACTGTTTCAGCCGGGCTGGGCTGAAGGAATTCTGGGCCTACATATGGGCATTGAACGATAATCTTTTCCCAATTGGAACTAAAACATACCCCATCAACAAGGGGATGCGAGTCGAGCTTGCCGTCACCGTTGTCATCGCCGGCGCCGGCGTCGCCTCGCAACTTAGGCTGTGGAAAGTTATCAGAGAACGGCGCGAGAAGCGAGACACGGAGCGTACAGAGAGAAACCGCAGCCGGGAGGATGAGGAGGAAATCGCTGGACGGCGAATTGAGGGGGAAAACGACCGCGAGCGGAGACAATGGGAGCGCGTGTACGGAAATGGAGCTCCCCACGATAGCCTCCGGGGCTCGGCGGACTCTGGCGTTGGAGATATGGATAGCGAAAAGAGACTGCGGAACATCGACACCGCGGTTGCAGCGACGCCGGGGACGCGAAGTCCCGCCGATGAGAACCTAGAAATGGCGGGAATATCGCCTGATCACAGCGGCGCTCCAGAGACGGCGATACCGCAGATTACGGGGGGTGGGGTAATCACGGTCCGGCCAGACAAGGGAGGTATCGATGCGAATCTGTCGCACGCCGTCCCTTTCCAATTCGGGGTCGCTGCACCGGGGCATGACGGGGACGAGCGGTCCTCTGTGGCGACCTTTGCGGACGAAGACGGAGACATGCGGTCTGTCATGGGTAGCAAGAGGAATTCAATGGTGAACAGACTCTCTGCGGGCTCTGCCAAGCTCCTACGAAGCCTGTCCCAGCGATCAAGAGGGAACAACTCCGAGATGGGCGAGAATCCCGGTGAGAGCCAAGAGGAACTCGTGATGTCGAGATACTCCCATCACGATGACAATGACTCACTCGCCGCCAACCGCGATGCCTTGAGCGTGGACGACAGTGACGTCGACACTGTCCGTGATGGAAAAGGTGGAGGCGCTGAGCGAGACATTGAGATCGGAGAGGATAACGGCACGCAAGGTTCGGATGCTGCAAGTGAGGCCACGGGCATGGAAGTTCCGAATACTCTGGAGGTGGATGGTGTTGAAGAGCCAGCCCCCGAGTCATCAGGTGCCTCGGACCAGGTAGCCAAAACTGACGTGACTGCGGCTGCTAGAGGCATCAGCAGCACAGAAAGGGGCTCCACAAAGGGGTCCGACGAGGTATCCCGAAAAGCGCGATCTCTCGCTTCCCGGGATTCAGCATCGGCGAACCTGAGTCAAGGAAATCTCCCCGGAGCTTTGTCACGGGTGGCCATGTCGTATCGGACGAACGAATGGGCCAAGCATCTTAGCCTTGCTGAGACCCCTGAGCCCGAGGTGTTCCAGTTGAACGAGAGTTCGGAAGAGTCTTCTCCTGAGGCCATGATCGACGACGAACCAGCGGCACCCCTCGACATGGAGGAGCTGCAGAAAACCGCGGAGAACGCCACTCCGCCGCCGGCGGCACCAAGGTCGGCGAGTGCGATGTCGAACTACTCGCAAGCCCCGACTTTGCCGCGGAGCAACTCGCAGCCCTCACTATATCAGGCTGCTTCCGGCCTCGAACCATACCGCGCCTTGTCCAAGGCCCACCACCGCCGTACATCCATCCCCTATGCCGAACCCATAGCCGAGGAGGGCGATGGCGAGACCGATCAGCCAGCAGAAGGCAACGACTCCTCTGGGCCCTCGACAAATCCCAGCCCCATTCCCGCGGGCCCATCCGCCTCGGCACCCAACCTGGCAATCCATCCTCCCGTCCCAGGCGTCGTCTCGTATTCCTCCCCGCAGACCCTAATCGGAATGCGTGACATGTTCCTCAGGAGCAAATCCCAGCCATCCTTCTACTTGCCCAGCCCCACCCCAGAACCGGCCATGACCCCGGCCGCCTCCCGCAGCGCCAGCTACGCGTCCCTCAACGCGGCGACCGCGGATGAGCTGCCCCTTTCGTACCGCCGCGAGCTCATGCGGATGCCCAGCCTCGCAACTACCCATTACAACAACAATAGCAACGACAACAGCAACGACAACAGCAACAACAGCAGCAGTAGCAACCTCGTCGACGGCGGCGCCCCGGCAGCCGACGCGGTCCCCTACAACAGCCACCAGCCGCAGCGGCACAGCAGCTCGACGCCCGACGCGCTGCGGTGGGCCCAGATGGCCAGCTTCCGCAGCAGCGTAGCGGCGGACCTGCGAGGCGGCGCGCCCATCATCGGCAGCGCCGGCGGGGTGGCGGGGGGAGCCGTGCACGCCAAGCAGCGGGACGGGGAGGTGCGCCGCAGCGTGGACGCGCAGAGGAGCTACCTCCTGGGGCTGAGGGACGCGGACGCGCGGAGGAGGGAGGCGCGCAGGATGGAGAGGGAGAGGGGGGATAGGCAATTTGAGATGCGCATGCGCAGCGGGGATTTGGTAGAGGCCCATCGGGAGGCTATGAGGAGGTTGCAGGGCGAGGTGAAGGACTAGTTGGAATCGGGAGGTTTTGTTTTGGTTGGCGGGGGGTTTTGCTGAATGATTATCATGTCTTCGCTCCGCTTGGCCGTATATGTGTTGTCTGCTTTTTTTCATTTTCTATCTCCACACTCATTTGTCTACATACCCTACCTTCCTTTCAATGCGGGCGCTCGGTTTGGGACGGTAGAGGGGAAAGGAGGGGGGGGGGGGGGGGGAGGTGGTTGGACTGGGTCAATGAGTTTCATATATTATACAGCGCCAGACTGAAATCAATTGCGGATATAATAGAAAATGGATGGATGCAACACTACATGATCAGGTTTTTAGGGTTGAGTCGACAAAACTTGCAGTTTGTCCCTGACCATGTGGCCCATCCATGGCTTGGAGGACAGGGGAAGCAGTTTACTATCATATTCAAATGTGTCTATTCGGTTGCAGTGAAGCGACACGCCATAGCGTGACAGATAATTAGGTACTCTACTCATTATGTGCGCTGCGTCTATGATATCAACTAGAAATCGAACCGGCGACATACCATATCGAGAGGTGTATGAACTTGGGGGGTGGGAATGGCGGGAAAAAAAGGCCCGTTTAAACGACAGGAAAGCAAAAGTGCTGGACTAACTCCTATCCAATGCAAAAGAGTGGGAGAGAATGATCCTTCCTCAGGCCTCTATAATAGATTCTTAGGCCAGTTCCACTTTTCCCCTGAAACCGTCCTGGAAAAGGAGAGAAGTTGTGGGCGAGAACGGGGGAACAAAGTGACAGAGAAACCCCGAGTCATCGTCGTCTTTGTGCGGTCTAAAGTGTCTCCGTGCTGCCAGATGCAAATGGCCGCGACGGAGACCCGGCGAGGAGGGGATCATCCTCGCCGGCCTCGGCATCCCGTTTTCTCCTTACGCCAAGCAGCTCTCCGAGGGTATTACTCAGAGTCCTGGCCCGCCCTCTGAAGCCCTTGCGAGGGTCTTCGTCCGTCCAGGACTCGCCGTCTCCCGGCGGAATATCGCTCTCTCTGCGGTGTCGGTGCTGCTGTGCCGCGGCGTTGCCGATCACACCGTCTTCCTCGCCCTCGGCCTCGTCATGTGGCACGAACAGGCCGTTCATCAGGCTCGGCCGAGACCGCCGATAGGGGAGCCTCCGCGATGAGCCGTCGTGCGGTAATAACTTGTCGGCAACCACTGCGGAGACGGTCGACGAGAATGGCGAGGGTGATATCATCGGCCCGCTCCGGACGTTTACACTCGAGTGGGGGCGAGGCGATGACTTTGACGGCCGGGGTGTCGCGGGTTGCTCGAGCAGGGCGCCAGCAGCGCCGAGGATTGGTTGGCTTTGATTCGGGGGAGTCCCTGGACCGGGTGATGCCCCCGAGATGGCAGAATGCAGTGTCAAAACGGAGTCTGACGAGATCGTGTGCGCACCGACGCCTGGATGTTGTGGTTGTATCGGGTTATTCTGCGAGTCGAGCCACGGATTCCCAAGTGGCGACGGTGATACCTCGTGTCCATCCCCATTGAGAGAAGTCTTCAACTTGGCGGCTGCCGGGCTCCTTGAAGTAGGGATCCCGCCATCAGTCACCAACCTTAGTGGCTTGTTCACCGCCTCAGTGAAGGATACCCTCGATAGCCGGCGCGTGCTGTCCGACTCGCTGCCTCGCCGGGACGACTGTGAAGGGGATTGCGGTGTTGCTTGGTGCTCTGCCAGGCCAATGGTCTCCTCCACCCCTTCAGCGTCCGACAGGGTATCTTCGTCGTCGTCATGGCGTGACCTGCCGCTCGTGATGAGGAAGACGCCGAAGAAAGTGAGCAGGCAGCCGCCAACAAACTTGGCAGCTTGATGTGCCGTGGTGCGCTCAAAATCGCGGTACAGCACCGCGCTGCCAATAATTACGGATAAAGTGAACAGGACGAACTGGATCGGGATGACCTGGGTGGAATCGAAACGCTGGAGAGCCTTGTTGAGGTAGCGCACCTGCATAACTGCAGTGCTGAGAAGGACGAAGACTAGGGCATAGGTGACAGGCGTCGCAAATGCCCCGAAGAGGGTCGACGAGATCATCGAAGAGACGCCTTTGGTTGCAAGGGCAGTGTAGCCTCCTGTGAGAAGCGAGTTAGTTGGCGGTTCTCCGGGGAGCGATTGCAATGATGGGGCGTGTAGAACACATACCAAACACACCCACGAGCCCCAAATCGATGAGCACCGTCCTATGACCGTATCTGGGACTTGCCCACATCAACAAGGCGATCAGGGCGCAGCTCACCCCAAGGTATATTTCGAACTCCATGGTGGTGATGGCATCCCAGATATCGTGAGGCCCCAGCTTCGTTTCCTTCTGGTTCGCGCTGAGCACAACAGTCACCGCACCCGCGATGGCAACGATGACGCCCCAGAAGTCCCTCTGCCGGAACACCTCCTTGAAAACGATGGGCGCAATCACGCAATTCGAGATCAGCGCGACAACGCCCAGAGGGCTGACAATCGACGCCGGCGCGAACCCGTACGCGAGGAAGTTGCCCATCTCCCCGACAGTGATCAGGACCTGCCCCACCCACCAGTACGGGTCCTTCAGATAGGTGGACGTAACCTTGGCCCCTTCACCATCGGAAGACCGCGAGTCTCCCGACGCAAACGATTGCGACAGCGGGTCCGACTCGCGAGCATCCTCGACCTCGTCGTCGCTGCGGCTTGCGGCCCTGCGGGTAGAATCGCCGTTCGAGCCATTCGTGGCCGGCGCCGTGGTCCCATACACTCCCCCGTGTCCCCTCCCATTGGCAGCGTTCTTCGACGCCTGCCTTGCGCGCTCGCGCACCTCGGCCCGTCGCCGGTGGATGCGGATGTGGGCGTAGCGCTGCACATTGAGTGCGAGCGCGATGAGGATATTGCCGACGATTGCGGTGACGATACCAATCAGGGAGGACCAGTCCTGTATCTCCTTGCCCGGGCCGTCCTCAGGATGGTCCCCCGGGCCCTGCGGTAGGCTGATCGTGGGGGTCGCAAAAGGGAACGACAATTGCGTCGGCCGTTGCGATATCAACGAACCCGTAGATAGGAACATGGCCGCTAGACGAGCCCCGGATGCCGGGCGCGACTCAAGTCGTGGGTTGCCTGCCCAAAGGAGAACATAGATAGCAGCTTCGACAGGTTCGGGTCATCGGCACAAAAGTTGGCGCGGGTCTTCTGCTAAATTAAACAGCTCTCGCAAGCTACAGTGGTCGGGATGCGGTATAACTGGACAGGGCGAACCTTCTAATAGAGGTTGAGGGAATCACCATGCGCAAGATCCAGCTGCAAGCAAATGTATCGATGGAAAAATTGAATAAACCAGTTCGTGTTTCGTATTTCGAAAGTGAAGTCCCAGATTTTGGCGCCTTGCATCCTTCGTCAAGCTTCGGCTTATCTCCGCAGATTCCGTCATTATCACCAGCTCCCTGCCTGTGGCTTGCGTCTTGGCAGGTGGCAACCCGGCCGTTATAATCCCGGCGGGGCAGTCCCAACTCACACCATAGACTGGATCCAACTTCGATACATTCGCCCCGAATTCCATCCAGCAAGCAAAGATCTATAATAATGCCAGCGGATGACGAACCATCCAATAACCCATTTGTGAGATTCAAGCAGCATGTCGACGCCCACATAAGCGCGGGACTCCAGGGCGTTTTTGGATTGCCAGACCTCATCACCCAGAACTCCAATACCCGAGACATGAGCTCCCAGGAGCCTGGTTCCGAAGCCATGCGGTGCCGCCACGACCGCCATTTCTCGGACCGTCATGGCTCCTCCTCCTCACCGGAGGCGGGTGACTGGCTTTCCGAGCAACGGGAGGCGGCGGCCACCGAGGCGAGGATGGACAGCTACTTCGAGGGCTACGGCATGCCCGAGCACATGCGGAGGTGGCAGGTCTTCGCGTACGGCTCGCGCTACTCGCCGCTGCGGCTGGCCATGCTGCCGGTGCAGCCTCGGCCGCGGGACCTGGCCGACGACATGGACCCGAGCATGTTTACCTACGTCGACGCCTTCGAGGACCTGCTCGCCGAGAGCTCGGGGCGGGGCATGATGGACCTGCGGACGCGGTACGATATGAACAGATTGCTGGCGCGCATGTGGCCGAGGGGCGAGAATCCGCTGTCGTGGGTCTCGAGACTCGAGTCGCAGGACCTTTCTAGGGTCTACTTCCACTACAGACGCGCGCACGACTACGCCCCGGAGCGGATGGACGAGTGGGCTGAATTGCCGTCGGAAGATTATGGGGACAAGCTGGGTTGGAGAGCCGCATATGAGGGAAACGGTCAAAGTGCTGAGCGGCGGCCTCTCCCGGCTCCACGCCAGGAGGAGACAGGCTTACAGACAGGCCTATTTGGCGAGCTAGACAGAGTATTCAGAGCACTTGGAAAGGTTCTCGAGGACGAGGTATCTTCATTTGGCCGGAGGAGAAAGCCCGATGACCACCAGCCGACGAAAGAAGGCCAAGAGCAGGGCCCAGAGACCGAAGACGATCTATATAGCTCCGTCCAGTCTGCTTTCCACGACGCGGAGCGGTCACTGAGCACCTTTATCAAGTCGTTCTCGGGAGGGAGATGGGGCTTCGAGCCCTGGCCAAGTGACGCGAATCCTGGCAGTAACACACAGAATGACGAGGTTCGCGAGGACGATTCAGGCCGGACCGTCAAGACGACGAAGGAGTTCGTCGACGCCTTTGGAAACCTGCACGTAAAGACTGAAATTCGCAGGACCGATTTGGACGGAAATGAGATTGCGAGAGAGACGAACTACTCGGTCAGACCGCTGTCACAGGTGCGGAAGGCGCAGGAAGAGCCGGAGGAGGAGGAGTCACGGGAGGATGTTGGTCTCGTTCAGGATGAGAGACAGGGGGAGAAGAAATCGGGCTGGTTCTGGAAATGAATGCGGTTCAATAAGAGCTATGAGCATCTCCACTCAGAAAAGGATTTATAGGTTGCAATCCCTACCACCTTCCGCTCACCCTTCGCTCTTCAATTGCGTAGTGATCTGATCAAACACTGTAGATGTGAATCGATAATTCTGTATATCACAAGTCAAACGGAGTATATAAGCCGGCTATCTATGTATAATTGTCGATGCTAACAGGTGGTAGCTGTGAACTGTGAAGTGAACAGTGGTAGCAATGACTCAGAATAGCACATCCACAACGACACCCCTTCACCCCCTTCCCCCCCGGATTTGTAGTCAAGGACATGGGAAGCAGCCTTTTATTTACCGCGCACAATCGCCTTCTTCTTGCGAAGCGACCGCTTCCGCGCGATAATCCTGGTCCTCATGGCCAGCTCCTCATCTGGCGCCTTCCCGGGAGGCCCGGCCGGGGCCTTCTCTTCAACTTTAGTCTGCTCCTTCTTTTCCTTCCCCCTCCCCTTCGGCCCCCAAGCCTTTGCTCTGGGCCGGGAATTATACGACGGGCCTGCACCGGGGCCACGCTGCGTAGCCGAATTGTCCTGCTCTGGCCTCCTAGAGGACCTTTCCTGAAGCGCCTTCCGCCTCTGAACCACGTTTGCATTTTCGATGGCGAACTCCACGACCAGCCTCAGTGTCTTTCCGGCATCGGTTATCAGCGGATGACCGTTCAACCAACGCAGGCCCATGAGTGCCCAGCGATGCGAAGAGTACTCGATGAAGCCGTAGCCTCGACTCTTCCCGCCGCCATCTTCAGAGACCTTGGAGCCCTCTTTGGTCTCAAAGACAATCTTTGCCTGGCGCACCACACCCTTGCCCTTCTCCTTCCTGTGCTGTTCCGCATCCCTGTCTTGCTGCCCGCCCCTCGCCACTTCTTCCTTCGAGAGAGGCTGTCGTCGGCCCTCTTTCACGTCCTTCGCAAACCCGACAACGGCTTGGCGAGCCAGAGCCTTGAGGTCCTTGGCGGTAACCTCTCGGGGAATGTTTCGAATGGCGAGACGAGTCAGACTCAGGTGCAGACTGGGGTTGGACTGGATCATCTTCTTCCGCTGCTTCTCGCTGGTTTCTCGGAGCTTGATTTCGGACGGAGCAAGCAGGTCATACAGAGCCGAGTTCTTCGCAATGGTGCCTTCTGACAGGAGATAGAGCCTCCTCTTGTCCTTGTCCTCGTGCTTCCGAGCACCTGGGCCATCGGACGCCAACCGCGTTGCCTCGTCCTTGTTCACCGCTTGTGCGACCTGCAGGACGCGCCCTTGCATGGTATACCTGCCGTCCTCGTCGACACTCTCGTCTTGAAGGATCGAGGGCTTCCCCAGAGTCGTCGCAGGCTGGCGTCGAGGAGAGTTCCTCAGGCAATCCTTGAAGTCATCAACGCTGAAAAGGCACACAAAGCCTGTGCCAGCCGGCCGATCAGTCAAGCGGTCCTTCACGACTCGAGCGTATCTGACCGGCCCAAACTGGGTGAAGTGGGCCTTCAGTTCCTCCTCGGTCGTAGTGTACGGAAGGTTGCGAATGAAAAGAGTTGTCGAGTTGTCGGTGATCCGTGGTGCTTCTTTTTTCTTCTCGTTACCATCTTCAGAAGCGTCGCCTTCTTCGTCAGCTTTTTCATCGTCCTGACTGCCACGTTCCTCGTCATCGCTGCCATCGCTTTCATCCTCAAGGTTTTCCATGTGATTCTTCATGAAGTTTGCAATGTCTGCGTCTTCCTGAGTCATCGGCTCATCGCCGTCGGCATCAACCTTGGGCTTCTTTGCTTTCTGAGTGCTCTTAGAATCCACGTCTTCAAGCTCGGAGTCTGCTTCCTTGGGCTCCGCTTCCGTAGGCTCTACTTCCGTAGGCTCATGTGTCTTTTGCCAAGTCTCCTTGTCGACTGCCCAGTCCACAGCCAAGGTTCTCCCGTCAACGACCTTGCCATTGAGACCTTCCATCGCATTCTCCGCGTTTTTTCGGCCTCGAAGAGTCACGAAACCAAAGCCGGAAAGTTTGCCCTTTGCGTTGGGAAGATCTGAAAACTTGACCTTGCCATAGCTTCGGAAGAGAGCAGAGAGCTGAGCGGATGTCTTGATACTCCAAGGCAGATTGCGGATGATGAGTTTGGGCGGTTTCTTCGCCTCGGCGACAGCTTCTTCCCGCTTGCGTTTCTCCTCGGCCACCTTTGAGTAGATGGTGCTGGATGCGCCTTTAATGCTGTCGCGCTGTCTTGGTTCGGCAATATCCAGTCTAATTCGACGTCCGTCGAGCAGCTCCTTGCCGAGTTTCTCTTTGGCTTCGATAGTGTCGTCTTCGTCCGTAAAGGTGACGAAACCGTATCCTCGAGAGGTTCTGGTCTTGGGATCAAGGACGACCACCGCATGCTTCACGGGGTAGTGTTGCGAGAAAAACTCGGTGAGGGACTCGTCCGTGGCAGACGGAGGTAGAGAGCGAACGAAGAGCGTCCGGCTGGATTCAACCCGAGCCTTTTTGGGAGGAGGAACCTTCGGCCGGGTATCATCTTGATTGGGGGCTTCGGAGAAGTCCTCTGTCTCCCGCTGACGCTTTTTAGTTGCTGATTTCGCCATGTTGGTGAGGTTTGAGCCAGTTAATGCTCAACTTCTCTGGCCGTTGTTAGTCGAGATTCAGCAGGAGCTCTTCTCTCGCTTCACAAAAATTTCGAGACAGTTGGAGCGATAAGACCCTTATCTGCATAAGCTGCATAAAGTCAATGCGGGGCAGCATAACTTCATAAGACTGGGAAAGGGGCGCTAGTGCCTAATTGGGTAATTTACAAACAAACAAACGCGCGACCTCGGGGCAACCATTGTCGCTGATAACAACCTTCCCAACTCCCAGCCGAGAAGACGCCCTCAGGCAGGACGAACACTACAAGAAACAAAGAGAGGTGGGAGATATAACCACGAACACTACCAGACATGCCGGCCCGAACTTCGACGAGGTCTAGCCGGACCTCAACAGCCGTGTCGCGCAAATCCTCAACCGCCAGCTTCAACCCACGCGGTTCGACGGCGTCACGGGCGTCATCCGCCCAAGTCGAAGTCCCAGAGGAAGCCCCAGACAACGCGCTTCGAACACAGGTTACGGCGGTATTCCGTGATGCCCAGCGGACGACGGCGACCCACCGGAAACTCGCCGTGACCCTGCGAAAGGTCCAGGAAGCATGCTGCTACGAACCGACTAGCGTGAAGAAGTCGGCAGCGTCCGAATTTGACGAGGACAGCTTTAATATCGAGTTTGTCCGGTGCGTCTTGAGAGTCATGCCGGTGAAGAAGACTGAGGCTGTCGGGGAGAAGACGGTTCGCTTCATTGGCCTTTTCCTTCGCCACTCCATCGACAAGGACAACGAGGTCATGGGCGAAGTCGACGAGGATGCTAGTACCATGCCTGAGACCCCCAGCACCAGACTCACGGCGCACCTGATGGACACCATCCTGCCCTTGCTTACTGCCAAGGACAAGTTTGTGCGATACCGCTCGACACAGCTCATCTCCCACATCATCAACTCTCTGGACGCCATTGACGACGACCTTTTCCAGAAGCTGCGCTCCGGCCTGCTCAGGAGGATCCGTGATAAGGAGGCTATGGTTCGCGCGCAGGCCGTGCTCGGCCTGGGACGGCTTGCGGGGAACCAGATCGACGCCGAGCCAAATTCCGAGGACAGCGACGACGACGCCGGGACTGGCCTCCTCGAGAAACTCCTGGAGGTGCTGCAGAACGATCCTAGCGCCGATGTCAGGAGATCGCTGTTGGTGAATCTGCCTATCTTGCCGAACACCTTGCCGTTTCTCCTCGAGAGGGCGCGGGATCAGGACGCCCTGACCCGTCGGGCCGTTTATTCACGCCTCCTGCCCGCGCTGGGTGACTTCCGACATCTCTCCCTATCCATGAGGGAGAAGTTGCTCAGATGGGGTCTCCGAGACAGAGACGAGAACGTCCGCAAGGCGGCCGGGCGGCTGTTCCGCGAGCGGTGGATCGAAGACTGCGCCGGGACTGCTCCACCGGCCGAGGGCCAGGCTGCCGAGCCATCGTCGCCCAGCCTTGAGGGTCTGCTGGAGCTGCTGGAACGCATTGACATCCTCAACTCCGGGGTCGAGAATGGCGTGGCGCTGGAAGCAATGAAAGGCTTCTGGGAGGGCCGCCCCGACTATCGAGAAGCAATCGTTTTCGACGACAACTTCTGGGAGACACTGAGCGCAGAGTCTGTGTTTATGGCCAGGAGCTTCAATGACTTCTGCAGGACCGAGGGCGATGGGAAATACGAATCTCTGGTCGAGGAGAAGTTGCCAGAGGTCACCAAGGTCGCTTTTTATCTTGAACGATACATTAAGGTCCTGATTGACGCCATCAAGCGGACATCTGAGCAAGAGGTTGACGACGAAGAAGAGGAAGAAGATACGGTGGAACAGGAGTTCATTGTTGAGCAGCTGTTGCACATCGCCTTGACCTTGGATTATTCGGATGAAGTTGGCCGTCGGAAGATGTTCTCGCTGCTCAGACAGACCCTGTCCATCCCAGAACTCCCCGACGAGGTCACGAAGCTCACCGTCAGCGTCCTGCGTGACCTCTGCTCCCCTGATTCCGCGGGCGAGAAGGAGTTCTGCAGCATTGTTCTCGAAGCCGTCGCTGATGTCCACGACACGATCGCTGATGAGGCGGCCGATGATGTCGATGAGAGTTTCCATTCGGCAAAGTCGGAAGTCAGCAGTGACAGCACTCCTACCAAGAACGGCAAGGCTAAGAACTCTGAGCTCTCGGAGGAGGAGGCGCGCGACAAGGCAGTCAGGGAGATCATGATCAACATGAAGTGCCTGCATATAGTCCAGTGCATGCTTTCCAACGTTGCCGGCAACCTCCAGCAGAACGACCATCTTGTTGCGATGCTGAACAACTTGGTGGTTCCCGCTGTGCGAAGCCACGAGGCGCCCGTCCGTGAGCGTGGCTTGCTCTGCCTTGGCCTCTGCTCGCTGCTGGATCGGTCTCTGGCTGAGGAGAACCTCACACTCTTCATGCATTTCTTCAGCAAGGGCCACACCGCCCTGCAGATTACAGCGCTGCGTATCTTGACCGACATCCTGAACGTCCACGGTGCCCAGCTCCTGACGTCCAACCCGACCCTGCTCAAGATCTACATCAAGGCGCTGAGGTCCGGCTCCAAAGCCCCGGAAGTCCAGGCCGTCGCCACGGTCGCGGTATCGAAGCTCCTCCTCGGCCGGGTCGTCACCGACCGCGAAACCTCGGCCGAACTGCTCAGAACGCTGGTGATCGCCTACTTCGAGCCCGCCAGCGCGGGCAACCAGAGCGTCCGGCAGGCGCTGAACTACTTCCTGCCCGTGTTCTGCTACTCGCGCGCGGAGAACCAGGACCTGATGTGCGCCGTCGCGCTCGACGCGCTCCACGCCCTGTACAACGTCCGCGAGGGGTTCGAGGACGACGACGCGGACGTCGAGGACGAGATGGTCAGCCTGTCCACCATCGGGGCCTGCCTCGTCGACTGGACGGACCCGAGGAAGTGCTTCTCGCCCGGCGCCGCCGTCGACGCCGAGAAGAAGGTCGTCAGCGGCGACGTCCACCTGGACTTTGCGATGAATGTTATAGAGAAGCTGAACGGAAACCTCACCAGTAAGAAACCCCTCTGACGTGTCAGCTCCGGCACCTCGCTTTAGAGACCATGCTAATAACCCATCTGCAGAAGAAGAGAAGAAGACCATCGCACCTCTTCTGGGCAAGCTCTACATCTCCCCCGCCTCGTCCGAGGACAAGGTCAGGGACGCGTACGCGGCCGCGTCCGACGCCGTCGACGCGCAGCTGCTGTCCGACGCCGCGGGCAGGAACGCGCTGTACAAGGTCCACGTCGGCCTCGGCAAGATTGTCAACACGCTCGACGTCCGGGACGCGGGCGCCGCCGCTGTCGCGGGGACGACGGCGACGAGGAGGAGCAGCGCAGCCACCAGCGTCAGCCGCGGGGGGTCGGTAGGCGTGGAGGATAGGACTGTTGTTGAGGAGAGGACGGTGGTGTTGCCGGAGGCGGATATTAAGGAGGAGGAGGAGGAGGAAGTGGAGCTGGAAGAGGTGGCGGAGGAGGGAGAGGAGGAAGATGTGGACAGTGATGAGGGGACTGTCGTTCGTCGTGACGATGCTGACTCGCTGGTTGACGAGTTGTTGACTGATGAGGAGACATGATAGGATGAATGACGGGGTTCATTGGTTTTCTTTTTCTGTTCTGTTCGAATAAGGTGGCGGATCCAGGACTGGGCAGTATGATTTTCTACGAACGGGCTGTAATCGTCAAATGCTATCGTCGTTTTACACGGCGTGTATCTTCAGGGAGCTTCGAGGTTGAGTGGGTGGTATCTATTTATTACTGATGCTCTAAGTGCCATGCAATCCAGAGCAATGTGTAATACGGTAGGGGCTGAGACTGATATATAATACACTGAGCCGGCGATCTATTTCTTTCCTGAACAATTACATTGGCATCCGTAAGCATCACAAATGTCCGTTCTATTATAGTCAACACACCTTCTATGCACGGGGGGGGTTATTGACCCAACCAAAAGAGAAGGCCGCCCAGCCCAATATGAACGAGCAGATGATGACCCAGGCTCCAACCCATGCAATACAGGTATTTTGGCGAAAAAACGGTCCATATGAAAAGGTGCGTCCTCAGGACGGTACAAGCAGCCATGACGGACGCAGCACTGAAGGTGGTGAACACGGTCAGCACAGCGACATGCTGCACGAAGACACGCCGGCCGCCTGCCCTCTGTCTCTTAAGCAGCATGGTGTTGGCGGCGAATGTCCAGTATATCGGGGCGGCCCAGTTGCTGACAAAGGTCAGGATGCCGACGACGATGGCGTTGAAGCCGTTCACGCCGTTGTACGCGTTCGACAGGTCCACGGACGAGATGGCGTTCGATCCGCCAAAGGCAAAGAAGGACATGAATGAGAGGAGGAGGGTCGAGGTGCTCAGCTCGGCAACGCTTAGGTCCTGTGCGTTGAGGAATCCGAGCTGAACTTTGAACAGGAGGAACAGTGGTATATTGGTGGTTCTGGACTGTGTTACTGCCAACAAGGTGTAGAGGTAATGAAGAGTCTCGAGGGCTGATCGGATCGTGTTAGCCTGTGTTGCGGACTACCAAGGGGAGACACAGATACTGACCAGTAGCCCTGGTCGAGGCTTGTTTCCCCCAGAAGATGAAATATAGGACACAGGCAGTCGCCACCCCGAGGCCGATGAACACCGCCTGTGCCCTGGCAACAAGTGAGAATCCTGACGGAATGTCCACAATGCTTTTCGCTGCACCAACGACTAGTTCTGGCGCATCCTGATTCGTGAAAGCCAGTTTGAACGAGAAAGCTGCAAGGGCCAATGCTGTAGTTCCAGCCAAACTGATTGGGGTCAGCAAGCGACCGAACCCCTGGGAGAGCCCTCGGTATATGTAAAGGTATTCTGCGCTGACGAGGCACCACAGGAGCGCAGGATTGGTGTTGATGTACGTCTTGACGATGTCCGGCTCTCCCGCAAACTTCTGGCCAGTCTGGTTCCAGCCGCGGACCAGCCTCGTGGCGATGAGTGCAAATACGAGTGAGAAAAGGTGACGTTTTCGAGAGCCCCTTCTACAGCCGGTTAGCATGGAGATGGTAGGTGTTCTGGGAGCAGCACGTACCCGTTTAAGCCCTTCAAGCCCAGGAGAGCCAGCCAAGCGGATACAGACCAATACCAGAAATGATGCTCTTCCTCCACGTAGCTGCTTGCGAACATCATCACACCGTAAGACAGAGTGATTGACATAAACGGCAACGTTGAGTGGATGCTTTCTGAGAGCGAGAGACGCGCAGCAGATAGCGAGGCTATGACTGCAAGGACGGCGGTTCCTTGGCCAAGGAAGAGCCTACGCATATCATAGTTGCTCGCCATGCTGCTCATAAGACGTTGCGTCTTCCGTAGCCACTATAATAGTAAGTATATCATGGAAGATGTTTCAAACCCTTGGTGGGAGGGGGGGAACTGACGTGAGAAATCATTGACACCCATTGCAGATCAAGCGCTTCCGTCTGCCCAGCTTCTCTGGATGATTTCACGACCGCCTGCCACTCGCAAGCTAGCTCCCCAATCTTTGACCCATCTTCCGTGCAGACTTCACTGCCACGGCTGGGATCGAACATGTCTGACCCAAAGGCTGCGGTAACAATTTCCAATATCTGCTCGGCATTTCGCATGAGGATTTGGATCTTGTCGGTTTCTATAACGCTATTAGCTGCTGGCTACCTAGAAATGGCGAGGAGTTGCACACTTTTGGTCCAGAAGGGGAGAAAGTCTACAATAAATGTGCCAAGGTTGTTTTTCGGGACCGGGAACCCTAACAAAGCGGCGAGGGTTGGTGCAATATCTGACTGCTCGACGGTCGAATAATACTGGAAGTCGTCTTTAAACGGTACAGGAGCCTGACGCTGGCCTGGTAGGGCTTCCAGTCTCGGCGAAATGAAGACAAGGGCGGCAGATGTCTCTCCAGGGGACGAGGCGCCATGATTGCCAGCATCGTTCATGCCATGATCTCCGCATAGGACGAGCATGGTTGATTGGAGGTGTTCCTCTGTCTTCATTGCACTGAAGATCTGCTCAACAATCCCGTCCATCTCACGCTGCTTGGGGACCATATTGGGACTTATATGGGGTTAGCTATGAGACCGCAAATGGGGTAGAAAATGGGAAGGGTTTCCATCATGCCTTCTGGGCCCCCCCTTGTGGCCAATATGGTCGAGGCCCAAGTAATGGAGCACCATGGTGTTCCAATCGTCATTTTTAAGCTCGTCCGCAATGTGCCTCGTCACGTTGTTGTCCACTTCGGTGAAATCCTGTTGTATTTAGCGAGGTCCGTCGTCGTCACGCCGCGCGGGTCTTCCGTACCGAAACGAAGAAGCTGGTTGTCCCATCTGTCCGATCAAAGGTGTCCGGGAACAGCTTCAGCCACGTGTCGTCGCCGTACATGATCAATTTGCCTGTGCCTTTCGCCTTCATCTGTGCCAACCATGTGTCCTGCGAGGCAAGAGTCGAGGTCTCATCCCCCTCGTCGAGGTTGAGAATCACGTCTAGGAAGGAAGGAATGGAGCCAGTCGTTATGGCCTTGAGTCTCGGCATAGTAACAGTCGGCGACGTCGCATGGGCAGTAAACGGAATGGCAGCGCCGCTGCGAATCAAACTGGGAGGTCGTCAGCGGAAGGGGACGGCCTGGTCCCAGACTTGAAGAGCTGCTTACGACTGCGTGTACTCAAACCCGCTGTTGGGAAGATAGACGAAGTCACTACAAGAACCATGTGAATAGGCCGTAGTCGCATTCCATCACAGCGCCTAGGGATTACCTTCGCAAAGCATCGACGACCAGGAAGACGAGGCGATCAAAAGGGGCCGGCGGCGGAGATCCATATTCCGAGGCCTCGCTGTACTGAGCCAATCCGGGAATGAATGGTTTATAGGGAAAGAAGCCCGTCGCAAAGGTCAATATAGAGACGGGTATCAGCAAGTTGGCCGCGACAAGCAGCAAGACGGAGTAGAGCGTCGCATTGTGACGCGACTTCATGGCAGGGCGTGGCAGCCGAACGCAAATCAGCAATGAAACGAGGGATTATGAGATTAAGTACGGAAAGATCTCAGAGTCATGATCTGCCAACGAGGTTGCCCATTCAATTTCAAGCAAGCCTGGTTTCGCAGCTGCACAAGCTCGATGCTTACGCGGGGGGAAATTCCTCAAGGTGCCTAACCTAAGAATTCTAGTCTGTAGCCTCGCATTGGAAGCTCTGTGCTGATTGGTCCGTCGCAAGGATAGCAGATCCTGCGGAGTCCATGCGGCCAGGGGATTGGATATTGGCCTTAAAATAGACGTTCCCACGTCGATAAGAACAGCCTTGATATCTTCCAAGATTCCCATGCGACACCAATGTCTTGCCACCGCCCTGTCTAATACGGCGGCCATTCGTCGTATTCGCGGGCATAACCGACATATTGGGTATAACCGACATATTTTCCCTCCTCGCCCGGTTCTAGGTGAGACTTCACTTCATTTTCTTCGCAGCTTGTCTATCCTTGTATTTAGGAAACACGATAGACGACTTCTTTGACCGCCGTCGCTTCTCAATTCCCTTCCTTCCCAAGGTTAACTTTCTCTTTACGGCCTTGGCGCCCGAATCAATGTCCATGGCTGAAACCAGTCAGTTATCTGCCAGTTCCCGTAGATATGCAAAATGCAAAACAAGATACTCACTTTCCTCCTCTGTCACGGTAGGTGCAGTCTTCTGGTCTGTTGAAGTGGCTACAAATTAAATGGTGAGCCAGATTTCTACCGATGGATGAGGTGGAAGTGCTCGACGGGGTGCATCACTCACTCTCAACATCTTCCATTTCCTTCTCATTCTCTGGCCGACTTGTTTTCGCCTGGGCAGCGATCTCTAGCAACTTGGCCGAGAGGCGCTCTGTCCTGGCCGACTCGACAGGCCCAAACACATTCTTCTTGAGCTGTTGGTTGTTGTTCTTTACTGAACTTGCTCGGCTACTCTTCGCCATGTTGAAGGTATAAGGTCGAAGAACTTTGCGCAAAATGCGGGAATATGGTGTACTGGGTCTTTGACAGTTATTTTCTCGTTCCAGTGAAGTATCTCGCCAGCTGAGTTGATCTGAGTGTGTCTGGAGGGGTGTTATCGCACCTAGTTGAGGAAAAAAAGTGAGAAAAGATAAATCAGTCATGGGTCTATAAGGATCCAGATAAGAAGGAGGGAGGGGCGTACGCTAATCTGGCGCGTGAATCGCCTTCTTTTTACGAATTCCAGACCTCCATAAATGATAAGTATTTGTGAAGTTTCTGGGTAAGCCGCCTAATATGTAACCCAGATGAAGATTTGAAAAATAATTTTGGAATGCATTCATAAATCGGCACTATAGTGATACCAACTAGGTACCTGGTAGGTAGGTAGTCGGAGACAGAGGGCGGATATGATGCCTTGATAAGCCGATTCCCTCCTTGAATGCATCAAATTGTTAGGGTGTGTATCTGTATTCAAGTACCCACACCCCTGACTGAGATCGGCGGTTCACGACTGAAGCATCAAAGCTTCTATTTTGCCACAGCTTTCCGCCTTGATGATCAACTCTACAAAATGATTCCACCGGCTAGCACATCACTTAACCCGGCGCTGAGAATTTGAGGGAACCGAAACAGATATCTTGTCGCATCACCGGTAGGCACATCCAAACACGTATTATATGTCGCCGAAAAGACGCTAACCAATATCACTGCAGGACCCTCAACCTTGCGATAGCCTCGTGCCTGCCCGACGACCGCCGACCTTTTTATGACGCCTACCCGTGCATGAATTGGGGTCACAACCCTCGCTCATCATGGCAGACATGGTCACTCCCGAACCTGGACCGGGACCGGCCAGGGCAGATGTCGATGCTTTGGTTCGGGCGGCACAACTCCCCAACATACCGAAAGCCGCCCTTCAGACCATCTGCTCCGTCAATGGCCTCTCAAGAGGTGGCAACAAGGCAGATCTCCAGAGACGCATTATAGGCCGTGAGTAATTTTAGCTTGCGTGCCGACTCAATCCTGAACTGCCTCTTCCTTCTTCGTCAACGGAGACTCGCAGACAGGCGCCGTCTTGAACCGAACACTTGCTGATAATCTGCAAACAGTCATTCATATGTGCGATCAAAATAAAGACCTCAGTCGATTTCAGGAGGTTCGCAGCAGCGTTTATTCTCATGCGCCCGTCCAAAATCCTCATCCCGTGCCGGGGCTTCAGCCAGCCTACCAAACTCCTTCTACAAATTTGGGTATGCCTCCATATACCTACCAAAACGGCTCAGCGGCCAACGGCCACAGGCCGGTCCTTCAGCAAAGTACGATAGCTTCTCGCGCCCCCGGGACCGCAGCTTGGACAGGCTAACCAGAAGCAGGCTTTCAATTTAAGCCCAGCCCTTTCTACGAGGTGAAGAGTCGGATAGGAGAGTTGCGTACTTGCGAAGGTTGGTTAGAGCACAGGCGCAAAACGGACTGGTACTAACATGCGAGCAGTGATGGCGCAGCACCGACACTCGGTTACTATACCCGTAAAGTCTTTAGACAATCCTGCTCTGCAGCAGTGTCTCACAGACCCTAGCCTCAGGGTCATGGTTTTCTGCGCTGCAGGCAACACCGGCACTCAGGACATAGCTTTCCCCCACCAGTCCGAGCTGAAAGTTAATACCGGGGATGTCAAGGCAAACCTGAGAGGTCTCAAGAATAAGCCAGGGTCTACGAGACCAGTGGATATCACAAACCTCCTGCGTCTTAAACCCGCCGGATACCCCAACAGTGTGGAATTCACCTACGCATTAACAAACAAGGCAGGTGGTCGACCTCTAGTGAAGTCCAAAGTCAGGGCAGTCCCGATCAGACATGCGGGTCTGTTCGGCATGTGCCGGGTGACTTCTGCTAGGATGAGTTTTGCTAACTTGATATTTTCTGCCTACAGAGATACTATCTCGGCCTCTATATCTGCATGTCCACGTCACTGGATCGGCTCGTGGAGCAAATTGGGAAAGGGAAAAGGATACCCAAGGCCTCTGTCGTCCTGGAAAGTAAGTTATCCATGTCCCATCCCCAACTTGGATAGCACTAATACCGAATCCCAGTTGCCAAAAAAGCCAGTGACCCAGACATCGTGGCTACTTCGCAGAACCTCTCTCTCAAATGTCCCCTGAGTTATATGAGGCTCAAGGACCCCTGCCGTGGTCTCAACTGCAACCACATACAATGCTTTGACGCGACGTCCTACCTACAGTTGCAAGAACAAGGACCGCAGTGGATCTGTCCGATCTGCAACAATGCTGCTCCCTTTGACCAACTGGCCGTCGACGAGTAAGGTTACCGTTGGAAAATCTAGTGAGATTAAGACTGACCAGCCAATTTGTAGGTATGTCAAGGACATCCTGGTGAACACGCCGAGTTCTGTGGAGCAGGTCACGATTGAGCCGAATGGAAAATGGTCGGTCCAGAGTCAGACCCAGAGTCAGACCCAGAGTCAGACCCCAAGTCAGACCAGTCAAAAGGAAGAAAAGATGGCGGCTAAGGAGACGAGCTTTATCGATGACGACGATCTCGTGATTTCAGAGACCAGCTTTGTGGGCAGTCGCCATACCGCAACTCCGAACCGCTCGATGGCGAAATTTGATACCCCTGTAAGGGGGTCAACGGAGAGTTCGACAATGCCCAGGTCAGCTACCAGTAGCAAACGGCCGGCCGCTGAAGTCATTGACTTGACTCTTTCAGACGATGAAGCGCCAGATCGCCCTGCGAAACGCCAAAACACTACTGCAAACGGCTGGAGCACAATTTTCTAGACGTGCACTCCGGCTCTGATTGCCAGTCGTTAGGATCAGCCTCCCGTGCTATACGCCACGGGGACTGCTTGGTCGTCTCCCCATTTCGGTTGACTCATGGTGATTCGGCCTCTTTTTGAGGCGGGGGGGAGAGAAGGGGGCGTTACAGGAATTTAATACGATTAGACCATGGGATCGTATCTCAGCACGGCGTTTGGGATGGTACGGCACAGGACGGCAAAGGAGGGTGCCCACACGGTCAGGTCAGGCAACGGCATTGTGGGGAGAAGACGGAGAGTATTTGGAGTATTGACCGCTGCCTCGAATGAGGCCTAGAGAGGGTTTCGTCACAACGCGATGGATAGCTCTACGGGAGGAATAAAGGGGGACTATATCTTGCTCAGCGATTCGATAAGTGCCTAGATATCTAGAGCATGCTTATATGTAGCTAGTGATTTCGATAACTCGATATCCAGGCTACTTGCATATCACCCATAACAGCAACCTGTAGGAACAACGCCGCCAAAGCTCCTGGAAGAAACCCAAAGCTTCCCCCACCTTGACTCTTGAAGCTAAAGAGCACCTATTTGCCATCGGAGTGGACGCTCGTGAAGCCCATTTCCAGTCCCCGCAAGAACCAAACAGTACCATCCGCCTGGCCTCAATGGTCCCCGAGACGAACCTACCCGACGACGACACTGCCGCCTCCCTCACACACGACCGCCACGCCCACCGCGCCCCCACAGCCGGCGTACACGGCCCAACCCGCCGGAACGGGAACGCAGGACCGAGAAGGACGCCGCCGCCGCCGCCGCAGCCATCATCATGTCCTTCGAGAGCGTCATGCCGCCGTACAACGCGTCGGACCCCAGCGCCCGGTTCCTGAGCTCCTCGTGCCTCGACTTCCTGCTCATCGAGCTCGTGCCCATGGCCTACCGCATAACCAACGAGGTCGACGCCGCCGCACTCGACGCCGCCTCGGCACCGCCGCCTCCGGCGGCGGACGCGGGACCCGGGCAGAGCAACGGGGCGACCGCGGCGGCAGGAGGGGCCTCGGGCTCGCGCCGCATGGACGAGGACGAGGAGCGGGAGGCTGTCTTTTACAGGTTGGAGGTATTGGGGTACCGGGTTGGGCAGGGCCTGGTGGAGCGGTATGCCCCCCCCCCCCCGGGTTGAACTCGTCGGGAGGGAAACCCGTGGCTGCTGACTTTCGGGTTTGCTGTGCAGGTTCTCGCGAGATAGGCCTCGCTTCAACGACACGCTCGACGCGATCAAGTTCCTCTGCAAGGATCTGTGGACGCTGGTTTTCCGGAAGCAGGTGGATAATCTCAAGACGAATCACAGGGTATGTACGGCATGGGGACCGGATTCTACTCGAACCTTTTTCTTTACTTCTCCTTGAGAGAGATGGTTGCTGACATCTGGGTTCTCCTTACCTGCAGGGCGTCTATGTATTGACGGATACCGCGTTCCGACCGTTCTCAAGGATGAGCACCGAGACTGGGGGCCAAGCAGTGCTCCGCGCTCAGCCGGTATGAGCCTCTCTTCCCCTCCCCCTTCCCCACCCCTTTTCTTCCCGCGCGAATATAGAAGTCTCCGTATTGATCTGTTTGGTTTTATGTTTTCAGTTCTTATGGTTCCCATGCGGCATCATCCGAGGAGCACTGGCAGCGATGGGAATCAACGCCACGGTGCAGGCGGAAACGAGCGAGCTTCCCAGCGCGGTCTTCCAGATCAGGACCATACCAGTCAAAGCCTAGATCCGAAGTCGGCCGAGCAAAATGGCGAATACCAATCACCTGGGAAATCCCGTCGCTTGATGAAATAGGGTCAGGAAGGAAATGGTCGTCGCATCTAGAAACGAGCATCTAGACGGAGTCCAGGGAGGCACATGGCGTTTGGGGGTTCACTATTGCGTCGAGTTTATGTATACCCGGAATTCCATATGTGTTCCAAATGCGTCGTTGATCTATCAGTTGAGATATCCGTTTTCGTTCCGTTCAAATCCCTACCCCCTTCCCCTCCCAAAATCCCCTCAACCCGTCATGTCCAGGTCGTCGTCAAACTGAGCTTCCTGGATCGGACATTTATCTCACGGCCACGGCCACCCATTCTCCCTCCCCATGAAGAATCGGGATTCACCCTCACAGCCTAGGAAAGAAAAAAGACAAATCAGCCAGATGCACCTCACTTGATTCTATTGTTTTGCTTCTATAGTCGGCCAATGATACCGCTATCTGGGAGGCCCGGCAATGTTTTATTTCGAACCGAACTTGAAAGAGAAGAGGGCATCTTCCGCATGGTGGGAATCAGGGGTCTATTCACTTTTGCGGTGGGTTGTGGGCGAAGGCGACTCCCTTCTCGATGTTCCCCTTCAGGCCCGCGATAGCCGCATCCAGCAGCGTCTTCTCCTTGGCGGAAATGTCCGATAAGACATTGGTGGCCTTTTCGGCTCCGTTGGGCTACAATAACATGTCAGCAAAGGCGTTATCGAAAATGGAAGACGAAGAGGTGGGGTTTTAGGGGGTAGTACTCCAAGCTCGATGGGGACGGAGAAGAAGTCGACGCCAGTCTTCTCGGCGATCTCCTTGCCTCCGGGAACACCAGGGAGATAGACATAGCTGGGCTCAACGAGGCCCTTGGCACCCTTTACGGCCTTGAGCAATTTCTCGGTGAACCTTTCAAACGACCTGATTAGCCAAGTCTTCCCAGCACCCACCCATTCCGGGAAGATAACCATACCGGTAGCCAGCATAAGCCATGGAGAGCGTAGCGGAGCCCGCACCATCCTTGGCCTTGACGACCTCATCACCGCCGAACTGGACACGCTTGACAAGAGCCTCGTACTTGTCATCAGGGATAGTGACCGATGGGGAGACCTGGCTGAAGAGCGGGACAATGGTCTCGCCGGAGTGTCCGCCGATGACGGGGACGGTCAGCTCCTGAGGGTTGGCCTTGCCGACGATCTCAGCGACGAAGGTCTCAGCGCGGACAATGTCGAGGGTGGTGACGCCAAAGAGGCGCTGGGCGTTGAAGACGCCCTTGGCCTTGAGAACCTCGGCGGCAATAGGAACCGTCGAGTTCACAGGGTTCGAGATGACGAGGATGAAGGCCTTGGGGGCGACCTCGGCGGCGACCTCGATGAGGCCCTTGACAATGCCAGCGTTGATGTTGAAGAGATCATCACGGGTCATGCCAGGCTTGCCTGCAACAGATCACATTCAGCAAAATCTTCGCGTCGGCTCTTGTTGGTTTCCACCTACGGGGAATCCCGGCAGGGATGACAATGATATCGGCATCCTTGAAGGCAGCCTTGGCGCCATCGTTGGCTGGGAGGTAGCCAGTAACTTTCTGTTCTTTCGTCAGCAAGAGTCAACGTCAACGTTGCTGCCAGGAGAAATGCTTACCGCGTTCGAAGAGATATGCGACAGGTCGGCCGCAACTCCCGGGGTGTTGACAACATCGTACAGGGAGAGCTCATCGATCAGGGGGCAGAGCTTCAGGAGCAGGGACAGTGGCTGGGTAGGGGAATAAGCGTCAGCTTCGACTGCTTCTCTTCATTGCGCTTTATCTTTATGGGCATTCAAATCCATACCTGCCCAATACCGCCAGAGGCACCAGCGACAACTAAAGGCACATTAGCAATGCGATCTGCTGAAATGGCGCAATGATTTCGCTCTCTGTCCACGCACCTGCTTTGACCATTTTGACGTGATTCGGAGGCGGGGGAGGGGTTAAATGCTGCAAGCAAGGGTGAGCTGTTAGCGGCGCCAGATATCAGGGCGGCGTATTTTCCACGCTGTTATAACAGGACGACGAGGGACAGTGATGATGATGATGATGATGATGATGGTTCAATTTGCTCACTTATGAAGAGAAGTATTTATCTCGAGGCTTTCGACGTTTTCGATGTTTGCGAAGTTGTTGTTGTTCGGGGGGGTGTCGTCCGGAAGCTTTCCAAGAGTTACCTTACGTACTGAGGTAATTCTTTATGGTGGGGCAATAACACCCAAAAGCTGACCGAAAGCAGCAAAAGATTATGACCCCGCGCCGGTTCGGAATGGCTTGAAACCCGGATAGACAATATGGTACCTACGAGAATATACGATGAACGCCACAGAGGTCCGGCGGAGTTTTTGCTGGTTGTTTCGGGTCCCCCTTCTTATATCTCGAGAGTCGAGACACGACAGACTAGGTACCTACCTACCTGTTTGGAGCGTTCGGTGGGGCGACCAACGTCTCACATGGGTACACCCGGACATCAGACCGACATGTGCGGCCCGAGGCATTACACTCGGAGGATGGGAAGTTGGGAATCGGACAGGATCGGACAAGTCCGCTTCAAAGCCCGGATCAGAGGCCTGTGTACCTGTGGCCCCCAATCCAATCCCGACAGGGCTCCCCATGTTAGCCGTCTCTACTGGTCACTCATGGTCTCCATCGCAGTCGGTCCTCATAGTTGCTTGTTCATGGATTGATTCTTTGGATATCAAACGCCGGAGGTAGCCCTAGATGCGAGATTGCCCGTCCAGCCCGCCCCATGTGCCGTCCACTCGCTCGCAAACAACTTCTAATCGAGTTCTTTTGATCGGTCGTAGGGCCAGTCCTTATCCTAGCTCACATGGCCAAGCTTATGCACTCTGCTCAGCGGCCTTCTTCGCCGCATTTCCCCTCAACTTCCTCTCCGGCTCGGGCTTGACGGGTCTCTGAGATCGGAGGATGGCACTGGCACGGGCAACGGCAGTCTCACGGAGGTCGGGGCGGTAGTGGGACTTGGCCGCCTGGTTGGCAACTGCCTTGTAGGTCCTGCGAGAATGTCAGCACCCTGTCTCTTGCGCTCCCGTTGCATATGTCAGACTGACTTCCGGGCGGACTTGTTGCTGCGATAGGCAACAGTCTGCTGGTTCTTGGCCGGCTGCTGGCCGTGTGCGGCCCTCTTGCTAATCAACTGAACGCCTCCCTTCTCATTGGCAACGATGCCCAGGGCCTATACGATTGTTTTCTCATCAGTCCCAGTGTGCGTGGCGCGATCGATCAGGCCCTCGAAATACCTTGTTGTTGACGAAACCAGCGTGCTACCACTTTAATTAGCCCATTGCACCCAACCATAGATCAACGGCAAATCCGTACCTTCCACGTGTTCTTGTTCGCCAGGTTGTAGGGGTCGCGAGAGAACTGAACGCCTCCAGCGTCCTTGCGCTTCACGAGGTAGGCATTCTGGGAACCTAATACAGTGTTAGGGTTAACGTTGCCCTGGCCCTGGGTCTATCGGAAAACTCACGGGCGACCTGCCAGAGGAGATCGGAGGAGACGTTGGGCAGAGACATTGTGGAATATGAAACCTCGAATGAGTAACCGATTCAATTACAATCTATTGCAACGAAGAAATAGAGGTCCAAAATTCGTAAATCTTGAAATTGCCTTCCACGAGCTGAATTCACGAAAATTGCCCACGCTGTGGGTTCGCTTAATGACAAACCAGGTACCTAGGTACCTTCCATGCTCCACTCTGCCTTGGGAAACCTGGTAACCCCTTTCGGTATAGCGCGCTGAGCCACGCCGCAACTCCCGCCTTCGCATACCATCATCGCAAGCGTCTGGCCTGACTTCAATCCCACGATATCCCACTTTCCTTTCATCTCAGACCTTCTTTTTCAACTCTGTAACTATTTCTCTCACCTCTTCGGCTATTGTCGTGTCATTGCTTCGATGATTCCGGGTGTACCGGGGTAACCACACTCAACTCCCGCCGCAGCCTCCCTCGGTTCGCACTTCACACAGGACTAACGGCCCCTGGCCGGCGCAAAGATGGTTTACCTCCTCTACAGCATCATCTTCCTCACCCTCTTCTCCGGCACCGCCCTGTACGCCACTCGCGCCCACTGGCTCCCCGCCTTCCAGGATCTCGCCTCTGGCCTGCGCGACTCCCTCCCGACCCTCGGCTCCGGCTTCGGCTCCGGCGCCTACTCGCGCCTGTCGTCCTCGTTCCGGGGGGACATGGAGGCGGGCCTGTCGAGCAGCAACTTCGACCTGGGCGCCAACGTCGAGTCGGGCGACTCGCGCGGCGGGCTCGACGCAGCCGCAAAGGCCGAGATTCTCCGCATCATGAAGCGCCGCCGCATGAGGTTCGACGAGGCCCGCCGCGTCTACATGGAGCAGCGGTTCGCTGCCAACGGCATCGACGCCGACGGCCGGCCGCGCGATCCAAAGTTTGTGAGCTTTTCGTGAGGGGCTGGGTTGGATATTCCCCCCGATCGGTGGCTTTTTTTTCATCCGGGGGGAATCGAGCGTGGTTGGGGGAAGGAGCACAGGCAGATGCGGCCAGATGGCGCCGACATCGAGCCTCCCCGTTGTTAATATACTCGCGGTATATTACCGAGCCATTTTGTCGACACTGACGCCGATACCGATACCGATACCGATACCTACGTCTATTCTCATTTCCTTACGTCATTGGGTTGGAAGTTAGCGACCATCTTAGGGTTGGCGGGCGTTCTTGGAGTTATTGGGATGAGTAGGGCTAGCATCTCTCGGGTGAAGCCGCTGCCTTGGAAGGTTGGCTCTTGCTTCAAGAGGCCTTCAACTTACTGCTTCTCGTTTACATGGCAAATCACACACTGCTGCATGTCTTGTATAGGGAGCCTCTCCATGAGAACCAAGGCTCCTCTTTGAAGCGATTATTACTTTCGTTTATTACATTACAGTATTCCCTCCTACTCAGAGTTGAATACGATCTCTATGTGGTCTTGTAGGGACTTAAAAGAATGACTCCGACCACCAACCTCCACGCCAGATCCCAATGGGATCAATGAAAAACATATATGTACAGTACAGCCTGAGGCTTGATATTAGTAGTTACAACCAAAACAGCTTCCCCTTTTTCTCTACTCGTCATCATCACCTCATCAAAATCCCGATATCGAACTAGTGAATGGGCCGTAGTGGGATTCGTAAACCTGGATAAGAAGGGATAGTCTCCCCTCTTACTGGGACTTCTTAGTCTCCGGCTCATAATTGCGGTCGTCCTCGCCCTCAACCTCCTTGACCATCTTCTCCATCTCGGCGGACTCCTTCTCCCACTGTTCCTTGCTCATCTTAACATCCTTGTCGAACATGGACGTTTCGGGGGCGCGGTAGCTCCCACCCATGCGGTCCCACAAGGTGGTGTACTGGCCATAGTTGTAGTTGAAGGCGAGGTGGTGGACGCTGTGGCAGGCGGCCCCGTTTATGACGGGATTGTCGGCCATGTACTCGCCGTCGTGAATCATGATGGTCCAGAAGTTGACAAAGACGAAGAGGAAGACGTAGGCGAGCTTCTGCAGCGGGAAGAGGAAGGGGTACAAGTGGTAGGGGATGCCCTGCGCGAAGCCGTCGAGCGGGTGGAAGGCGTGGCTGGCGAAGGGAGTCGGCATGATCCACTTGTGGTGCGGTTTGTGGAGGCGCTTGTAGACGAGCGGGTGGTGCAGTCCCCGGTGGATGAAGTAGATGCAGAAGTCGGTGAAGAGCAGGAAGAGGGGCAACTGGGCGAAGTCGTACCAGGTTCCGGGACCCTCGGCAGAAGAGTCATAGAGCTTGCTGTACCCGCGGACCTCGGCCAGGAATATGGGGGCGGTGTAGATGGCCATGACTGGCAGGGAGATGGCCGTCTGTTTCATCTCGAGGGAGATCTGGTTCTTCAGGAACTTGGGGTGCTCGAGTGTCTTCTTGTCAAAGATAAGCCAGTACGAAAGCGACGCAAAGACAAAGTATATGAGAAGACCGAACAGCCTGTCCACGCGCGGGCCGTGTTAGTCTGAGCATGCCCACGACCAGAGTGCAAAGTCGGACTTACCATGTTATTAGGAAAAGTGACACGCCCTGGCGGTAGATGTTATCTCGGGCCCAGGCGCTCATGTAGGCAGCCTGCGGGGGCTGAAAGGAGAAGAAAGACGTTGCGGGCTTGTACTGCCATGTTGAGAATGCCTGGCTGGTAGCATTGGCCGAGAGATGGTCCGGAAAGTCGAACGGAGTAGCACGCGCGGGAAGAACCCAGGCGTAGATATGATCGAAAAAGAACGTGTCCGTAATCTCCAGGACGATGTCCATGGTCAATACGAATTCGAGAGGCTGGCGGGCAAAACTTGGAAAAAAGATTGACAGGGTAGGGTGGAATTCAAAAGAGGTTGAGGCTCAGGGAAGTGATTTGGCGATGATCAGCGCGAATCAAGGGTCTGGGACGCTAACCTAAAAGGGTTCAGGCACGTTGCTCCTAGCGTACCGTTGTGCAGGTACTTTACGATGATGGCTTTATCTTGCAAAACGTCAGAGATGGAGAGGGGGCTGCAAGCATTTATTCATTCTTTAGGACACCGATCCTTTCCCCATCGCCCCATTTTCAGACCCCGAGAAGCAGCGTATTCGTTTACTACCCTGCGCTGGGTATGACATTCGAGGGTGACAATCGTCCAACCCAGAGAGAGAATTGCACGATGAGGTGGAGCGGGATGCCCTATGATTCGCCAGCTGAACCCTGATCAATTTCGTCCGTCACTCGGATGCAAAAGGAAGCCGGTGCAAGAAAGTGGCCTGGTTTTTGACACCGAGGAACAAGTCTGGCTTAAAGCCGGGATCGGCCCCGAGGATGAACGTTTCTCAAGATTCAACACTCTGCCCATTAAAAGTCATCTGTGTCTCTGGTCTAAGCCACCCACTACACAACTGTCCTCGGTCTTGCGTCGCCCCACGCCGAGAATGGTTACTTGGATCTTGCAACTTGCATAAGCCGCCCTCCGCTACGCAGACAATAGATATCTCCAGCCCACTTCGTACTCAGCTCGCCTAGCCATTGGCCTGTTCTCGATATAGCTTCTACTACCATGGACTAGCACACAGACGCAGGTCATGAGAAGTGAGCTTAATGAAACTTCGATCGAAGTTAAAGGTGCTTCGACAACAAAGGCTTCGTTACCTTCAGCCATGACATCGATATCAGGGATTTGTGTCCAAGAAATAGTTTGAAGATTGTCATCTTTGTTCGTGAAGCGCCGATCGGTCGGCTTACCGAGATCATCGAAGTTTACTACATAGATCAGATTTGGTACACAGTTCTAGCTCATCCCCCTCTATACTTGGGCCACATTGGTGATAAGAAGCACAAGAGAAACACCGTGAAGATGGGAATGAGAGTGATCAAGGACAGAGCCTGGGAATGAAATGCTGGCTGGAACAATGAAACTTGGAAGCCCGTTCTGAATGATATGGGCAGACGGAATAAAGGTAACGCCCAAGTAGGAAATGAAAGTTGGCTCTCAAAAGCTAAATCCAGGTGAGGGGAGGAGAGTAGAGAGCTCCAGATGTAACCATCTATGATACATCTACGCATGTGGGTCATTCCCAAATCATTGCGAAGTTCCATGATATTGGAGGACCTAGTATTTTTAGGTTGTTATCCGAGCTGCTAGCCACGTGCGGGATCAGGCAAGGGTGCAAGAAAAAAAGACCCGTGCTCCATAGGTAGGCAGGTACCTACATACTATAGGGAGGAGTTGATTTGGAGTGGCGAAAACTGCAGAGGCAACTTTCGGGGAACAGCTGTTGCTGCATGTCACCACATTTGCTCCCGCAGTTCTTATTATTAGTCCCATACGGATCCGTACTAGTACATACATACAAATGGGACCCTGCCGAACCGGGTAGGCAACCCAGGTATATGCCTAAGTACCACAAGGTATCAAGACTTAGGTAGGTATGGAAGTAAGTCACATTAAGTTCCCGGTTACCATGATCAAACTTCGAACATTTAGATTCAGAAACACAAAGTGAAAGCCCCATCAGCCGATTAAATTCGGATTAGCGAACCTAGGTACCTACTTCAGATTGCGTCTGTTCTAGAGGCACACGTAAGGCAGTTTAAGCCGCTAGTGGCAGAATTGACCAAAAGCCAGTGCCCCAGAAGGCCTCCCACGCTCCCTCATCTCCCTCTCATCTCTCATGTAAAAAATTGAAAGAAAAAAAAAAAAGCAAACATATAATGATTTTCGCGATGCAAGTTCCCTCCATGTTAGTGCAAACAGCAGTGATGGGCGGGGGGCAGGCTACCCTCGTTCGGCAGCCAATGGGCCCCTTGGCCACTTAGAAGTATCTAGACAGCATAACCCCTGGTTTCACGTTAGTGCGTTGCAGCGGACAGGGATTTTTTGGCCACAGTAAAACTCCATTTCTCTGGCCTTATGATCAGCCACAGGCGCCTTGCACTAACAATGTTTCAAGAGATATATGTACTTGCAATACATGCACGCTCCAGGTTGTGGACCCACGATGCACGACTGTGTCCCACCTTCCCTCCTGCAGGTTGGTAGGTTCCTTGACTAGCACCTACCCCGGCATGATCCACTCCAGATTCTCAAGGCTTACCTGCTCTCTTCCCCATCAGCCGCGCAATTCTCCTCCTTCTTCTTTCTCCCCTCTACCAACGAGAAAAACAGTGGAATCTAGCGTCCATCACCATCTCAACCTTGCATCATCGATCCAGGCCCATTTGCGGGTAGAGCGACGCTCTGGCTGCATTTAGTCCATCTTTCTACCCTCTCGGTGAAAAAAATCCAATTTCCCAGCCTCCAACTACTGTCCCCACATCCATCCAATTGAAGCCTCTTCGCTTCACCATCGCATCCCCGTCTCAGCAACCATTCTCTAAGCGTCGCTCTTGAACACCATGTCAATGTATCCCGCCCATCGCGGGATGGGCGGCGTCCCTGCCGGTGGCAATGGCGTTGCACGCATCAGCGATCTCCTCGAGCAGATACGATCTGAATTTGAGGGCCAGCTGCGATCCGGCGAAAACTTTGAGCATCAGAGTAAGATCCATTTACTTATCTTCAATCTTGATGAGAGTCGCTTTTGCGGAAATGCATATGTCGCCACTGTCACGACCAGCGTCATCAGGATCGTCTGCACATAGTTTGACTAACTGTTGCAATAGTCCAAAGTCAGGTGCAAGAGATGCAACTGGTCCGGGAGAAGGTGTACAACATGGAACAGACTCATCTTCAACTGAAACAGAAGTAAGTTTTAATCCATATTGCTACTTGCTGGATTTGGCCGCTTACTTGTGTGTTAAAGGTATGAAGAGGAGATCTCTCTCCTTCGCCGTCAGCTTGCTGACGCCCGAGGCGGAGCACCACCGGGCGCCATGGGCGGGCCTCCTCAACATGCAGGCCCTTCACAACAACCTCCGTCGATTGGGTCGGGAAGCCACGTTTTTGGGGCCATTATGGATGGCCGGGGTGGTCAAGCTGGCCTTGCGCCACCTCCACCTCCGCCGCAGGAGCAACAACCTCCTCAACATCAAATGCCTCCGGCGCCCCCAGGCCTCCAGGGTCCTCCGCCTCCTCCACCACCACCACCGTCCCAGCAACCGCCTTTCCAGCAACAATATCCCCAGGGACCCGGGCCGAGCGGTTTCCCTTCCCAACCCCCGCAGAGCACCGCGTCCCCCGGGCCTGGTAAGCGAGGCATTGGCAGACCTCCTCAAGCGGGCGGTCCGGCCACTCCGCAGATCAACACCCCGATGCCGTACCCTGGGCCGGGCCAATCTCCCCAGATCCCCGCTCAACCGACTCCCGACCATGCTCGAATGTCGCAACATCCCCCGCCGCCTCCGCCTCCTCAAAGCAACTCGCTGAGCGACCTTGATCCCGAGCGCATCCCCCTCCACAGCAAGAAGATGAAGGACGACTGGTGGCTCATTTACAACCAGGGTGTTCCTCGCTGCCTTGACGTGGAGTTGCTGCACACTCTACAACACGAGAGCGTGGTCTGCTGCGTTCGGTTCAGTGCGGATGGCAAATATGTAGCAACCGGCTGCAATCGGTCCGCTCAAATTTACGAGGTCAGCTCCGGCGAGAAGTTGTGCATTCTCCAGGACGACAGCATCGACCTGAACGGAGATCTCTACATTCGGAGCGTCTGTTTCAGCCCAGATGGAAAGTACCTCGCCACAGGGGCCGAAGACAAGCTAATCAGAGTAAGTCCTGGTCCTCGAGCTTGCTCCCATTCAGCGTTACTAACCCTCGGAAGGTCTGGGATATCGCGACAAGGACTATTCGGAACACCTTTGCGGGTCATGAACAAGATATTTACTCGCTCGACTTCGCCCGGGATGGACGTACGATTGCCTCGGGAAGTGGGGACCGGACCGTCAGGCTATGGGACATTGAGGCGTCGGCGAATATTCTGACGCTGAGCATTGAAGACGGCGTCACCACGGTAGCGATCTCGCCAGACACGAAGTACGTGGCCGCCGGCTCGCTCGATAAGAGTGTACGCGTCTGGGAGATTGCAAGGGGCTTCCTAGTTGAGCGCCTGGAAGGCCCAGATGGGCATAAAGACAGTGTCTACTCAGTTGCCTTCTCACCCAATGGGCGTGATCTTGTCAGCGGTAGCTTGGACAAAACCATCAAGATGTGGGAACTCAGCGCACCTCGTGGGATCTCGTCGACAGGTCCTCGGGGAGGGCGATGTGTCAAGACGTTTGAAGGTCACAGGGTGAGTTTATTAATTCCCTCCCCCAACACCCCTTAGATGGACTTTGCTGATCTGTTTGTTTAGGACTTCGTTCTCAGTGTCGCATTGACTCCCGATGCTGCCTGGGTCCTGTCTGGATCGAAGGATCGCGGCGTTCAGTTCTGGGATCCTCGCACAGGTCACACGCAGCTTATGCTTCAGGGCCACAAGAACTCTGTGATTTCTGTTGCCCCCAGCCCCACTGGCGGATACTTCGCAACTGGTTCTGGAGATATGAGGGCTCGTATTTGGTCATACAACCGCATTCCTCCGCCGCCGCCGCAGTGAACGGGAAATGGAAAAAGCTGGGAATCTTCCCGATGGTAGCTTCCTTTACCCAGGGCTTTTCTGGCAGGCCCTCTAAAAATGAACTGGCGCTCGCAATTGTCCGGTAATGGAGCCGCCTGCGGGATTTGAATTGTTCTACTCCTTTGATCGAAATGGGCCTAGCACTTTGGGTGGCCTGGGAATATTAACTGGCGTCAAGGTAAGAAGAGCACCGTTGAGTCATGATTTATGCACAGTTGGGCTGGAACAAGGTGGACGTGGGTCTTAATGTTTTTTGTTTTCGAATCAGTATCCCAACCACAACTCCAAATGCAAAAAGAAAAAAGAAGAAAAAAATCGATACAGAGCTCTCCATTACGGATTTAGGGACGGTCAGAAGATAGTATTAGTGTTAGCAATTGCGAATAATCCGTTTCCCACAACACTGATTGGTCCCTCCCAAGAGTCGCACCTCCTAGTCCTCCATCTCTATAACAGCGAGCTAAACAAGTCGTCAAACTCGTCCCTCTTCTTGCGTTTCTTCTTCTTTGACGAGCTCTTCGGTTGTAACGGGCCAAAGAGTTGGTCGAACTCGTCCCCTTTTCGCTTCCCAGGCTGGGGGGAGGCTCCCTTCCCTTCTCGGTCTGCGGTCTCGTGCCGGCGATCCTCTCCGAGCCGAGTATTTCTCGGTGGTGGCATGAGAGGATCCCGGCCCCCTTCCGCTCCCTGATGCGCGCCGCCTGTCGAGAGGCTGCTCTCGGCGTCCACCCCCCGCGCGACGTCAGTCCTAGACACCGCGACGCCGACGTCGGTCGTCTCCTCCGACGCGCCGGGGGGGCGGACCCGTCGTCCAGCCGCCACCACGACCGCCACGTCACCGGGCCCAACGGCTGAGTGGGCCGCCGTCGACGAGCCCGTGGCGGTGGCGGCGGCGGCGGCGGCGGTCTCTCTTGCCGCCGGCGCCAGGCTGGATGCGGCCTGGTCGACCTGGGCCAGCACACCTAGCAGCGCCAGGCCGAGCTGGGCGTACTGGTTGTCGGCGGCGAGCTGGGTGAAGGCGCTGTCGGCGTTCGAAGTGTGTGGTCAGCCCCGGGTTTTCTTTTCTTACTTGCCCATCCCTCTCCCTCAGGGTGGTTCTTTTCTCTCACCCTCAAACAGAACTTACAGATACGCTCGCGGGACAAGCTGGCCTCGCAAATAGCCAGCCCGGAGGCCCAGCCTCTCGTCCGCCCCGCCACCACCCGCGGCGGCCTTTAGCTTCTTCCGCCTCTTGGCGGCCTGCGATAGTGGTGGTGGCCGGTCCCGGATGGAGGCCTGCAGGTCCAGGGCCAGCTTGCGCGTGGCACGCCTGAGCATGTCGAGCTGGGCCCACCACTTGGACAGGCGGTGCTGGTTCTTGTTGCGGTGGTGGAAGCCGTCCAGGATCTCGAGGGCCGGCGCCAGCCGGTCCAGCACCGGCTGGAGGGCGTCTACATCGTTTCGGTCGCCGGCCATGCGCGTGCAAAGGCGCTGGATGGGCCCTTTGAGCGAGTCGGGGTATTCCGTGACGGCTTGCACGATAGGTTTTAACGTGGTGGGGGTTTAAATAGCGAAGTAGGTAGGGTGGTATGCGTATCAATTTGCCCCCGATAAGATAACCTCGTAGCCGTAGCAAAACTCCACTTTTCCATAGCCATACCATAGCGAGATACCATAGCGTTTATGGCCCTGCCTTTGCTCTTAACTGAATATGTTAACCTACTTTGATACCCTTTCCTTTTACACTTTTACCATGAATTTATAGGCAAGTCTAAAATTACTACTTACGGCTGCCAGTACTGTGCCACCTGTGCTTCCGTGTCTCTGTATCTCCCTCAAGAGTCGGCACCCGAGTCCAATACAATTCATCCTCAAACTCGATGTCGGGGTTCTTGACCCAGACCATATTCCTGATCGTGAAACAGACGATGCCGTAGCGCAGGTTGACTAGGTATAAATGACGGATGGAAATCACAACTCAGGACTCTGTGTAAGTTAGTGTAACACAGAGTCCTGAACCTCACTTACACTATTACACCACTTACAAGAGTCCCGAACCATTGAATTCCATCAGGTAGGTCTGTATAAGCCAAAGTGGTTTTGATACGGGTATATGCACAGTGTACCTATGGGCCTCCGCGCCCCCTGATTGGTGTGAGAGGCAAAGGTAAAAGTTTGGCGTGGGCAAAATTCGGATTGGCCAATGCAGGAAAAAAACCCTGGCGAAAAATGAGGGGCACGAGGGGCAGAAAGTAAGAAACCCCGCCAGAATTTTTCTCACGCCAGAAGGCTCACCATGCGCCCCGTCAAGTAACAAGCCGACTCCGTGCGATTCATCGTCGCCACGCCAGAAGACCAGGGAGGCCTTGACTCCGGACTTGACAATTATGTCTTCGGTTCGCATTCTACTTATCGGAAATGGTGGGCGCGAGCACGCCCTGGCGTGGAAGCTGAGCCAGTCGCCTCGCGTCGAGTCCATCGTCGCCGTCCCGGGCAACGGAGGCACCGCCGGCCTGCCCAAGGTCACCAACGACACGAGTGTCGCCGCCGACGACTACGAGGGCCTCGTCGCCCTGGCCCGGAAACTCGACATAAACCTCGTAGTGCCCGGGCCCGAGGCGCCCCTCGTGGATGGCGTTGAGGGCTATTTCCGTGCTGCCGGAATCCCTTGTTTCGGTCCTTCCAAGGAGGCCGCCCGTATGGAGGGTAGCAAGACTTTCTCCAAGGACTTCATGAAGAAGCACAACATTCCGACCGCGGCCTACGAGAACTTCTCCGACTACGAACAGGCTCGCGCCTATTTGGATACTATTAACCACGATGTGGTGATCAAGGCCAGTGGCCTGGCTGCCGGGAAGGGAGTTATCATCCCGCAGAATAAAGGGGAGGCGATGGATGCTCTGAAGGATATCATGCTCGACAAGGCCTTCGGTTCTGCCGGAGACGAGCTCGTTATCGAGGAGTTTCTGACCGGAGACGAGCTGAGCATCTTGTCGTTTTGTGATGGAGAGACGATCAAGTCGCTACCACCTGCCCAAGATCATAAGCGGATAGGCGATGGCGACACTGGCCCCAATACTGGCGGCATGGGCTGCTATGCGCCTACGAACATTGCCACCCCTGAACTCATCAGCCGCATCGAGGCCGAGGTTCTCCGGCCCACCATCGACGGCATGCGGAAAGACGGCATGCCTTTTGTTGGCTGCCTCTTCACCGGACTGATGATTACCCCCGATGGGCCCAAGGTCCTCGAGTACAATGTCCGCTTCGGAGACCCCGAAACACAAACGATGCTTCCCCTCCTGAAGGACGATCTCGCAGACATCATGCTGGCCTGCACAAACGGGCTTCTGCGTTACGTTCCCGTCACCGTGGCGGCCGAGTTCAGCGCCACAGTCGTCGTTGCTGCCGGGGGCTATCCCGATGCGTACGCCAAGGGCACTCCCATGAAGGTCGAGCCTCCCCCGGCCGGTATCAACATATTCCATGCTGGCACCAAGCAGTCGAGCGATGGGGCGCTGCAGACTTCCGGCGGCCGAGTCATTGCAGCCACCGCGACCGCCGACAGTCTGAAATCGGCGGTTGCTAAGGCTTATGAGGGTGTAAAACTCATTCAGTTCGATGGCATGTATTACCGCAAGGATATCGCACATCGGGCGTTCCGCAACCGCGACGACGCGCCCACATCCGAGTCTCTCACCTATGCGCAATCCGGCGTGAGCATAGATGCCGGGAACGAACTCGTCCAGCGGATCAAGAAAGCGGTGGCCTCCACGCGCCGGCCCGGTGCCGACGCTGAGATCGGCGGCTTTGGAGGCGAGGTTGACCTGTCGCAGGCCGGCTATCCCGGAGCGCCCATCGTCGTGGGCGCGATCGATGGCGTCGGGACGAAGTTGATGATTGCTCAGGCTTTGAACAAGCACGACACCGTCGGCATCGATCTGGTTGCCATGAACGTCAACGACCTTGTGGTCCAGGGTGCCGAGCCGTTCATGTTCCTTGATTACTACGGCTGCAGCAAGCTCAACCTCTCGAATGCCGTGCCCTTCATCGAGGGAGTCGCCGAGGGCTGCCGGCAGGCAGGTTGTGCTCTTGTCGGTGGCGAGACAGCCGAGATGCCCGGCATGTACAAGGAGGATGACTACGATGCTGCAGGGGCTGCGATCGGCGTGATGACGGCGGGGCAACGCCTCCCGAGACTGGGAGACATGGTTGAGGGCGATGTCCTGATCGGACTTGGCTCGAGCGGTGTCCACTCGAACGGCTTCTCCCTGGCCCGTCGCATCATCGAACGGAAGCAGCTGTCATACACGAATCCCGCTCCCTGGGATGGGTCGGGTAGTGGGAAGTCTGTCGGCGAGAGTCTCCTGACACCGACGAGGATATACGTCCAGCCCATACTGAAGGTGTTGCGGTCCCAGCAGGGCCAGGCCCTTAAGGGATTGGCCCACATCACAGGGGGTGGTCTATCCGAAAACGTGCCACGCATGCTCCCCGCGCACCTGGCAGCGGAAATCGATGTCCAGGCCTGGGCTGTCCCTGCCGTCTTCGCATGGCTGAGGCAGGCGGGCAATGTCGAGCCGGCCGAGATGGCGCGGACCTTCAACAATGGCATCGGCATGGTGGCGGCCGTCAGCGAGGATGGCGCCGCCGGAGTGATACAGGGGTTAGAAGAGGCCGGCGAGAAGGTCTATAGGATCGGCCGGCTAGTCAAGAGGGCGTCCCCCGAGGACGCCGGATGTGTCCTCTCCGGACTGGACTCGTGGGTGGCCAGCGCATGAGCAGCAAATTGCTGTGTTCTTCCCATATTAGTCACAGGTCAATCTAGAACTGGATAAGAAAACTCGGTTGGTAGTATGGTCCACTGGCACCTTACCTAGATCACGAACCGCTCGTGCCGCGATTATCTTGCCGGCTTGTTGGTTGCATCCATGAGAGGAGGTGAGTGACCCTAATTAGAGCTGCCATTAGGTAAGTACACCGTAGATTGCCGTTTTCGTGATGCATTGGCCAATCATTGCTACTGTTGAGCTACAGAATGACGGATGGAAAATACTAGAATAGCGTTCCTTGGCCAAGCACTTGTGGCAAATAATAGGCCCTGAAGCGATCTCCAGATATGGTACTACTGTAGATAAGGTATGATGTAAGTGGATTTATCTCGGCTCCCCCCGCCTTATCTCTCCTTCAATCTAACAAGCATCTTGGAGCTCGGCCACCCCTTTCGGCCAAGTAGGTACTTTGAAGGAATTGCTTTGCTATATTGCAAGCCCCTCCTGCTTCCTTGATTCCCTGTGGTGATACTTTATCAGTCGAAGCGTCGGTCGAATTGAGTGATGCTCTCCCAATTCCCGTTATCATCACCCTAATGACCTCAAGGAATCCGTCCTCGTGGGACGAGTACGAACGGGGTAGTTCCCCTCACAGGAGTGGAAGCGTGTCTTCGGCGGAGAACAGAAGCGTCCAGTTCGAGAGTGAATCGCTTCTAGGCCGCAGTGTCGGCGACCGTGGTCAAGATGACGAGTGGCCCCAGTTAAGACGTCGAAGGCAAGATATCGCACCTGCCTCCTAGGTACGTTACGGTGAACTATAACAGCTAACACGGTTTTGTATAGGTCATCGGTCACAGAACGGCTCACCGCCATCACTGACATTGGGGGCGTCAACAGCATCAGGTCTTTCACAAAGAGCTGGCAACGAGCTGCTGGCTTCGTCGAAGTCATCCCCCACCGGCCCGCGTTTGTCTTCGCCCCAGACCAGGCACCGATTGGCGCACCAGAGGTCACAGGGTATGAAAGTGCTGACCTCGAGAGCCACCATGCACACCCGAGGACGTCACTGCTGCGCCGTCACCTCGAAGCCAGTCCGCCTGAGCCTCGAGATGGCGGCCCCGAGCCTGGGGCGAGCCATCCACCTCCGAGACAAGCGCACGATGAACGGGAAGCGAAACATGTAGACCATGACCTCTCTCAGGCATTCCGAGTCGGGAGCCACACCACCAGCTCTGGGTCGATATTCGGTACACCGCCGTACCTCACCACTCCGCCAATCATTGGGAGCTATGCCTCGCACCGGACTTATGGCACGATCCGGTCCGACATCAGCCGCCCGTCAATGGAGGAAGCGGGCGCGCTCTGGCGACAGCAGCAGGAGGAGGGAGGCAATGTGCCAGACGGGGAAGGCGAGCCAATCCTGGTGAAGGAGGTCGAGCAGGACGGCAAGTTCATTTTGGCTGTCGAAGGGCAGTCGACCCTGCCTCAGACCGTGTTCAACTCCATCAAGTATGTCCTGCTCCCTACCAGCCCACAACGAGTTCCCCCAATCTGACCACATTCGCAACTGCAGCGTTCTCATAGGGGTTGGCCTGCTAAGTCTGCCACTGGGCATCAAGTATGCCGGCTGGGTCTGCGGAATGGTGACTCTATTCCTCTGTGCCGCGGTGACTGCCTACACAGCCAAGCTGTTGGCAAAGTGCATGGACTTGGATCCTAGTCTGATCACCTTCTCAGACCTGGCATTCATCTCATTTGGCCGCAATGCTCGGATCGCTACGAGTGTTCTCTTCACGATGGAGCTTCTGGCGGCGAGTGTGGCTCTAATCGTCCTCTTTGGCGACACTCTGGACCTGTTGTTTCCAGGTCTTCTTACCGTGGTCCAGTGGAAAATTCTGTGCTCTTTGATCATGATACCCCTCAATTTCCTCCCGTTGCGTCTTCTGAGTTTCACAAGCATCATCGGCATTGTCGCCTGCTTTGGCAGTCAGTAATCCCCCCAGTTCTATTGCCCGGTTTGTCCTCTGCTAATACCATTCGAAAGTTGTTTCAATACTGTTACTCGATGGCTTCATCAAACCAGATAGTCCAGGTTCCTTGCTTGAACCCGCCAAGACTTACATGTTCCCTGCGAATTGGCTGACACTGCCCTTGTCATTTGGATTGCTCATGTCCCCCTGGTAAGTCATTGTGCAGTCGTTTTATCTGATATTTAAGACCGCCGACTGACATGTAGGAAAGGGGCGGCCATAGTGTGTTTCCTAATGTAAGCAGAAGATCGATTCTAACTGCGATGATTCAGGGCAAAGTGCTGACGATATGATAGATCTACAGAGATATGAGACATCCGTATAAATATACTCAGGCCTTGAAGATTACGTTCTCATTCACGGTAAGTACCCCCCCATCGTAGCCGCTCTTGCTGTAGACGTCAGTCTCAAGTTGCAGGCTCTGACTTGACTGCATTCCAGTACCTTCTAGACACCACAACAGCAGTCGCCGGGCTTCTTATGTTCGGCGACGGTGTCCGTGATGAGATTACCGCCAACATTTTGCAGACTACAGGCTATCCGCGAGTTCTGACGTTTCTCATGTGCATCTTCATCGCAATCATACCCCTGACTAAGATCCCACTGAACGCAAGACCAATCATCAGCACTGCGGAAGTCGTGCTCGGCCTCCACCAACAGGCGGTGTCGGACAATTCTAGTTTGGTTGGCCGCTCTGCGAACTTCCGAGGCATCATGAAAGTTGCCGTACGGATCGGGACCGTGTTGTGCTTCCTCGTCATCTCCATCCTCTTCCCTGCCTTTGACAGCATCATGGCCTTCATGGGGAGCGCCTTGTGCTTCACCATTTGCGTAACGTAAGTACACCAGCCCCTATTAACTTTACGCTCCTGGCATCTGCCTATCTTCATCGTCAAGCTGCTTGCTGACCCATAATTCGTATAGCCTCCCACTAGCGTTCTACCTGAAGCTGTTCAAGCATGAAATCACCGCCAAGGAGAGGCTAATGGCCTCCACCATCATGGTTATCTCGACCGTCCTCTCCGCCGTCGGTACCGTCTGGGCCTTCCTCCCAAAGAGCCTCATCGGCGCCGAATGAGCCGTGGAAGCTCCTTGGCTCGCTTACCACCACTTTATCCCGGAAATTGGGGCGGGCATGAGAAGAAGATGTTATCCACTTATGCCAATATCGAGAAGCCTTAGAATCGTGCAGATAGGTCAAGCCATAAGATCAACTGTCCCCAACCTATGAGTGCCTCTCGAGAAGTTTTGACTAAAAGAAGCGGCCATTGTGTCTGAGGCACTAGGAACCTGAATACATACCTATGCGTAGTTATTTGCAGCATCTAAAGTGGATAGCGGTAGGGTACACACTAGTATCCGTAGCGCTGTTGGACTGCGGAACGGTCCGTGCGACAGCTGTCGTTCAATTCAGCCCTACCAGGTTGTCGGGTCAGCGCATTCTAGATGTGACCGTCAACGCAACAACTTATGTTTGTCCGCCATTTACTAGCACCTGTCATATTGGAATGCGAACCAATTAATTCCTCATTGTGTCAACGTCTGAATCACGCCAAGGGACTCGGAGGAGTTAATTGTCCGGGTCTCGACTGGTCCTACGGTCCTATCACCCGCGATTGGGGGCGGCGTCTTGCATACCTGGGAACATGTCCACTCAGCTGTAAGCAGTTTACAAGGATTCGGTACCTACCTTACATAGTATACGGAGGTACTGGTCTTTGCACAGGACGAAAGTACAGCAGTCCTAGCCAACCTGGCCGAGTCGTTGCCAGGCAGGTGCATCGACGTGTTCAGTTTCAGGCTTCACCTCGGTCATTCCTCAGTGACAGTGTCTCGTATCTATTTGGCTCTCTCCCTTCATGCTTCTGTGGAGATGGCGACGGCTTGGGATGCTGAGGCAGCACGACCGCCAAATCTCCCTCGATGACTTGGATTCCGACGACCCAAATATAGCCCTGCTGCATCCTGAAGTTGTCGATGGTCACTATCGCTCTCGAGACCACATTCCCGTCTGTACCCCAGGCCTCTTCTACATCGTCCGCCGGCGACTCCTGTCAAGGCAGTGTTTTCGTAGCTTCCTTTACTTGGTCAAGTGGCTATCTTTTCTGACGCTCCTCGTCCTGATTCTCACACCTCTCTTCTTCTCCTCCTACCGGCACCCACCAAAGCACTATCTCGCTCTTGAGGCCAGATGCCGACCGCAGGCATCCCCAGGATGTGCGAACTTGTACAACGAGAAGATATTCATCTCGATCAGCCTGTACGACCGTGGTGGTGCCCTCGCCGGCGGCCGATGGGGTGACCGTCTCCTTGACCTCATCCACATTCTCGGGCCTGACAATGTCTTTCTGAGCATCTACGAGAACGACGGCGACGACGCCGCCGCCGCCGCACTCCGTCGGCTAGAAGAGCGCGTCCCCTGCCGAAGCAAGGTCGTCTTCGAAGGCGCCCCCTCCCTTGACGCCTTCCCCACCGTCACGATGCCCGACGGCACGCAGCGCGTCAAGCGCATCGCCTACCTCGCCGAGGTCCGCAACCGGGCCCTCGAGGCCCTCCCCAGCTCCAGCAGCGCCGGCGGCGACGACGACGACCTGTTCGACAAGGTCCTCTTCCTCAACGACGCGCTCTTCGACCCCCTCGACGCCGCCCACCTCCTCTTCAGCACAAACGCCGACCCGGCCTCGGGCCGCGCCCGGTACCTGACCGCCTGCGCCCTCGACTTCTTCCACCCGCTGCGCAACTACGACGTCTACGCCCTGCGCGACGCCGACGGCAACTACCCGGGCAGCACCATGTTCCCCTTCTTCACCGGCGCTGGCCGCGGGCTCTCGCGCCGCGACGTGCTCGCCCAGCGCGACGCCGTCCGCGTCGCCTCGTGCTGGGGCGGCATGGTCGCCGCGCGGGCCGCCTTCCTGCAGAGGGACGCCCGCGTTGGCGACATCAACGGGTCTCTTGCAGGCCCCGGCCCCGCCGCTGATTTCCCGGGCGCGGGCGCGACCGGCCATAGTGTCGTTGTAGACCGGACTGCCACCCCGCCGCTGCCACCAGGGGAAGACCTCGCCGTGGAGGGGACCCCGGTGGTGCGGTTCCGGCACGAGCCCGGGCTGTTCTACGACGCGTCCGAGTGCTGCCTGTTCCACGCCGATATGCGCGAAGCGTCGTCGTCGTCGTCGTCGTCGTCGCGCTCCGCGGGCGCCGCGTGGCAGCTCGGCGAGCTGGCCGGGGGCGTCTACGTGAACCCGTACGTGCGCGTGGCGTACCGTTGGGACGTCTTCTCGAGGCTGCGCGTCGCGAGGCTGTGGGAGCGCCTGCTGGTCGTGCCGGGCGCGCTCGTCAACTGGTGGGACGCGGAGCCGCGGCCGAACCCGTACCGCGGGGTGCGCGCGGGCGCGGGCAGGTACTTTGAGGAGGAGGTGTGGGCGGAGGGCGGGTGGAGGCTGGAGCGGCGGGAGGGGAGGCCGGGCATGTTCTGCGGGGTGAGGGATATGCAGGTCGTCTCGCTGGAGCGGAGGGACGAGGGGGGTGGGAATTACATGAACACGAGAGTGCCGCCCGGGCAGAAGTTGGAGTTCCCCATGATGTGGGGGGAGTTGCTGCCCGAGGACTGGAAGGAGGAGTACGCCGCTTGTTCTGAGGCCCAGAAGAAGGCGTACTGGGATTCTCCGTGGTGGAAGCCGGTTGTGAAGTGCCGGCACTAAGAACACTACCGTATCTATTGGGCGGCGTGAATATCAGGGGCTGTCGATTGCCGTTTGAGCGAGACCTTCACCGTCATAGGTATAAGCTCAGGGGTCCATCCTTTATTAAAACTTTGGCACTGTAGTTGGTCCCAAAGAGATCAGATCGGAGGTAATGTTAATATGAAATAATCCAGTTGAGCCAGAAACAGAGCCTGGCCAGGTTAATAACAGAGGATATGAGGTCACTCGGCATGTTAAGGCCGTTCGCGGCAAGTATAATCCAAGTAGGGATCCTAGGCCAGATGCTCTTTGCCCCTTTTTTCTCCGCTTCGTTCTTTGCCTTATGAAATCACCCTTATTTTTTTCAACACACACTGCACCTGGCTGCCCGTTTTCTTTCCGTTTCCTTTTCAATTTTGTTTCTACATGGTCTAACTGTTTGCTTTGGGTGGTAGTTGTGGCAGGAGGCGGTTGGTTCTTATAGAAACTGGTAGCGAAGCTGAAGAAGACGAGAAAATATGTACCACTTCTAAGTTCCGCAAACGATGCTCATATTATCTAGTTAAGCCATGCAGCCTCGACCAGAGACAAGCCTAGGAAACGACGCTGCTATCATTTTACCCCTACATATCTTCAGAAGACTGGTTGACGAGGTTATTTCCTCCTCGAAAAAGAGCTACCGTTGGTTTTAGAGCCGGCTTCTCCAACTACCTGGCTTCAGCAGCTCTTTATATCCTCTCGCTGTTCGGTATGTCTTTACTGAGGAAGGCTACAAGACATCCTTACCGTTTAGAACATGAGGTGCTACATTGCAGCTGACAGCCAAAAGGGGCAAGCAAAAGGTCGGTCGTATCTATGAGTCACGCCGACATCCGTCTAAGTGAGAGCAATACCTTGACCCTTCTGCTTACAATCCGCACAACAGCAACATACTCCTTAACTAAATGAAGATTTATTTTCACATTGACAAAATGGCCAACACGATGAAGATACTCGTTCTTGGAAGCGGAATGGTGGCATCACCTTGCGTCGAATACCTCACCCGCAACCCCAAAAATGAAGTCACTGTTGGTATGTCTAGCTAGGTTTGCGTCGTTTACTTTTAATTATCCACGGCAACCACAACCTCTCCAGCAACGGAACTGATACAGACCCATTCACACTCCAGCTTGCCGGACCCTGTCCGCCGCCGAGGTTCTCGCCTCCGGATTCCCGAGAACCAAGACGCTGGCCCTGGACGTATCGAGGACCGTCGAACTAGATGCCCAGGTCGCGGCCCACGACGTCGTCATCTCTCTCGTCCCCTACGTGCACCACCCGGCCGTCATCAGGTCTGCAATCAGGGGCAAGACTAATGTCGTCACCACCAGCTACATCTCTCCCGCCATGCGAGGCCTGGAGGACGAGGTCAAGAAGGCCGGCGTCGCCGTGGTGAACGAGGTGGGCGTCGACCCCGGCGTGGACCACTTGTATGCCATCAAGACCATCGATGAGGTGCACGCAAAAGGTGGCAAGGTGCGCTTGAATCTGTCCAGGCGATATGGTTTCCCCTCTCACGACTAATCGGTTGTCAATCCTCTCCAGGTCAAGGAACTATACTCCTACTGCGGGGGTTTGCCAGCCCCTGAGTGCGCCGACAACCCGCTCGGCTTCAAATTCTCATGGTCGCCCAAGGGTGCGATACTGTCGCAGCGCAATTCTGCATCTTTCCTGTACCAGGGGAAGCAGGTAAACATCCCCTCTACCGAGCTGATGTCCATCGCCAAGCCGTACCATGTCGTAGACGGATACTCGTTCGTCGCGTACCCCAACCGTAACTCTGTCCCCTTCAGGGAGTTCTACAACATCCCCGAGGCGGAAACCGTCATCCGGGGGTCACTCAGATACAAGGGAAACCCGGAGTTCATCCAGGCACTCGCTAACCTTGGCTGGCTGGACCCAGAGAAAAGGAGCTGGCTGAAGGATGGGATAACCTGGGCCGAGATTCAGCAGAAACTAGTCGGTGCCTCTAGCCCGGATGAAAGGTAGGATATTCACTCTGTCCAACCATCTCTGTGACATGATCTAGGCTACTGACATTTTCTTGCTCTCCTACAGCTCCCTTGTAGCGCACATCAAGGAAAGCTACAGCTTCCCAGACGTGGCCGAGGCCGACCGAATCGTCTCGGGCATGCGCCAATTCGGCCTCTTCTCTGACGAACCGGCCGCCGTCAAGGACGGCAATGTCTTCGACACCCTCTGCCACCAGCTAGCACAGCTTCTCAGCTTCAAGCCCGGAGAGCGCGACCTCGTCATGCTCCAGCACAAGTTTGTCGTCGAGTGGGAGGACGGAAAGAAGGTACTGTACTGTACATACGACGATTTTTCTAGCGGGGGTTACGACTCATACTGACCGGAGGTGGGGGGGGGAACATGTCTTAGGATACGATAACAAGCACCCTCGAGCTGCTTGACGACCCCGAGAGATACTCAGCCATGGCCCTCTCGGTCGGAGCCACTTGCGGCGTGGCGACGCAGCTCCTGCTAGACGGCCACCCGGCCTTCAACCAGCCGGGCATCCACGCGCCGTATCGCCGGGACATGTGTGATCCCATCAGGGAGGCCCTGGCCCGCGAGGGAGTTGTACTTGTAGAAAGGGTGCTCTGCTAGGAACGCCCGCCTCTGCTTTTCTAGATCCACATTGGCGGATAAAGTTGGGCCGCGAGGTCGGAGGAGCTGGAGCCCCCGCAAACTTCCACTCTCCGAAACACATGCGTGCGTCATTATCTTGGAAGGGCGTCGCACAGTGCCTGCTTGCCTGACAAAGGGAGATGCCATCGTGTCAGGTCCGAGGTTGGACCGGATCGGGATGGTCGGTTGACTGGCTCGCACCTCTAACTAGGGGTATGGTCGGCTGGTCGGTCGGTCGGTCGCGCAAGCAAAACACGCGAGGCGCACCTGTGAGCAAATCCCACAGAGTCCCGGAAGTGGAAGGTAGTTTCGAATTGAACGGAAGCTTGCGACGCCTTACTCCGCCCCGTAGTGCGTAGCCTCGAACGTCCCGCTGAGCGGGGAACAGTCGTCTGTAGAGCATCTTCGCCAGCTCTCTCCTGGCATTATCCTAGTTACAATTAGTGGATCCTGAGTCGTGCGTATGCGCAGGGAGCGAGTCATCGTTGAAACGAGACCTTGAGGGAGACTCGGCAGAGCTGGGACCGTTAGCTTTTTGCCCCTTGAGGTTTGGTTACATGGTGACAAGTTGGCAAGCTCCGTTTGTCCGTTGTTTTGAGTGGGTAACTTCTGGTATTGTGACACTAATCTGCAAAAATATCTAATACACAGAGAGCGAGTTGGGCTAAATCATCCCAATCCAATACAAGATATGCTGATCCTTTGCGGTGTTTGCCATTCTTCCTCCAAACCAATCCAAAGAACAAATGCTTGGTGAACCTGTAATCCATCCAAGGCTTGTTGGAAGTAAAAATGCGAACCCAGAACCTGACCGAGGCAAAACAACCGAAGAGAAACCAGAGGACCGAAAGATCAGCATACTTTTCCCCTGATAAAAAGGGGCTTGTAGATAGAGGGTGGATGGGGAGTGACAGCCCGACTACAAGTGATGCACCAGCTTGGAAACTCCCCGACTCTCAATCTAAGAGTGAGCTTCCTGCCAGTCACCAACCCACTCAACATCGCCGAAATCGTGGCGCTTATCCTTGCGCCAGTTGAAGTTCCAATTCCAATCTCGTTCGCGGCCCCTGGACCGGGGGCATTCCTTGGCGCGATCCTTGTTGACGATGCTGTTCCATTTGCCAGTGTTCGTGGTGTGCTGGGTGGACGAGGGATTGTTGTGGGTAAACAGGGAGAAAGGGTTGTGATGATGATGAGTGTCGCCATAAAGATCCGGAACTCCATACCCAAAAGAAGCGTAGTCGATAGGGTCGCCAATGTGGAGTCCAGTCTTCATTGTAACCTCGGCGGGCTTGAAGCTTCTCGAGTTGCCAGTGTAGGCCCTCCGTCGTTCTCCAAGGGCCTCCCACTTGTCGGCGGCATTGCGCTTGGGTGGTGGCGAGTAACGAGGCACCTCCAATGCTTGCCCGTCCACTGGCGAAGTATCCTGGAAGAAGAACAGATCCTCGTCCACGTCATTCGACATGGTCGACTCGATTGAGCGGTCGTCGGCCTTGGAGTTCACGGCTGCGGCCTTGGGGGCAGGCGACTGACCCTGGCGAGGGGTGTTGTCATCATCAGCAGCCTTGCTTTCGTGGCTCCAGGTCCTCGAGTTGATTTCCTTAAGTACCTGCATCTGCCGGGCTCGCTCCTCTTCCTCCTCCTCGACATCCTCATCCCACATGTCACTCCAGCTCTTGGACACAGTCTCCTTGCGACCAAACACCAGCGACATGGCAGAGAGGTTCTTGGACTTGTTCATGGTAATCGGGAGCGATCCGGCCATGGGAGACACCTTGGTGCCATTGCGTGGTGGCAGCCTCGGTCGGCCGATGGCAAGCGACTGCATTGACGCTCCAAGACTAGAGTTCATAACCGAGGAGATGGAAGGGGTCTGGGCCGCTGCAGACAGCCAATCTACCGTCGTGCCAGACTTGGAGAACAAGTCCTCGGTGTAGCTCTCGTCGTCAGGGATGGCGCTGAGCTGGCGACTCGGCTTCTGAGGGCTGGCATGGAGCGCCTTGGCCCATGGGAAGGCACCCGTCTCTATCTGGGGGCTCTGAATGGACGGGGTGCGGAGGGGTTCGCGGTTGGAGCTGGCCACAATATGACGATCGGCAGTGCAGAAATCATCGAGGGCCTCATCCAAGGTCGTGAAGCTGACGAGACGACGAAGTGCGTTGCGGGCGCCGACAAGCGAGCGCTTGCTAGGGTCAAGATTCATGCACTCGACGATGACCTCGTAGGTATCCTGTGACATCGAAGGGAAGACATCGAACAAGGCCTGCTTATCCCGGGAGAAGTCGAGGAAGAGTGGATCTGCCTCGGTGGGGGTGGTGAACGGGTTGCGGGAGAAGAGGATGTTGAGCAGGCAGACGCCAACGGCCCAGATGTCAGCCTGGGCAGGAGAGTATCCCGCCCCAGCCGAGTCATACTGCTCCGGTGACATGTAGCGGTCGCTGCCAACAGTGGCCTCAAAGGTCCATCTCTCGGTGGTTGCCAGCCCGAAGTCACCCAGCTTCAAGGTGCCAGATTGGCCGAGGAAGATGTTTTCGGGCTTGATGTCGCGGTGGTAGATGCCCTTGGAGTGGATGTAGGAAACGGCATCGATGAGCTCCAACATGAAGTGGCGGACGTGCTCCGTCTCCAACGGTCCGTGTCCGATCCGAATGGCCTCGTAGAGATCGCCCTGCTCACAGAATTCGAGGACGATGAAGACGTGGGCATCCGTCTCAAAGGAATCGAGCAAGTTGACAATGTTGGGATGGAAACTGAGGCGCCGATGCAAAGCTAGCTCTTCGGATTTCTCGTCGATAGCAATGTTGAGGCCAGCCTCGTTGGCAGCAGCCCTCTTGGTCAGACACTTGATGGCAACGGTCTCGTTGGTCTTGAGATCTCTGGCCATGAAGACCATCCCGAAGGAGCCATGGTTGAGGGGTGAAACCGTCTGGTAGCGTCCGCCGAGGACGAAACCAGGGTTGAAGGTGTCCCGGAGGCATTCCATCTCGGATGATGGTTGAAGGGGGAGCAGGGACGAAATATTAGAGTCGTTGTAGACGGGGTATAAATGGGTCGGTCGATGATACAATTCTCGGTGAGCTTTTTGCCAATCCTGGAACCAGTCTATGTCGATAATGACCAGGAATGATGCTGCCAATCTTTTCTTCAACAGAGCCAAAGTGACTTTTGGTAGATGGTGTACAGGACTGAGGATGAGTGTCCGAGTCAAATGGGGATGGACGAAACCAGCCGAAGGGCGCGCGGTCGGTAGGTGAGAAGGTCGGAAGGTCTAGGAATCGTGATGCTGAAGTGCGGAGAGGCGCGAGATATACACGATGGTAAAGGCAAAGAAAACAACGAAAGTAACTCCTAATCGTTCACGGTCTGAGGCTCATGGGTGGGTATTCCGGATATTCGAACAAATGAAAGCGCGCAAATGGGGTCGTCAAGAAGGGTCCGACCGGTGGTCGACACAAAGGGAGAAGTGAGAAGGTCGTTATGAGGACATTGGTGCGAGATCGTAAAGAGTGGCACTTGTGGTTGTGTTGAGACTCGGGGAGCCTTGAACAAACAAGTGGTTGCGAGTTGGTGAGTTGGCGAGAAGGCGATCAAGGGAGTTGTCAAGCTTGACTGCTCCTGATTTGAGAGTGGTGTTTGTCCTTGGGAAAAGGGGAATCGTCAAGGGGTTGGCGGTTGATCTCGGTATGACTCTTCGTGTGAATAGCTGATAGAGAGAAACCACGACGACCCAAGACTGGCCGAGGTGAAGAGGGTCGGAGGAGGGAGGAGGGGAGGACCAGGTGGACAGCGAGAGAAAGCTGATTGCAATTATTGCAGCACCCGGTTGATCCTTGTTGTGAGCATGCGGGTTTGTTGGTGTCTTTGAGGAACAAGTAGGTGAAGAGAATGACTCTTCAACCCCCTTGTCCAAACCCCGACGTTATGATTCACTGCTTGACAGCCAGACCGATGACCGAGGAGGAGGCGAGATGATGGAGCCGGAAAGGGCGGAGCCTTGGCCTTTGTAAGCTCCGGTCGTCGGTGGAAGGACCAAAGTGTGGCGAGATATGGCGAGATACAGGAGGGAGTCGGAAAGATGAGAGCTTGGTTGACGGGGTTTCGGACTCGAGTGGATGGGCTGTTTGTGAGACAGACGAGGGAACACCCGGTATGATCGGGGGCGGTGGACCTCAATGCAGCTCAGAGCCAGTCGATTCCAATTGGGGAGGTCACAATGGTCGTCCTTGGCTGGCAGACAGGTGAAGAGGAGGAGAGCGAAGGAGAATTAGGTGGGAAGGTAGGAAGGTAGAATTAGAATGAGATGCGGCAAAGGAAAGGCAGAGTTGGAGAGAGACGGAAGGAGAGGAGTGAAGGAGCTATGTATGGTTGAGGGTGTGGTGACTGTTGGGTGTGACTGGAAGGCAGGAGAAGCCTCTGGCCATGGTTCAATGGGCCACCAGGGTGGGCTGACCCATCATGATTGAATGGGGAAAGGCCTGGATGGGCTCTTGGACTGGCTGTGGCGGCTGGCGATCGTTGAGGGAACCTGCGGATGGCCAACGTGGCAAGGGCAGGCACTGGGTGGAAGGGTGAGAACCACACCAGAGGTCACAGTGCCACTCCTCCTGCCAACACGGCCGCCTTGTCTTGTTTGGGGTTGGCATTGATATGACGAGCGAATGGTTTAATGTTACCAAGACAATGACCGGCGCCACGCAATCCGCTAAGAGAGTACCTGCGGAACCCCGCAACATGTGGCAGTAAGGCGAGGTATCCTGGAAACGGAGCTTGCCTTGGATGGCTAGGAAGCGGTGTGGCCCTGTGGGTTGTCGTTGGATGCCTCGATGCCTTAGTGGCCTGGCTAATGTCCCCCCGGAGGAATGCAGCTATCCTCGGCACGGTGTACCAATGGCCGGCATTAATCAAGCCTTCATCCAGATAGTGGCTACACCGCCGGTTACTTGGCCTGCTTGTATCGCCCCTCGCATCAGGTCGGCAGGACGTGACTCGGGGGTTGGGTACCGTTGCATCGCCCACATCTCAATTGACTGGTACCTCGCTATGCCAGTTCAAACCTCGGGAGGTACCGTGTCCATGTAGCAAAGAAGACACGTTGATGGGCACTGGGTGGTGCCCCACATGTATCTACACTTGCTGGGGAACAGGTGTCAAGTTGCTTTTGCCCAGAACCAGAGTGGGACTGTGGGACAACAAGAGTCAAGAATCCACACCACCTTCGCACCGTCCTGGACATCGATTGTTCCAGCATCTTCTGTTTCACCTGGATTACACGAGCTGGCCATTGGTGGGCCGCAGTATGCACTCCTTTTGGCCTGCATCTGCTTGCACAAGTCGCCTGGCCCTCAAAATAGTGCCTTGTATCATCCTCATTCGATTGCGATCTCGAGGACCAGACTTCACAGGCTGCAGCCGGCACAGTGGAGGCCGGGAAACTCAATCGTGCGCAGTCGCACAGATATGGCAGTGGCGCAGGATGAAGTAAGTTTCGAGAGACCGAGAAACAGCTGTGAATATCAGTCGAATGCCAGCATCAACTGGAAACACATAGTCCCTATGATACCCCACATTTTGTGCTCTTGTTTTGAGAGCCGATCTCAAAATTGATAGGATGAGACGTGGCTGACGATAGCAGCGGCTTGCCAAGCCATCGATAAGCTCTACTATGTAGAGAGGGTGGCACCCCGCAGCGGCACAACCTGCGCATTATGTTCACTAGGTCGGCTCATGAATCTTTCGACCAATATGCATTCGTAGATGATGTCTGTCAGAATGTGGTATAACCTCTGGTATCTTCGTCTCTTGGTCTCTTAAAAAAAACAGACAATGCATCATAACAGGCTGTTCTCGTCTGGCGATTCTTAACTAAATCATTCCAATCGCTGCCGTGGAATTCTGCTCGGCGAGGGTAGTGTCGTGTGATCACGCAAGCCGCAATCGGATACGTACCTCACTCAGCCCCTGGCAGAAGGTGAGACTAAAACGGGCGCTCGCGAACTGGGCAGGCAGAGATGGAATGAAGGATACCACTCTGTAACTTCCGCAGTACGCCGTAAGCACAGGCGCTTGCGGAAAGGCCCTGAGTGCCAGGGGGTTTTGATCCCCTAAAATGATCTTCTAGGCGCCCCAGCGTCCACTGAGGACAAAGTGCGGGTGGTGGCGACCCTATTGACGACCATTTCCGGGGTTTCAACGGTCGATGGAGCCCCCATCCTGCGTCGTTAGAAACAAAAGCAAATTTCAAGCAGAAGCGGAGTCATCCAATGACGTCGAAGTCACAGCAATATCGCCCTCTCGATATTGGCGGCATAGCACAACGGGTTGTTGGGTTGCACTTATGCGGACGGCTGCGGGGCAACGTGATTCGTTCCAGGAGTCCCTCCATCTACCACAGTACACCGTAGGTATTCGATCGTCGCGCCAAAACATGATGCGCGCCATTTCCATCGAACATCGAACCTGCCACCCGGCCTTGACGCAAAGCAGATAGTGTTGAGCAAATAAGAGGAAACTGATGTTCATACTCGGGAATATTATTAGTATGCGTTCTGTGTGCGCAGGGGGGTTGGGTATTCTTGCCCGGGGACCTTGAGATGAGATTGACAGGCTGTCTCCTCCAGTCGTTATTACCCGTCTTGCGAGAGGAATGCATCCTCGTTGCTGTGGCGGGATTGTTTTCATGGCCAAGGTCGCCTGTCTTTTCACCAGAGGAACAACACCAATCATCAGCATCGGCACCCAACCTCGGAGGTTGGGCCATATTGTCTTAGGTAGTTACTGCATGAACTCCACCAATTTTGCCGCTGCATGCGGATAGGATTGCTTCTTCATTTCCTGCAGGGTGTCGACAGCGCTACAGTTTGACCGCCCAGACCGACCGGCCAGGCTCAGTGGCTACGACGGACTGTACTGTGTAGACTGAGAAGGTTGTATGTACACCTTCAAAGGCGCCACGATTGAATGTACTTCAACATTTTGGTCTACTGTGCATTGAAGTCTTGGGATGCCCACTTGTCAGCTGGCAGCCCTTGTAGCTCTGCATACGCCAAACTGTTAATGGAAAGGTCAAAATCCTTGACCGCCCTTCTTGTGGAAAACACCGTACCCATAAGCCCATACCGGAAAGAATTATACGATGAACAACCATTGCAATTGATGATATCCTCAAATTGAGACCAGGATTGAGGAAAATTTTCCCCATAGGCAGTGTCGCCGAGAAAATTTTCATCTTATTTCAATCCACCCGATATTCATTCTCCTCCGGCGGTCTGTTCCGGTACCTAGTTCGTGAGAGCTGCTCACCGCTTCCTGTTTATTTGTTCCCCTGCCAGTGGACCAGGCAGGTTTCGATATTTTCGCAAAGCATCCTGTCGCGTCTCTCAACGTGTCTCCAGTCGTGGGGAAAGCTGTTCCTCGGCGATCATGGCTGCGTCTTCCGCCGCCCCCATCAAAGCGGTCCTGCTCGACATTGGTATGGCATCGTACCTAGTTCCCACATCTCACGTTCCCATTTCCTATTCCAGCGCAGGAGATGGCCGGCCTTCTTTCTTTGGGCCAAAAAGAGATGCGGTCTTGCATTAGCCTCGACCAATTGGCTAATATGCTTCCTCGCCAGAGGGAACTGTTTGCCCGATATCATTTGTCAAAGACGTTCTTGTAAGGCAGATCCTGTCCCCGCAACCTTCCCCTGCTCAAGCATCCCTCTGCATACTAGTAGACATGCGATAAGCCACTGATTCCATATGTCTCCCACCCCCCTTTGCGCGGCTCAATGCAAACTTCAGTCATCGCTTGCCATCCTATTTCACCGTTGGCAACCGGTTCTTCTCTCTGATGCACGACTATTTTCCGTCCCCTCATTGCCCTCAGCGATCAATGGAGGACTCAGGAACTCAGGAGTTCCTGAGGTTGAAACACGTGGCAACTACGACGGCTTGCTGATTATGGTCCCTTCAGTTTCCATATGCGCTCCAAGCTTTGCCTGATACTCTTGAGTCCGAGTGGGACGCTCCGCAATTCGCGCCATACAGAAATGCGTTTCCTGCAGAATACGCGTTGACACGTTCGGCATTCACGGATCATGTGAGGGTTCTCATGAGCCGCGATGTCAAGGCACCTTACCTCAAGAGCCTTCAAGGCTACCTGTGGGAAAACGGATACGAGAGCGGCGCGCTTAAGGCGCCCCTATTCCCGGATGTTGCCGCGAAATTCGAGTCATGGAGAGCGCATGGGGTCACTATCGTGATCTACTCGTCCGGGTCTGTCCCGGCTCAGAAGCTACTCTTCAGGCATACGAATGGGAGCCCCTCTGACCTTACCCCTATGATCACCGACTTCTTCGATACTGTCAATGCTGGGCCGAAGACGGAGCAATCCAGCTACGAGAAGATTGCGGGCAAGCACAGTCGGTTTGCTCCGAATGAGTGGCTGTTCCTGAGTGATAACGTCAAGGAAGTCGAAGCGGCCGAGGAAGCTGGCCTACAGAGCATCATCGTCCAGAGACCGGGCAATGCACCTCTTCCGGGCGATGTCCAAAGCAGGTACAGGGTCATCAGAAGCTTTGACGAGCTAGACGATTGATTGATTTGTAGTGGAGCAAAACACGGCCTAATTCGTCCCTTGTGGTAGTGAACATGTTTTGCTCTAGCTAGGTGAACTAGTAGCACACCACAAATTCACAACTCCTCCACTAGTGATGTTGGCTAATGGCGCGTGACTGATATCTCGAACGATGCAATGATTGCGATCAACTCTTGAGACCCCTTCCTTGTTCAAGGCACAAGGTACAGGGCAGTCTGATTGGTTCTGATACCACGTGACCAGTCTGGAAAACCGTTCCTTTCCCGATCTGCAGGGGAAGCAAACCTCCGTTTCCGATTTCTAAGCGACCGACCTAAGTAGGCAGATCTACACTATCTTGACCAGGTACCTACGAGGATGACGTCCCCAAGGTTTAACAAGTGGACGGCGGGGACGGAGGTTGCGAGAGCCTTGGAAGATCAGATCCGGGGCAAACAGGGTGAGAATCGTCATTTCTCATTTGTTCATTTCCCATTCGTCAAATCATCCCAATTATTGGTCTCAGCCGCTGTCCGTGCCCCGTCTCTGCCACCCGGCGGACGGGAAACAAGGGAAGGAAAAAGAAAGGGGGAGAAAGGGCGAACCCATCATCTGACCCCCCTAACACAGTACCAGTTCTCATCACGGGGGCGAGCCCGCAATCTCTTGGGGAGGCTGCCGCGCTAGCCATTGCGACCGCGAAGCCGGCGGTGCTGATCTTGGCGTCCAGAACGCCGTCGAAACTCAACGCTGTGGCTAGGCATGTCCGGGAGGTAATCGAGGGGTGCAGCTCCCCCGCATCGACGGCTAGTGCGGATGGCACAAGCTCGACAATCGTCGAGACCGTGCAGCTAGACTTGGCGTCTCAAGCTTCGGTTCGGCGAGCCGCGAAAGCCTACCATCACTAGCGGGATTGATGTCTTCATCAACAATGCCGGCATCAGCGTCCACAGGCGCCAGCTGTCACCCGACGGCGTGGAGTTGACATTGCAACTAATCATCTTGGTCCGTTCCTCCTCACACAGCTCCTGTTGCCGCAGCTCTTGGAGGCGGCTAGCAATGGCCCCGCGGGGTCTACACGGGTGGTGAATGTCTCGAGCAGCGCCCACCGCATCTCACCCCTGCGGTTTGGAGACTACAACTTCGAGGGCAAGCCGCTCCCGCAAAACGAGAAACCTCGGGCAGGCTTTCCCGGCACCGTGGCATATGCCATGAGCAAGTGCGCCAATGTCCTCTTCACAGTGGCGCTCAAGGAGCGGCTTCGGGAGCGAGGAATAGATAGCTTCGCGGTGGATCCCGGAGGTGAGCTTGACTTGTGTAGTCCCCAGAGCAACTAGCTGCATGCTGACTTGACCTAACCACCACTTCGTAGTTATCCGTACTGGCCTCACAAAGGAGATCGGTCCGGGGCTCAGAAAGCAGCTAGAGTCGCTACCCCAAGATGGCTGGCAGTCGCCTGACCAAGGTTGCGCAGTGTTGTTGGTTGCGGCATTCGACCCCTCATTATCGGGTACGTAGATCTTGCAAAGCTCAGAAGTTGGTGGCGTCGAGTTTGCTAACCGACCTGCAGGGTCCGAAGCCATCTATTTGCAAGATTCCCAAATCTCTCGTCCAGCGTCGCATGCTTCGGATAAGGTCAAAGCCCAAAGGCTATGAGCGTTGAATGAAGAGCTGATCAAGTCATCCGCCATGGAGAGCAAGCTGTGATAGGCTTCGACCTTTCTGGTGCCAGTCTTTCTCGATTATCTTTAGGCCGCGGAGAGCCGCCTCATCCAGTAGCAAACCAAGCCCACCGAATAATAAGCAACTGTGATAGGATGGATGATGTCCCCTTCTATTGCCGATGGGTGTAATCTGGTCTGGCTCACGATCCCAACCTTGCTGTTGCTGGAAACGGCTCGTTGAGGAACCCCGCATGTGGAAGTGTCGCCACTTCTATTGTGAGCCTATGGCAAACGCTGAGCTGTCGGAGGATAGACCTGGGGAAGCGCAGTCTCACGTCCAATCGGGGATCGCGCCGCCTCTGAAATGGTGCACGACCTCAATTGTTGAGTAAGATCATCCTGTTGATTGCTTTAACACTATGGCAAAGTTGTTTCTTGACGGCCCACCGCGGATCTCTTCTTTCGGAAAGGATTGAGAACCGTGTGGTTGGTTGAAGCTCCTCTTCCACAGGTAGTACACCAGCCTCTGCGTTGCCTTGGACACCACTTTCACATAGCCAATGGAAGCCATGATAGCCACTAGTCTCTCTTCATCCAGGTAACGAGAGTTTGAGACACAGGGCGCTGGCAAGACGAGAAAGAGGCCTGGAAAGTAAAGTTCGGACGAAGTGGAAGGACAGTTGTCTGCCTCATGGAGAAACTTGAGCGTACGGAGCAGCATCTCGCCTCTCCCTTTTGGATCAGGCACAAAATTGAGCACCAAGGAGAGACTAATGAGATCGAACTTCTCGGTAGCATCACGAGGCAACGGCCTTTCCATGAAGTCTTGCTGAAGAATGCCTTTCGACTGGCTGTTCAAGTCAATCCTTTCGATATCGAAAAGACCGCTCCTCGAGCAAGCGTTGTCAACGCTGAGAGCCCCGACCTCTAGCAGACGAAGCCGCCTTCCGTCCGGATCCTTGGGGAGGCTGGTAGCTGGATCCAGCCACCCCATCAAGACTCTGGAACTGTCTCCGCCCCGATCCTCCCTCTGGCCTTGGAGACTGGCTTGCTGGTACTTCTCAATGCCGCCCAAGGATTCAATTTCTGCGGCAACAGCAGATACTTCAGCTTCATCGCCCTTTGCAATGGCCTGTTGCCGCCGCTTCTCTAGAAGATGGTGTTTGTTGATGAGCGACTTCGTAGCTTTTCGAGATATCGATTTCGATCGCTGAACTGTAGGGGGTCGGCCTGAAGCCAGACTCAGAGGTTGGCGCTTATTCTTCTTCTTGACGGCCATAGTGACTAGATTCCCACTTGGCTCGCAAGAACACAAGCGAGTTTGACGGCGGACCTGAGAGGGTCCCAAGTTGAGATTTTTGAGTGAAGCCCCAGGCAGATGGTTGGATAAGCTTGACCCACACCCCCGGTGTTCCTATAACAACCTGGAACCTAAACCTAAATCCACAAAATGGAAGAAATCAGACCCGGATTCCGGTGATCCGTGCGCCAAAATTTCCAACCCTAACCACCACAAATCTTGGATCTTGGGAATTTCCAACTCAAGCTCACAGAACAGATATCGACCTTCGAATTCTCTCCTTCGACAGCAGAATTCGTACGAAATGGCCCCGCCAACAACGAAGAAAGGTACTTGAGGCCTTCTCTTGCTTTTAGAACGAAATGTTGCGAGCTATCGTCATCGGCGAATTATTCGCCCAAACGGCGAAGCGATGATGCATCACAAGCAGCAGCAGATTTTGCGAGTTCTGTCTCAGGGCGACTGCTGATGCGTCTCTCTTTATAGGTGGCGCCTCCAAGGCGCCGAAGGGCAACAAGCAGGCGCAAGCCGCTGCGAAGGCTGTCCTCAAGGGTGTAAGTTCCTAAACCGCAATGGGATATCTTGTCCCACAGTTCCCAGATATCTCCAATTGGTGCTGACCTGGTACTGTACAGGTGCACTCCCACAGGCCCCGTAAGGTCCGGACTTCGACCACCTTCCGCCGGCCCAAGACCCTCGAGCTGTCTCGCGCCCCCAAGTACCCCCGCAAGTCGATCCCTCACGCTCCCCGTCTGGATGAGCACAAGATCATCGTCCACCCTCTCAACACCGAGAGCGCGTTGAAGAAGATTGAGGAGAACAACACCCTTGTGTTCATCGTCGACGTCAAGGCCAACAAGGCCCAGATCAAGCAGGCTCTGAAGAAGCTGTATGACATTGACACCGTCAAGATCAACACCCTCATTCGGTATGTTGTTGGCGGTCCTTCCCGAAGACGGCGCAGATTATGGTAGGGAAGCAGGAACTAACTCGTATCCAGGCCCGATGGCTCCAAGAAGGCATACGCCCACCTGACTGCCGATGTTGATGCCATGGACATTGCTGCTACCAAGCTTGGTCTCGTCTAAGTCTTCCACGTCAATTGCGGGTAGCAAGAAGTGGCGGCTCATTGGGAAGGGAAGGGAAAAGAACTGCATTTTCAATCGGCGTCAGATACCTAGGCTTTGGGCTCATGACTCGGCGGCAATGAAAAGAATTGGTCATTCCAACCCTCCCACTGATCCCAATTATGATATGTTCACTCTTTACAATGCGAACTCGTGTGCAGGTACAACATAGAATAGCCTTCCCCAGGCTATAACTTCCATATCCTGCCTTTGTTTACATGCTCTATGTGCTGTATATAGTCGTACACAGCTCCTTGGCTCCATTGGTGCCAATGTAGTAATACACACCGTCAACAGGCCGGTCGGGTCTTCTCATGTAGTTGCTGAGCTTCACCGAAGTTATGAGCCTTGTCGCATACTGCCGAGGTGCCTCATCGTCAACAGGTTGACGTCCAGGAAACGGTCGACGCAGTTTGCCAGGCATCCTTGCTCTCCCTTGTCCAGTTGTCCGTTCTTGACCGATCCCGTCACACACTTCTTCCAGCAGATGTCGGTCAGGGCGTGTGTTTCTGTTGATTGCCAGGCGGGTTAGTTAGTCCTTTTTCAATTCTCCAACATAATTGCCGGCCGCAGATTGCAGAAGGGGCAGCGGGCGGTAGGATGAGTTGGAAGGAGGGAGGTATCGAAGTCTCTTACGGCCTTGAATGCGCGTGCGCTGCTGCTCGTTGGTGATGAATTGGCGCAGTTCCGCCTTGTCCTTGTCATTGAGCCGGTCGAGATCGGCCTGCTCGAGGGATGGGACGTTAGACTCCATTGTTGCTGGAAGGGCTGTAAACAAGAGAGGGTATCTTGTTGCAAAGTAAGAAGTTGCTGTTAGCTCTCGAATTGCAGTGACGGAATATTATTTCTCTGGCTCGGGTGGATCTTTGGACCAATGGGAATCATTCCAGCTCAGCTCCGAACCTCGCTGGCGGTTGGCAATTTATACCTTGACAGCTGTTTCCAGAACAGCACAACCACGTCAGCCTTAACAAATTGATAATGCCGACAGACCTTACACCGGCGCCGTGAGACTCGTTATAATCAATGGACTGGAAGCAATAATAACAAACGGCTCAATTCTACAGCCAATCCCCTCCTCTGGCTCACCCCCCATCCAACACACCCCTCCTCCTGTCTACGAGTTACTCTCCTCCAACAAACCCCCCCCCCTTCTCCAAAGATGGCAACCCCAGACGTCTCCAACCTCACCTCCTCAGCCCAGATCTTCTCCTCGGCCGCTCACACCCTCCCGCAGATCCGCGCCATCCACGGCCAGCTCCGCGCCGAGGCCGACGACCGCGCCGCCCGCCTGCGCGGCCGCGTCGGCGCCTCGTACCGCGACCTGCTTGGCACCGCCGACGCCATCGTCGCCATGCGCGCCGACATGGACGCCGCGCGCGCCGCCCTCGACCGCGCCGGCGCCCGCTGCGGCCGCGCCGCCGTTGCCGCGAAGGTCGGCGCCCTGGCCGGGTTTGTCGTCGTCAACGTCGGGCGGGACGGGGACGCGGACGCGGAGGTGGGCGGCCAGGGCCCCGTCGCGAGGGCGGCGCTGCTGGGGGCGTGTGTGCTGGCGGCGGAGAGGGCGCTCCGGAGGGCGGGGCCTGTGGCGGAGGGCCAGGATCAGAGCCGGGACGGTTACGCGCGGGGGGACAGGCTTGTGATCGCGGCGAAGGTGCTTCTGCTTGGGAGGCTGCTGGCCAAGAGCTTTGGCGAGGGCGTCCCCGATCGGAGACTTGGGGCTGCCGTCGGGGCGGCGAAGAAGAGCATTGGGAGCCTGGGCAGGAGGCTCGTGCGGAGGATTAACAGGGTGCTGCAGGGCGCCGGCGAGCACACCAGCAGAGAGGATGTTCTCAAGGCCTTGGGCGCCTACAGCATTGCGACCAACTCTGGGGCACGAGACGTGCTGTGGCACTTCCTCCGCATGAGAGGCGAGGCAATGGCCCTTACATTCGACATTGAGGAGAATGAGCGATCACGGAGCCCTAAAGATGTCCTCAAGTGTCTGGGACTCTACACGAAAACGCTCCTGGATGTTCAAGCGCTTGTGCCCGCCAAGCTGACGGAGGCGCTCGGGGCGCTCAAGAAGGGTGCTCTGCTTGCCGACGAGTCACTCCGTGCGATCGAAGGCTTGAGGCTCGACATCAACGAGCGATGGTGCGGAGACGAGATCCGATACTTCACGCCTTTCATCCGCCACGATGATCTCGACGGAAAGCAGGCAAGAGAAATGCTGACCCGATGGGCCAAGGAAGGCAGCAGTGTGCTTCTGCAGGGCCTCGAGCAGACGCTGGCCGACATGATGGAGTTCAAGTTGATCGTCGAGATGAGGTCGAGCGTCCTCAGACTGTGGATCTCGGAGGGGGGCAAGGCAAGGGGCTTTGACCCGTCTGTCTTGCTGGACCAGATCCGAGAGGTTGTCAACAAGCACATGCTTCGAGTCTTAGATTCAAAGGTCAGCAAGCTTCGCCTGGTTGGTTCAGAAGTCTCGGCAACTCTGGAGGCTTGGCAGGAGGGCCAGACAGATAAGCACCAAGGATTATGGGACGAGGGTTCCTTCGACATGGATCTTTCCAACGGCGCGGCTCATTTCACCCAGGAGGTTATCTCCCGGTTTTACGGAAGGAACCTCGCGGTTTCCAAGGCTGTGTCAAGTTATAAGTCCTGGTATCAAGTCATCGACGACGTTGGTCAAGTTGTCGACCAGTTGAGACGCCAGAGATGGGACAATGATGTGGACGAGATTGAGGACGAAGAAACAATCGAACACCGCCAACAGATTCTCAGCAAGGACGATCCACAAACCCTCCATGATTACCTCGATGCTTCGTTGATCACGGCCTTCAAGTTGCTAGATGAGCAGTTGACAGCATTGTGGGCTGGCCGTAAAGACAGCCCAAACAAGGGTTCGGTGGCTCTGTATATCGTGCGGATCATCAGAGATTTACGGAGCAAGCTCCCGGACCTGGACGCAGCGAAGGGGTTCGGTCTGGCTGTTGTTCCCGCTCTCCAGGAGGTTATAGCCTCCACGGTTGCGGTGTCACCCCTTGACGAGTTCGCTCTGACGGCATTGGCTCGGAGAGTCGTCGTCGGACGAAGTCTCTGGGAAGGCGAACCAGAATTGCCAACGTCCCCCTCCCCTGGAGCTTTCAGGTTCCTGCGCGATATCTCAATGTCCATGTCAGATGCCGGCATGGATCTCTGGAGCCCGGCAGCTGTTGGCGTGTTGAAGCAACATCTCAGGAAACAGCTGCGCGAGTTGTGGCTCGAAGCCATGGACAGTCACCTTGCGGAATCTAAGAAAGAAAAGGGCGATGCAAAGGCGGACAAGGAAGGTGCGGAGACAGACACGGAGGAGACTGAAGAACCGGACAAGACCGTCACCGATGGGGCAGAATTCGTACCGGAGCAGCGGACGGAGCTTTACATCCAATGGCTGTTTGATATTGCCTACCTTCGGTCCTGCCTTAGCCCGCCATCATCCGCGGCGGGAGATGAGCTCGAAGAACTGGAGGACACTGTTTATGAGCGAGCCGGGCTGGAGGGCGCCGCGGTACGACAACGATTGATCAAGGGCTCACAGGAGTACTGGAAAAGGACTAGTCTATTGTTTGGCCTGTTGACATGATATACCCATACCCACATACCCACGAAGGGCGTGGTCAGAGAAAAAAAGACACCTGCTGTACCTAGAAAAGAACATGGGAATTCGGGTTGACCCAAATCGACGTTACAGCTTGTGACGCTTCTCGCCGGAAGCGATCTTCCTGAACTCCTCCTGCGGCACTCCGCTCATGAACCTGCCCAGCCCAGCAAAGACCTCGGTGACGTTCTGCGAATCCAGTATGTCCCTCTCGGGCTTCCGGATCAGGGCCTTGATGCCCGTCAGGCTGTCGCCTATCAGGTGGCTGCCCAGGCGCTCGTCGATCTCCCGCAGCACCAGGTCGCGGAACTTGTCGTCCTCGCCCTTGGCGCAGTCGAAGATCCGGTTGACGAAGCCCGTGGCGAGCAGCTCGTCAGCGCCGATCCGCTTGCTCATGAGCAGGGCCTCGTTGGCCTTGCTGACGCCCAGGCGCTGGACGAGGGCGCGTGACGCGCCGCCCTCGGCGACCAGGCCGAGGGAGCTGAAGGGCGTCAGCAGGAAGCTGTGCGGCGTGCAGTAGACGAAGTCGGCGAAGGCCGTGAGCGCCGCCGACAGCCCCACCACGGGCCCGTTGAGTCCGACGACGAGGATCTTGGGGTGCGAGTAGAAGGCCTGGGTGATGTTCAGGTTGTAGGCGGCGAAGCTGCGCAGCCAGTGCAGGCGCATTTCGTCGCCCTCTGTGGGGGCGGCGCGGGTGATGCCGACGTCGGCTCCACTGGGGGAGGTGTTAACGGACATACACATAGACGGATAGATATATGGAGATTTGGCTGGATAAGAGAAATAGCTGGACAGATGGCCTGCCTGATGCCCTCACTTACGCTGAGAAATACCGTCCTTTCGCCGTCAGCAATGTGATGTACACCTCGTCGTGGGTCGCAACCTCGCGCATCTTCTGAGACAGCTCATAGTACTGCATTTGAGAGAGGGCGTTGAGCTTTTTGTCATTGTCGATGGTGATGACGGCGACTCGGCCGCGGTACTCGACCTTGATCACTGACGGGTCCATTGCTGGGGATTGACTCAATGTGCATGCAGTAGGAAATGAGCTTTGTGTGTTTCCTGGAGAATTGGAAGGCCGCTCTTGAATCCCACAACCTCAATCCCGCCTCCGTCGACCTCTGTGTAAGTCCCCAGGATTCTTGGCAACTGGTTACCGTTAGCCTGGAAGATGCCTCGGCTCTTTGCCTTTCCCCATCCAACCCCACACTCTCCACCTTACAATAGGTAGTATGTAGCACCAACCCGTACGTACTAGGTACACACTATGCCAAAGGAGCTAAGCTGTCAGAATTGCGCTTTGCGGATTGTCTTCAGCCCGAATCCAGGCCCCCGGCTCTGACCTGACCGTGCCGAGATGTCGGAGCGCAGCCCGAGAAGAATGCGCCGTTCCTCAGGTATCGTCCTACAGAGGCTCCGATGTAACTGATCTTGTATTCTGCAGGATCCTCCGGCGATCGCGGCAGCGGATCCGGCATGACAGGATGACACCCGCAGGGCGTAGTGTGGGGCCGATGAAAAAGACCCTCGGTGAAGGGTTAGGTTGACTTCAAGACGGTCGTCCCCCCGATCCCATTGAGTCCCGATAATTAAACTCTTCCGTGACTTCTTGTGACTTCTTGTGACTTCTTGTGACTTCTTATGTGTTGTCCTTGAGCCGCCTTCTTCCGACGTCCGTCCGCCATCGCCATGACAGAACCGCCCATTCCGTTGCGCTCCGTCGAGGAAAGTTCCTCTGATTCGGGGAGGAGGAGCAACGGGACTCCCGATGAGGGACTCGTTGAAACTCAGGCGTCGAGACACGAGTTCTCTCTGGCTCCTGCTGATGGCGGCAAGGATGCCTGGCTCTTTTTGGCTGCGTGCTTTATTCTCGAGGCCCTCGTATGGGGTAAGTTGAAGGAATATATCTCTTATGGGGCTTACGGGACTTTGCGCTCACATATAATGCCCTCACAGGGTTTCCGTTCGCATTCGGTGTGTTTCAGGATTACTACAGCACTCATGAGCCCTTTGCTGGCTCTAACTCGATCGCTATCATTGGTACTTGCGCCATGGTAAGTCAAAAGCACACCCAGGGGGGAGCGATGAGAAGAGGATATATTGACGTGAGTTTCCAAGGGGATCATGTATCTCGACATTCCAATTACGGTGGCCCTACTACGGCTCTTCCCACGCCAGGGCAGATGGTCGCCCATATTTGGCCTTCTCATCATGTGCACCAGCCTCGCCATGAGCTCCTTCTCCACCACTGTCCCGCACCTCATCATCAGCCAGGGCGTCTTCTACGCCATCGGGGGATCCATCTCCTACAGCCCCTGCATCGTGTACATGGACGAGTGGTTCGTCAAGAAGAAGGGGCTCGCCTACGGCATCATGTGGTCGGGCACCGGCCTGGCGGGATTCATGCTCCCCCTCCTCCTCCAGCATCTGCTCTCGAAGTACGGTTTCCAGACCACTCTCCGCATCTGGGCCGGCCTGGTGTTCGTCCTGACCGCCCCCCTGGCCTTCTTCATCAAGCCGCGCCTGCCCTCCTCGGCGACGACCCACATCAAGCCCTTCAACCTCCGCTTCGTCCTGACGCGCACCTTCGCCCTCCACCAGCTCGCCAACGTCGTCGAAGCCCTGGGCTTCTTCCTCCCGGGCATCTACCTGCCCTCGTACGCGCGCGTCACCCTGGGCGCCTCGCCGTTCCCCTCCGCCCTGACCATCCTCCTCGTCAACGTCGCCTCCGTTTTCGGCTGCGTCGCCATGGGCGGCCTGACCGACCGCTTCCACGTCACCACCTGCCTCCTCGTCTCCTCCGCCGGCGCCACCCTGGGCACCTTCCTGCTGTGGGGCTTCGCCAGCAACCTCCCCGTCCTGTACCTGTTCTGCATCGTCTACGGCCTCTTCGCCGGCGCCTTCACCTCGTCGTGGCCGGGCATCATGCGCGACATCGTCGCCCAGAGCGAGAGCGGGCCCGACTCGGGCCGCGGCGGAGCCATCGACCCGGGCATGGTCTTCGCCGTCCTGGCCGCCGGGAGGGGCGTCGGGAACGTCGCCTCCGGGCCCCTGAGCGAGACCTTGGTCAGGGGGATGCCGTGGAAGGGCAGCGCCGCCGGCGGATACGGGAGCGGGTTCGGTACCCTGATCGTCTTTACCGGAGTTACGGCCATGATTGGCGGAGGGAGCTTCTTTTGCAAAAGGGTTGGTTGGATCTGATCCTTGCTGTGTGAGGAGGGAGGGGGGGGTGGCTGGCGAGAGATTGGAGTTCAAAATCAGGCCAGTTAGAGAAAATATTTCAGCCCCGAGGCTTACACTTGTTGGGTTTTCTATAGTGTGTCTATATATAATACAGGGCACCACATCTTCGAAGAGTAGTTTGGCAGTTGCCTCCTTTTTCCGGGACGGATGTCCTGAAGCCTGTGATTTCCCCCCACGCCCTATCTTTATAAAGGCATGATTCCCAACCGTCTTAGAGCAAGAAAGACTCGATTAAGCAAGCCTCCTTCATCGTGAAAGGTCAGAAGTATCTCTCTGCAACACGGGCCTCTCATCCCACCCGTTTCCCTCCACATCTTCATCAGATCCGTCCTCACTCTCCTCGCTCTCGTCATCCTCATCATCGGCCTGGCTGTAGATAAAGAACTGCACAAAGATGGCCATGTCCAGCAACAGGGTCCCTGCGCTCCCAGCCAGCCAGGAGAGGTTCACCAGCATGTACCGGCCGTAGATCGTGCTCGCCTCGCCGGGCAGGCACTTGGTCCCCGGGCCCCCGGCGCGGCACCGGGGCTCGAAGGCGAAGATGGACAGCACGTAGGTCAGGTTGCCGAGGCAGGCGAACAGGAAGAACAGCATGCTGACGCCCTCGGTCGACTTGCGCCGCCAGTTGAGCAGCAGCTGCGGCAGCCGCGACCCGAGGTACAGCACCGCGCACAGCCACCCAAACACCTGGCCCCAGACGTTGAAGGCCAGGGTGCCGTCGTCGTCGCCGCCCGGGCTCGGCGGCACCTCCTCGCCGGGCAGCGGGGAACCCCGGCTCAGGAACCAGCCGCCGACGCCGGCGCCGCACACCATGAGCACCGCTAGGGTGTTGAAGGCCGCCGTCTGTAGGCCCGTCGGCGGCGGCGGGGACGGCTCGGGGGCGTCGCTGACGAGTGGGACGGCGGGCGAGAGATGCGACAGGTTGGACGACCAGTCGGGCGCTTGGTGGTGGGGGTGCTCATGGCTGCTGCTGCTGCTAGTAGTCGTCGGCGCCAGGGGAACCGCACTGGCCGACAGCAGACCGGTCCGTTCGTCGGGATCACCTAGCCTACGTGTCCTAAGCTTCGCCGGCGGCGGCGCGACCTCGTCCCGCCACGTGAAGCCGCGGTAGTAGAAGCACTGGGACAGCAGGACGATGTCGGCGATGGTGTAGTAGATGGCCAGGATGACCATGGTGGGGAGAACCCCCTGCAGGACGGCGCCGAGGATGTTGAAGACGTCCCCCAACAGCCAGACGATGAGGAACTGGAGGGAGAGGCCGTCGGCGCTGCCGCGGCGGAAGTTCTCCACTATTTGCGGCGAGAAGACCACCACCCAGCATGCGATTGAGATGGAGCCGCAGATGCCCGAGATTGCCTCGACATCGAGGTTCAGCGGCGCCGTAGGAGGCGCCATTTGTTGGAGGGATGATGGGCTTTTTTTTTTGGTTTTGTTTGCCTTCTCCCTGCGCTACAAGAGTCAACCTGATAGCGTAGTTGCCAGCTGTGGAGTTGTAGAAGTGAGGTTACCTAATACGGTGGCAAATATGGCTCTCAAACAGCGACTTCTCCAGTCTCCCTCAACTGTCGTCTGCTACAACCATCATCTAAGGATATCTAAAGTAAATAGTGTAAATGGTTGGTTAGACCTTACAAATCAAATCAAAAAAAGGGGTGGGCGGGGTTTAAAGAGTCAACGTGAGCAAAGAGGGAGTGGAAGAAGAGAAAACACTCAGCCCAAGACTCAAAAGCGTTGAGTTGGCTTTACTATATCAGTCAAATACGTAGTCTCCTCATGTCGGAATCCTGGCCCCTTGGCGTATGATGTGCCATCTTATTTACAGGAGCTATGCCATTATCTGCGATACTCGGCAGTGAACCAACTGCTTGTTAGCATAATTACGAATCGACATGTCTACCCAGCCCGTCTATTCCTTGAACCCGCCCATTTCCTTCAAAGCACCAGCCAAGCGCCTGTAGTCTCTTAACAACTCGAGCACCTCACCTATCCTCAAATCAGCAGGATTCTGCAACTCCATAAACCTCTTGATGGGAGGATTGATCCTGGGCGGCTCCTTTGGCGGGAGGGCTGGGGCAATGTCCGGGAATGCCTATGAACCTGGTCAGACACTGCAGAATTCTCGAGCGAGGAAAGCACACTTACTTTAGCCAGATCACCGCCCTCAGCGACCCCCTTCAGAGCACTATCCCTCACTGTCGGCGCAGCGGGCGTCGATGTAGTCCGACCAAACCCGCGGAAACTGCCAATGCCTGTCAGCCTGGCCATTGGGTTGAACGAGTTCCCCAGATTGCGCATGGAATCGATAAGTGCCGGGTTTGAGCCGGGAGGGGCGGGCGTCGAGGACGCCGCATTCGCCTTCTCCCTTGCCGCGTCGGCAAAGTTTACTCTCTTTGATGAGCTGCTCGCACTCCGACTACTATCGGCGCTGGTATCGCGAGAAGTCTTTCGGCCGCCGATGAGATGCAGCATTTTGTCCTCCCGAGACAACGTCTGACGATGGCTCTCGCCGTCTTCCGGAACGTGGCTGGAACTAGTACCACTGATGGAGCCATCATCTGGAGGCGGCGTGCCGATGAGTTTCCTCGCATCGTCCAAGGTCTTTGGTACAATAACAACCTCCCCGCCAGGGCTAAGACCCGCCGGAGACTCACGGAGCTTTCCAAGGAGGAATTTGTAGCTATCTCCCAGGCTGTTCCCGATGGTCTTCAAGCCCTGGTCGGCAGTGTTGAAGACGGCATCACTCGCAGCTCCAAGTGCCTGTGCAGGTGTGTTCACCAGGTCGCTCAGCCGGCGGTTACGCAGCTGCACCGCGGCACGGAGGCCGGTGGAGGACGGACTCGGCTTCAGAGCTGTCTCGGGAAGGCTTTGAGCGGGGGTGGAGAGCCCCGGAGAGTAGGCAGGAGGGAACGTCTCTGCCTTCAGCATCTCAGATCCGCCGGGAGATTTCGAGGGCCCGGAAGGAGCCTCGTCCGCGCGTAGGGTTGACAGATCTACAGTCTCGAGGAAGCTGATCGTGGCCTCGAGACTTGTCAAGCAGTATGCTGCCTCTCCCACAAGCTTTTGTTCCCACCTGAATCTCTGGATGAAATGTAGGTCACTGATTGCGTTAAGGTTTTCGGGTGGTAGGGTTATCAATGTGTAGATGAGCATCGGCATCAGTTCGTCTGCCGACGAGGAGGGATGGAAATGCGAAAGCGTGTCGATGATGCACTTGTGGGCTGCCTTTAAGCGATTCAACTTTCCAAGCGGATACCTCGACTGATTCATGAGCACTAGCTCTCTCCTCGCCGGTTCGAGCCATTTCCGAACCTCCTCTTGCCGCTCAGCAACTGCCTCCACCGTGGGTGCAGACTCGCCCAAGTCCACACCGAGGTCAGCGGGACCGATCCCAACGACATCCAGGGCAGCAGTCTTGGACCGAAGTTTGTCATCCTGGGCCTCGTCCTGCGTTGTGTGATGGCGGTATATGCGATCGTAAATGCCCTCACATAATCTGCGCTCCACAGCTTCTTCCAGCAGGCCTCGTTTTTGTTCCAGAGCTCTCCTGGCTCTTTTACGGCTCTCGAGTTCCTCAGCCGTTAGCATCTGTTGCTCCGAATCCCTCCTGGGTAGCTGGGCCTTGGGCTTCTCCTTGCTGCCAAGAGACGTGGCTTTTGCGCGCAGCAGGCTGGCGGTAGAGGCCCTTGGAGAGCTCGACTGCGGCGGCGAGCGCTCCCTCCTTTGCCGAGTGGCGAGGGTGTTGGTGTGGGTTTGGATATGAGTGGCAGCAAGCTCGTAGAACTCTTGGAAGCGGCGGGAGAGGCTCTCAATATTCGGGGGAGTGGAATGAACCTTGGCAGCCAGGGAGTCGATGAAGCTATCCGTCAGGCCTATCAGCTCAATGGGGAGGTCGTCGAGGTCGACAGAGGCGCGCGGTGGTTCAGGAGCATCATCGGCGTCGGCGCTTTCAAAGAGATCGGGAGTCTCGGGCTCATTGGAACTGTTCCCGGAGGTCCTTCTCTGAACCCCAAGGGCCGCCGGGGTAGCTCCATCCTCAACTGTACGGGCCTTCTTGGGCAGAGTTACGCCGGCAGTGAGCGAGTTTTCCGACTCTCGTCTAGCAGGTGGTCTCGTCGGCCGGGGACTTGCATTCTTCGAGGGGGAGGTTGGGGCCATGAAGATACTGGTCGGACTGCCAACTGTGTCAGCAACCTTTTGCCCGTTTTCTCAAGTTACAACTAAGTGTAACGTATAACATAGAGAGAGGTGATGGTTCGTCCGAAGTGAGCTTTAAGTTGGCATATGAAACGCTTATAAGGTTGAAACCACACGGGGTGAGGAACGAAATAGTAGGTAGGTACCTGGTAAAGTGGGCCGAGACGCAATGAATATGTTTATTGTTCCGTCTGGAATAGTGTCTCTAGGTAGGCTATCGGAGAAGAGGAAAAGGAGGGGAAGCTAGAGTGAGGAGCTGCAGGTGCTGGAAGGCGAATCAAGCATGATGAAGCTCAAGCTCACTGCGATTGTTACTATGAAGAAGGTAATTACCCAGAATAGCTGACGTGCTGTGACCACATCGCGATGACCCAATGCCCCCAGGACTTTGCGACCCTGTTGGCCAGAAGCCGGACGGCTACAGGTGCCACAATTAGGTGCAGCTACTCGTACTATGGATGCTAATGCTACCTACCTATGCGTAGGCACGGATCCGGACTACTGGCCCCATACCAGGCACTGGTAAGCGGCAACCAAGGCAGCAAAGGTACCTTTACTGTGTGTTGCCACTGGCTACACGGTAAATATTTGGAGAACCTGGCAGGCCATATAGTGCAATTTGGTAACATTTCTCACTGTATAGCTACGGACTTCCCAGCTGATGCTGAACGGATGACGAGTCACATGCACAGGCCGTGTCACAAACCTGGCACGTGGGGACTCGACATCCCCACTGTTGGTCAACTGAACAACACTGAAGCTAAGCCCCGGTCCCGCACTGGTCCATATCAGGCCGGCGATAAGCTGTTGAGTGTTGAGGCAACACTCACCCTCTTGGTTCCATTCACACCCTCCCTTTCCTACGCCTTCTTCTGACTCTTCACATCCGTTAACCATACGCGATCGTCCAGTACTTTTACGAAACAATCCTTTCCTTTTTATCATACCACATCCCATGTCTTCGAGACGGAAGAAGGCAAACGCCAGTTGCGCCTCTGCTGGCAGAGTCACGGCCCAACTTCTGTTGTCCCTCCTCGCCGTGTCACCTATACGAGCCTATGCAGCAGCGAACAACAACGAAGCAAACCTGCAGGTCGTTCTCCCCATAGGATCCCCCTCACTAACACCTCTCGTACCGGAACCCCCAAGTCCTGCAGAACATACCTTCGTAAGTGGCAACTCCTTTACCCCGAATCTGTAGGTGGCGTTGCTCACACGGGAATGCTTAGACCCTGCGGCACATCTACCACCACGGAACATATCAACACCCAGGACTCCACAGGAAACATGACATAACTTCCCGGGACGCTCGAGTATGGCTCGCTGCGGAGGACGGGTACAAGGAGCAGAGCGTTCCGCCGTTGAAGGCGAAGAGCAATGCTATGAAAATAGAGCGGCTGGTCGACCGGAGGCCGAGCGTGGTTGATCCCATGGTTGCTTTGGCCCGCGAAAGAGGATATGTCTCTGCTCTGGCACCCGGTGCGTGGTCCATGGATGACGTCCCCGGGCCCAACGTCACGGACAAGGATACCGTTCTCAGTCTCGCCTGGATGGCGGCAAACGCATACGTTCAGGGGCCGGGCCTGGCCGACTGGGAGGAGGTTGGTGAGCCATTCAATAGGAGCGCCGACTTTGGGTGGGAGACCGATGGTCTGCGTGGACACGTCTGGGCCGACGAGACGAACTCGACGATCGTTATCGGGTTGAAAGGGACCTCGCCGGCCGTCTTTGACGGAGACGGCACGACCACCAACGACAAAGTCAACGATAACCTGTTCTTCAGCTGCTGCTGTGCCCAGCAGGGACCGTGGACATGGCATCAAGTATGCGACTGCGCCACCGGAACCTACTCTTGCAACAACACTTGCGTGGCCAAGGCCTTGCGGGAGGAGAACCGGTACTACCAAGCTTCCAGAGAACTGTACGCGAACGTGACCGAGCTGTACCCCAATTCAAATGTCTGGGTGACAGGCCATTCCCTGGGGGGAGCCGTCTCCTCCATGCTCGGGCTCACCTACGGGTTACCGGTAGTCACTTTCCAGGCTGTTCCGGAGGCGTTGCCCGCGGCTCGGCTCGGGTTGCCTGTCCCACCTGGGTCTGATCCTACGGCCCCGCAGACCCGGCAGTACACAGGGACTTTCCATTTCGGACATACCGCCGACCCGGTCTACATTGGGACGTGCAACGGGGCAACGGCCAGCTGCTCATTTGGCGGGTATGCCTTCGAGTCGGCCTGTCACACCGGTCGTGAGTGCGTTTATGACGTCGTTGCAGACAAGGGCTGGCGTGTTGGTATTGGCACACATAAGATTCGGTCCGTCATCCGTGACGTCCTGATGGCGTACGACACGGTTCCCGAGTGCAAGTTTACCCCCGAATGCAGGGACTGTGCGAATTGGAAGATGTACGAGAGCAATGGTACCGAGTCTACCACAACCTCGCAGTCGACAAGCACAACAATGACTCGTACCCGGACCGAAACTTGCAAGACACCGGGTTGGTGGGGTTGCCTCGACGAATCGACGACCACCACTGGCGACGTCACAGAAACCACGACCAGCAGCTCTTCTACCTCGACCTGCAAGACCCCCGGCTGGTTTGGCTGCAAAGACAAAACCACAACAACGGAGATCACGACAAGCACAACGAGCACGACAAGCACGACAAGCACGGCGGCAACTTCTCCCACAGACTCGATTCCCACGGCAACGACGACTTGCGAAACCCCTGGAAGGTTCTGGGGCTGTTACGATGAAACCACGACCAAGGTCACATCTACGGGGACGCCACATCCCATCACCTCCCCGCCAACAATGCCTACGTCCGCCCCTGCTCACCCGACCACAGAACCAACGGAGACGCCTCCGAAGACGGAACGCTGCGTGCACCGAAACTGGTTCGGATTTTGTAAGGAGTGGGATGTCGATGGGCTGGAGGAGGGGAATGATGAGATATAACGGGAAACAAGAGCAAACAAGAACATTATGATTTCTTCCAGTCTAGCCTAGCACTCTTTTTCTTTCTCCTTTTTTTTTGGGTCATGGGTGTTATTGGGGGAGTTCAGGTTTACATACAGGAGCATCGAGGCGCATGTCCGTTCTGGGCCTGACCAAGCATGCAGATTGTTGGAATACATATCAGAGGCACTGGCAGTCAGGGGGGAGTTTCAGCACTCACTTGAAGAGGACGAGTGAGGCGCTCGAGGCCACAGAGGTTGGGTTACTTGGGCTGTTATTATACAGAGGGAGTTGTGTAAAACTGCGCCTAGATGCGAGTTTGAATATGATTTTCCAAACACCGTCGAGCTCATCCCATGCCCCTGGTAGATCTACGATGCATGGAAACTTCACCCCGGTAAGGCAGGTTAGGTACCTTAGCCGCCGAATTCCTTGCCGTTGTGACTTTAGGCCTAGCTGGGTTATTTAGGTACCTATTATTAGTGTAGCAGAAGTGATTGCCCCGTGCCCCGCTGTACGCTGGTCAGCTCGTCTCAAGCAAGCAAGCTTGTATTTTAAATCTTAGTTGGCTGTCGGGCCCTGAAGATGGGGAAATAGTTCCCCATTCGGGCCTTGGCGAGTCTCGCGCCAATTCTGCTTTTCCCCATGTCCTGGCGTCGCTCGCACTCGAGGTCCTGAGCAGCGTCTCCGGCCTGGGGAGCGGTCAAGATGGATTCCCCACGACCAGAAATAGACCTTGAGAAGGAGCTTACCTGCTCTGTAAGTCGCCTCGAGGAGCTGCAAAGGAGGTGCAAGGAGTTTGCACCGTCCAAGATAGCCTACCTATGTCTGGGGTGCCCAGCCCGAACCTGAGCTAACAACTCGACAGATCTGCACCGAACTGCTCTACCAGCCTCTCACCCTCCTCGACTGCTTGCACACCTTTTGCGGCGCCTGTCTCAAGGAGTGGTTTAGCTGGCAGGCAACCGCCGCCGAGAATGCGCCCACGCCGCCGGCGCCGGGGTCGCCTATCTTTACCTGTCCGTCATGCCGTGCCTCGGTAAGGGACACGAGGCACAACGCCACCGTCGCTACGCTGCTGGACATGTTCCTCGCCGCCAACCCTCACAAGTCAAAGTCAGCCGAGGAGAAGGCCGAGATGAACAACAAGTACAAGCGTGGCGACCGGGTCCTGCGCCGACTCAACATCCCCGAGAAGACGCCCGAGCAGCGACGGTTGGACGAAGCGGAGAGGGTCCTTATCGAGGAGGTGCGGCAGATGAGCCTGAGAGAAGCTATTGCCGAGTCGTCATCTCGGCGCTCGACGCCACCAAGACGAAGCGAGAGCAGGTCCCGGGACGGCGGGTCGAGGCCCAGCCGAGAGCCCAGCAGAGAACCGCAGAGGGGGACTAGGGCGAGAGACGCTCGGGAGAGGGCGAGGAGACAGGCTGCGGATGAAGAGACGAGACGCCGCGCAGAACAGACGGCTGCCATGCGACAGTCGGAGGGACGACCGAGAGATGAGGGTCGACCGCGCAGAAGTGGATCGAGGCAGAGATCGGCGGCAGAGCTGTCCGAGGCGAGCAGGCGGCACATCGAGCACCAACCGTCGCTGAGGTCGCTCATAAGCTCATCGGACATAGGCTCCATGGATATTGAACGGGAGATTGAGGAGTTCGCCCGGCAGATCCAGGAGGAAGGCTTACTCGAAGGGTTGGATCTCGACAACCTGGACTTGAATAACAACGATGAACTGAGCCGGAAGATTACTGAAGCTTACAGAAGAAGGCAACGGCAACGGTCGAGGACCGAAGCTGCGCGGAGGAGCAATGCCAGCGGGGACTCCCCTCACTCTGACCCGGCGACGGCGGAGAATCAGACCCGCCCAGCTGATTCATCCCGAGCATCGTCCCGACCAACGAGCAGGCAGAGGCCACAATCCAGGTCGCTGAGCACAACCCGACAGGCGGACGACCGGAGCAGACCGCCACTATCTTCTGCCGCAGCCCATCTCGAAGTTGAAGAACCGATCAGGAGACATCGACGGCGGACTACTAGTGGCGGGAGGAGTGCCACCGTCCCAGTCCCCATTGCAGAGCCCGACGCGAGACCCGCAGCTCGCTCCCAGACCGACCTTACCCTGCAACCCCACGAGTCGGATATGCCTCTGGGTCGGCCAAGCATCGGCGGCGAGGTTAGAAGCTCGAGTACTCCGATGATTGGCACATCAACCCAAGCTGCCTCGGGACCAGCGAATGCTCGGAACCTGCCCTTCAACGCTCGGGCGAATAATGCCGGCCTGGGGATCATACAGCTACCTCACAGTGACACCCCGCCAGAACAGGGTAGCAGTCAGGGCAAGAGATTCCGCCGACCGGCAGATTTAATGCTCGGGCCTGCCGGACCGAATTTCGCTGCGTCGGGGGGACAATCGAGTCCCAGTCTCAGCTCGCCATCCCTTGCCTCGCCAGGTCACCAGAGGACTGCTTCTCAACTATACCCGGAGCCTCTCATAACATGTCAGCGGTGCCGGAAGCAACACATCGAATACGAGTTGCACTATAACTGCTCCATCTGCCACGGTGGAGACTGGAATATCTGCCTGGACTGTTACCGCCGAGGGAAGGGCTGTCAACATTGGTTCGGATTCGGTTACGCCGCGTGGTCAAAGTGGGAGAAGGTCCGCGGGGACGCTGACGGCAAGCTCCCGGAGCCACACGTACTCACCGCCAACAGATACATGCCGCCGAAGGTAACCTCAGGGGCGGCAGACGGCCGTCAGACCCTGACAACGCAAAACCCATCAGAGCGCCTGCAGAGCGGGACCTTCTGTTCTCGCTGCTCAGCTTGGACAAACGAGTGCTTCTGGCGCTGCGGCATCTGCAACGAGGGGGACTGGGGGTTCTGCACCGACTGCGTGAACCAAGGCCGCTGCTGCACCCACCCGCTCCTCCCGCTGGCCTACAGCCCCCCGCCGCGGCGAGCGGCCGCGCCGCTCTCCTCCCCGACGACCTCGAGCCCCCGCTCGCCGGGGGGCAGCCCCCGCCCACCCGCGGCAGCAGCAGCAGCAGCAGCCGCCGACGCCGTCCCAGCCACCGGCGTCTTCCGACCCCTAGCCTTCACCGCGCGCTGCGACGTCTGCCAGCACGCGATCCCGCCCGCCCGGCCGCGCTTCCACTGCTACTCGTGCGGCGGCAGCGGCGGCGGCTACAACGTCTGCCAGGCTTGCTACGGGGGTCTCGTGGCGGGCGGGGCCGTCAGCGCCGAGAACGGCCCCGCCGGGTGGCGGCGGTGCCCGCACCAGGGAGCGCACCGGATGGCCGTCGTGACCGGCGTCCTCGCCGAGTCCTCCGCCGAGGGCGGCGGCGGCGGCGGCGGCGGCGGGGACGGAGGCGGGCAGTGGTGGAGGTGCGTCGTCCGCGACTGCGTCGGGGGCCGGAAGCTCCAGCAGCTCGAGCAGCAGCAACAGCAGCAACAGCGGCGCGACCCTGCGTCCGCGTCCGCCACTGCCTTGTTGCAGACCTGGTACTGGTTCGAGGGGGAGCAGAGGCGAGAGCGGCTGGTCAGCAGGGACGTGGCGGCGGTGGTGGATCCCGGGGAAGGGGCAGCAGCAGGGGCAGGGGCGGACGGGTTCCCGCCCGACGGCGGCGGCGGGATGAGGGCGGTCGCGAGGTGGGGTTGGTACCCGGCCGCCGGGGCCGAGGACGAGCTCCTGTTCCCCCGGGGCGCCGAGATCCGCGAGATCGACGACGTCAACGGGGAGTGGTTCCACGGCGTGTACATGGGTGCCAAGGGCCTATTTCCGGCTCCCTATGTGCAGATTCTGGACGGCCAGGATGGTTGATTGACGAATGAAATTGGGTCACGGGGTTGTTTCGGGCTATTTGACGTGGATGACTTGACGTAGCGTTTTTTGAGGTTGATCTATATATACATATACATAATATCTTGGATGGAGAACAGTTGTCTGAATTATGGATAGTCTCACGAGAATCGAAATATGACTTCAGCACCACTAGTAACAGGCATCCTAATTATTTTTCGCCCTTGGCCTGTTTTCAGGGGTTCTTCTTTCCCCCGCCTCGACATTGTAATTTACAAGATCTATCTGCTACCACTCCTACTGGTTGCTCCACTCGGGCTTCTTCTTCTCCGCAAAGGCCTTCATGCCGATCTTCTGATCCCGGCTCCCAAACAGGGCGTGGAAGACACGCCTCTCATACTCGACGCCGTCCCTCAGGGGCAGATCCTGGCTCCTGTTGACGACGTCCTTGCAGGCCTGGACGGCGACCTTGCTGTAGCTGGCGATCGTCTCGGCGGTCGACAGAGCGGCGTCCATGAGGGCCTCGTGGGAGGGGAAGGCGCGGGCGGCGACCCCCCAGCTGGCGGCCTCGGCGCCGGAGAAGCTGCGGCCCGTGAGGATGAGCTCCATGGCGCGCGACTTGCCGACGGCGCGGGTCAGGCGCTGGCTGCCGCCGGCGCCGGGGATGGTGCCGAGGCGGATCTCGGGCTGGCCGAAGTTGGCCGTCTCGGTGCAGTACAGGATGTCGGCCATGAGGGCGAGCTCGCAGCCGCCGCCGAGCGCGTGGCCCGAGACGGCGGCGATGATCGGCTTCTTGACCTCCGAGGTCAGGCGCGACCAGCTCTCGATGAAGGAGTTCGTGTAGGCCTCGGAGAAGGTCAGCGGCGCCATCTCCTTGATGTCGGCGCCCGCGGCGAAGGCGCGCTCTGAGCCCGTGAGCACGATAGCCGAGACGGTTGGCGACGAGTTCAGCGCCGAGAGGGCGTCGTTGAGCTCGTTGATCAGGGGGGTGCACAGGGCGTTGAGGGCCTTGGGCCGGTTGAGGGTCACTTTTGATGGGGGTTAGGGGGCCGACGGTCAGACTGCTTTCTCATTTGTCTCGTTTCTTACACCGAGAATGGTCCTCCCCTTACCTTGTGCCACGCCTGGCTTGGGCTCCGACACCTGGATGAACTCATACTGCTTGCTGGGAGCGGCAGAATATGGTCGAGCCAGTCGAGGCAGTGAAGCCGCTTGTAGCCGGGAAGCTATGGGCCGCAGGCTTCTGAATGTCGAGTTCATATTGGCGTCTGAGTAGGGCAGAAGGCGCGGAGATGTAAACGGGGTATGTATGGAAAAGGGTGCAGGACGGCAAATCCAAGTTTCTTAAGATATTCACTTCATGAGTTCAAGTGCGGCTTAAGAGTTCAGATGAAGCTGCTCCCCTCCCTTGTAGGTTGGGGGCTTAAGCCAGCTACGACCGCGATGAGCCGAGGATAATGTCATCCACTCAACTTGCGCCACAGATTCACTCGACGCCAGGGGTTAAATTAGAAACGGAGTGGCTTGGAATTTAAGTGGAGCTTAAGACTCCCTTTGCTGAGGTCCTTACGTAAGGTCAGACTCGACACTTTGCAGGTCCGCGACAGCTTTCAAATTTCCTTGTGCCAATCCCCTGCCTGCGAAACACCTTGGTCAGCCTTGGCTCGCACTTCTGCATCTTCTTTCACTCGCTCGACTTTACGTGTTCAAATCTCAATATTTTCGACGGCATTTCGACTTCCCATCCAGCAGACCCGAAACCCTTATCATCATGGAGCCCATCGAATCCGAGCAGACGCCTTTTGAGGCCGTCACTGCACAAACCTCGAGATTACAGAGGGTGAGTTGAGGAATACATTTTATATTCGAGGATCGCACTGCTAACCGAGACTCCGCCAGAGATACCAAGCGCTACTCGATCAGTCCACTCCCTTTGTGCTGTACCGATGGGTCGGAACCGGCGTCGCCTTGTTCTTGTTCTTCGTGCGCGTCTTCGTGGCGCAAGGCTGGTATATCGGTGAGTCGGGTCCCTCCCTGGTGTCGCAGTTGATAAACGTTGCTGACGAGTGTGCAGTCGCATACGCCTTGGGGATCTATCTCCTCAACCTCTTCCTCGCCTTCCTCCAGCCCAAGTTTGACCCCTCCAATGAGGCGATAGATAACGAGATGGAGGATGGTGCAGTCGGCGGTCTGCCCACCAAGCAGGACGAGGAGTTTCGCCCGTTCATCCGCCGTCTCCCCGAGTTCAAGTTCTGGCACTCGGCCACCAGAGCCGTCACTATTGCGTTTGTGTGCAGCTGGTTCGAGATCTTCAATGTCCCAGTTTTCTGGCCTGTCCTGGTCATGTACTGGTTCATGCTTTTCATCCTCACCAGTAGGCTCCCCATCCTCCCCCGCCACGCGCCACGGCGATATGTTTTGCTAACCGTCTCCTACAGTGAGAAAGCAAATCCAGCACATGGTCAAGTACCGCTACGTGCCGTTCACGTTCGGCAAGACCCGCTACAACAAGAACAGGAACTAGATGTTGCGGCGAGAATAACGACCTGGGAAGATGTCGTTTCGGGACGCCGAGGCCAATCCTTGGAATACATTGTATTATGACACGCGCTCCGCGCTCATGACGACCCTGTACATTATTTTATGAGTACTCGTTCTAATTCGCCTGCGGCCCCAATGTCGGGTCCCGAGGCTGGACACTAATCTGCCTTTCTGGGTCTTGGTTTGGGGTTATATAGTGTCTATGTCGCCAGACGTGGCTTGGACAGGCTGAGGTACTAGACAGCATCAGAGCGCATTATAGAACAGGGCGGAATTGGTTGCACAATGCTAAATCCGACTGCCATGTGGACAGATGTTTGCCACTGCTTGAGGGCCGCCGAAGAGAGGGTTAAGGGGTTCGTAGAAAGAAACTCTGAGCAGGAGAAATAAATTCGAGGCTCGATTTAATTACTGTTGTATTAGTGAGGAATCTTGTTATTCGGGTAGGTATTGTTGTGTCTTCCTATTGTTTCTTGTTACTGTTTGGCTTTGAGCTTGAGGTGGGTGCTGGCAGGTTACCTAGCTTTCAGCCTCGTCCACTTTTTCTCTCGCTCAACCTCGCGACCGCGTCTCAGTCAGTTGTCCTCACCTTCGCCACACTTCACTTCTCTACAGCCAAAATTCGAAGCCGTTGAATAAACCAACAATACCACTGCTTTGAATCGTCTTCAGATGGCATCCTCACAGTCTCGCGGCGGCGAGCGCATGATCCATCAAGATTTCATTGCCAGAATCCGATACTCGAATGCGCTCCCTCCACCACCCGTGCCGCCCAAGCTCCTCGACATCCCGAATACTGGACTTACGAGCGGTCAATACACCACACCTGGCTTTGCCTCTCGCCTTGCGCGGGAGCAGCCGCTGAACATTGAGGCCGATGCGGAGCTTGGCATGCCGCTGGACTTGGTGGGAATGCCAGGCATCTTTGACGGTGATGAGAGCTGTATGCTGCTCTCCCTTAGCCCTCTACTGCAATCACTGTAACGGATTGCTGACCTGCGAACAGCAATCCAAGCTCCGGCTCAGACACCACAGGTCCATCCTCGCGACAGGGCGCTACTGAGACCGCTCTCGACCCTTGGCAAGCCCAAGGCCAGCGACTCCTCCGTTTCCTTCTTGCGCCGCACCGAGTACATCTCATCCACGCAGTCGTCCAAGTCCCGCCCAAGCGACGTCTTCCTCCGACCGTCGTCCGGCAATGCGTTCAAGAGACCCGAGAAGAGAAAGTCGCCAGAGCCCGACAAGGACTCGCCAGCCTACATGAAGCGGAAGATCGACAAGAGCTTCGAGGTCGCACAACAGCAGTTGAAGGATCGCAGCCGGGTCAAGCACCCGTCGAAACGCAACCTCAAGCTGGTCAACGCCTACCCCATGCTCCCCGACCTGGACGCCTTCCCCGACTCAGGAGCCTACGTGACGGTCAAGTTCACCCACAACCCCGTGCCCGTCAGCAACCAGTACGACACGCGCCTCCTCTCGGGCGTCTTCAAACCAATCGAGCGCACCGAGGCCGAGGAGCAGGCCTTCGAGGCCGCGATGGAGGCGTATGAGCGGGACCCGAAGCACAACCACAAGCCGAACAACATGATGAACTATGAATTCTTCGTCGCTGACAACGTGCTCAACGGTGAGCGGTTCCGCCAGCGCTTCGACGTGGACAACCCCGGGTGTAACAGCGACGACCTGTACCCCAAGGACAGCAGCGGCGAGAGCACGTCCTGCTTCCAGTTCCAGCGGGTACGCGCCTACGAGACGGCACAGGAGACGGAGCTCGACCACGAGTCCAAGTACAGCGATGAGATCATCATGGCGTACAACGACGGGGAGCTCCGCCAGAAGGGGGCATACTACTACCCGGTCATGCAGCGGACCACCATCCGCAGCCAACGGTCCAAGAACATTGCGCGGAAGATCGGGATCGGTTCCGACCAGGAGCAGGTCGTCGACCAGCTGGACATCACGATCGACGACCCCAGCGACGAGCTGCGGGGCCATATGCTCCGGTACAAGGAGAACCCGCTGGGGTTCCTGGATGAGGAGGAGGAGGAGGAGGAGGACGTGGAGGAGCCCGCCGCGCGGGAGGGGAACGGAGGGGCCCGGAGCCCGCCCGCAAATGGGACGAAGGCCGGCCATCAGTCTCCGGGCTCGGAGGATGATCAGGACGCCGAGGGTGAGGAGGAAGACTGATATGGCTAGCGAGGAGGTCAAGCAGAGGCGGCCTCTGGGGCTGCCTCACGGCGTAAGCGTGACTTTACTTACTCATTTGGAAGGGGCTCTATAAAAGGGCAATGGCATTCTTTTCCTTTAGAAAGTTGGCCTTTTTGAGGGTCACAAGGCCAATATCACTCTGTCTGATATACATCCCTAGCGACAATTGATATAGGAATTTCCATCGATGGAACCGGACTTTTCGACATACTCCCCGCTTCCAGCAGGTTGTGCTCTGGAAGCGCAGCTCTTACTAGATGGTGGCTATATAAGGACCCTTGTGGTAAAGTTTCTGGCACGATAATACCAACAATCGATCATGGATATTTGTGAAGAAACGGGCTATTAGACAGCATTTACAAGTGTAGGAAACCCTTATTTCCCTCTGGAGTCCAGCTACCACTCCTACACAGCCCCCTATCCCCCCTCCGCCAACTCTCTCGCAACCCCCCTAGCGATCCAATCCGCAATCGCCATGTTAGTGACCATAGGGTTCACCCCACTCGCGCTGGGGAAGACGCTAGCGTCGGCGACGAACAGACCCTCGGCGCCCCAGACGGCGCCCCGCGGACCCACCACCCCTGCTCCCGGGTGGCTGCTCATCCGACACGTTCCCATTTGGTGGGCCGACGCGAACGGCGTGCCCGGCGGCTTGTTGCCCGCGGCGCGGACGCGCGCAAGCCACGCCGTGAAGGCTGGGTCGGCTATGCCGAGGTCCATCTCGTCTGCAGCGAGGGAGGCGCTGCCGCCGGCCTTGGGGGAGGAGGAGGAGCGGCGGCGGTGTACGGGGTCAGGTTTGGTCTCTGCTGTTGTAGTTGTTGTTGCTACTGCCGGTTCTGGAAGTTGTTGCGGCCGGATGAACGGCTCGACGCCCCCCACGAAGGGCTGTATCTCGGTGGCGCCGGTGATGTAGCAGATCTTAGAGAGGGCGATGACGCCCTCCATCGTGTGCTCGGCGTCAAAGGCCGACGGGGTGTATTCGATGCAGGGCCTGCCCGTCACCGGGTCGGCGTACACCTGGCCAGTGTCCCGGTCACGAGTGAGGGAGATGTAGCCGTCCATGTGGCGGTACCGCATAATGGACCTCTTGAAGTCCAGGCCACTGCGCCAGATATTGTTCGGGAGGAAAGTATACGGCTTTTGGGGCGCCCAGGTCAGTCATGGATGGCCGGATAGTGTAATGGGAGTGGGGGTTCCCTTTTTGACTTACAACCATGCACATGCACTCCAGCTTCGTGCCGTGGCCGCGACCGTCTAGGTTCTCGAAGCTAGTGCAAAGACTCGTGATACTCGAACCTGTGAGGCCATTAGCATCTGCGAGGGACGTGACCGAAAACAGACTCCTTACCTTCCCATGGTCTTGTATCTTCATCATAGTAGGCGCCAACAAAGTTAACGGGATGAAGATGCAGGTTTTGGCCAATATGTCGATTCTGCACCACGGGGGTTAGTCCAGGTTCTCTTCAAGGGCCCGCTCTCACTTCGCTTGCCACCGTGAATTATTCTCACCTTCAGGCCGCTCTTCTTCAAGATCAGCGGGCTCCACAAGCTGCCGGCTGAGATGATGACCTTCTTCGCCTTTATCACTACTTCTCTCGTTACGCGGCCCTCCGCCGGCCCGATGACACGGCCATCGCTGTCCCTCGACGTCCACCTGCCCACCACGCCGGTGGCTCTCTTCCGGCCCGACGCCTCGTCGAAGAGCACCCTGTCGACCATGAAGCCCTCGAGGAACTTGGCGCCGGCCCTCGACGCGGCGGGCAGCCAGCTGACGGCGGGGCCCTGCTTCCCGGCGCTGCCACATCCGAGATGGCAGTGGCCGCAGTCGTGGTCGTTGCCGCCCGTGTTCTGGGGCGCGGGCTTGGCGTCCCAGCCGAGGCGCCTGGCCCCGTCGAGCAGGGCCTGGCCCCGGTGGCTCTGGCGCACGCCCGCGCCGCCCACCCCCATGAAGTCGCACACGCGGTCGAGGCAGGTCTGGAACTCGGCCGTGGCGAAGAAGGGCAGGCCGTGGTCGTCGGCCCACTCGCGGCGGACGTAGCCCTGCGTCTGCAAGGCGACGCTCCAGTTGACGGTGCCGCCGCCACCCCAGCAGGAACCCGCGACGGCGTTGACGGAGGCGTCGGCCGAGGGCACGAAACCGCCGTTCTCATACAGGTGGTGCATGGCCTGGTGCTGCGGCATGGGCAGCTGCGACGGCGGGAAGTAGTGGCCCTTGTCGACGACGACGACGCGGTGGCCGGACTCGGCGAGCACCTTGGCGCAGACGCCACCGCCGCAGCCAGACCCGACGATGACCACGTCGGTCTCGAGCACGGCCGGCTCTGACGCGTTGTCCTCGAACTGCAGGAAGGAGAAGTCGAAGTGCGGCCCCGCCTTCCACTCCCGCGGCACGTCCTGGAAGCCGCTGATCCGGCCGAAGAGTGGGCTCGTCGTCACCCAGGCGCTCTGGGCTAGAAGGGTGAACGACTTGAAGAGGAGCCGCCGTGTCTGGAACCACGAGTCGCGCCAGGCTTGCAGTATCGCCTCGCGGACATGCATGGGTTGCTCATGGATTGGTATCATGTGGCCGGTTAGGAGGAGGCTTCCGGGCCGGGTCCTGTATACAGTCAGATATATTGCCCTACACGGTCATGGCGTGTTGGGTGCTGGGGACACGCGAGAAGGGTGGAGCTTACGCCAACGCGGAGAGGACACCTCCTAGCTGCATTCTGGCAGGGCCCGGCAGGGAGCTCAGTGTCCGTCGGCAGTGATGTAGGAATGCGGGATGCTTTGAAGGCTGGTCATCGAGCAATGCTTCAAGCAAGGACTCATCGCCTGGGGCCTCAGCAATTTTATCCTTGTTGGCCTGGACGAACTCATGATACTCCTGGTCCGGCAGACACCTCTGGGTTTTTTCGTCCGTCACTCTAGACTCGGGAGTGATAGAGGGAACCACAGCATCTGCTAACGCTATCAGGACAGCCCATTGCGTCTCATTGAAGAAATCGCCCGACGGAGGCTCGGGCATCCCCGGCTCATTGGGTGAGATTGTGTCTCCTGTGACAGACATGGTGGTATTTATTATTTACAGAGTATAAGCCTTGAAAAGAGGGAGGCCCGAATATAACATCAGCCCCTCTGGGTGGGACGTGTAAATGAGGAAGTGGTCACAAAACAAAACATCTCCACGTCCATCCCATGATGAATCCTTCCTCATTCGTTCACCACCCTTCCCCCTTTTGCACTAAACCTGATGGGAAAAGGAAAGAGGGGCCAACCTGGGGGCGCCTCAAGACCTGGACACGGTCCCTCGGCCGGGGAGATCCCAGTTAGCGATGATCTGTTGTAGAGATCTGGGAACGGTGCTCCTTTTCTGAGAACGAGATTGGTTCCCCTTAGTCGGGTGTTGGACGCGGGGAAATATGTGCTTACTGCAAGGTGCCCGCATGGCCCCGTTAAGCCTCGGTCCCGCGCCGGAGCTGATGCCTGAGATTCTGAAAATACCATGTGAACAAAGGCGATTCTGGATGTACCATGACAGGCTTGAACTATGGAGGTGCTAGATCATCAAGCCTGGATTAGGAGGATTTATTCTCTCCCCTACTCTGCAATGGCTGAGTTTACAATTCAAGGTCACAAGTTGAGAAATATGTATGATACGAAATCTAACCTTTAGTCCGAGTCTGTTGGGTAACGCGAGGGTTAGGGTTAGAGTGAACTTCCCCCTTCTCCCTCTAGGTTGTTAGGCATTGAAAAGGAGATGTAATACGTCAGTTCTTAGTAGTTAGGGAGGTTAGCCGTCTCCAAGGAAAATTCATTAAGTAGGATGCAAGTCGCAAACTTCCAAGACTCTCCTTCAGTCGATCTGAGGCTCCGAGCTGTCACAGCTGCCCCACTGTTAGGGCTCGAAATATGACGTCCCCAATGTCTATGATGTGCGACGAGATATGCCGCGAACAACTCCAGCAGTTTCTCACACGACCACAATCCTCCTCTTCCTCCTGCTCCTAGTCGCCCTCTTTCCAGGAGCATTCCACCTTTTCTGGTCATTGCCACTCAGCCTCTTCTCGGGCCTGTTCCCGCACTCTGGTCCTAACCCCCCGCCACTGCCAACGACGACGCCCTCCCCCACAATGTGGTTCCAGAAGCAACTATCACTGCCCGCGCGCTCTCGCGGCTCGTACCTAGTCACCGACCACATCATGAAGGAGCTGCCCGAGATCCGCTCCTACAAGGTCGGGCTACTCAACCTGTTTGTCCAGCACACGAGCTGCGCCCTTAGCCTGAACGAGAACTGGGACGAGGACGTGAGGGCCGACATGAGCGACGCCCTGGACAGGATAGCCCCCGAGGCCGGCCCCAAGGGGGAGGCGCTGTACCGCCACGACGCCGAGGGCAGCGACGACATGCCCGCCCATATCAAGAGCGCCCTGATTGGTGCGAGTGTCACGATCCCGATCAAGGACGGCAAGCTGGTAAGGCCTGTTTTGGGATTGGCAAACTTTTGAAATTGTTTCTTTTAGCTGACACTGTCCAAAAAAAACAAGGCGACGGGTACATGGCAGGGGATATGGTATCTTGAGTTCCGGGCGAGTAAACATCAGCGGCGGGTCATGGCGACCATCCAGGGCGAGAAGGCCTGAGGGTAGAAGCCACAGGACAGAAGTGTTTAGGTGTCTCAGATTAAGGACGTCAGTTCGCAAAACTTGCCGCAATCGGGCATGGCCTCTACCTAGCCAGGGGGCGTATCGAGGAGACAACCTGTCTGATGATGATTCGGAATTACTGGAACTTGTTTTGTCCGCTAAAATGCTCCGACATCTATCTGTGGTGAAGCCTTGAATGTGACGCCGGACGCCTCTCAACCTATCCGTTTCCCCATGAATCAAAGTATCCACAATCGCCGTCTAGGACGAGATAAGCAGGAAGTGATCAGTGAGTGCCATTCTCCGTCTTCATATCCACATCGTCACCGGCTAGGACCCTGGTCTTGGGGACGTAGCCATCTGGTGATCCCGTGCCGGGAGTGAGAGCAACAACGTTTCCGTCCTCGTCGACGAACTCGAAATTGTACCGGCTGAGGAGGTGGGGAATGGCCGAGAGCTGCGGGCCGTAGCGCGCCGTGTTGTCGTAAAGCTCGAACAGGGGGACTGCAAGTAACTTCATGTTCTTCGGGACGCTCAGGACCTCTGCAGCAGCGTAACCAAACGGATCAGTAAACGGTCACCAATAAAACTGCAAGGACGCGTTTTTGTGTAACTCACTCGACTTGGGAAGCTGGATGAAGTAGAGCTTCTTGCACTCCTTTGGCCTCGTCACATGGGCCGGCACAAAGGGATACATGAAGGTCTCGAAGTTGGGCCTCCACCACTGCGCGAGACAGTCCCCAACCTGCCAGTCCCCGGCCTCCTCTCCCTCGCCAAGACGGCCCACGGGCGCGAGCCGCTCATCTAGCCTTGCCTTGAACCCCTCAACTTCATCGTCCTCGGGCCTCAGGTAATCGCCGGGGAGTTTGAAGAAAGCATTCGCGATCTGCAGCATCAGGATGTGGGGATGGTTGTGCTCGTGGCAGACGAGGATGCCCTCGCAGGTGCGGCGCATGCCATGGGCGGTGTAGTGCTCCTCGAGGCGCTTGAGGCGTGCGAGGACCGAGGGGTCTTCTTCTGGCTGTGTCTCCTTGACGCCGAACGTGTAGTTGGAGAGAGGATACAGGCGTATGGTCTGTGGCTGGTTTCCGTTGAACGGAAGCGGGATGACCGGGGGTTTGGATGATTGGAGGGCGGTCGTCGTGATTGTCGACATGGTGATCTAGAAGTGGGCGTGGTGACTGACGCGAGTTAGGACGTCCGCGATGGCGCGAGAAAGTCGTATCAGCGCTGGATTATTGATGTCTCGTAGCAAGGAACTTGGTGGCGCGCGCCAGGCTGAGGTCCGACCGGTAAAAACATGATAGCTACATAGTCGCGCTACTGCAACCAACTTTATGATATATGCGATTAAACCGACACATGCTCCAGAATATTCAATAATCCGAATAACAGTAAATTGGAGGACTCCCTGCTAAGATGGTCATTTTGTGAAATGGAGACTGCACAGTGAAAGAAGCTCTCCCAGTTCCTATCAATCTTGAGAAGTCTGAGGTTGTATACCTTGGGTACCCAGCTAACATTCCGAGATAAGAAGACGGAACGTGCCATGATAGCGAAACTCTAATATATCTCGTATCCTCCTCCTGCCATTCAGGGTGTGCCTGGTGTACTCAACAATTGATATCATCTTGCATCCAACATTGAATTAGGTTGCGCTAGGCAGAAGCATCCGTGCCCTGTTACTATTATGAGCATTGGCCTTTTCAACCACATGTTTTTGATTAATTGACACCCAGGTAGGTTTTCATTCTGCCTACGTTAGCTAGGTATGTACATACCTAATGCTACGCAAACAGGTAGTAAGGTAGCATTGGTCAAATATATATCCGGAACTGAAGCAGGAGGAGTAGAACATTCGAGACCTGATGCATTCATGCAGGCCAAACCTGATCCGCAGGTCTCAGCAGTGTTCTTAATCCCCGGAATGCTTGATGATCGATGATCGAGTCCATGCAACCCTATCGGAGGTTGCCGGATCACCAGCAAATTTACTCCCATTCATAGCGGAGCCAGGATTCTGGGTCCAGCCCCACAGACCAGAAATCGTCGAGTCCAGAAGCCTCTCTGCCGCCAATATCCGGGCCCAGGCAACTGTATTCGTAGGTACCGACCTATCTTAGTGCAACACACCGCCCACCAGCTAGATCTTCGCTTCTGAATTGGCACCGTTGACTTCACCACTGCACCACGCCACACCTCTCTGCTTTTCCTGCAGCCAGTCGCCGTAACAGCCCTGATCGTGCAAAAATCAATCTGCTTCCCATCATGGATGGCAGCTGTAGCCCGCCCCTCGATTGATAGTCACGCGCGCTACGGCCCCACCGGCAACTCCAAGCATGGATGACGCGAAGAGGCTCGTCACCGAGCTCCTAGGCAAGCTCGCAGAGCTGGATAGCAAGGTTGCCACCTACCAGCAAGACATGAACGCCGAATTCGAGAGATACAGCGCCCTACTACTGAAGGACGTGTCGGAGGATGTGTCAAACGAGGTCTCCCGAGTCATCGCTGAGTCAATGTCAAATTACCTGATGCTACAAGCGCCGAATCGCGATTGCCTGGAGTTTCCGGCGACTCTGACCGAGCATGGGCTTTGGGGCGGCCGAAGATCACCACCCCCCATCCTTTACCACACCTCTGGCACCCCCAAGGACGGCCCCAGGAGTCCTCACGAACGCGAGAAGGAATTCCAGGGTGTGTTCACCCCGAGTTTTCTGCCCCTTCTCGACAGCAGCGACCGGCCTCCACACTCACCTCCTTCCTCCTCGCCGCTGCCGTCACCCTCTCCCGCGTTTACCCCGTCTTTGGATAGCATTCTGTCGGTGGATGAAGGCCTCGACGCCCGGACTAGCGCAATTGCTGCCTGGCCAAGTCCAGCTAGGCGGCAGACTGACGGGACAGTGTCGTCAGTGGACTCGTCTGGGAGTGACTCGAGGGTACGACGCAGCGCATTGCGCAGGTCGTCGAGCTCGACCAAGGGAAGCCCCCGGCGCGTACGTTTTGAATTCCAGGGTATCGAAGTCCTGCCGACGTCGTCACCGCAGGCACCGACCAGCCCCCGCGGCAGCCTAGAAGAGGCTGAGGCAACGTCAGCCATCGTGGATGACTCACCGCCATATGCGGGACCCTCCCTACTCGATGTTGAAGGTGAAGAGGACTGGTTACCCCGGCCGAAGAAAGTCTCGTCGACCCAAGCCCTGCGCGCTTTATCTCGAAAAGCCCTCGACGAGGGCACGGTCTGGACAGTTGTCAATCCAGACCCCGAGGAAGCGCCAACAACAATGGACGGCTCAAATGAAGCCGCGCCTCTGCCTAAACCGAGTCCTACGACAACTAAAACGGCTGTGACGCCGGCTGCCGTCCCGGCGAAGAACCAATCACGTAGTCAGAGGGTCGCCTTCACTGAGAAAGAGAATACGCCTGAGTCTCCAGAGGAAAAGATGGAGAATAATGAAGATGACAAGGATGGGTCTGACGACGATTTTCTGTCGATGAGATCAAAGACATCCAAGGAGTCGACTTCACCAGCAGGGCGATTGCCACTAGCAGGATCACCTGTATCTGCCGGAGTAAGTTCCCCCTTCGCAAATGCACCCGTTAAAGTACATGTTATACTGGGAAAAGCGTCGTCAAACTCTAACATACTGGATACGAAGGCTGAGATGAGGGAGGACGAATTTTTCGACTTTGACGAGGGCGAAGACACGATATCAGGAACAAAACAACGCTCTGAAAACCCTGACAAATATCTTTCCGAAGACCTGGACGATGACCAGGATGACAAGCTTCATACTCACCCCACAGCTCCCACGAGGCCATTACACTCTGTCCAGCCAACAGTGTCCATACCTAAAACCTCGCCCGACACACAACCCATCACACCAACGTCGGCCAGATTCATGCAAGGATCGATTGGCTCATATAAGGGCCACTCTCTGATGATGAGCGCCATTGTCAACCCCAGGATTCAGGAGGAAGCGGCCGCCATGGGAGATTTCAGCTCGTTTGTTGGGAGTGTCGATGGCCGCAGCGGTTTCGACGCCGCAGACTTGGGCAGCTTCCGGGCCAGCCTTACGAAAACAATGTCTGTAATGCCCCGCAGCTTCAGTGAGAGGATGGCCCTGGAAGAGACCCTGGATAAGGCAGACGATGATGCAAGATGATGGTCAAGGATTGCCCGCCTTGAGAAGGGAAGAGTTTTGGCTTTATTTGTACCAAACTGCATGGTCCCTTCCCTTCCATGTTAGATGAGGGATTCAGGTGATAGGGAGGGGAGAGGTTTAATCTAGAGAGAGCTTCCGATACAAAGAGCTCTCTACCTGCACAGGTTAGTAGGTAATTTCCAAATCCGGCAATCAAGTGGGCACACACATAGCCCCGCATTTGCTGGCAGCCCCACTCTATCTTACTGTTGATGTGTTGGTGCGTGCTTGGTTGCCCCGCCAGCCTGGCTCAATTTTGGTGATCAACCAGACAGTCCTTGACTCGAGCTGGACATAACCAGCTTTTGTTAGGCCCCAAAATCAGGGTCCCCAGCTTCTCTGTAACATGTCCACTCTGTGACACCATTGTGTTTCCTCACCAGATTCCAGCTTCCTCCTGGTGAGCTTCCATTCTTTCCGTCGACAAACAAAGTAGTACCCAATCTCGGGCTATCTACGCTTCTTGTTGTCGCCGAGTCTCACTTGCATACTCGCATTCCATTCCAGCCAGCGCCGCCGCTGCGATTCCCGGCTGGCAGCTCGCCCCCATCGCCATCATGGCCCCGGCAGATACACTGTCCCCGCCGGGGTCCAGCTCATATTCCTCGGATACCATGGTAGTCGGAGACGGAACATGGGATTTCACCAAGAACACCTTCCTCCTTCCGAACTTGATGGGGCTGAACTTTGAGACTATGCGATATAATGGTAGGGCGACCACCTAAGACACTATGGAGATTGGACTCAAATTGACTGACATTTGGTGCAAAACAAAAGGCATGGGGAACCGTTTCTCGACCTTGACACAGTATCACAGCATAATTACAGCACACGGAGTCCTCGCCGCCATCACATTCCTCTTCATCATCCCCATCTCCGTCCTGATCAAGAGGTTCCGCAGGGCCAGCCGAGAGTCCACTACAAGACACCACGCCTACCTTCAGGTTCTCGCCGTCGGGCTCACCACCGTGGTCTTCATCCTCGGCTTCCTCGCCGTGGGGCCGCCGCGCAGCCTGACGAACCCCCACCATGGCATCGGAGTGGCCATCTACGTCCTGATCCTCCTCCAGGCCATTGGCGGCCGCCTTATCAAAAACATTCGAGGCCGCTCGCTCAGAGTCCACCTCCACCGGTGGTCGGGGAGGACCATCGGCCTGCTTGGAATTGCCCAGGTGCCGTTGGGTCTCACCCTGTACGGCTCTCCCAAGTATACATTCGTCCTCTTCGCCCTGTGGATGGCGTTCCTGGTCCTCTTGTATTTCATCCTGAGCTACAGGCATGACGGGGAGCGGGACTACCTCGTCAGCGGCGGACGGTCTGAGGGCGGTCGCAGCCGTGTGCCAGACCGCAAATCCAGTGGCGGCGTATTCAAGTGGCTCGCTCCTCTGGCTGCAGGTGCCGGCGCCATCGCGCTCCTCAAGGGTCGGAGCAAGAACAAGGATCAAGATCGAGATCGCGATAGGAGTCGCAGCCGCAGCCACAGCCGCAGCCGGTCCCGTGTACGGAGTCGAAGCCGAGGACACGAGGTTATACGGTCGAGACGAGGATCCCCCAGCTACGTCGAGGATGAAAAATATTCTGAGGCCCCACGAAAGGAAGGCGGGTTCATGAAGAAGGCTCTCGGCGTCGGCACAGCGTTGGGCGCCGGTGCTTTGGCTGCGAGGTTCCTTGGCCGCCGCGACAAGCAGAGCCACGACGAGGAGTACTCCGCCGTGGCGACCGACACGCCAAGCCGGCCAAGCAGGTTAAGGAGGCATCGTCCAGCAGCGAGCGAGTTCAGCGACTACACCGAAGATCCGAGGGACGGCGGGAGACGGTCACCCTTGCTCCCGCCCCCCCACTCTGGCCTAGATACCACGGTATTGAGCGCCACGGAGCCACGCCGCCACCCATCAAGGCCGATGGCCCCGCGACGGTCGCATCCAGGCCACTCGAGGGTAGACAGTGCTTACGATGATTCCGAATATTCTTCATACGTCAGCCCCTCCCGGAGAACTGAGAAGAAGGGTGGTGGCATGGCCAAGGGGCTACTTGCCGGTCTGGGGATGGGTTGGCTTGCCAAGAAGATGACGGATATGCGGGGTGGAAGGGAAGATGATAGGTCGCGGTATGAGGAAGACGATAGGCGATCTGGCCGCCATGGATCTAGGTATACCGCCGACTACCCATCCCCGACCCGCAGACCGTCCCGACGACCGACAGGACGCCCTGTACCGCCTCCATCGGGCATTACGACGACAGCTTCAGGACTCTCGGAAGAGTCTTCTATGGTCGAGCCTCATCCACCGCGAGGCGGCTATGTGGCTCCTCGCCCGGGGTCGCCTCCAGCGGGGAACGGCTCACAACCCTTACCCTTTCCCGTAACCCCGCCAGCTCGCAGAACGTCTCGTTCGGGATCACACTCGAGGTCCGGGCCTTTGGATCCCGTTTCGATGCCACCTATGCCTCCGGATGTGCACGAGGTCCTCCACGACGGCTCTTCAGTGGGACGGCCGCAAAGACGAGGATCGTCACGCAGGCGCCGAGACGGAGAAGCTGCAGCTGCCGCGGCGGTGGCCGCCGCTAGCCGCTTGGCAGATGAGGAAGGACGGCGGTCAGGCGGGTCAAGGGCAACGGAGCCCGGCCAGCCCGTCAGTGTGAGGGTCAGGTTGCACGAAGACAGAGATAGGAACATCACACTGCGGCGGCTGACAGAGGAGGAGCAGGCGGCGGCGGCAAGGCGGGAGCAGCGCCGCCGCCGCAATGGCTCGGTGAGTAGCCTGTCTGGGGACGAATCGCCCTCGAGCCGTCGCTACCGGAGAGACCCGAGCAGCCAGCGGAGAGCGGAATCGGCAGCGGAGAGGGCGGTAGGAAGCGAGCCCCCAGCGCCGCTCTCGCCGCCGAACCCCGCATTCGCCAGGGGCAGGCGGCCGAAGGATTCGGCGTACTACTCCGGCCAACCGGGACCGTCGGGCGGCGCGCCAGCCGCCGGGGCGACGGTGTCGAGCCTCGGCAGTCTCGCCAGCCCGGGGAGCCATGGCACGTGGAGCGCGGCGAGCCCGTCACCCAGCGGGCCTGGTCAGGACCCGGCGGATCGGAGGAGGAGGAGGAGGATGGAGAGGAGGGACAGCAGCAGGCAAAGTCACACTGTTGAGTTTACATAGGGCTGCACACCGAGGAGCTCCTGGCCTCCCTCCTTCTTTGCTCCCTTTTTACCTTATTTTCATTTCTCTCTGGTCTGGCATGGAATTGCATTTCCGGGGAAATTCTTACCCGCGGCGTTTTGCAAAGGGATGCAATTGCATATGGGACCAGGGGCCAAGGACCGGGTTCAGATACATTCGACGACTTGTTTGACGACACTGTAACGGGATGTTTGAGTTGATTAATGTCTCATGGTTTCGAGTTTTGTGGGGATACTTGTTTTTGTTAGATTTGTCCAAGTAATGAGAATGCTTATGTCTGAAGATACTGGAAGAGTGAGTGAGTGTCTTGTCTCTTCGCAAATGTTCCATGTATGACAGGAGCATTGATGCTTGAAGATAGATGTGGGGGGTGGGAACCCCAAGCATTGGCGACCCACCCAGCCTGCTGACATCGCGAAAGGTTCGCAATCAACGCGTCTCACACACACCACCCCGCGCTTGTTATCTCCCATCCCGGCTGCTCGCAACCGCCGAGGACGCTGCCTACCTATGCCACAACACAAGACCGCCCTCTGGTAGAAAAGCCCTATTGTCTTTGTTCCCCACCTTGGTCTTTCCCTCCAACTCTTGCCATCATCCCCAACAGAAACCACAATGGCAACAGAACCCGATGCGGGCGGGCCCGACCCCATCCCCGCCGACGACAATAACCCCCGCAGCAGCGGCAACCCGAAAGGCGACGACAGCAACTCCACAGCAGGAGAGCCGCCGGCCTCGCCGCCCCTGCCCGCGAAGCACGTGCCCGCAACACCCGGCCCGCGGGCGGCGGGGCTGCGCGAGGTCTACCGGCGGGCGCTGGAGCGGACGCTGGAGCGGGTCAGCTGGGACAACGTGGCGGCCTGCTACCCGACGGTTGCGGCGCGGGCGCCGGCGACGCTGCGGGCGGTGCAGGGGCAGATGGTCGGGCTGCTGAGGGAGAAGTGCGACGTGAGTTTTTTTCTTTCTTTCTCGCGGCCATCCCCGTTTCTTCCTTGTGTGGCTTGGTGGCCGCCTCCCGTGGAAGCGGAAAAAACATGTTGCTAATGAGACGCCTTTGCTTTGCCCCGGGGTCGCTTAGAGAGAATTCGAGTCGATCCTACAGAACCGGAACGTGGTCGCCAAGCTGAACGAGCTGGAGAGCCTGGTCGGCGACGCGGCGAGGAGGAAGAGCGAGAACCCGGACCGGGAGCCGCCTGTGCCGTGAGTTTACCTACCTACCTACCTACCTACCTACCAATTCAGACAACAAAGCGACCTTACCCTTTCCCTCCCCGACTCATTTCCAGATCCCCCTCAACACAACACCAAAAAGACAAGAAGAGCTCTCAGAAAAGCTAACCAGGGGACCGACAAACAAAACAGACCCCACCTCCTCCCGGCCGACGACGTCCTAGCCGCGCACCTGGCCCCGCAGCTGGCGTCGCAGCAGTCGCAGCTCAACGCGCGCCTGCAGACGGCGCAGGCGCACAACGCGCGCCTCTTCGAGGAGATCCGGGCCCAGCGCGCCGAGGCGGCCGAGCTCGTCGCCGCCGTCGAGAGGGTCCTCGCCGACATGGACGGGGCCAGCGAGCTGCTCGGCGGCGTCGCTGACGACCTCGCCGCCGAGGCGAGGGCCGTCGAGGTGGAGATGTCGGGGACGTGAATGGGGAGGGGAAAGGTGGGGGGACGGAAAAAAGGGGAAAAGGATGGAAGAGGCGAGGCGGAAGGGAGGGGAGAGAAGGGCCGGGTTAGGGCTGCGCCGGATCGGTATAGGGGAGTCAAGGCAATGGGAATGGTCTTGGATGAGTGACACTCGGCATTCTTTACTCGTCCGAGGATGGCGTACAAGGCGTTTTTGGTCAATGTGGGGGAAGGCATCTTGTGTGCGAGAGAAAAGGTATCTAGGTATATACAAGATTCTCCGGCCTTGTTGGCAGGCAGCCGCCCCTCCCCCAACATCCGTAGCTATTTACAGAGAAACCCAACCCCTAAACCGATGGGTTAGTTACTCAAGTTCCCTCCGCCTAATGATATGCGACATGGTATGTATGTGCTCGTCCGACCCATCCGTCTAAATTCATCCCTGGAAATGAAAAATAAAAGATTAATAACAGTCCAGTACCTTGTACCCGCGATGCAGCCATGAACTCCAGCCCAGACCCTTAGCGATACGCTCTTTTGGTCTCCACCCAATGCGAAGATGCAAGTATCCTCATGCTCCCAAACCACACCCATAGCATCCGCGTCTCCTCTAGATCAGCCTGTTCTCGGGCATGATCACCTGCCATGGCCCGAACGAATCGATCTCGCCGTACGTCGGCGGCAGGACCCGCACCATGCGCCCACTCGCCCAGTCGACGTACCACTGCTTCCCCTTTGCGATGATGTAGTTGGATTTGCGCGGGCTCTTGAACAGCAGGACCGAGAAACACAGCTTGGCGTAGAGGTGGTCGTGCCTCGACGTCCACGCGTTCCGTGGCGCCCACTTGCCCGTGTCAGGGTCCACCGCCTCGTTCGGATACGACGACGTCGATAACCGGCCCATCACGGGATGCCCCGTCCTCGACGGCCCTATCGTCGGCGCCCCGTCCGCCTCCTCTTGGATCGGTTGCTGGTGGTGGCCCGGTCCGAAGGCGATCGCTGCTGGATTGGCGATACTGCCGGCCACGCTCCGATCGCTGCCGGCGCTGGAAGCCACACTCTGCCGTCGGGCGTCGAGGCGCTGGAACGCGGTCGCGTTATCCGCGGGCTGCTGCGGATGTTGTCCCCTCAGCCAGCGTATCCTTTGGACCCGGGGTATGCTCTGATCTCTGGGGAAGTCCCGCTCGTCTATCGGGGCGGCGACCCCGATGGCGGCGAACAAATGGTCGAGCCAGTTGACAAACGTCCCCAGCTCGATGCAGGACAGCAAAAACTGGTCCGACTCTGCCCTTACGCGGATGACATAGCGTCGTCTGAAATTGTGTGTTAGTCGATCATAGAGTAAGGCGTCATCAACACAGACTTATATCATCTAGTTTGATCTGATCAAAGGGGGGAATACACACTTCCTATAATCGGCTGCGATACCGGCGTCCGCGTGCAACAGGCTATAAGCCTTGTCCAACGAGGCCTTCCTGACCCACGGTGGGCTATCCGGCGAGACGCCCGGGCCGTCGGTTTTGACCGACCACCAAGCGCGGTCCTTTTTGACTTGGTAAATATTCAGGGCGGTTCCGCGGAGCTCGACGTAGACCATGTGCCAGTTTCGATACTCGGCCCTCTTGATCGTATCCTCTATCTCCATCTTGCGCATAAAGACGCCCTCGATATGGACGTCGCACGAGTAGTCTGGTAATACGTCTGGCTGCACCCTGCTTGACGATTCGTCCTCTGCACCCGGATGCCGCGGGTATGGCTGCTTTGTCGCTGTCTCATAGCTGGGCGGCTTGGCTGGCCGCTGTGTCATGAGTTCGCGGTAGAAGAAGTCCTCCTCCATCGACATTCGGCGCGGGCGCGACGGGGCTTCGAATGAGGCATCGTTCCATGAGCCATCATAGGGTTCCATGGGATCACCCCCTCCCCTGGTTGCGCAGAGTTTGGCGGTGTTTTCCTCTTCCTCCTTTCTAACCCGTCGTAGGTCGCATGTTGTTTAGATGAAGGCCCTGCGAGTACCTCGAATCTCCAATCTCCAAACGGCCGCCCATACGGAAGAGAAAGGGTGGAGCGATCGCCAGGGCGGAAAAGGGCTTAATTAACGTGCAGGAAGCGGAACGACGCCGGTGCGGAAGTAGGCGGAGTGGAGTGGAGGTGGAGGAGCAGACGAGAGAACGGAGGAGGGGAGAAAGAGGACTCGGTGGAGAGAAGGGGTTAAGAGAAAGTGAAGATGTTCTAGAAAGGCAAGAGGGAAAAGGGTTCAGTGAAGAAAACGCGAGAGGATAGGGTAGGACGGCGGGACGGGACGGTTGAATGGCATCACATTCCACTATGGTACCAGTAGCAGTAGCACACCTCCCTTGGTTCTCGGTCGCCTCCGCTTGACCTGAAGCAGAAGAACGAAGGGGATGGCTGGCCTGCGCCCTTCTAAGGAAGGCTAGCATCTGGACCAGCGGCCCCATGCCTGTGCACCGAGAGATCCACGGCCTTGATCCCCATTCCGCGTATGCCAGGCTAGGCTGTTCCAGGTAGGTGGTTGAGCAGCGAGTTGGAGGGGCAGGATCCACTGTGACTGGTTCGTTCATACTGGCCTCTCGCCTGTTTCGTTAGCGCCAACCATCGTATTTACATTGATTGAACTATTACTGCGTACCCCAGCGGCCCCAGCATCCCCCAGCGCAAGGACGCATTACGGAGCATGTACATGCAGTAACTGCGCGGATCACTCGGGTTCGCTCGCATTGAACATTGCTATGTACTGCGAGTTCTCCAGCGAATTTCCCCGGTTGTGGCCCTGGCAAGATCGCCAAAAGAATGCCGATCCTCTCAAGAAGGCAGTCAGTGTTTCTTTCGTCAAGGTATCCTCCCTGTCATACCAGTTGCGTAAACGGGGAAGGCAAGCTGGAAAAAGCCAATTAGAGATGGCCAAGCTGACTGGTCCTCGGCCTGAGCATCTATCGTTTAGCCCCGCGGCTGAGTCACTATTGAATTTTCCGCAAAATCTCTTGTTAAGGTTGTTAAGGAGAGATCTCTTTTGGCAGGTGGTATCACCTCTTAAAACTTGCCTGCCGTTTACGTTGGCTAGGTTAAAGGCCCGTCTCCACTGCCTGGCTCTCGGCCCCGTCTAGTCGGGCCCGCAATGGCCCTTTTTTAACTCTCCGATCCCGCACCTTCCGCACTCCATAGTATGGAATCCCAATGGCACTGGCGTAAGCAAATCGCGATCCGGCAGAATTAATAAATTAGTTTTGTTTCAACTGCCTGGATCGCCAGTCACACAAACCTAGTCACGAAGGTTGTTTGGGGGGCTGGTGAGCAGCGGCTAAAGCAGCATCGTAAGATAGTAAGGATTTATATTAAGCTCTGCAGGTACGCGGTACCGATTGCGGTAATACAACCATCAATGATCGCGCTGGTGTGTCTGCGTGTGTGAATGTGTGTGTATGTGTGTGTCTGGTGTCTGGTTGTAAGATGAGTGAGTGAGCGAGTGAGTGTGTGTTCGTACTATGCGCCCGCAGTTGGGTTCCAAGGGGGGGTGGCGGGCATGACCACCACCAGTCACTCCCTTCTTCCGCGGGCCCCACAAGTGCGGAACGGATGCCTGGAAGTTGGGATGCATGTCATATCAACTGCCGGCTCGAGCGACAAACGGACATGGCGAGAAAATGACTCTTCGCCGGGAGGGTATGCAACGACAACCATTATTCGGTTGCCGGTTTGCCCCCGTCCTGTGTCTCGCATCGAACATCAGAACTATCGGAACTAGCCCTGTTTCTTGTCAGCTAGGCGCTATATCGTTGTTGTGCCCGTACTATACAGTTTGTCGAGCCCTTTCTCAACCTCCTTACTATGCCATAATGTATCACAGCCCCATCCACTCGGCCGGCGGTCTTCTTCGCACGTCTCTCTCCATCTTCGTCACTGCAAAATGTACAAAGCAACATCTGCCCCCCGGTTGCAGAGAGAATGAAAAGAAACTTTTGGGTGTAAAATGCATTTAAGAATGGCACCCGAATCCAGCAACACCGCCATGCTCGCGCCTCCTCCAGCAATGATACACATACACCTCCCCCCTCCCTCCCGAATCCAACGCTTGCCACTTAATTAGGTAGCCGAGGGGCCAGAGCCTCCGCTTCTCTGCACTGAACGAATGAATGACGATGGAGGGTTTCCCTTCGGCCCTGCGGGCGATCGAAAACCGAAGCCATCAGGACCTTGGCGACTTCGTCCATATTCCTGGGAGACGGTTGGCTTTGCTCCTAGGCGGTTGTTGCGACCTAAGCATTCGCTGCCTGCGAAGCACCCCGGCCTCGGGGAGCGCCACCGCGACCTCGGGATTGCCCAGTGAACCCACCCCGTGGACCCCCCTGGCTGGCAGACCGACTCCCATCAAACCCGCCACGACCACGACCAGCCAGCCCGCCTCGGCCGGCATTGTAGTTGCTCCCTCCGTATGCGTTCGCCTTCGGTCGTCGCTGCTCAACAACGATGCTCTCACCATTGACGGTGTGGGGGTTTTCGGCTACAGCCGCGTTATAGCCTGCCTGGGTTGCAAACTCGACGAATGCGCAGTTCTAGTCGCGTGTCAGCTTCCATCCCACGAGCGGCGTCAAAAGGAAACATACCTTTTGGCGGTTGATGTCGAAGTATGCCAACTCGCCATAACCAGCCAGTGTGGCCCTCAAATCCTCCGCCTTAACCTTCTCTGTGACATATTTAATGTATGCCATGGTACCTTCTTTCTCGGCCGGCGAACCAGAGATAGACTGCGGTCGCTTCGAGCCGGCACCGGCGGTCTGCCACTCACTGCCTTGGTCTTTCGAACTGACGGGGGCGGCGGTAGCTTCAGTCGTTTGGGGGGCAGCGGCTGGGGCGGCCGGGGCGGCCGGTTGCTGGCTTACTGGAGGAGCAGCTGAGCGGGCTTGAGCAGGAGGGGTGGCAGTCTTGGGCAGTGGCACAGCCGGCCTAGGTGGGCCAGCAGCTGCGGCCGCCCGGCTTGCCCAGGTCATGGGCTTTGGAGGGCCCTTCGGCTTCTCCGGTTCTGCAGCAACCGGGGCGGCAACGCGGGTGGCGACTGGCGTGGGGCTGGGGTCTTTGGGAGTCTCTGGCTTCTTTGCGTCCTCCTCGGCAATCTCCTGAGCCATCTGCTCGGGATCAGCCGATGGTGCCACAGACTCAGCCTTGGCGGGGGCTGCTACTGGCTCGATAGCAGGCTCAGAGGGTGTGTCTTCGCTAGGGGCAGGTGCGGCGTCCTTCGCAGTGTCGCCAACCTCCTCGAGCTTCTTGTCAATAACGGTGGCATCCAGATCAGCCGGCCTGTCTTCCTCCACGGGTTCCTCGGGCTTTGAGACCTCGGGCTCCGCCTCGGTGACAATGTCAATGACTCGAGACTCCTTGGCCGGCGCTGACTCCTTCTCGGTGGCTACTTCCGGCTCGTCGTCACCCTCCTCCTTGACGTATCTCAGGATATCGTTCAGGACAAAGTATCCCGATGGTTGCTGTGCAAGAACGAAGGTCTGGACAAACTTTTTGGGCTCGCCCGCCTTGTTCGAAGTCTCGCCGATGACCTGGATGACGATGTTGTCGAAGGAGGCTTGAGAATCAACATTTGAGACTCGGACCTTGCAGTCTTGAAAGTCGAGGGCCTTGATCTTATCCTGAATAGCCTGCAAACCACCGACCACTTTAGTATATGACGCATATATGTGGTGGGAAGGGCTTAAGCCACCAACCTGTCTTCCAACAGAAACATTGGCAACTTCGGCCTCCAGACCGTAAACGAACTGGGAGCGTTTTCCGTAGAAGAGCTAGATGTGGAGTCAGTACACGCAGTCGCCAGAATCAAGTATCAACGGAGCTCACATGGAGTTTCTCAGGCGACTTGCTAAGGGTTGTGTAGTACTGCTCGACGAAGTACCAACCAACCTCGTCCTTAGTGAGGTTGCTAGTCGAGCTGCCTGTGCTCGTGGCATCCACTACTGTAGATGTCGGAGTCCCCAATTGGTCGGCAGGGCCATGATTAACATTACCGTTTGTCGCCATGGTTACTGGAAAGATGAGGCGTATTTTCTGACTGCACTTTCGCCTGATGCCTTGTGGTCGTGATAGTTTCGGGGAGTGATTTGAAGTAGGTCGGGCCAAAGGTTCAATGAAGGCGCAGAATGGAGAGATATTTGACCGATCTGTCCAAGAAGTAAGCAAGAGCCTGGCTATTAAGAGTTTGGGGAAAGGGTTCGGTCAAGATTGGATGCCATACCTTGGAGAAAGAGGATGGGCAAATAAAATTAGGACCCAAGGAAACCGGAAACCGGAAACAGTAAAAGATGACAGGAGGCGTTGGTTCGAGGTCTAAATTAGAACCAGCAACAGGAATGTGGTCACTGGAAGGTGGTGGCGTCGAGATTCGATGCAAGATGCGTGGTGAATTGAAGTCGCAATAAAAAAAAAGGTCGACCTCGACTCTCCAGGGCCCCTGCACCTTTCGGATGATCATCGGAACAACCGCGCGAGCTCCCGCTTGGAAGGTGCGCACAAGCCAACTGCAAGCATTCGAATAAGACAATGCTTCTGGGCTAGCCCTTCTTTGTTTTGTTCACAAAGCCGGAGGCGTTAGCTTTACACATCTATCTATCTAGGTAGAGATCTGATGGAAATCTACCTAGGTAAACTAGGTACCTAAGTACCTAAGTGAGAGTTGGTTCTACACTGTAAATGCCTTTGTTGTTGTTGGTGGCTTCCATTTTATGCTTCATTCCTTCCAAAGGACCTGCACCAACCAACGCACATGAAAGAAGGCAAACGGGTAGGCATTCACTCCTTCATGCTTCCGCTCAAGATCCTTGTATGTACGCGCATACGGATTGCATGACTAGGTGCTGCTAAGTGGCTTGGGCCCTGCAGCACAAGGAAGGTATTTTGTTTGTACATGTATTATCGCTTGATCATTATGCTTTCCCTACCATATTTGTAGGTCTCTACAACTGGCAACAGTCTCCTTCAATATCCTACCTCTAGCTGGTTGATCAATCCTGGTTTATCCAGCTATCATCAACCCGGCTTTTGTACCTCTTCTTGTCCGGGTCCTTAGCCCAGGTCTCAGCGTAGGCAAACGCGGGATCTGGCTCGGGGTATCGCAGCTTCTGTCTCAGTTTCAACACCTCCTCCCGGACTCTCCTCGCAACCTCGACCCTGATCTCCACTGCTTCCTCTCCATACTTCAGGTCATCCGTCAGCTCCCCTATTGCCTCGGCCTCCTCTTGGACATTTCTGCTGCCGGCTCGGCCCTTGGCGCTTCGCCTCGCTGCGCGACTCCGATTAACCAGCTCTTTCCACCTCTGCCTGAGGTCACCAAACCTCTCCTCCGTGTCCACCTTCTCCCCGAACGTCACATGGATCCGCGCTCCAACCCGTGGTATTAAGCGCAACTTCCGATCCTCCGGCATGAGATGCTGGTTGCCGTCAATGAACATAGGGACAACGTCAGGCGTGGGCTCGGATTCGAGAATAAGGCGGGAGACGCCCCATTTGAAATACCGCATGTCGACGGCCGAGTTTTGGTGCACTGCGCCTTCGGGGAAAATATGGACCCAGGCGTGGCGGTTGTGTGGGTACGCTGAAGGCACGGGGACGGAATCGAGGCCGTTGGTAGTGTAGGTCAGAGAGCCGGCGGTGAAAGGGTCCGGGAGGTCGGTAGAGCCCTGGGTGTTCGAGCTCGGCACCGTTGTGTGTGGCTGAGCGGAAAGGAGACGGATCGCCTGCGTGACCGAAGGCTGGAAGAGCCCGCCATGTGGTGAATGGTTGAGCCGGTGAGTAGGCAGGACCTGCCCAAAGGTAAAGAAGCTGCTCAAGACTCTAACGAGACCCGATTAGCCATTGGACTCGCAGGAGAGGGTGGCGATGGGCGCGCAAACGGCCTTACTTGTTCTTGAAGCAGATATCATGAGCACCTAGCCCCCATCGGAGGTCCTTGGGACTAAAGGCGTAACTGAATGGCAAGACCCCCCACATGAGAGGGTCATCAAGACTAGCATTGTGTCATGAGCATTGGAAGGGCAAAGAGTGTCGACGGATATTTCGAGTATACGCACACACTTATGTGGTTTGAAACTAAGACGGTTAGCTGCATAGTACGTTGAGCGCTATTTTCAAGAGGGTCATACCCGTAATCAGCCCCCTTTCCCTTGTCTGGGGATCTTGGCGACTCTCCAGGATCTTGAGGAAGTTCTGAAGACCATGCACCTCGATTCTATTGAACCCGAACAGAAACACCTTCGAGACGGTACTAGTCAAGCCCATAACGAGGGAAGATGTTACCCGCCATGGCAACCCGAGGCCTTGCTGAGGACCTGCTGGACTTGACATCTCCGCAGACACAGCTACGTCCAGCTAGTAAGAAGACAGAATCACTTGGAGCGGATGATCATGCAAGTGAGGTATGCGGCGCTACGGGAGTCAGGAAGAGCATCCTAAGAACCCACAAAATGCCGCTAGATATGGAGGCTGAAGAATCTATTAAAGAACTGAAATGAGGGCGAGGCGACTGCCAATTCGCCAGGATATGGATAGCAAAAAGAGTGGTCGTGGATGCAGCTTTCAAAATTGGAAGCCACGAACCATGCGCATGGTTTATAGGACCCTGCATCGCCTGGGCAGGTGCCCCACTCTAAGGTCCAAGGTGACACTAGCAAGTACCTAGGTACCCCATCAACAGCTTTACGGCTCTTCGTCATCAAGCATCAACAGCATAGATTAAGTTGAGCCCTATTGACTTGTTTGAGACTTGTTGCAGACACCAGTAGAGCCCAACGCCTCCACACCAACTCCTACACAATGGCGCACAGTATGTTCCCTCAGGCCCCAGGACCCAATGCGCAACAATCTGATCGTCTGACCTTCCAGGCAAAAGAAACACAAGCCGGGCGGTCTTCACCTCCCATGAGCGGGCCATGGCAAAGGCTGCCTGGGGCTCCTCATCTGCACGCCTCTCTCGCGACTCTTTCCTACCCTTCGCATCCTGTTCCCTCTGTTTGGAGGTGGCCTTGGATCCGGTCGCATGCTCCCATGGCGATATATTCTGTCGCGAGTGCGCTTTAAGCAACATATTAGCCCAGAGGAAGGAGATCAAGCGCCTAGAGAAGTCCAAGGAACAGGAGGACCGTGAGACCGTAGAGGAAAAGGCTCGACAAGATGCAGAGGCGCAGGAACGAGCAATCCGAGAGTTCGAGCTGACACAGGCCGGGCTTGAGGTCAATGGTGGCCGTACATCAGCAACACCGGTCGGCGCCCGAGATGAAGAGAATGGTTCGCCAGAGGCTCCTGAGCAGAGCATAGTGAAAAGAGGGGAGAAGCGGAAGTTCTCCCTTGATGAGGACGAGGTTGCGCGCATTGCCCTGGAGGAACGGGCAAAGGCTAGGAAGGCCATTGACGACGAGAAGGTAGGAATAGCGGGTGGTACTCACGAATTTTCTATCCGAGATTACTTACCGTTTGGTAGGCATCAAAACCAGTCTTGCCGTCTTTCTGGACACCGTCCGTAACACCGTCTTCCAACAAGAACAACACACTATACGAGGTGAAGAAGAAAAGCAAATCCCAACCGGTATGCCCAGCCTCTCAGGACGACAAGCCGCACTACTACTCGTTGCATTCCCTTGTCACGGTCAATTTTACCGAAGAGAAGCAGTCAGATACGAACAGCTCCCAGAGGATATGCCCGTCATGCAAGAAAGCCTTGTCCAATGCGTCAAAAGCAATGCTCGCTAAACCCTGCGGGCATGTCCTCTGCAAGAGCTGTGCCGATAAGTTCATGAGGCCCTCTGGCCACCACGATCCTCACGCCCCTGACTCGGACCCCAACGCTATTCGATGCTACGTCTGCGATGCGGATCTAACGGACCACGGCCGAGGCGGGAAGAAAGAGAAGGAGGGGAAGGAGAAGATACGACCAGGCCTAGTGGACATCCGAAGCGACGGGACTGGGTTTTCGGCCGGAGGGTCGAACCAGGTCCAGAGAAGCAACGTAGCTTTTCAGTGCTAGCCATGTTAGTTAGTCTAATCGGCATCAACATGTAGCAGTGTCCTTCGAGCACAATGCGCTATTGGTGCAAAGGTCCAGCATCATGGCATGATCAAAACTGCGGACCTGCATAAGGCCCTTCCTTCCATTTCCCGTCGCGAACCGGTTTATCTGACAATAATCCTTGGCTGACCACCATCCAACAAATTCGTAGTGATGGCCTCTTTGCTCCTCCTCCACCGGTCGGCTTTAGCAGCTGTAACCTTGAGATAACCATCACGAAGGCCATCTGACAAGTTACTCGCCGCCTGGGTGAGTCTAGCCCGGGTCCTCGGGTGTCTCCTTAGGTACGCCAGGATAGCGAAATACAGTCGGAAGAGCAGCTTGTGTACGGCATCCTTGGCGACCATCGTGATCCCATGGCTGAAGAACGCCTTCAACAGCTCGCTACTCATGCCATCGTACAGGGCCCTGAACCCTTCGTCTCTCCCGATCCTTGCAACCGTCGCGAAAATTGTCTCGTCGGCCAGGCTGCGAACACTCTTGGCTAACCCCTTTTCCGGCTCTGCCTCTGCCTCGGCCTTCTTATTCTCCTTCCCAGCATTTCCCTCCGTGAGGTCCTCTCCCTCATCCCTCTCCACGGGCGCTGGCGAGACCTGCGCGCGCGTCTTCGCGATCTGAAACGGATACGTTACCACCGTGGCGATGACCTTGCTGACGGCGGCGAGGACGAACGTCACGCCGGGCGCGGCGTCGTCGTCGTCGTCCCAGCCCTGGCGGGCCACCAGGCTCTTGGTCAGCATCTGCTGCAGGAAGAAGGTGATGCTCGGGTTCAGCGTCAGCACGAGCGACGCCGAGTAACCCGCCCACAAGCCCAGGACGCCCTTCTCCCGCCTGATGTCCGCCAACATCTCCCCGAAGGACCGCGGCCCGCCGCTTCCGCCGCCCCCTACCAGGCTCTCCGTCTGCATCCTCGTCACCACGTTGGCGATCGGCGTCGTCAGGGCCCGCGCGCACGCCCCCGCCACGACGCCCACGACCAGCTCCTCCACCGCGCCGGGCAGGTACCGGCGGCGGCGGCGGCGTCTCTGCCGCTCGGCCCCGGCCCCGGCCCCGCCTCGGCCGCCGCCGCCCAGCCCGCGCGCCGCCCGCGCCCACGTGTAGAACAGGAAGAATAGGAACGAGTCGGCCGCCGACTTGGCCGCGTCGGCGGGCAGGCCCGCGAACAGGGCGGCCGGCCCGCCCTCGCGCGCGGGTATGCCCCTCAGCGCGTCGGCGACGCCGTCGTAGTAGTGGGAGTGGGAGGGGGAGGGGGAGTCTGGCACGGCGTCCCCTTCGGCGCCGGCCCGTAGCTGCCGCTGGGCCCGCAGGCGCGTGCCTACGAGGTCGAGGGGGTAGGTCGCTGCCGTGGAGATGGCGGAGCCGGCGGAGCCGGAGACGGCGTGGGCTAGGGAGGGGAGGAGGGCGGATGTTGGCATTGTTGGGTTTCGGGGTCCTGCGGGAAAGGGTTCGGAGGTGGAAAGAATGGGTATGTGGTTGTTGGACGCGGGAGTTGGGTGCGCAACGGGCCCTATCTTATAGGTAAGTGAGAAGGCACAGTACCTAGTTAGGTTCCTAGGCAAGTGTATGATAAGACTACGACTTAGACGCTCAGAACTATGCCGGGAGTGCAAGTTCCTAGCTGGCAGACATGAGCAGACGTCAATGAAATAAGTGAGATATGAAGTTCACCGATGCACGCTTCTTCGTGCAACGAACTCATCGAGGAATCAACCTTCTTAAGTGGATCTTGATGCCCTCTATGACCTGGTTTCGAGGCATCGACGTCATTCCCATCCACCCCCCAGACTCAATCGAGCTTGGCCTTCACCCCAATTCTACCCCACTACAAGAATGCTCCGGGCTTGACAGGGCATGGAAGTGATAGGCTACCAATTGGACGGCCCGAGTCGTATCGGTAACTCGCATGTACCTATTGATGAGCGACTGTAGGGCGCCGTCCAGTTCTTAGGCGTAGACGTAGAGGTTGCTGTTCGAGGCCTCTTTCTGAATAGGTAACAAGGTATCAGAAAAGCATCTTTTCCTGCCAGAAGTGATACCCTCATCACGTAGGTACGGGGCACGAGCAACGCGGTTGCTAATAGTAATCCATCCATATGAAAGATATGCAATTCATTTGCTTAGCCGTGGCCTGAGAACGCCATATAACATAAAAAAAGAGCCAAGGAAGCCAGAACACCCAGGCTACGCATACCAGTCATGACCTCTTAATATACCAGATGCCCCATGTGCCCCGAAAACGACCCAATCATCCAACCCCAAACCCCGGGGGAACAAAATCCCTCCCTTGGTATCCTAGTATAATGGTGACAGACGAAATAATCAAGGCTGCCTCCCGTGCCTTCGATTCTCTTGCCTCCGACCCTCCTGCGCCGGACGCTCTTGCCTCTGATTCCCCAGCTTCTGGTTCTCTAGCCTCTGATTCGCTCGCCGCCGGGCCAGCTTGCCTCCGATCCTCCGGAGTCAGCGGCCTCGGCGGCGACGACGATCCCTGGAACCGAGCTTCCTAAGCTCGGCTGCTCACCGACGGCTGCCGCTGCTGTGGCACTCCCGAGACGCTGTAGGCCGACGACCTCCGCGAGAACGGCCCCATCGCACCCGGGTCCGGCTCGCCCGGCGCGTCCTCGGTGTCGAGGAGGCCCTCGTGACCCTCGGGAAGCCGCTGCGCGCCGTAGCCAACGACCCGGAAGATGTTGACCCGCCCGCCGTTCGTCGCCATCTGCAGCTGCTCGTGGAGCCGGGCGAGCTGGTACTGCCTCCTGATCGGGGCGAATGTGGGCTGGGGCAGCGCGGGCTGCGGGTTCCAGCGCGCGAGTGCCCCCATGACGGCCGCCGTCTCCTCGTCCGAGTCCACGGCGCCTCCATTCAGATCATCATCCTCCTCCAGCGGTGCACTGGCGTCGATCGCTGCTTCTGTTGCAAAGAGTCAGAGATGACACTTTCCTCGCATTGGGGGTTGGGGGGTTCCTTACTTTGTTGCTTCGCCTGATTCTTCTTCTGGTAGGCTGCCAAAAGCATGTCATACGGCAGTGACCTCCCGGGCACAGCTCGCTTCGCCCCCATACTATGGCTTTTGCACGTGAGAGACCTCGCGCAAGGTTGACCATTGGGCAGAATAACACCGCATTGCCGCTCCACATCCACAGGACCTGCTGAATGGGTGAGTATGAGCGGAATCAGAGAGAGCGAGAGAGGAGAGAGAACGGGGGCGCATGGTCAAGCACTGACCTTTTGGCTTGGCGGTTTTCGCCTTCGGCTCGTCCTTCTTTTTCTTAGGCTTGGGAGCCTTGTCGGGCTCGCCATCCGCCTTGCGCTTCTTACCGCTCACCGTGCCGTCGGCCTTCTTTCCCGCGGCCTTCTTGGGCTGCTGCTGGCCCTTCTTCTCCCCACCGCCGCCGTCATCATCGCCATCGCTGTTATCGTCCTCGCCGCCACCGCGTGCGTCGGCCTCGTCGTTTTCGGCCTTGCGCGCCTCCTCCTCCCTTGCGGCCTCCCTCGCGCGCTCCCGCGCCTCCCGCGCTTCCTTCTTCCGCTGGGCCTTCTCCTTCTTAATCTTCAGGCACGCTGCGATGTGCTCCTTCGCCGCCGACTTGGACACGCTCTTCTTGCAGTGCTTGCACTGCTGGAGGTCCGGTCCGTCCTCGATCGCGCGACTGGTTACAAAGGCTTCGCGGGATGCCTCGTCGAGGGGGTTGATGACCGGGCCGGGCGACGAAGCCGCAGATGCGGATGCGGCGGCGGCTGCTGCATTTGCGGCGGCTTTCGACTTCTTCTCATCTGTTTGGCCGGAATAAATGGGTTAGCTTTGGGGGTCCCACAGGCGTGATGACCACATAGGCATAGTGCTGTGGCAGGACAGCGTATGGAAAGCATCGTGGGGGAGGGAGTGGGCGCGAACCGTCGAGAGTGCTTCCGTCTTTCCAGTTGCCTGACTTGCTGTGCTTTGGAGTCGGCTTCTTGAGCTTTATTATGCCGATCGACAGTTGTCGCTCTTTTCCTGAGGCCTTGTCTTTTGATGACGCGACCTTAATGGTTGTCTCCTCTTCATCTGCTGGATGGCATACGTTTAGCTTAGCCCATTCAACCGGTGCAGCAAGGTCGGAAGTTCCAAACCTTTGCGAGGGTCCGCCATAGCAGTCACTCATAATCGGGTACAATAAGTACCTAACATTCGCAGGTTTGCGCTCGGTTGCCGAGTCCTCAGTCCATAGAGCGAAGCGACGTCTGGTTATGCGTGTCTTGCAGTTGTCAAGGCTGTGTCTCGTGGCTATGTACCGCAGTAGGTCATCAGCGGATCAATTTAAGGTTATCTTATCTCGGTAGCGCTGAAATAAAGATCCGGCTGACAGTTTCCATGGATTCCACGTTTCCATGAATTCCATGTACACCTCTTGGCAATCCCGTCTCCTTTTAACACCTAAATAAGAGAGTTAAGCCAATGGATTCTATTGAAGTCACTCCCTCATGTTCAACTCAAAAAGCCTTGCAGTTCAGAAGACTCTGCATAGTTAGCAAGGATTGGAAGAGTATTCAAATATCGCCAATCGCAAACCCACTCCTCAACAGCTCAAATTCCCTACTTCGATGGCAGTGTTCAAGTCAAAGATAACGATGATCAGTTGGGTATCTATCTGGTTCATAGTAGCCCCCGTTGTAACTCGGATTGTGAATAACCTCGCCGCACTCGTTGGACTCCGGACCGGTTGACCTTCCCCGTTTCTAACACTACCAAAATTATTAACAAGCCAGATTCAACGCACGCTGCAAAAAGCCAAGTACCGGAACGCCGCTTTGCTCCGTCGTCTCGTGATCCCACCTTCTCGCGCAAACCGAACCTCCAACAACCTGGAACCATCAGAACCACCTTTAGGGGAGTACATGGGCCACCATGAAGTCGACAAGCGGCCCCTGCCAAGTGCAGCGATTTGTGAAGCATTTCGCATCTTGAAAGCATTACGGACGAACCTCAGCCAGTCTGGCACCACCACAGGACCAGTTGGTTACCCAGGTGGGCGTTGGGTTCCCATCCAGGTAGGATGGGCCCGACTGGTTAGATTTGTTGCTGGCCAGGCCCAATCGGGTATCCCTAGTAGCCGTTGTAGTTGGCCTGGCTGGGAACGGGTTGCTGATAGGACCTATGCTGGGCTTGCAACATCTGCAGCTGCTGGTGGTGCTGCAAGATCAGGTCGTTGAACCACGGGTGCTGTAAGGCGTCTTGGGCGCTGATGCGTAGCTCTGGTCGTAACTGCAACATCCTCTGGAGCAAGTCGATGCCCGTAGCGTCGATCTGGGGAAGGATGTTGCGGAGTTCCTGCGTGGCGTACATCTGGTAGGTAGTCTTGTACTCTGGCAGTTGTGTGATGCCCGGCCAGGTTCTCTCTGTCGGGGTTCCCATTATGCGAAAGATGCGGACGATCTGGTCCTCGTTCGTTGTCCCGGGAAACAGGGGCCTGCCGGTAAACATCTCTGCCATGATACAGCCGGCGGACCAGATGTCAATGCTGGTATTGTAGGTTCTGCTGCCTAGAAGGACGTCCGGAGCCCTATACCACAGCGTAACGACCTCGTTGGAGAAGGTGTTGACCGGAATCCCAAACGCCCGGGCAAGGCCAAAGTCTCCGAGCTTGAGCGAGCCCTTGCTGTTGATCAGAAGGTTCTGCGGCTTGAGGTCCCGGTGAAGCACCCGGTTCTGATGGCAGAAGTCGATGCCCTTGAGCAGCTGGTACATGAAAGACTTGATGACCATGGGCTTGAGCGCGCCTCTATCACCCTGCGTGTCCATGTACTTCTTCAGGTCGCCATCCATAAACTCGAACACGAGCATAAGTTTGTTCTCGGTGTGGATAACATCGTGGAGGGCTACTATGTTCTCATGTTTGAGCTCTTTCATAAGTGAAATCTCGCGGATCGCCGTCGACGGCGTGCCCTCTTCCGAATCGAGGTGGATTTCCTTCAAGGCGACCAGCTCACCAGTTTGGCGATTTCGACCTTTGAAGACCTGACCTAAAAGTCAGTAACCGGAAAACGCAGAGCACACAAGCCAAGGTGCGTTTCATCTTACAGTAGCATAGGTCCCTTCGCCTAGCTTCTCCAGCTGCTGGAAGGAGCTTGGATGCCTCTTTCCGTCCATATTTCCTGCTGTTGGTCCGGTCGAGCCGATGTTGATGGGGCCGGTATTAGTCGCAGAAGGTGAAGAGAGATCGGGCGTGGGGTAAACCCTGAAATGCGGAACAGGTGATGGCCGGGGTTGTGAGGTGGGCTTTGCGTCAAACAGAATCCCCCCGGCAGTTGTGGTCTTGCGCAGGATATCGGCTGATGAGTCGGTGATGGCCAGCTGGGACCCGTGAGAAGCCGTGGTTGGAAGGCAGAGATGCGTATGCAGTCTCTGCAAGATAAGTAGGGGTTGATAGCTTGATGACGGGGTGCCCAACCCTTGAAACCTGATATTGATGGGAACCTGATTTTGCGCCAAATGAGGGATGCAAGGTGAGTCTCAGGGAGCGATGTCTTAAACCAGTCCTTTCCTGTGCAAGAAAGCAGATGGCGAGGCAAAAATAGAACTGTATCAGGACGGCGCCAGGGATGTCGCCCTGCTGCGGTAATTCTCCATCTGGCGGCACGCCGTCAAATGATTGGGCAAGCTTCGCCCCTCTAATTGTTGCCTCTCACCAGTGTAACCCCACACAATGAGCGTCTAGACCTGGGTCCCCTGTCAAGCTCTCTCATCACTAGAAAGCCAGGAGTAGAACCTAATTGCCTAGACAAAAAGGGTATCTTGGTATCTGATTCTCTATAGAACACACACACATATTATACACTCCCTTGAACACTGAAGACAGGGGACCTTCTTTCCTTTCTTTTCATTCCGACCATCCAAAAACCTCACCAATCGCCAAGGTGTTTGATCTGACACCCGGGAGAGCGACCAGTATCCCAACGACATCCACAACGAGCAACAGTATGGCAGCGGTCATGAAGCGGGGCATGAAGACCCTGTACAACATCAGGTGACGTCTCAGCCAGCCAGCCCAGGCCATCGTCGCCAGAGATTCGACAGCGAAGTAGGCAACGAAGATGCCCAATGCCCTGCTCACGCTCTCCAGGAGGCCTTTCCGCTTCGGGCCCACCTTCCACAGCACCACCAACGGAACCGCGACGGCGGCTAGGATCTGGCCGGCAAAGGTGTTGAGCGCGATAACAACAGGGCTCCACGGGTATCGGATCGTGAAGAGCGGGATGAACGCGCTGTCCCACTGAATGCTACTTAACGCAGCTTGATGCCCAGTCTTGAAAAAGTAGAAGTTGCCGAGCAGGCCCAACATGACGGGGCCAATGGTCTCCATTGTCAAGTTATTGAGATCCAGTATTTCGGCAAGGGACAAGATTTGCCACATCATCAGACCCAGGGCGCCACCACCCATAGGCTTGGATAGGAGGAAGCACGCCCCCAGGACGTTCAGGGGCAGGAGAAGGTAGCGCGCCCCGTTCGCATTCCCATACCCCAGCACGGTCACTTGCGCCCTGCCCGACTTCGAGGCAGTTGTGATGATAGAGACGCAGGGGGGAGCCCAGATGAAAGCTGTAGTGCCCGCGACGACGGCGAGTCCAAGGACAAGCTGGGCGACATAGACGCTGAAAGTCTTCAATGTCTTCTCTGGGAGCTCCGGCATCCAATTCCCATTGTCGGCCGAATCAAGCACCCAAAAGACGGCCGACATGAACAGACCGGCCCGAAAGACGTAGCCGATCCATGTCGGAGCCAATCCTTCGTATGACCTTGTCGGAACCAGATATGCCTTGACAATAGAAGGAAGGATAAGAAAGACGGCAAAGGGTATAGCAAGCTGCCAAGGGGCGGAAGTCGAGGATGTGGCGGAGGCGTAGTACGTGGAGGTGCAGTAGGGCATCTGCTCCTCCCGGCAGAGCTTTGAGAAGGACGCAAGACGGCCTAGGATGACAAATAGGACAGAATGGTAGATGGCCAGGTAACGGTCGGCGAGAGACGGGAGCCTAAGAGCAGAAAGAGCACTGACGACGCCGAACGTCGAGGTGAAGAACAGGAGGATGGAGTCCTCCCATATGGTGAAGGAGTTGGAGGCAAATCCGATCGACTGACTGAGAGTGAAAATGACGGACAGCCAGCCCCAGAAACTCTTCGGGAGCATATCCCAAAGAGACTTGCCGGCTCCAAAGAGCGCCACCGACACCGTCGCTAGACTTGTCAAGGCCCCGAGGGACGCGCCACGATGCCAATCTCCCTCGCCTGAAATAAATGATTGCGCCACGCCTGCACCAAAGCCGGGCAGAGCGCCGAGCAGGGCAGCGCGCACCAGACTTTTGTTCAGGCCGTGGTACGAGGCCGTGCTAGGTCCGGCATTCACCCCTTGAAGTTCGAGGCTCCTCTCGGCCATATCAAGTTCAGCATCTTCCAGCACGGCCAAGTCGTCATCTTCGTCTCTTGACACATACACCAGGAGCACGAGGACGCCTAGGGCCATGATTGCAATGCCGATGATCATGCTCACCAGGTCGAACCGCGCCCACAGGCTCTTGCACACCTTCAGTGTCTCCGCCTGGTATGCCGAGAAGGCTGCGTAAGTTGGCGCCCAGCCGTTCTTGTTGGGCATGCCTTTAGCAACTACCGCTTCGGCCTTGGCCCAGAACTCGGCCGGGGATCCGGGGGTGGGCGCCTGTTCAACCCCCCGGGCGGCAAAGTAGGATGCCTGGTACCGCTTTATTCCCGCGGCCGTCATTCTCGCAGCCGCCGCCAGATTGTCCCAGGCATCGCCGCGAAGGCCAGCGAAGGCCTCCTCAATCGGCTGGCCAAGGTTGTTGTATGGGATGGGGATGCCCAGGAGCAATGACAGGGTCGGGACGAGGTCGATCTGGTTGACAGGGCGGATTTTGGCAGTTGCCGGGGGAGTTGTAAATTCCCGACTCGTCCTGCCAAAGATGGGGTTTGAGGAATACATCCACAAGGTCGATTCTATTTCGTCATCGCTCTCGCCGCCGTGGTCTCCTTTCTCGTCCATGCCGTGGTCTCCCATGACGACTAGCAATGTCTTGTCGTCGATCGTCTCGACAAACTGCTGGACAAACGCGTCCATCTGTTGCAATTTTTTCGTCATCTCCGGATGCTCTGGCCCGTAACGATGTCCCGCATGATCCACACCAAGGAAATGGCCGATAAGGAGGTCCCAGTCGTCGGTCCGTTCCATTAATGGGAAAATATGCTCCAGGACACCATTGTCCACGGTGTGCAGGTCCCAAACGTTGAAGCTGTCGTACGGCCGACTCATGTTCGCCTCAAAATAGCCAGGAAACAGGGAATCCCAAGTGTCGTCGCCGAGATGCACGATCCGCTTTCCGGCGTCCCGCAGCTGCATAAGAACATTGTCCTCCTCGATCGCCGTCCCGGCGAAGCTGCTCCCGAGGTCAATAAATGTCGGCAGCGTCCCGGTTGTCAGGCCCTTGAGTCTCTGCAAGGTGGCCGTGGGGGGGTCCGCGATGAAGGGGCGGAGGAAGGCATTATGCGGCTTTTGAACGGCCGTGTCGTAGAGGAACGGGAAGGCGTTGTGGAAGGCGGCATTGTCTTCCTTCGGGACGGTGAAATCGTAGCGCAGCGCGTCGATCAAGATGATCACGGCCCTCTCAAAGGTCTTGGGGTGCCAGCAACCGCCGTCAACGGTGCCCTTGCCCGGCCAGTCCGGGAGGATGTCGACGCTGCTGTTCAGCGGCGGGACGGCGCAACTGGACTTCTCGTCTAGCACCAGACGCGTCAAGAGGAAGCCGCTGGTGAAGTAACCGATGCCCACAACGTGTATGCAGAGCATCCAGACCCAGAACGCGACGGTCCACCACCACCGCGCCTCGAAGCCGGCCTTCCGGCTCGCCTCCAGAGCTTGTCGACGTCGCTCCAGCGCGCTCTCCCGCTTCTTCTCCTCCACTACCTGCTCGGGCGTGCGGTTCGCATATTCGGCCTCTTTTATGCGCTTGGCCTCCGCGTACTGCGCGGCGATGGCCTTGTACTCCGACTGGGCAGGTTTTCGTTTCGGCTTCGGCGGCGTCATGGTGGAACAGGCGGGTCAAGGAGCGACGAGAAGAGAAACAAGGGAAAGAAAGGGTTGGGTTGACAGAATTTAGACTATTTAAACAGGAACCTATGCCATTGAGGCCTAACCTGTAAAGGAAGTGCTACGCCGAGAAACGAACATACGAATGGGACAGGAGGTATCATGGATTTTTGAATGTTTTCGAAAGACTTCAGGTCAAACCCCACGGCCCTGCCGCTGAGCTCCGCATATCCCTCTAGCGGCCCCACACTGGCCCGACACGACAAGCCGGGTTTGGTTGCTACCTACCAAGGTTCCTACGGAAATAAGAGTTCACAACTTTTACAACTTCACTTACACAGTAGCAGACGTCGATTGACTTGATGCTAACTGGAATTTCTGTTGATAGACGAAATTCAACATATTATACCGACTTTCTCAAGGCACGGTGGGCTCCCCTATAGTGGTTTCGAGATAATCCTCCAGCGATCCAAGATCCAGTACTACCCCTTTCCAAAGGGTTCCTTCTGGGACATACGGATCAAGGGTTTTTTTTTCTTCTTTTTTCATAGTCACAAACCAACCAAATCTTGCCCCCAGGACCTACCTACTTGTCCTGCTGTATCCGCCATCTTCCATTATACTCGGGTCTATCTTTTCGGCGTCCACCCTGGTCTCATAAGTCGCATCAGCAAGGATGATGATGACGGAGAGGAACATTCGCTGGTTGGAGTGCTTTGTGAGAGGCAACGAATTGGCCTCTATTTTGCCGAGGAGGCTCTGCCAAGTGACCAGGGAGCTGGCGAAGGACTTGGAAGCATTAAGTTCATGAGCCCCTATCGACGTCCGATGGCCATCTTTGCGAGGCGGCTTAAGTCGCGATTTGACGATCTCAAGAACCCGTCCTCGGATAGCTATTATGGTAACATCTCTACCTCGCAGTACACACTGGAGCCGGCATACTCGGTTTCATAATACCTGGGCCTAGATAGATAGGCAATTCTTCATCCTAACTGGCCACCGTTCCCATACACACTCAACGCCTCTGAGCAGCTAGCAGATGTGAGTGAGGTGGACTTCTGCACTCCTCAGGATCCGTCTTCTACTTCGGTACAGGTTAGGTACCTGACGCGCAGGAGATATAGATGTTATGATTAACATTCCAACACCGCAACTGTATACAGATGGTCCTCAGAAAGGTTCGATCGTGGCCCGAATTCCGGAACCTCCAGAGGGCCGCTCAGAGGACCAACTTGCAAGGCGAGCCCCTCCCTAGGAAGGATATGCGAAGGAGATGTGGACTGATATGAAGGATGCGCCGAGCCCTGAGTCTTTCAAGGAGTCAGTTACCAGGACTACCAGAGACCTGCCGAGATGCCTCGGAAGCTGAGGAAGGAGATGAGTGTTGCTGAGGGCCAGCCTTTTGCACACCATCTCAAGGAGCGCAGTAATAAGAGCAGCGGCCTTCAAGGGAGGCGCGGATTGTGGGGGGACTACCTTGGGGTCCCGGTCAATGACGCCAAATCCCGATGTTGCGGCATATATTGAAGACGATATGTCTGAGATGCAGTCTTCTTCAAGGGTATACCAAAGGGAATTGAAGGGACCCCGACCGGCGGTTCTACTGCTGCTTTTTGGACCGCTGACGAGCCATCTCGGCAAGACCTTGGAGGGACCTGAATTGGAAGTTGATGGTCAGTGAGTGATTTCTGGCGTTGCTTGGACATTTAGCTCCCCTCGTCTGCCGTGTCGAAATGACCCAGTATTTGCACGACTGTCACCGACGGATATCGACAAACTCCGGGTTCATGATACTGCTTGCTCGCTTCGACCTGCAGCAAGGAGACTCAGTAGAGCTACGAGACAGCGTACCCTTCGCCATAGACAGCCAATTAGACAGAATCCATCCTGCCTTCCGGCCAGTCCGTGAAGAGTATGGTCACTGTTGCCCATCCCAGCTGACAAGCCCCTGATCCTGTGGCTGCCATGAGTGTTTTAATACTCGAATCTCCCCCCATCAACCCAAATCATCGTCAAAGAACCTAGGTATCTGCCTCCTATCATGGACTCCAGCCTGTCCTCTTATCCTTTGGGGCCATTGATATAGAGGTCCCGCCGTTTAGATCTCTCTTAATCTAGCCATGCCTGCCATTTACATCCCGCCAGGGTACGATTGGCGACAGGACTAAAGTTGGTCCCTGACAGAGATGCTCAACACGAACAGAGACAAGGACATTCCGGAATTTCGGATGAACGTGGAACGTAGAAGCACTACTCTGTCACTAGCAATCTGTGCGTTGTACTACAGAAGTATGGGTGATAGCGGCGAGCTAGCTGGTCACTCCATCATTCCCCATACTCTTCGGCCCAACCTACGGCTTTCCTGAGCGTGAGCCAGATTTGTGTCGACAACTTTCCAAACCCCAGGCAACCAACCAGTTGATGTCTTTTGGATCAAGCCTGTGGGGACACAATCCTGAATTTCAGTTCCGTTAATCTGTAGCCAGCTGGCTGGCTCTCTCGGGGCGGAACTTTGACGTTTCCGCATGCCACTGCAAAGTGGTGATCAACGTATCGAGGGGGCGCGGGAACGGGAGACCGAGTCTGGCCGAGACACAATAGTAATTATACAGTTATGAGAATATACAAAGTATACCACAAGCCCTCCGCCGCATCGCTGCCGAAGGAAAACTCGGCGATAGTCTGCCGCTCTTCCGGGACCCTCCACCGCTCGTGGTGATATATATACGAGGCATTGCCCGGCATGGAACTTGCTATGTGCGTGTGCTGGCATCCCAATCAACCTGCCCACCAAGCTACCCACGATCTGATATCGGCGTAGGGAAGTGGTGAGCTGGTCGCGAGACAATTAGAGACCAATTAAACAGCCATGTCTGTGGTATCATCCGTTTCCCCAGGTTCTTCCAACTCCAAGCCATGAAATCGTCAGGATGGAAATGCCTCCGCTTCTGGGCTAAAAAATCATTGCGTGCGAGTATGGGAATGATCCAGACTGCCCCTACTGAGTCCGAGTCCGAGTCCAAGGGCTGATCAGGTATGTCCAAATCAGTTCGAGTAGTGACGGGCTTTCTCCTTTAACCCCCCGATTTGGTCCATGTCGATGGCGTAGAATTGCGTGTTGCTGTCCTTCTCGTAGGCGGGAAGTTGTTCATCGTGAAGAGGCTCGAGTCCGACGGTGGTGTCGCCGACGCGGACGACAACGACGCGGCCGCTCTTCGGGCGGCCACTCTCGTCATGCTCATCGGGGAAGGTGATGTGGATCTGGGGGACATTGTCGGGGGAATGCGGGGGCGACCGAGGGTTGGCAAGCATGGGTTGGCCGTCCTTGAAGATGATGACGCTGGAACGGCTGAGCATGTCCCCGTTCTTGGTCTCGATCGTAAGCTGGCGGTGGTTGCCGGTCCGCTTGACATCCTCGTATCGAGGAAGTGTGTCGTTGGCCATCCGCCTCTGCCTCCTCTTCCTCCGGATCATAAACAAGAGACCGACTAAGAGCAGGCCAAACAAGACAAGACTGAGGACAGCAATCATGAGATTGAGGGTGCTGCTGTCGGAGTCGTCGTCCCCGAGCCCACGGGCAAGGACATTCTTGAACGAATCCATAGCTAAAACGAATGCTTCCGAAGGAATGAAGCGCCAAGGGCCGACCTGTTTCTCGTGTCAGCCTTACTTGTCGGTCGGAGATGTCTTATGCCTTCAGACATTGATTCATTCATCAAGGTTTAGACGAACAACATGTCTGCCACTAACGGTCCCTGGCTGAGAAGAGACATTTGACTTACGCAAGGGGTGTGTGTCTCCTAAACCAGGACCTCTACTTTCGATGGGCAGAGGAGGGAGGTTGATAAAAAGATTGGACGGAGTCGACTGAAAGAGTGAAGTCGAAACCAGGATGATGTCAAATGAGTGGAGGGGGAAAGGAAGGACAGGAGCAGTTGTTCCCAAGATCAGAAACCACCGACGATGGAAGCTGGAGGTGAAGAAGTCAACAGGAGGGCAGACGAGTTGTCTACCCCCCTACCTCTAATAATGAAATGTGCCCCATTCTCGAGGAGATTGCACGACCATCTCATTGGCTCAAGGCTAGGATAGATTCGACGAAGAATGCAACGGGGCAGCGCTTGGTGGAAACTGCATGATGAGATGTGGCCATCTGATTTGCCGAGCATCGACAATTTGATCCACCCAGCACAGGCCTTGCTATGTTTGAACCAATGCAAGCGCCTGAACTGCCCCCAAACTGGAGCTAACGGGCAGTGCTTGGGTCGGGAATCTGAGAGGCAGGATGCCCATTCAGCACGGACCCATATGAAGGAGTTTGATCCATTATCCCAGGTCACATATAGGTATGCGCGGGTGAGCAAAAGGACTTCTCGACCCGGTTTCTTTTGAGAATTATATGATTACCATACTATTAATTGCCTATAGCGTTTGTTTAATTATCTGATCCGTGCACTCTCGCACAAAACCAACACTTTAGGGGAAACTTGTTGGTGGTTTGGCTTACTAGTTTTAGCGTCAAGACAGTGGGATAGCATCGATGGTGGGAGTGTGTCATTTATTGTCACCAACGTTACCATTGGTTCGACTTGACAAGATGGATTATGTTGGCCAATGTTGAGTCTTCTAGTGACGCCTACGTATGTAATAACATTGAGAGAAGAGGGCATCTTCAATCCCCTCGTGTGGTAAAGTGCGTCTGCCTGGGATTACGGTGTCAGGCATGCGGTGTTGAAAAGCGGTGAGGCCATTGCAGGCGATGGGCATGCGATGAGTCATGAGAGGTCGCATCCTGTATCGTTTTTCTTCTTTGGCATCGCAGCTGCTTGTACGACGTTGGGCTGGAAGGCTTCGAGCTCTGGCGTGGTAATTCGTATGAGAAGCCTATTGGAACGATGCCGATCCGCGCAAGCGATCTCTTCCGCACCAGCGCCATCATACACACAAGGCAAGTCCTTCGACTGAGGCGGTTCGGGTTGCACTGGCGGAAAGAGGACTCAGTTTGGGTGACCCCCAGATCTCGATCTGAAGGATCTGGAGGGTACAATCCATGCCACCACCTCACTCGCAACATCTCCCCGCAATCTGGCCATCGACCAGGCGGAGCACCTGATGGCTGACTTACCGTCGTGCGAGGAAGCCCCTGAACAATCAGACAAGGGGACCAAGCAGTCACCCTAGGCTGCACAGGTTACTGAATGTGCACAATCGCCCAATAGAAGCCTCTGTGGGCAGCCCCAAGTTGGGGCTCTTGAGGCGGGCACTAAGAAGGTAGTTTGGACTTGGCATTTGGTGGTGCTGTGTTTGACCACCAGCCCTATTGAATCCCGTCTTTTGGGGCTTAAAGGATAAGTAGGTGTCGAACTCTGATGATTTACCGTTGCTTCTCTTCATTTGGATCAGCTGTGCGCACATGGTTTTTCGCTTAGCGTGGGAGTCGGGCAGATGTAAGTTCCACTTGCTCTTGAGCACTCTTGAAGTCTTGGATTCCGAACCCACCCATTCCTATGCCGGGTGGGTCTGCCGGGGGGTGCCGGGGGCTCCATTGCAATACAAAGGGGTACCGGTGGACCAGTGATACTTAGCGGGAGTCCTCATGTTCTGCCTCATTACCCCAGATTCCCGATCAACAACGTCGCCAGGCAAGATCTATGCCAGGGCCTGGGACCCATGGCAAAGGGAAGAAGCTTTGATGACTGGATTGGGGGTTCGTGCAAACTTGTGCTACATTCCTCCCTCTTCTCGGCGAGACGCCACGGAGATGAAAGGCGTTCCGCCTAGCGAGCGTCCAGACCGCGCTTTTGCTTATCCCTTGCCTCCAGTCTTTTCGAGAACGATCTTCAAAAGGGATCCGGTCAACCAATTCTAAAATTTCGTGGGGCCACTGGGCAGCACCAAGTCCCAGGGAGTCGGGATACAACGATAAAACGGCGAGCAGAGGAGCATCAGAGCTTAATCGAAGGCGCAAGGCCGGCTGTACTATTGCGTTATCCCTCTCGCTCCAGGGCAAATAAGGCACCGCTCACTTATACGGACGGCGACGGCCGCACACCGAGCGATCCGTATAATGGGCAGGGATTCATTCTATTACTCTGGCTCCCTTCGACTGGCCTTGAATCTCAGACAACTAATAATCAGGACGCTGCTACCTTGCATGCCACTCGCCTACACAGTAGATAAGGTCCATAGCTCATAATCTAGCCGGTGAATTGACCTACTTACGTTGTACTTGATCTCGCTACCGGAGCGGGCAGACAATAGACATACAGGACCCATGTACTGCACAGTGGCAGATTGCGGATACAACAAGAGGCTCCCTTGGATCTCGCCCGATGATAGATGATAGATCTGCCCCCTTCGTGTCTGCCAGAAGGGAGAGCAGAAGTAAGGTTGCTCTCTGCTTATCCCGCATGCTCCGGCATTTCCAAGCCAGTACAAAACCTACCATCGACCTCTGCTTCATTTCTTGTCTCCCGTCTCCTGTCTCCCGTCTCCTGCTACTTCTTGTCTATAGTCAGATACATACCCACCTTCTTATCTACCTTCTTCCAACCCCGGCTGTGAGGTCACACAACGGGAACATTCTCAAAGTCCGATATCGATATCGACACCAACGTTTCCTCTCAGGATACACTTGCGAGAGGTTTGTTGGTTTGCCATCTTCGTCTGGTGGGTACCTGTGTCACTTGACGGAAACCGGGTGGTTACTCAAAGGCTGTTGCCTGTTGCAGTACAAGTTTAGTTCTGACCCGATCGGCGACAAACAGCGAGGTTCGGTGGCCAACAACAGGCGGCATCTTCTGCGTCATTCCAGAACGACGGACAGATCCAGCCTAACAGCGGCGCCATCAAGCGAGGACAACGGGACAACGGCGTGCGGTTTGCACCATAAGCGGATTGTCACCTCTCGATTTGGCCTTGCCCCGTTTGCTCCAAGGTTCCATTGTCTCTGTCTCGGTGCCTCCCGGATTTCGGATTACGGAATACGTGTGGAAGTACATACATCTCAGCACACGCCCCACCACCCACACACACCCTGACTCCTGCCTGCATAGCGCTGCCGTTGCTTCGCACTAAAAGACCCCCGCAAGCACCTTTTTCTTCTGGGAACTGCGCTGGGCCCCCCAAGTCGAAAGCTAGACTATCCCGACCCCCTTGTCTCACTGGGCTGGGTGAACCAACCATCCAATCCAATCTCTTCGCAAATTCCATCCTTCACCCAGACTTCCAGCAAGTCCCAGCCCCAGACCGACCTTGCTCCCTGTCTGCCCTCTGATCAACATCTTCTCCTCCTTCCTTCAAACGCGGCCTTGTTCCTCTCCCCCTTCCCGTCGCTTTCTCTTGGTGGTCCGCCGGAATTCTCGAGTTTGCCCGCCGATTGCCGCTGCTCAAGCAGGCCTAGACCCTCGCCCCGCGCATGAAAGCTGCCGGAGCCGTCGAGGCAACGTCCTCCTGTACTGTACATTATTAACTACCACTACGTTTCTTGGCCGCACGCTACCTCGTTGCATACCCCCGCCATCCCAGCGCATCCTAACTGAACTTCGTTCTCTCTCTCTCAACAAGCCACCTGGTTGGCTTTGGGGGGAGATTTTGGTACTTTTTGGTAAGTGTTTGCACCTTCTCCATTGTCAGCACTTCAGTTCGGCTGGAGCCAGTCCAACTGCCAGACGTCAGAAAGTTGGGTTGCATTCTAGGCCTTCGCCTTCGACATCAGCCTTACAACATCGCGCGCTGTCTCTCCCACCACCTCCTCGACTCTTTCTCCCTTCTAAATGCTAACCAACTACTTGCGATCACTTCTAGCCTCATAGAATCGGCTAGAATTCTGTCAATACCCGCCGTATATACTAGAAGGCCGAATTATTTCTCCCATCTGGTACTCGAGTACCAGCCCCGGGTCCTCGCAAACTTTACGCATTCGTTTCCTCCCTCCCACCCCCTGGGCTGATAGCCTTATATACTCGACCGCCTTCGTTTTCCCACATGACCTCTGCAACTTCGCAGAGACCGACTACCGCCATGACGACCGCTGTAAGTTCTACCCATCCATGCGACTAGACGTCCCTTTGTTCTATTCTCCTGCGCAAACGGACCGCCACTGTCCCCACATCTTCCTCTACCATAATACGGGACAACAATTGGTCGCCTGGTTACTCTTGACTTCTCGTCCCAGCCCACTCCAGGCTTCTGTGTCCTGGCAACCCCTTCCTTCAGCCTACCTTCGGCTTTGTTTGAACGCCTGGGCTGACTCATATGCCCTTTCCAGTCTAGGCCAAGCCGGTTCCAAAACTACTCGATGGGAAATGGAAGCGAGAAGACGTCACAAGCCCTTGAGTCGACTTTCCAGAACCCAGCTTGGCGGCCTGATTCGATATGGAGTAACGGGGCCATAGGGTCCTTTGGAAAGAGAGACACTGGGGGGTCAAAAGGTTCGTTCTTGGGCAGCCTCTGGCGGGTGGATGACGGCAACCCAAAAGCTGACATGCTCCACAGCTTCGTCGACCGATGATACTTTCCCGAACGGCTCTTCAGGGTACAATGCTCTATCTGCCCCATCGGACCCTGATCCTTGGGGATCTCGGTCGGGACCTTGGAACAACACAGAACCACCCCGAAACACATCTGGCAACACGTCGCCGAACCGGACTCGAGACGGGGCAATTCACGAGCTCCCAAACACCTCTCCCTACTATACATCAGCGCAGCCACAGATGCAGCCGGCAATCGGACAGAGAGGAAACATGACCAGCAGAGCTAAGCCTGGCTCCGCACTGGACTCTTCGACGGCAACGTTCAAGTACGGCCAATTCCCTGATTACGGCGATGAGAAGGAGAACAGCAGGCCGTTCCCGTCGGCCAAGTTTGAGGTCGACCCCGCTATTCGAGGCTTTAGGTCTGACAAGCGTGGCTCCCAAGACAATTCCTACCTGAATGTTGTCGGTGCACCGTCTCGCGATCCCGGCATCCCCCAACCTGGCCATTCCGACACGGACCAGCATACGCAGGGAAATGCCTACGGAGACTTCAGCTACAACGGCCCGGCCTCGAACACTGTTCATTCCAAGCGGCCCTCCATTGCCGGCCTTTCAGGATCCTTTTCAGGCCAGCCGACGAATGCAAGGTCCTTCATGACGAATCAGATGGATGATGAGGAGCTACAGCACAAGTTCACGAGAAATCTGTCGCTAAACGACGGTTCGAACGGGCCACAAAACGGTTTGGGCAACGGCTCAACATACGGCAGCGGCACGTCACAGACTTTCCAGTTCAACCCTGTCTCACAGCCTTGGGACAACGGGAAGGGATATGGGAACGGAGGCGCACAGCCCCAGGATGCATACCCAGATCCCTTAGCCGGCCCCTATGCAAACACGCGTGGAGTGACGGCAGATCGCGAGTCACCCGCTGGGAGTGCTTACCGCCCGGGCATTGGCAGCCCCAGGAGCTATGGTGGAACTCCACAGCCTGGAATCGACCCATGGTCCAGACCGGCTTCCCGCGACCCAAGGATGGCCCCAGACATTGACCGGAGAAGCCAGGGCCAGCACTTCTTGCAACAACAACAACAACAACAACAACAGCAACAACAACAAGCACCTCATTACTACGCCCACCCTTTCTATGCCCCGAATTACCAACAGCAATTCCCTCCTCATCCCTATGATCCCTACGCTGCCGCCGCGCAGCCGAACTTCAGGCCGCCCATGCCGCTTCCTGCCTATGGCTTACCGATGAATACTTACCTAGGCGCTGCTGGCATTCCTCTGAGGCCGAACAGCAAAGATCTAGATCCAGCGAAGGGCATCAGGAGCCCTCTGTTGGAAGATTTCAGATCCAGCTCCAAGTCAAACAAGCGCTATGATCTGAAGGTATGGCGTTGCTACCCAATGGTGACAGTGTTCACTCTAGACTGACTTTTTTCTCTCTCGCTAGGACATCTACGACCACGTCGTCGAATTTAGCGGAGATCAGCAAGGCTCGCGATTCATCCAGCAGAAGCTCGAGACAGCGAACAGCGACGAAAAGGACCGAGTCTTCAGAGAGATCGAGCCTAACGCTATCCAGCTCATGAAGGACGTCTTTGGCAATTATGTCATCCAGAAGTTCTTCGAGCATGGTAGCCAAGTTCAGAAGAAGGTGCTGGCAGGCATCATGAAGGGGAAGTTTGCAGACTTGTCCGTCCAGATGTATGCCTGCCGAGTTGTTCAAAAGGTAAGATACCACCGGCCGACCAAGTCATAACTTATCCATCCTCTCTCCCGAGTGTGACTGACATGGTTCTGCAATAGGTACTGGAGCATGCCCTCGTCGAGCAGCAGGCAGAGCTGGTCAAGGAGTTGGAGCCCGATGTATTGCGAATCGTCAAGGACCAACACGGGAACCACGTGATCCAGAAGATCATCCAGCTGGTGCCTCGCCAGTACATCGACTTCATCATGGACTGCTTCCGGGGACGCGTCAGCGAGCTCTCTGCCCATTCCTACGGTTGCAGGGTCATCCAGAGGGTCTTGGAGCATGGCACCGATGCCGACAAGGCGATGGTCATGGAAGAGATCCACAGCTGCGCCCAGTTCCTGATCACGGACCAGTACGGCAACTATGTGACCCAACACGTAATTCAGCACGGTGATCAGGACGACCGATCGAAGATGATCCGTGTCGTCACCAGCCAGCTGCTCACGCTATCCAAGCACAAATTTGCCTCCAACGTGGTAGAGAAGTGCATCGAGTTCGGTACCCCTGAGGAACGGCGCGGCATTCGAGAGGAACTCACCACGCTTGGGGCCGACGGGACCAGCCCTCTTCAACTGATGATGAAAGACCAGTATGGCAACTATGTTATCCGTAAGTCGGCAGCGCCTTGTCAACCGCAATAGAGTTTGTGTGCTAACAACCAGCGGTAGAAAAACTACTCAATCAGCTCGAGGGCGCGGATCGCTCAACCTTCATCGACGAGATGAAGCCCCAACTCAACTCCCTCAAGAAGGTCAGCACCGGCAGGCAAATCACTGCTATCGACCGCTTGATATCTGCCGTCTCTTCTCCAGCGCTCACCAAAAACGGCACTCCCGCTTCGACTGCACCCGCCTCGCCGACGTTGCAAATCAACACCAGCTCTCCGACACCGACACCAAATTTAACCATGGAACCAAACAGCCCGTCGAGCAGCCCGCCGAGCACAAACGCGAGTGCTGTTGGTGAAGCGGTTAGCGAGAGCGTCAAGACCGAGGTCACACCTCGCGATGGAATTGCCGCCTGCCCAGAAGTGCGGATCAACGAGGCATAACATCTTCACACATGGCTACCGCCCCCACGCACTTCGATTCGACCCGCCTGTGTTGCACATTATATCTATTCTTAATCCCGACATCGATTTCGGCACATAATACCCGGAGGGCGGGTAGATGATGAATGAATGCCCCCTATCATTATTGGGGGGTTCCACGAACTTTGTCCCTTGCATATGCTGGGGCCATAGCAGTCCCACCGGGCGATTTCCTCTTCGGTTTTTCATCGAAGATAGCGTGTATTATACCTTTCGAGAGACAGCGATCACTCATCACTAATGCATCCCGTAGATGTTTGAAATAGGAAGACACCGGGGTGCATCTCCACACTGCTTGCTGCCTTTCCAATGTCCGCTCCAAGTGGACGATGCTCGCCAGCCATTTTTTTTTCGAATTCCCGAATACAGACTTCTCCATCCATGTTTTTGACTTCGTGGTCATACTTTTCTTGGTTTGCGGGAGACAGGAGGAAAAGCATGACGGGAGGGGATACGGACGAACGAGAAAAAAAAGGGGGGGAAGGAGAGCCCCAGCTGCGCAGTTTGGTAAATCTCGGGATCGGGGTTTTTATCTTTTCTTTTGGCTGCGTGGGGGATTTTGCTTTTCTTCTTGGTTGCAACGTCATTATGGATGGGAAATTATGGGATGGGAAAGGAGGTTAGTTCGGGTCAGGTGGGGAGTCATGATGGTTAGTTGCTTATTCGTGGCTCCGCGCCGGCTTGCTGGGGAGTGTTGATAATGCCTGTCCTCATCATGTGTTGTTGGCCCGCGAGGTCATATTCGGGGAACCCGTGGGGACCTTTTATGTTGGGGAACAAACCGGCTATGGGGGCATCGAGGAGGTGCCTCTCGGTAAACTTGGCACATAAAAAGAAGGGTTGGGACCGGTGGGGGGGAAGGGGAAAGGGGGAAAAGGGGTGGTTTTGATTTTGCTGTATTATTTATTTCTACTACAAGGCGCATTTTCCTGGCCTCGGTATTTAACTGGATAGATAGATATTACTTAGATCTATCGAATAGAGAGAGCTGTGGCATTCTATCTACGCAGAGCGGTCTCTGTTCCCGACGGCCATGGTGAAATGTCCAAGTAGCTGCTAGTAGGATCAGAGCACAGTGTACGGATTGGCAGACCAGATGCCACTTGACAAGATGCTCTGCAAGGCTGTATGTTGATGAATCAATTGTATTGTATTGTCATGACTGTCCGTAGTAATCGGGAGTTTGCAATCTGCCTGATACCCATTTCCCGTTCCATTCACCTCTCGGATGGGCCGAATGTCCGGTAGCATCATCCTTCCTGTGCTAACATGTCCAGTGATTCCTGCCTCCTTAATACATTCTGCCGGCCCCTGTTCCTTGGGGTATCCTACCAGATATTCCATGACCATGTAACCATGTACCAAAGGTAAAAACCGGATCCTCCAGAACACACAGACAAAGTTACCACACCGGTTGACCTTCCCAATTTTGAAACGAAATCCTTGTGCCAATCGAGCATTTTATGCTCTTGAATCAAGGCATCCCTGAATACGCCCCTCTATCCCTTGATCATGTCCTTCATATCCATCCCGTTTATATCCTCGCGGCCTTGCTGACCTCATCCTCCTTGACAGGGTGAAGCATCAGCTTCCTGGGGTACTGCGGCGTGCTGTGGGCATAGCCCAATGACCAGTCGTAACCGACGGCATAGGCGAAGAGTTTGCCGTCCCGGTTGAAGGCTGCTGATGTGATGGAGCCTCCGACGTTGGGGAACAGCTTCAGCCGACTATGGCCAACCAGATCCCAGAAACTATAGGTCCCATCGGCACCGACAGAGGCGAGAATGCCCTTGTGGAAAGGGTGGAAGCTGATATCGTTGACCGCCCAGACCTTGACCATTTTCTTCGCATCCGGCTCGCCTCGGTGGCACCGCCAAGTGAAGTTGTAAGACCTTGAAGCCTTGTCAGTGACTGATCTTGAACCAACAAGCTATAAAAATAATCATAAAGGGAAGCGACATACTTGGCCTCGGTCTCATCAACGGCAGTAGCTGCACATCGGCCCTCGATACTACCGGCAGACCAATGCCTGCCGTCCGATGCGGCGGCGACTGCTTTGGTTTGGTGCTTCAGTTGTGATGGCTGGGTACGCATAATACTGGCTGGGTTGGTGTGCAGGTCGACAAGGTGCATGTTGAGGTCGGCGGTAGCAATGACGAGAAGCCGGCCGTTCGTATCCATGGAATACACGCGGTCGCTACACTGGAGAGTGGCGAGGGGCGATGCAGTCTGGCGTATATCCCAGTAGGATACGGTCGAGTCCCAAGAGCCCGAGGCGATGATGGGCGCTGCGGCAGAGGGGATGTCGGCAAAACGTACGGCGCGAATTGGGGCTTTGTGTGCGGTGAACGAGATTGCTTGGCCAGAAGCAGCTTGGAGCAGATGGACTTTCTTGTCGGCACCTCCCGCCGTAATCATAGTTCCGTCCTTGAAAAGGTGACAGATGGCATCAGTCTCAGATCTCGGTCGTATGGAAGCACTGGGCTACTCACCTATGGAACCATTCGTATTTTTTTCTTCCCCCCCCAAGAGAACTGCAGGTGGGGGGTTAGATGGGGATGGGACTTACCTTGCTCCAGTCGCAAGAGAAAGCAGGGCCCTCAGCATTGATCATTGCCACACCTTGGGCCTTGCCATCATTTGTGACATCGTAGATGCGCACCTTGCCATCCCAGGAGGCAGCCGCCAGGTGGTTTGCCACCGGCGACCAGCGGATCGAGGTGATGGTATCGGTGGCATCAACAGGCAGCTCGACATCATTTGCAATGGAGCCGGTTGTGCTGCTGCTTGTGCCGGTTGGCTTTGGTTTGTAGAGAGAAGACATAATGATGGGTAATGGTAAGAGGGAATGCGGCTATACAAAAGCACGCAGCGTCTGCGCGGGATATTGATTGTGGAAGAGGCGGAAGAAAGGCCACAGATTAAGTACCAAGTAGCACCAGGCAACCGCGGTGGGAAGCGCGTTAAGCGAAAACCGCGTTCGAGAATAAAGAGGTGGGGCTGGCCATGAACAACAGGCTCCAAGATGAGTAGGTACAGTACAATACAACAACAATGGAGGCCATTCATGACCGTCAAAAGCACCACAAATTTCAACTCCTTCCGTCTTCCTCTGGGCAGTGAATTGCAGGATTGACGATGTATGCATTCCATAGACTCAAAATATTATTCTTTCTTCTCATGTGTGTCGTCGAGTGCCTCGCACGAATATTTTACCTTCCTATGTTCATGGGATTCCCCATCTTAATACCACATCTCTGGTTACAAGAAGCCTCATTTGACATGCATGTATGTAATCAGTACCTGTAGTGAACATATAGTAATCAAAGGAGATACATGGGTGGCATAAGAGTTACGGTAATCCGTATTCCGTTTTAGTTTGCTATGGGTTTACAACGTAGAACCTCTCGACTTTAGTGTATCTTCTTCCCAAAGTCCCCGCATCAAGCGAAGATCCAAGTGAAAAAGGGTTTGGTTTGGCATCAAAAATTACCGCCAGGACGGCCCCGAAGGGCAATCCAGACTAGTCGGCTCCACGATGTGCAATGCAGGCCTCCTATCCTGCTTGCGGAGATTCATGAGCTTCCGCAAGCCAGCGAAGGTAAGTATGAAGAAGAAAAAAGAAGAGAAAGAGAACTAAAGATTGGGGGAGGGTAGCAAGATATATATAGAGGGCTTGGTTGGTCCGTGCATAGGTGCTGATTTGAGGGTTGGCCCGTGCTCACTTGCAAAAAGCAAAATCCCCCCATTCAACAGCTACGGATCCTGGTACTGTCCAGGTACTTGGTCTGCTTCACCAAATTACAGCAATTATCGAAGTACACAGGCAGGAGGTCCCTTGGAAGCTCGAAGCTCGAACTTACTATCTCCAACTCTAAACGGCCATCTTAATCAGGATCTAAGATAGGTAGCTAATAATGGGAGCGTTGAGAGAAGTATCAAACCAGGCATGCCTGTTGTTCGGGAGAACGTTGTCTCAAAACCCCATGAAAAAGGGGACAATACTTTCTCAAGCCCAGAATCTTCCCAGTTCAAGGTGGTATCTCAAGAGTTTGGTGCTATTTCATGAAGGAATGTATGTACGTTGAATTGAAGACGCCACCCAATGCCGCCCTCATACTCTCGCCCTGAGACATCGTACAGAGAGGCCGTCTCACTGCGCATCGAGACTGTCTACGAATGTCTTTAAACTTCCGCCAGGCCAGTCGTCGACGCTACCAGCATCCATATCCCATAACACGGGTAGGAGACGCCAGGGAGCATCAAATCATGCGCCCATCAGTTCCTCGTGTACGAAAATACCAACATCTCCAAGTCTAATGCGGATCGACAAATGGCACATCTCACGCCAAGTACGTGTAGGAGCCGTCCTCCCGATCGAGGTAATCCTTCTCGATAAGCCTATGGCAAGGTAACAACACCGTTAGTAAACACATCCCTATCACACGCCCGCAGTAAAGACAAGGGGAGGGGGCTGGAGAGAAACTCACTTCTCGATGTTCTTCTTAATCTCCCCCGCATCGACGGCGCCCCTGCTCTTGGTCTGGTTGATAACCTCGGCCACCAGCTGGCTGTGCGTCATGGTCTTCCTGCTCTTCATGATGCGCACAATGGCCGCCTGGGTCTCGAACTGCCTGTCGGCCACCACGCGCTGGTGCGTCGCCTTGTTCTCCTCCTTGGTCTCCTTGAGCTGGATCTGGTTGATCTTGATGCGGTACTTGGGGTCGGGGAGCGACGTGTTGACCGTGAACGTGTCCGTGGCCTTGACGTCCCGGCCCTTGGGGTGCTTCCGGAGCACCCGCGTCTTGCCGCACGCGAGCGACTGCAGCGTCCGCTCCAGCTCGCCGCCCGTGAGGCCCGTCGAGTGCGAGATCTGCTCGTAGGACAGGAAACCGCCGTCTTCGACCTCGTTGAAGAGCGTGAGAACGACGGCCTGAAACGCGCTGACAAGCAGCTCCTTGGGCCCGCGGTCGAAGGTCGCCTTGACCACGCAGTGCGCCAGGTTGTGTTTCCACGTGAGGCGGCGGCCCGTGTGTTTGGTCTTGTAGTACCGGTCGAAACGCTCAATGTGCTCCAGCACCTCGGGCGGCAGGAGGACTCGCACATCGGGATATGACGGCCAGGCCGCAGCAGAGAGTATGCTGACGTTGAGGTCGAGGTCGGTCTTACCGGGTCCGGTACCCTCTTTCCACATCTTGTAGGAAGCCATCTCGTCCTTGGCCAGCTCCTGATCCTTGAACATCTGCTCGAGGTTGTGCGTGAAACTCGAGCCGCACTCGCTCTTAAGCTTCGTAAGCATGTTCCTCTCCGCGTCCTGGCTGGCGCTCCGGCCCATGAGCAGCCGCCGTGCCAAGTCCTTCTTGTAGAACGCCTCGAAGACGTCCTTGCCCTCTATGAAGCGGAAGAGTTCGAGTCCGTGGTCCAGCTGCCGGTCGAGTTCGGCATCCTCGTCGGCCGTGCTCGCCACCCCGCTCTGCTCAGCCGCTGCCCGGTCCTTGCTGTCGGACAGCAGGGTCTTGGGCAGCGTCCTCAGCCCCCCGCGGAGCAGCATGTCGATGTATTTTGCGATCATCTCGCCCACCTTCGAGGTGCCCGTGTTCCATGCGGACGCTATCTTCTTGTCGTTTATGAAGCCGCCGAAAGCCTCCCGGAGACCGTATGTGAAGTCTTCGTCTTTAGCAAAGGCATCTCGGATCATTATATCGAGTGTCCTTCGGAGCTCCAATAACCTAACCACCATTTCGTCCCCTCGTGTAGTGTCCTGCACGATGGCCGCCCCTGCCTGTCGGATATACTCTTCCCAAGGCTGTTTTAATCTTTTCTGTATGCCCGATAGCCGCAGTAGTTCGTAGAGGGCCTTCATCGACTCGGCCTCGTTCTCGTCTAGCAGTTTGGCAACACTCCCGGCGTCCAGCAGCTTGGACGAGTACTTCTCAATCAGGATCTCGTGGGCGGCGTCCAGGAGCTGCCGCTTGGTCGTGCTGTCGAAGTTGTACGCGACGCACCTGTGGTCCTCCCTCTTGAGCACCCTCTCGCAGGCGGCGATGTACTCCTTCAGGCTGCAGGACAAGCTCCTCTCCTCGGCAAATCCCTCGAAGTAAGCAATTGACTCCCTCAGGAAGCGCGGCTCGAACGACTTCCCGTAGACGTTGAAGACGTGCAGCATCGACACCGACTCCTTCAGCAGCGCCGGGTCGAACCGCTCATCTCCGCCGCGGTCGAGCCCGACCAGCTCGCACATGCCCGCGAGGGCCGCCGGCCCCGGTGCCGGCTCGTCCGAGTCCCTGCGCGACACGAACGCCATCCTCCTGAATAGGACGATGCCCATGTCGTTGATCTGCGCCAGCGCCTTGTTGTTGACCAGGAAGCTCCTGTCCAGGTACCCGAAGATGCTCCGCACCAGCGTCAGCTGCGCGCTCCAGCCCTTCCAGTGCGCCAGCACCGCCCCAAGTACGCCGACGTTGCCGCCCCCCGCGGCGGCCCCGTCGCTCCGGATGCGGCCCAGCAGCTCCCTCCCGAGGTGCTCCTCGAACCTCGCCCGCAGCATCTCGGTCAGCCTCTCGGCCTCCCCCTTCCGGCACAGGTCCTCCACCCCGCGGTACAGCCTCTCCAGCGGCTGCCGCGGCTGCCGGCCCGCGAACACCTCCGTCAGCGCCGCCCCGAGGTCCGCCCACGCCCGCGCGTAGTACTCGTCCACGCCCGCGCTCCGGGCCGGCGTCGCGGGGCGGAAGTTCTTGATGACGAGCTTGCGCGCGCCCGAGTGCGGCTGGAACGCCGCCGCCCGCCTGGTTGGCCCGCCGCCGAGGTTGCTGTGGAGGGCTGCGTAGGCGGTCCCGGGCCGGCCGCCGGTGGCGGCCGCATGTGTCGTGTGGACGGACGAGTCGGCGCCGCTGCCGGTGAGGTCGATGACCTCGGGCCGCTTGCCCTGGCTCTTTGCGGACAGCATGGGGCCTCCGCCGGGCTGCTGGGGGTGGTGGTTCTGTGGTCCGGGAGTGGGGGTCTGGGATCGTGAGTCGTCGGAGCAGACGCGCTTAGGGTCGGGGGCGGCGCTGGACGATGACCACTGGGCGTGAGGGTTAGAGTCGACGCGGTGCCTCCTCTTGGGCGGTGCCGTGGTCGGGGAAGAAGAGGGGCCTTCGGCGGGTGGTTTCGAGATTGTGGAATGCATGGACCAGACGAGGTCCTGCAACAGAGCTGCTACACAGACCTCGGCGTGGCTATTGTCGTTCGGTATCGGATGCTTAGAGGTGATGCTTTCTATGAGGTCGTCGAATACTTGGAAAATCTAGAAATGAGATCTATCATTGGAATTCGGCCGCCCTTGGGGGAAGGGTATTACCATGCAGTCGACCATGGCGGAGATAAACCACCACTCACCGGGGGAACTTGGCTCACAGTGTCAGGTGCCTCAGGGTCTATCCGTACTATGGCACCGGCACCTCCAGCAGGGCTTATCGCTAGCTGATAAGGATATCACACTGTATGATGCTTGGGATGCGGGGAGCTCGATTCATTTCTGGCCAAGCAGCACCAACCTCCTTTACTTCAATTGTAAATTACGACTAACCTTTCAGTTTCGGTAGACGCTCATGCAGTATCTTCCAAAGGGATATATTACTTGGAAAAGTCCATTTGTATAAACCCCGCCTTCTACATGTTGCAACAACATCAGAAAGTGTCAAATCAGTAGTCAAAGTATTGTTGGTTGAAGAAGGTTGAAGAACACATAAAGTCGGCTATTATTCCCCTGCTATTCTCTATAGGTATCTACCTACGTCGGATGCTCTTGCCTCCCGGTCCCTTCAAGGCCAGGATCTGTGCCTCCCTACTTGGGAGTCGGGACTGCCCATATGGGACAACACATGGCGCTTCGGAAACAGACCCAAAGGCTCCCCTCTTCCCTTTATACACTACTTGCCTTCAGTACCTGCCTTCAGGCATACGCGGCCCAACCTGGAACAAGTCAGTCAGCAATCGTCTCATCAAGGAAGAAAAAAACTGCGCGTCGATGAGGGTAGGAAAGTATTTACCTGAATACAGGACCGCGAGATTCCTCTCGTCCGTCGCCTGGTTGATCAGGTCGTTGACGGTCGCGGTGACGCTCAGCGTCTTGGACAGCTTCTTCCGGACCACCTCGAGGGCACGGTCGGCCTCGGACGGCTCGTTGACTGTCTTCTTGTTGACGGCGGCCTCACTCTGGTCGTCGCCGCCGCCGCTGACGTCGTTATCGTCCGTGCCTCGCGCGTTCTGCAGCTTCGCCATCCGGAGCGGCGAGATGGACCATGAGTAGAGGGGGTCATAGCGCAGGACGTCTAGGATGGTCATGATCGAGTACATCTCCTCCCGCAGCGCGTCCAGCGTGAACTCGCAGCACCTCCTAAAGACCCCCTCCGTCTTGGTGATCCCCATGCCATCCACAATGTCCCTCGTCATCCGGAAGGGGACGAGCTCCGGCACGGGTAGGATGCGTCCCATCTCGAAAGCCACGCCCAGGTCAATGTGGACCACCTCGCCGTTCTCGGAGTCGAGGAGGATGTTGTGGCCGTGGCGATCCCCAAGGCCGAGCACGTGGCCCAGGATGGAAATTGCCGCGGTGCTCCTCGTGTAGGCAGTCCTCTTCACGAACCATTCGTCCGGATCCGGGAAGTATTCCATGAAGAAATACCGCATCACCGGATGGAACTTCTCCGTCACCTTCCTATACGTGTTGACGCGTGTCTCGGTCGATTTGGTCTGCACGTTTGAAATCTCCTTCCTGCACTGTGACCCCTTAAGATCCTTTGGGAAGTATTTCTCGTGCGCCGGCATCAGATACTCGTGCAGCGGGATCGTGTTCGAGACGAACTCGATCAGCCCGGATGACGATGTCAGGGGCAGCACCTTGTAAGTCCTGATGCCCAGGTTCCGTTGCCTGGTTGTCCTGTGGAGCTTGAGGAGCTCCGAAACGGCAGCAAACACCTGTTCCATGATGGCGTCTTGTCGAAGATCGTCGTTCCCCCCTTTGACCAGCTGCTTATATCTCCCGCCGTCGCTTCCGATGGCGGTTATGATTTTCGGGGCGCTGACGCCCGACGCGATTGACATGTACGGCTCGAATTTCTGGATCAGCGGCACATGGGAGTAGTCCATGTTCGCTGACAGCTCGATTTGTAGGGTGGGTGGCGGGATGGCATACTTGGCAAGCGAAGTGAGGAAAGCCTGCCCAGCTGGTGAGTCTTTGATTGCCATCTTCTGCCCTGCCTTGTATCGACTCTGGTCTCTGTCCATCGCGAGCTGGTGGTAGTACCTGCTCGTCCGATCAATGGCGTGCCATATCGTGGCCACGGCCCGGTTCTTGGAGAGCGACGTTGCGACCTTCTCCGTCGCTTTCTGCCGAGACACGGCTACTTCGTCCTTGGTGTTTGTCCGGGCCTTGCAGCCCGACCAGATCTGATACATGCCATGGTAAGGGTGGTCCACACAGATGTGATATACCAGGCCCATGAGGAGCTTTTGGAACACGCTCTCCTGGTTTTGGAGTCGCGATGAGAGCTGGTTCATCAACGGCGCAAATTTCCGAGTCGGGACCTTCTCTAGATATTTTTCGGCGGCATCATTCGTCGCATCCTCCCCGGACCGCTCCAGCCACATGGCAGTGAACCGCAAGGCGTCGTTGTTATGCTCGTCGGAGGCAATCAGTGATAGGAGATAGTTTTCCAGGCTGAGCTTCACAAACTCCCTCCTGGTCTGCTCGACTCTTCGGAGCTCCTGCTGGTCGAGATCTAGCCATTGCTTTGCTTTGGCGAGATGGCTCGAGTACTTGTTCCTGAGCTGCGAGTCCCTGGTTGCGGCGATGAGGCTCTTGAGCTGCTCAACTTCGTCACTCTTGCCCTTCTTCAGATGCTGCAGCCGTGAAAGGTCCTCCAGCCCGTCGGTGCTCTGCAACTGTTCGTCGCAGAACATGGCGAACTGGTGGTAGACGTGCCCAGCCTCTTTCCCTTCGCTCTTACCCTTCAGCTCCTTGAGGGCTGGTTCGAGGTATTTCTTCTGGATGTTATCTGGGCTTTCCAGTCGGGCCACCGAAACCTGATGTCCGATTTTGGACAGGAGATTAGAGCGACTGACGGGCACCGTTTGTTTCTTCAGGGACGAATCCCTGTCTATGCTCTGGAGCATCCGGATCGACGAAATCATCTCGCCATGGTCCCAGAGCGAGTTTGCTGCCTCGATCCTGACGGTGGCGTCGACGCTCAAGCCCATGGCCTCGCTGGGTTGGATGAGATCAGTCAGAGATGTCGACAAGTTCAACGACTCCTGAGTAGCCCGCTGGAATCGATAGATGCCGGATGAGAGTAGCATGCCGCGGATCTGGACCAATCGTGCCTGGGCCGGGGATACGCTTGACGCTCGGAGTCGGTGCTGCTGTCCGAGCATGCTCAAGGTGGTCTCGCGGCAGGACAATACCTGGCTCACATCGGCATATCTCCCACTCATCATCCATTTAGATCGCGATTCGAAAGTGCCGAGCATGCTTTCCAACTCAGCCATGTCCGTAACATTTATGACATCGTCGAGTTCTGCGAGAGCTGCGAGTGTCCCCAGATGGCCTCTGAGGTTGGAAACACTGAGGCTCTGGCTAGCCATGTGGGCAATTGTCTGCCTGAGCCCATCGTGGACGGCTTGGCGAACGACCGATACGTTGTCGGACTTGTACATGGTCTGGTACGCCTTGTAAAGGGTGACAGCATAGTTGTTGTCTGGACCAGACGGTGCCGGAAGATTCCAAATCTCGAGTCTCCGGGCCAAACCAAATGTGTTGTCAAGAGAAGTGGAAGAGCTGTCCAGACTCTGATGGGCCTGGAGAAGGGAGTGTGACAGCCCCGAGAGGCCGAGACTGCTCAAGGCCTTGACCAGCTGCTGACCATCCTGCCCTGCCGCAGAATCTCGGCGCCGCAGATGGCTGTCATACTGGGCCCCCCGGAATGCGAGGCTCTTGTTGCCGTCATTTTCGTACTCGAGACGAGCAAGAACTGTTGCCAGCGATGCGTCTTGGATTTGCCCGTAATAGGCATCGGGATCATCGATGTTCTCAAAGATGCCTAAGAGCATGTCTGCCGAGTCTTCCACTTCTCGAACTGCAGATGACCGACGAGAAGAGGTGCGGCTGGTTTCTGCGAAGGCCAGCTCGGCAAACAATAGAGCTACCTTGTACATGCCGCATCTTGTAGCCGCTGCGGCTGCCGTGGAGAAGTTTACATCGAGCCAGTGAGACCGGTCGGCAATGGAAGACTCATTTGGGAATGGCTGGGTCCTCAGATACAGTATTGCATTCAGCAGCAGTTTGATGTTCTCTCTAGCCGAGGCCGACGTGGACTGTAGCCATACTTTGAGGGCCTCGGAGAGTTGGCGCTTGATCCCCTGCTGCTTGTCTAGCTGCGTCGACAGGACTAGGTGAAGGATAAAGGGAAATGCTTGATCGGCAAACCCCTTGACCTTGGCGAGAATAGGGGGCAGGACGCTCAGGACGACTATATCCTGGACAGACCGTGCCAGGTATATTGCCACGTGTTGTGGCCAGGCAGGGTTATCCAGCAGTTTAGCATCTAGGAGGTCCGTCTCGATGGGGCTGTCGACCTCGGCATAGTCCGATGGCGGAGTCCTATAGGGATCCCAATTGGAGGTCAGAAGCAATGCTTCCGAGAGGGACTTTTGGCATGCTACAAGGACGCCGTTGTCGCCCTCGGCGACTGCGTCGGAGACGATGGTGCGAAGCGCAGACTCCGCCAAGCCAGCCGTGGAACAGTCACTACTGACTGTGAGGGCTTGGATGAGGTTCAGGATGCCGTGTTCGGACCCGCTGCTCTCCGAGGTGAGTTTGCGGTATTCGGCCAGGTGTGACTCCCGGAGGATATCGAGAGGAATTTCGCCCGAGGCCGCAAATGATCTGCCTACGACTCGACCCGCCCATGACAGGTATTCATCACTGAGGTTTTGGGACCGGCAACTTTTCCAGACGAGGGCGCCATGGGCCAAGGCGTCGTTGTCGGTTTCGACCACGTCCAACCTGCTCGACTGTGGGATCGTGAAGACTCCACAGAGCATGTCTAGGGCCACTTCTCTCGCAGGCCGGTTGAGCAGCTGGCTTTCTCGTTCACCATCTCTCAGAATATCCAGCAGCAGGCTACTCTCGGGGGTCCCTTTCTCGGCATTTCCAGATGCGCGGATATGAGCCGCCGATTGAGTGATGGCCTTGAACCCGGCCCGCTGGTCATCGTCTTTAAAGGCTGGGGAGTCGTAGCTGGCAAGGAACTGCGCGAACCAGGAGTGGAACAGCTGCGCCTTGCTCATAGTCGCCTTGAATTGGCTCTCCTGCGTCGTACTAGCCTGGCTGGACTCCATAAACACTCTGAGGTCTGCCAAGCTGGACAGTGCATATCCCGCAAGGAACGAGGGCGCCTGTTTTAGGTAGTTGGCCCCGTTGTGGATGAGGTACCTGCTCAGCCCGAGAGCATCATCCGCGCACTCGGGATCCTTGATAAAGGATCTGATAGAATGCAGAAGCATCTCCAACGGATATGAAGCGAGGGCTTGAGACCCGGCCAGGCAGATTAGAACGCGGATCTTTCGAAGGACTGAGCATGCATGAAGAGGTCCCAGAGATGGATGGACAGTGTTCAGGAGTCTCCGTGCCACGGACACGACGAGAGACGGCGTCCATAGAGTGGGCATCTCATACTCTGTCCGACCACAGAGGTGGGCCAGTTGCCTTGTCAAGTACTTTGCTTTGAACATAGGCTGCTGATTAGGGGGTAGTCCAGCACCCAAGTGGCCACATTTCTTGATTTCGTCCATGATATCGGCCGCGTACGAAAGGTTCTCGTCCTTACGGAAATGTCTCTCGATGGGATCCTCCTGGTCGAAAATGTCAAAGAAAGTGGCCACGATATCCACGAAATTGAGATATACGCTCTCCAGGAATGGCTCTTTCCCAAGAATCTTTCTCACGCGACTCTCGCCAGTTACATACTGACCTGAGCTAGGCGCGCTAATATCATGGGCAATGCTGTAGGCCATGATCTTGGTGAAGCTCTGCTTTATCATGGCTGCGGGTGTCAGTCCGAGTGCCTGCGCAAGGCTGATCGCCTCCTGTTCTTGGCCTCGCATGATCATGATCGCTGCAGCTTCCGTCTGGGCCTGAACAAGGAGATGGTGGAGGCTCGGAAAGCCGAAGACCTCAAACGGTATGTCATCGATGGAATCCTTGTCCAGCCAGGTGTACAACAGTTGCGGCGCAAAGAGCTTGAAGAGCTCCTGTGGTGTGTCGAGCTCCAGGGATGTAGAGATTGTCCTGACGCAGCTCGCGGCGTATTTGGCTGACTGATTTATCCTTCCAGGCGTCTCAAAGATATGATATATGCATCGCCGAAGTAATGTAGACCAACTGCATGCAAGCTCTGCCAGGGTGAAGAGCCGGAAGGCAATGCCCTCGGTGGCCTCTGGATCTGCTGGGAGGCTTTGCAAGATATCGACAAAGATGTCATCGTGGGTCTTCAGAACATATAAGCTAAATATCTTGGGCAAATTTTTCCCAATGAAGTATTTGACCTGCATAGGCCCGTCGTGCAAGATGGAGAGCAGCGTGGAGCGGCAGGAGGGGAGATCAAGGCCTGACGCGTAAGTCGGGCTTACTTCGAGGAGGTGAAACAGAAGCCTAGACAATGCTCTTTGGACTGCGGGCGAGAGTTCGCTTTGGGGCAAGGCATACTTGACAAAATAGTTGTACAAATCGCCAACCATTGCTGAGATGTCCAGCCTGTCATCCGTCCAGAGGCTGATGAAGCCCTGCATGACCTCTATGGCTGTGCATAGCGCCACCTCGCAGTATGAGAAGTCCTTCAGACCGATCACTGATCCAACAGTCTCGACGATCCTCGTGGCGCCATCCGGAGCTGTGATCAGGTCTGAGGTGAAGAGCTGTTGCATCAGCAGGCGGCAGCAGAGGATCTGTTCCATAGGAAGAGCAAAAAGGTCATCCAAGAAGTTCTCGGGCACCAGACCGACTTGGCCGTCATCCGTATGAATGATGGCAAGCAGACGTAAGCGGAGTCCCGCTTGCAGATAGAAGGCTTCCGGCGTGTGGCTCAGATACACGTCTCGCCTTGGTAAACCCAGGGGTTTCGATGTCGAGCTTTTCTGGCTCGCCTGGGATTCCAGGAAGTCGTCGTCCACATCCATGACATCGACATGTTGGCCAGATGACTCCCTCCGTGTTTTCTCTTGCAGTGTCTCCGAAAGCTTCGCGAAGAGGCCTAATAGGGGACCGTTCTGGTCCTTCAGAGACCTCAACTCCGCCGTGGTAAACTGAGGTATGTATGGGGATACCGCAGCGAGGAATATCTCAAAGTAGCCCTCGTTTTGCTGGGCGTCCAAGACCGCCTGGAGCGTAGTATCGACCAGGCCAAAGACCAGCGGTTCAATGTCCCTCGACATTGTCGTGTTGAGCCCTATCAGCTCTGGAAGAAGCTGAACGCCAATCAAACAAGAGAGAACGACGCTCTGAAGACGTTCTGTGGAGACTGGGTTGGCGATCTCTCCTCCACGCTTTATCCATGATTCCGACATCTGGACAAGCTCCCCGACTTTGGGGAAGAACAGCTCGAGAACCAACCTTTTGGCCGTGTGCGAACCTGTGGGATCCGACACTTGCCCCAAGTCGTGTCCGAGAGCACACTGGTAAGAGATACTGGGGTCGCCGCCATGGGTGGTATCATCGAGAAGGAGAAGGTACCGCAGCATTGCATGGTGCTCCTTGTGCTTCTTCCAGAACTGGCCCATCGTTCCGCCGAAAACCTGAGCTGGTTCACTCGTTTTCATGACCGGCATCCCGCAACATGCTCGCAGGAGGTTGACAAAGTCGAATGGGGGAGCGAGATGGGAATGGAGAGACGCATAGATCAGCTCCGCTGTTTGGGCTGTCAGGAGTGCTTCATCAAACCACAAAATGGGTGGCAGCTTACCGGGATTCCATTTTACAAAAACCCAACGGATGATGTAATTACTGGTTGCCTGACTGGCATTCGGAAGGATCATGTTTCTGACACAGAGTAAATGGAGCATCAATACAAGGGACGCATCGACAAGAACAGCAGGCCCGCTGATGTCCGAGTTGGTAACCAAGACGTTGATCTCGTCCACCATTTCATGCTTCGCTATGAGGTCCGACTCCAGTACAGAGTGCAACAAGGCGCACGCGGCACGGCTTGTCGCTGGGAGGCTCACAGACCTGACGCCAATCTGCCAGGCCTGTTTCCACAGGCCCGAAAGGGCGTCATCACGCCCCGACTCAATAGTTGCAAAGCTAGATAGTGCGCCACAGTTAGCACGCATCTACATCTACAAGTCACCTCGCGAAGACGGACGCACCTTGAACAGGCAAGCATCGCCCAGGAGGCAACTACTCCCTGCTTATCACTGATCAGGCCCAAGAGAGCTTCTAGGAACTCTGTTACTTCGTCGACTGAGAGCTGCTGCTGTTGCTGGAAGAGAAAGGGTATCAATTGCAGTGCTGTGAGACGGACCCCGAGATCAGGCGAAGTCAGCTTCTGTAGCATCCTGCTGGGCTCGCGAGCCATTCGCCGTTTTTTGCGCGGCTGTTCATCCTCTGTAGGGTGCGGGGCCCGATTTCTCTTGACGTTGCGCGAGTACAGGGCCTCTAAGATGGAAAGGCTCTCCAGAAGCGCCCAGTTCTGCTCAGCTGTCTGGTTATATGGCCGCATGCTGAAGATGTTGGTCCTCGGGTGATCTGCGGGGAGGCTCATTGATGTGAAGGTCAGGTCGTCAAGCTGCAGGCGGGCTCGGTCTTCACGTTTGGAGTATTCGGACCACAGCGCATCCAGCAGGTCTTCCAGTTCTTGCAGGAGGGTATCTTCCGATGATTCTTGCATCAGACTTTCAAGGAACAGGTGGATGCCGTATAAGGTCTTGAGGATTTCGTCCCGGACAGCGTTTGACATTGCATCCCTCAGAAGGGCTCGCGGAGGCCACCAGTAGGTAATCAGGGGGACAAGTTCTCTGGTCAAGCCTTTTGCCAGGAGCACATTATCCGCTTGGATGTACGAGAAGACACTATTGATCGTGGCAAAGGCGACCTGGTGTATGGTGTTCAACTTCGCGTGGTGGGCTTGCAGGACCTGGAGGGAGATGTTTGAGACTTCTTGGGCTCGTTGCTGAAGTGGCGCGTGGGGTGCAGACAGCAGAAGATTGAGAGCTGTCAGGTAATTTTCCGCCCCCTGGCTCCCAACATAACGAGGGTTTCGGTGCACTGAGCTTGACCCGGATCGACCTGTAGAGTATGCTAATGACATTGTCTGACCGCTTCCTGGAGCCGGGGATGCACGGGATATGGTCCCCGATGTCCGGTCGCCCTTCTCCAAGAAACGCGACACCGCTAGGAGGCAGAAGTCGACACATGACAACCACAGGTCGCCGCCCATGACCGCGAAGTTCTCGACATTTTCCGGGTGGTCGAGAAGGGCTAGAAAGGCTTTGGTATAATTCTGAACAAGCGGTTCAACAAAGTCTTCGTCAGGCCCGGGAAGAACTTGGGTGATGTGGTCGACGATGGCCCTTGCCGTTTTGCGTTTTAGCTTGACTGCTCCATGAGAAACGACTACTTTCAATGCCTCGGCGCATTTCTCTAGTCTAGCACTAGACGTGGCTTTGGAGTTTTTCCTGACACTGAAGTAGCTCTGCTTCTCTAGCAATGTACATGAGAACAGGGCCTCAAGGAGGCTGTGGTACTCCTTGTCGGTAAGAGGTTTCCTAGGAGGTTGTCAGATGGCGGCTTGTTCCCCACAAACTAGAACAGAAACCTACTGGTTTGGATTTTGTGACCTCTTCTCAACTTTGTTAAAGTAGAACAAAAGGTCTCGGGAGTTCTAGTCAGCCAACAGAACATCGGCATAGTCAACACTCCGACTTACTATCAAGCGCATCTTTTCGTTCGGTGACAGTGCCACTCCTCAGAGACGCTATATGTCCTGAGTTAGCCAGCTGGGCCTTGCTTGTGGAAGCGATACTTACCCCCAATGATGTTCAGGTTGTACTCTCCACCACCGCTCCTTATACCTGGCGCCATGATATGCGGTGTTTAGGGACCAGATCATCTGGAATTCACCAGATTTGGGGTTGCAGTAGTTCTCAAACTTTGAGGATTTGTGCATGCAATATGCTTGCCTTGAAGTGTAATGCTGGTGGAAGTTGTGCGCTGAGTAACTTGGATATCAAAGTATTAACGACAAGGCTGAACGATGATATGGATGTGCTCCGTAAACATAAACATGGAACAGGCAGAACCGGGGGCTGTGGCCTCTTTTAAGAAACCACACATATCTAGTGGTCCGGTAAGTAGGTATGTTGCCAGAGCCTCAACTAAATAAAGCAGCTGAGACGGATATTGCGTAAAAATCCTAGACTCACCACTGTTCTCAGCAAAACATCCTGCCTGCTTCCAGGTTCCTGGCCAGGATGCCTGTGATGGCGGCAGAATATTCTCACCGCCTATCTGAGCAGGGGAGACCCTGTCCATGTCATAGATACCTAAGTACATGCCAAGAGGTCCGAATCCTAGGTACTTGTACACACAGTCCCGAACTCTACCGAAGTATTTACTCATTCCTCCTAATTTGAAACTCACAATTGTCTCCACAGCAATGGGTAGTTTAAACGTGATCGTATGGGATTTCATCCCTTTGTTTTCTTGCTTTCTAACGGTGTTGCTTGGGATGAATTTGTGACATTGGGGATTTCGGACAAGGGATGAATAGGTATCTTCTCGAAGGTGGGCCTTACTCCGGAACGGAAGAACAATTTCCCCATATTTTGCCCCGCTAGATGGAAGTACCTAGGTACCTGTGGATCTCCTAGCTCCAAGCGCGGGACGCCTGTAGAAGCTTGAACTCGCGTCTGAAGTCCTCAACAGCGACCAAAAACTCGCATAGCTGCCTTGTCTCTAGAGCTGCCGCCAGCCCTCCAACGTTCCACATCACTCCCCAGCCTCGCATATATGCGGCACAGCATCAGTTGCAGCTCTCCCACGATGCGCTGAGGTTTTCATCGCCGACCATGTCCGAACCTGGCACGCTGGAGTCGCTCGAGGCTCTACATAAGGAGCTCCTCCCGGCCTCCGAATACCGCTTTGAAAATGTCCAGTTCCTTGAGCGGTCCCTGCTTGCGCATGCCGATGCTTTTAGAAAACTTCTTGATAAGCCCGCGAGAGACTCGAAACACCGGGCTGCCGTACAATCAGGTGTGTGGCCTTCTCAGCTCACTCCATCGCCCGCCGAACAGATGCTAACCAGACGCGGCGCGGCTCAGGGAAGATAACTGTGGCAGATGAGGAGTACTCGATCAACCAAGACTTTGTGGACAGCACATTGAAGGTCGCGGATGAGGTGGACCTAGACGAAATCGAGACTGCCAAACTCCTCCTCGAAGCACAGGGAACCACGGAACTCCTCGGCCATTCGTTGTTCGAGCGCGGCATCATACGGTTCCACCAGCAACGAAAGTACCTGCTGGATTGCATGCGACTGTGCATCCAACTGGCAAATGACGTCGAGCTCGAACCCGAAGTCCAAGACTTCTTTGGAGTCTTCGTCACAGAGAACATCTATGGCGCTGCGGTTCCTGGCGGCCAGGCACCCAGCGCGGAAAAGAAGATCGTTCCGAGATGCATGGCGGCTCTGCAAGACATTAGGGTATGGCTGCAGAGGATCACGGAGAAGGTGGCCACAACAAATCTCATGTATCAAACCCAGCCAGCCGTCCCCCCCGAGTTCCAAGAAGCAATCGAATTCTCCCGCGTTAGTCTTGTTCAACAGCACGAACTGCTAGCCGTGATAATGTGCTCTGCGATAGAAAAACACGAGGCCGGCGTAAAGGACTTCGAGGGCTTCTTCGAGGGGGTCAAGAGGATTGACAGATATGACCATTTACTCGGTAAGCAAGCTCGGCGCAAAGAAGTGGAGGTATCCAGTCAAGAGATGGGCTAATGAGTAACAACCCAGTCCATCTATTTCCCGCCCTTGGCACCTTTATCAGTGTGTTTGGGTCGACAGAGGGCGTTGGCGATCTCGGACAGGCTCGCACGCTGAACAAGCTCATCTGCAAGGATGATGGATCCTGGTCGCTCGTATACCTCGGTGCAGCCGTACGAGCTTGGTGGATTGCCGAGTACAGTGGATGGTACCTCGACGACCCGATCGGCTCCCCTGTGCAAGGGGTTGACCTGGACGAGGAGGACATGGAACGATCAAAGCAATTCATGGAATCCCTGAAGTACGGGGCATTCGATTTTATGCTTTCCGTCGCTGCTGATTGCAAAGCCCCTGACTGGCAAGATCCTGCCCGCTCCGGCATGCGACAATGGCTGCAGCGCAAGTCACCCCCTCTGGCATCGGATCCTGTTCCATTCTCCGAGTTCTTCCAGAAAAGACTCATGGTCCAGCTCGAAGTCTTCATCGACGCGTTCATATCGAATCTTCCGGACGTCTTGCGGAAACTGCGGGTGGAAGAGGATGAACAGCGGCAGCTTAGCCAAACCCACGAACAGGACTTGGATTTGGAGAGGTTCCTCATCATTATTGCCTACTCGTACGAGGGCAGGCCGGATTCTGCCGATGCCTTCTGGTCTGATCCCGACAGCAATCTAGCAGGATTCTTGCACTGGGCATCCAGGAGAGCCTCCACACCCCTCGTGAGCGCCTTCTGTGACATGCTCCAGGCTCTCTCAGATGACGAGGAGTGTGCAACTGCAGCGCACGAGTTCCTTCTGGATGAGGGCCATCACTCGTCGGGGAAGATGAGACGCACTCAGTCTCTCACCTGGGGTCAGATCTTCAAGGAGCTGGTCTTTTTCACGAACAAAATCCGCGAGCGTCCAAGTCCTACGCAGTCCAACGTTTATCGTGGAGGGAAGCCTACCAGCGAACAGGCAGAGACAGAGCCCGAGTCGGCCATGATGCTCGAGTGCTATCTGCGGCTGATGACGAAGCTCTCGGCAAAGAGCGAAACTGCGAGGCAGATGTTGTTGCGCGACCCTAATTTCAACCTGGTCGAGGTCCTGTACCAGCTTGCCAGCAGCACGATACCTGCCCGCCTCAGGGCCTGCGTGTTCTACACGCTCCAGGCCTTGCTTGCTCGTATGACCCCGGAGGAGGGCCAGATCATGTGGCGGTGTGTTGATTCCTGGATAACCGGAGGCTATGCCGTGCAGCCGAGCGCTCACAAGAGCAGCAACCTCGGGCTGAACCAGAGCAGCCCTAAGTTGCATATGGAAGCCATCTTCCAGGAGATCGGTGAAGGCTTTGAAGAGCCGAATGCCTTCACTCAGTTGCTGATAACCCTCACCACACCGGTCGAGGGATGCGATCCGCTGAATGACACGCTGCCCTTCCCCGAGGACCTGGGTTCCTCGCTTCGGGCCCCTGGCATCGAGCTGTATGTCGACTACGTGCTCGGACACGTCTTCGGGAATAGGTCCAAAGACATACAGGATACGGCCCAGCTTAGAACGCTGCGGCTCAGTTGTCTGGATTTTGCCCTGAATTGCCTGTTGACGTTCAACGAGGACTTGATCATCATCGGCAACGAGAGCAATATCGCCATTGACACAGCAATATCGACCACCGATCTGGCCACATATGTCCGCCTTCATCCCTTCGGCCGTGTCATGGAATGGATGTTCAACGATAAGGTCATGGAAGCCCTCTTCAGCACAATCCACCAGAACCCGGCCGAAGTAGGGAAGTCGGCCCCGGACTCTACGCTCATACTCGGAATCCTTCGAAGCGTGGAAGTTATAACTAGAGTCCTCGAGCTGCAAACCACATACCTCGATCTTGTGCGGCCCATCATCAAGCTACAGGCCGGGCAAGAACGGCAGCCCGTTGCTAACGCGGCCTATGCCTCCTTCGAGGATGCCTTGATGAATCACCTGGGACTCGTGGTTGACTTGGGCCGGTTTTGCGGCATTGGCTATCCGTCCCTGACTCTTGCCTGCTTGAAGCTACTGGAGAAGATCTTAACATCCCCGAAGATCATCGCCGCTTGGAATCCCGAGTCTCGGCGGCATGGCCATCGAAATAAAGCTATCATAGCTCTCGAATCCGAAGGCGTAGCAGAGGCCATGGCGCATTCTCTTTCGTCCGAGCTGGGGATGACGATTGACTTTGTCCGCGGAGCGGACACGCCGAACTACATGGTAAAGATTTTCATCCTCGACTTCCTCTATGAATGTCTCAAAGCCAGCCCCGATCAGCCTTTCATCGTGCATCTTCTCGGCTTTCAAGGCGGAGCCAGTGGACTCACCGTCGACCCCGAGAGTGCGTTTGGCTTACAAGAATCCTTATTCCACGTTCTTGTCAACCTGGTGATCGAAGTGCCCTACTTGGAAAATGAAGAAGACGGAATCCGGGGTTGGTTGGTTGCGCTAAAGTCAAAAGCGTTACGCATCCTCCAGATTCTATGGAATTCCCCCCTTTCCTCGGCCATTGTTATGGACGAGCTGAGGCCGCTCAAGTTTCCTTTCCATCTGCTCCTCGGCAAGGTTTTGATACAGCCACATCTGAGATGGGACGGCCAGGAGTCGGGCAGTGCCGCGTTTCTCCTCGCCGACTCCTCCCTGGCCTATCTCGACTTCCTCTCGATAAGAACAATGGCCTTTGAATACATAGGCATGGAACTATGTAGCGTATCTCAGAGCCGAATGCCCACCTTCAAGCGGGAGCTCTTGGGTGCCCTTCTCGCCGGACAGGTCAAGGGAGACGAAAACGAACCCATTGGAACGCCTAACGCGTTCGATTTATACGACTTCATGGACATGGACGGCCAATGGGAAATCCCGCCGCCCGAATTCACCTATCTCAAAGATCTTGACCTGAGGGCTTGCGTGGAAGAGTCGGATCACATTGTGCTATACGATATCGCCAAAGTTCGAGAGGTCCTACTGCTGAAGCAGAATGAGTCGAGGAACGCCGGCCTGGTGGTCTCCGAAAGCGACCTGGCGGCTATGGAAAAGGAAGAAGCTTTGCTATTGGAGTATCTCGTATACTCTAATCGTGTCAAGGTAATCGCCGCTCGAAGGCGGAAGGCCCTCCAGGCCTGGACAAGGCTGGTATTGGTCATGGTTGAGACGAATGACTTCAAGGGCACAGACAAGGCCTCGTTTCTTCAGCAAGCCCTCCAAACCATCCTGCCGAGTCTAGACACTTTGAGCGCGGACGGCCATCCAGAAGCACTCGAGTTGGCGAAGCTTGCCAATGTCCTTCTCTTCAAGACTGACTTCTCTCTCGAGGGCGGGCCCTCTAGCCCCGACAAGGGGGCCCTAGCCAAAGGCACACCTATCAGCGACAAGTTGTTCCAGTTGTTCCAGATATGCCTGAGCGCCATTGGAAGGTGGGCAGGCGATGCCGAACTGAGGTTGGTATACTACAGCATCTGCTACCGATATCTCACGGGGGTCGTCAACCGCGGCGAGGCCTTCCGTCCGGACCGGCAGAAGGCGATGAAGGCGATCCAGGTCTACGGCGAGAAGCTCCTCAATGTCATTTGCGACGATGCGTTCGGCGGCGACACGGGCTGCCAAACAGCAGCCATGATTCTGCTGGGGGCACTGGTGAATCTAGAGAGGAGCGAGGACGGTACGGGTGTTGTCGAGACGCTGAACCGGCTGAACTTTATTGGAATCCTGGTCGACAGCCTCAAAACGCTCCTCCACGAGTGGCTGGAGATAATCAAGACAGGCAACACCCCGGCAGAGCACTACACCAACGCCAAGCTGTCGCTCCTCCTGCAGCTCTGCCAGAGCCGGCCGGGGGCCAAGCACGTGCTGCACGCCAACCTTTTCCGCGCCGTCGAGCTGTCGCGCCTGTTCGCCGTCGACCCGGAGCTGGAGATGGACCCAGCCGACGCGGCCGCGCTGGGGCGGCACTACGGCCTCCTCGTCCGCGTCGCCCGCGTCGTCGCCGCCGCCGTCCTCGGCAGGGGCAGCCACAGCGTGCCGCAGGGCCGCCGCTTCCTCACCCAGCACAGGCCCCTGGTCGTGCACACCCTCAAGCGCAGCGCGGGGATAGGGACCCCGCAGCCGCCGCCCAACTCCACCGCCACCACCGCCACCACCGCCGCCGCTGCCCAGGTGCGAGCCGAGCTGGAGGATCGCACTGAGGAGCTTGCGGAGGCATTTATGGCTCTCATCACCGCGACTGGGTTCTTGGAGGTGAGTTTTTTTTGGTTTTATTTTTTCCCCCTCCCTTCCTTCCCCTTCCCCTCACTTTCCTTTCTCCCCTCTCCCTCCTTTTTCATTACCCCCCTGTCACTTCTTGACCCATATATCTGGACCTGAGGCCGAGTCTAACCTGCGACTCGGCGTGTAGTTCGAATTAGAACAGACACCCTCCGAGAAGCCGAGGGGAACGCCGACTCTGTTCCACTGAAGGGGTATCACGGAGAGACTGGAACAAAAAGGGTATTTTTCTCGAGCAGGCCGACGATGCTCATGTCTTGTTGCGGAGGGTGCTGAGTGAGGAGTTTCTGGCGCACCCATCCTGGCTCAGGGGGAGTGGTGGGATAGACTTCATGTGTGATTTTTGCTCTATCCAGAGGCGGAGCAAAGAAGCAAATCAAATCAAGGGATAAAATAAAAGAAGGTCATTCACGGGACATCGAGGTAATTCAGAAACCATGTTCTTCAGATTTCTAATTGGGTTGGTCCAGACCCAGAAAGGGGAACCATTCGCCTAACTGCCAAATCTATGCTATGCCCCTTTTCCCACCAGGGACGACACAATGCAAACGCCAGTCAAATGCCAAAGTCCACCTCGTTACGCATGCATGCAATGGGGGTATCTAACTTGAAGGGAAACCTCTTATGGGGCCATCCCAAAAGCCTGCCGTCCCATCCAATACCCAGAGGGGGGAAATCCCCCAAAAACGAAATTAGCTCGAGACCATGTTTTGAAATAAAGCCCCGCGCTATGGGCAATGTTTCTCTCACTCCTCCTCCCTTTCCGTCAGCGTCCCCCCCACCCAGACCCAGCTGTCCGGATCCGTAGGCGACAACGTTTCTCCCTGAATATTGTTGGAGAGTTGGAAATGGAATCTCATCGGCCAACAGATATGGCCGGGTCCAAAGGGAAGCTAAAGCCCGGGAGGGCTCTAGGTTTGAAGACGGGGGTGTCAGCGAGCAGCAGGGCGCTTGCCGCTCCTCTTTGCCGTCATCAGCTTCAGCTCGAGTGGCCAGAATCCCTTTGCCCTAGTCGAGAACTTCCCAGATACAGGCCGTGCGTCGAGCTTTTGCCGACATATGGGGCATATCTTCTTCGTCAAATCGATGTGGAGCGAAGAATGCAGGCATTCGGAGCAGAAGAGGTGCCCTGGATGAGAGTGTTAGCTAAGGCCTGTGTGTTTCTCCAACCCCTCGGGCCATGATTGCAGGAAGTGTAGTGGGATTGAATGTATATTGAGTGCACTAACCACAATGAGTGACCGTCAAGCCCGTGGCATCGTCCATGCAAATCACACACTGGAAAGTGCCGAGTTTAATGCTATGACGGTCCACCTCGGGTTCGCTCTTTTCCCTGGGGCGTTCGTCTGCGTCCTCCAAGTTGATAATGTCCTCCTCATCCCGGTCGAAGAACAAGTCGTCGTCAAATTCGCTCTCGAGCTTGGCGGCGCTGGCTCGAGGTCGCTTGGCCTGCCGCTGCCCGCCTTCTTCGGGCGCTCGAGCAGTCCCCCCGGGGGAGCGCCTTCTCTTTGGGGCTGGATCACTTGTGGAGGGGCTCGCGACTTCGATCACATCAGAGGAGCGCCTCTTGCGCTCTCGTGTGGTCGGCATAGTGGTTGGTTCCCGGTGACGAGAGATATCGGGGATTATCGAGCTTCCAGATGGCCCAGGCGAAGACTCAGCCGACGTGGAAAAATATTGCTCCGAGTGGGGGCTCTGCGGCGGGATTGAAGGTGAGGAGAAAGTGCCGTCCACAAGGGCTTGAAAGTAGTCGCTCTCTGGATCTCTCGGTGGCGCGATGCCAGCCTCTGTTAGGAAGATAAAGTCCCAAGTGGGCCGGTTGAGTAAATTGTCACCTTGGCTTGAGCGAGGCCCGTTTGGTGTGGTTGGCAGGGTAGGTAGGGTCTGAAAAGTTGAAGGTCGACTGTTGTCTCTCCGGGTGTCTAGGCTTGGAGATGGACGGGAGGACAGTGGAGTCGCACTTGGTGGGTCGTAGTGGAGGCGACTCGACGGATCCGGAAGCGGATATTGGCCTCTTCCGGTAGACGGGACGCCGGGGCGAGTGTGTAACGAGGAAAGTGGCGGCGAGTTGAGAGGCAAGCGCTGCGGAGGCCGAGAAAGGTGCGGAGCTCGAGGCAATAACGGCTGCTGGAGTATTGATCTATCGCGTCGCTGTGGCGGCGTTGGCAACGGCGGCAGAGGTGGGTATATACCAAAGACGTATGGGGGATCGAGCTCTGCCTTCAAGACGCCGCTTGTTAGGGAAATTCCATATGTACAGTACAAAGCCAGCAAGCTAGGGGGTTTTACCATCAAATAGGATATTGTCTAAGATGCTGGCAAAGAACCCATATTCTGCCATTGTCTTCCACAGCAGCCGCCTGCACAAAGTGCACAAAGCAGGCAAGTGAGGAAGTTAACGCCGGGAGTCTGTGGCGAATTGCTTTCTGGCCAATCTCGACCTGATGGAGATGTGGTCATGTGATCCCTCGCCACTTTTTGTTTGACGACAACACCAGTCACCTGATTGGATGGATGCATACCAGCTCGCTGCCAGCTGCCACGGATTGTGCAAACGCACCCCCCCTGTTTTCAACTTGCTCAGGACTTAATCCGACTTCTTGCGACAGATACAAGTAAATACTATACCAGCTCGTCTTACAACCAGAGCTAATAGACAGACGTTAGCCAAATGTAGGGAAGCTTCGGCATAACCAATCGCCAAACATGAACTACGAACTGTCGTCATCTCATCCCTCGAAATGCTTAGCCTGATTCATGGTCCTGGCGGAAGACCACCATCCACCACGATCTTAAGCTCCGTGCGACTCGCAAGACAACACCGGGTCGCCCGGCACTCGTTGCGACCATGGTTGGCGCCTGTTCGTGTCAGATGGCAGTCTACAGTCGCCGGCCAACCAGCCGCCTCCTCCGAGCATGATCGCACCACCGGCCTTGGGGTCCCCTCAGAAGCACGGTATAACGAGATTGGTGTCCAGCAGCTCAGCTCACACCTGTATTCCCAGCTCTTCCCTCGCGGCAATAACTCCCCACCAGCACCGGAACTCGTCGAGCTGGCCCGCGATCACCTGCGACGCCATGATCTGCTTGGGAAGACCGACGACACCTCTGCACCTGTCGCATTCGATCTGCCTCCCCTCGTCGGCGAGACCTTGGACGAGCACTTCTACAAACTAGGCGTCGATTCCTCGGAGCCAGTCCTGACGTACGCAAAACAGTTTGCGCGTGCAAACGCGCCGCCGAAGCCGCGGAAATGGGTGCGCCGGAGCGGTTGGACCAAATACTACCCGGATGGGAGAACAGAGGCTCTTGAGGCACCAGACACCAACATGCTCACCTTCGACACCGAGGTTATGTGGAAGGAGCATCCATTTGCGGTCATGGCATGCGCCGCCGGCCCCGATGCCTGGTATGCCTGGCTCTCGCCGTGGCTGTTGGGGGAGACGGAAAACGAGCGGCAGCTGATCCCCCTCGGGGATCCCACACAAGACAGGGTAATTGTCGGACATAATGTCGGCTACGATCGTGCTAGGATCCTGGAGGAGTATGACGTCAAACAGACGAGGAATTCCTTCCTGGACACCATGTCCCTCCACGTTGCGGTGAATGGAATGTGCTCCCAACAGCGGCCGACGTGGATGAAGCACAAGAAGAACCGAGAGCTGCGGGACAAGATCGCCAAGGAGACGACCAGCGTCGAGTTGACCGAGCTCCTCAACAACAGCCCTCTCAGTCATGAAGAAGAGGAGCTGTGGGTGGAGAGGAGCTCAATCAACTCGTTGAGGGATGTCGCAAAATTCCACCTCAACGTCACAATTGACAAGGAAATTCGGAATGCATTTGGCGACCTGGACAGGGAGGGCGTGCTCGGGAAACTGGACGAGCTCCTGGACTACTGCGCCGCCGACGTGGCCATCACCCATCGGATATACCAGATTATCTTCCCAAATTTCCTCGAGGTCTGCCCTCATCCCGTCAGCTTTGCCGCCCTTCGGCACCTCTCGTCCGTGATCTTGCCGGTCGACAGGTCTTGGGACTCGTATATTGCCAACGCCGAGGCGACCTATCACAGACTCTCTGACGGGGTGCAGAGCCGGTTGGTGTCGTTGACGGAGAAGGCCTTGGAAATCAAGGCCGATCAGGACAAGTGGAGTAATGACCCCTGGATGATGCAGCTAGACTGGAGCGGCCAAGAGATCAAGATGGTGAAAGGCAAGAAGAAAGGGGACCCGCCACGGCCTGCGGCGAGGCAGAAGAAACCAGGCATGCCGCAATGGTACAGAGACCTGTTCCCAAAGAACGATGCGCCAATCAACGTTTCAGTCCGAACGAGAATAGCACCTCTGCTACTCAGGTTGTCCTGGGATGGCCATCCGCTCTTCTGGTCGGACAAATATGGCTGGACATTCCGTGTTCCCCTGGCCCAGGCCTCAAAGTACACAGAGCGGCAGATGGTCAAGTGCGACTTCAACGAAGAGACTGTCGTAGCTCTCAAGGAAGATCGAGCCCATGCCTACTACAAGCTCCCACACAAGGACGGCCCGACTGCTCGTTGCGCTAATCCGATGGCTAAGGGCTACCTCGCCTACTTCGAGAGCGGGGTTCTTTCCTCAGAGTACCCGTACGCGAAGGAGGCTCTCGAAATGAATGCCTCGTGCTCTTACTGGATCAGTGCCCGGCACAGAATCACGTCGCAGCTCGTCGTCTACGAGGATGACCTCAATCGCGGCACAGCGGCGCCGGAAACCAAGCAGCCGGGTGACGGCGACTCGCCAACCAAAGGCTTCATCCTCCCGCAAGTCATCCCGATGGGCACAATCACGCGTCGTGCCGTCGAAAACACGTGGCTCACGGCATCCAATGCCAAAAAGAACCGCGTTGGCTCGGAGCTTAAGGCCATGGTGAAAGCACCTCCGGGATACGTCTTCGTCGGGGCCGACGTCGACTCCGAGGAGCTCTGGATTGCCTCCGTCGTCGGGGATTCCACGTTCAAGATGCATGGCGGCAACGCCATCGGCTTCATGACCCTTGAGGGCACGAAGGCGGCCGGAACGGACCTGCACAGCCGGACGGCGTCGATCCTGGGCATCACGCGAAACGACGCCAAGGTGTTCAACTACGGGAGGATCTACGGCGCCGGGCTGAGGTTTGCCGCGCAGCTTCTGAGGCAGTTCAACCCCAGCTTGAGCGAGCGGCAGACGCTCGAAATCGCGTCGAAGCTCTACTCCACTACCAAGGGGACGAAGACGAACAGGAGGGCGCTCCACAAGCGGCCGTTCTGGCGCGGAGGCACCGAGAGCTTCGTCTTCAACAAGCTCGAAATGTTCGCCGAGCAGGAGCGGCCGCGCACCCCCGTCCTCGGCGCGGGCATCACCGAGGCGCTGATGGGCCGCTTCATCAGCAAGGGCGGCTACCTCACGTCGCGCATCAACTGGGCGATCCAGTCCAGCGGCGTCGACTACCTGCACCTGCTCATCGTCAGCATGGACTACCTGACGCGGCGCTTCAACATCACAGCCAGGCTGGCCATCACGGTGCACGACGAGATCCGCTACCTCGTCCGGGAGGAGGACAAGTACCGCGCCGCCATGGCCCTGCAGGTGGCCAACGTCTGGACGCGCGCCATGTTCGCCCAGCAGGTCGGCATCGACGACCTCCCCCAGAGCTGCGCCTTCTTCTCGGCCGTCGACATCGACCCGGTCCTGCGCAAGGAGGTCGACATGGACTGCGTCACGCCCAGCAACCCTGTCCCGATCCCGCCGGGCGAGAGCCTCGACATCACCGCCCTGCTGGCCATGGGCGCCGCCCAGGCGGGTCTCGACCCGGCCATCGTCCCTGACCCGGCGGCCCGCGCGCCCCGCCCCGAGGACGTCGAGTACCGGCCCCGCACCCCCGTCATGCAGCAGCTGCGCGAGTCCTCGGGCGCCACGCCGGAGAACGACGCGAGGTTCATCAGGGCGCAGATCACGGCCGACGAGCGCGAGCTCCGCGACATCCTCAAGGAGACCAGGAAGCCCGCCCCATCGTCCCCTGCCGGGTCGACGACGACCGCCGCGGCGGCGGCGGCCAGGCGGCTCAAGGGCGGCGCGGCGGCCGTCCTGCCGTACCACTCGCAGGCGCGCCTGATGCCGACGGAGCGCGAGCCCATGTCCGTCACCGAGGCCCTCGGGGCCGCCCGCCCGCCCAGGGGGTCCAACGCCGGCGCGAAGTGGTCGTGGGATAAGTACGGGTCCAGGGCGGGCAGCCGGACCGGCACGGGGACGGGGACGGGGACGGCTCCCTCGAGGCTGTGATGTTGGGTCCTCGACCTTGTGATTTGGGGCGGGGTTTGCATCACTCCCATCTTGAGGACTGTATTGTACGACTGATCGTCTTTCTCCTTTGTATACCTTGACGGGGGGGTGTGGGTCGGTGAATGTGCAAAAAAAAAAAATGACACTCCGTCCATTCAGGGGCGAGGAGATGTTGAATTAATTACCTGTACATATCTGCTCTTCTTCTGTAACAACATATGGGGGTATGATATGGGAGGCGGACTCTGGCTGGCTGGTGTTCTTTTAAGGCTATATGTCGGGTCGGATATTCTGAGTGTTCATATCGTGTACATCACCCAGGAGCCTGTAGAGGTCGGGTGGCAGGGTCCTCACAGTCCAGTTCGGTGTATGTCTACATATATAATGGACCATCGTAATTCTGTTGTAATTTCCGAACCGGTCAATTGGATGTCGCCTGTTCACATTATTCCCAAGAACCAACTGCCAGGTATGCTGGGATGCCCTGGTTAATCGACCTCAGTCAAGGCCACTTTCATTCCCATGCTCATGGTTCATGGAGCTGGAGCTGCTTTAAATAGCAGAATCAGCCAACATGCCACAGGCTATGGATGGGAGTGTATGAGAATCGGCCGAGTCTTCTATTAGGTACTGTCTATCTATTCGGTTTTTTTTGGTTGCCAAGGTATAGGTCTGGATAATTAGTTGTGATGATGCATCCCTCTTCTCCACAGCCAACCCAGTCAAAGTCTATTCGTGGTGTTTTTAGCCCGATTTCTTTCTCGGATTCTTGCTCCTCGTTGCTTCTACAGTTCCAAGTCTGTCCCATTTCCTGTCTCCTTTTTTTAATTGGAAAATAAACCAATACAACATGCGCCCGCCAGTACCAAAATCCACCCCGCTGATGTGGCGAGTCCTCCAAACCACGCCAACTTAGAGCTTCGGATCGAAGTCTTCGTACTCGGTAAGGTCCTTTGCCGGCTGGGCTCCGGCGCTCGCAACCAATCCGGCCTTGAAGCTGCGAACGTCCTCGACGATTAACGGAGTAGTACCATTCGAGGATGGAGGCGCCTGCTCCCCGGTGCCTTCAATCTCACTAGCCTTGCTGGCCTGCGTATGCAACTTCTTCCAGGTTTCAACAGCCGCATCAATCTTGTTTTCGGCCACCTTCAGGTCGTGGAGAAGATAGTTCTTCAGGCCGTCGATCTCCTTGGCCTCATCGTGACCTGCGGCGCTCAACCGGGCCTGTAGATCCGTCGCCGCCTGTGCCGATGCTTCCGAGTCCAACTCGAGCGTCTTCACCAGCTCGGAGATCTGCTTGGTTGAGACATCACTCTTCGCCTGCGCCACCAGATAGACGGCCAGCTTGGCGCGGACGGCGGAGCTGGGGTGGATGTATTGCTTGAAGAACTCGATCATATCGGCCTTCGTTAGCGGCTTGATATGAGCCGCATCTTGTTGCGCTATCAAAGTGTATTAGCAAATGCAAGGTGGAACAGGGAGGAGACTCTGGAACTTACCCGACTCGAAGTCGTAATACTCGCTATGAATCTGGTTCCAATGCCTGTTAGTCTCCTGGTCCAGGTACTTGGGCTTCTCTAGCCGCTTGACGATCAAGCTGCGCTTTTGGTTCTCAAAGTCGCTCTCCTCCATCTTGTCCAGTGTCTCGGCGAAGGACGTAAGGAATGATTCGATCCGGCAATCCAGATACTCGGCAGTCTTCTCGCTCTGGATGATGAACCTGAAGCCATACGTCGTGGACCCGGCTCGGACGCCTGAGAATACAACGTACCCGAGCTGCTCCTTGGTCCGCAACTGGTCAAATGCTGGTTCGTGTAGAACTTGGTCCAAAAGAAGCGTCTTCGCGCGCACATTGCGGTCCGACTTATCGCCAATATAGAGCCAATATTCGATGCAGTGGTTGACGTTCTCGGGGTCCTTGAGCGTCTTTCTCCACAGGTAGTTGGACGCCGGCGGGAAAAGAAGCGAGCGCTGGATTGGCCACTGGGTTCGGGGCAGAGCCCGGGGTTTGAGGGTAGACTCGATCATGTCCGTAAGCTTCAGTGCGTCTTCTTTGTATAGGTTCCCGTGGACGTAAACCTCCATATGCATCTGCGACAGCAACTCCTTACTAAAATGCCTAACAGCCTCGACCTTGATATCGGGCAGCTCAGCCACCAACTCCTCGACGACGTGGTCGTGTTCCGATGTCAGCCAGGTGGTGTAATCGCCGATTTGTGTGAAGGGTTGCTGAAGCTCCCAGTTGCTGTATGACCGGCTCAGGCGCTCCTTGATAATATCAAACCGATCATCGCGGATATCGAGATCGCGCATAGTAATCAGCACCTGTTCGAGGAGGACGGGCAGCTTGTCATTGTACCCCGAGACCTCGATGAACAGGCCGCGAGAGTCGAGCGCCACGGTATACTGCAAGCCAGCGAGTTCTGCGTCGTACGAGTACTCCTCGAGCGCATCCCTGACCAAGTCGGTAAAGAGCCTGGCCTTGACCGAGTTCTCCGCCGAGGCGAAGATGATTGGGCTCTTGCAGCTCACGATCAGGTTTGCTTTGGGGACCCAGAACGTATCGTCCTTCTTATACCATGTTCGGGCCAGGCCATCGTTGCGGATCATCCGGGGCGCCAGAGTCGGTTCCTTCACCTCCTTCTTTTCGACTTCGAGTTGGGTCGGGATGAACTGGTTCCTGTGTGGCAAGTGGAGCTTGGGGATGCGCTCCTTTGCGGGCAGGCTTGCGGCTTTCCTAACCTCGTCCACAAAATCGGCTGGGAAATTTGCGTAAGTGTGCTCGGTGCCATACCACTTCTCCTTCCGGTCCCATTTCCCAGGGAAATCCCGCGAAACAATGGTCATGCGGAAGTTGTCTGGCCGGAGGCATTCGATGCCGTCGCGGATCAACTTGGAGTCGAATTTGCGCAGCCTGCTACTGCCGCTCAATAGCCACTCGCGCGGCAGAGGCTTTTGCATCACCGAACTGATCTTACTAGTGAATCGGCTTGCTGGCGTCTTCTGTTTGAACTTGAAATCCACCTCGGCCATGCCCTTCTGCTCCTCAAATATCCACTCCTGGGGGGGCGTCTCTCTGAGCAGTGCGACATACTGGAAGAAGACCTTGACGATCTCCCTGTAATTTTTCAAACCCTGTCCAAGACTGGTTAGTTCCAGAAAAAAAGGGAAATACCGTGATCCGGAGCTCTCACCTCTTCTGTCAATCGGATTTGACAGTCGAAAATCCCGGGAGTCCCTGGGCAGACCGGGTACGCACCAGCGCTCAGGCCGTTGGCCCAGCCCTTGGACTTAATGTAGGCCATAATGCTCCCCGGCCCCTCGTGGCCGATCAGATGGCTGATATAACGGCTCGGCTGCGACTCGAAACTGTACTCCTCGTCAAGGAAGGGGAAGTTGAGGTTGAGCTCTCGGGAGTCCATGACAGGCTTTGCAAAGCACTCGATACCAAGTTGTTCCTTGTTGAAAGGCACTTCATCGGTCCAGCGGTTCGGCGTAAGGTCCTTGTCCTTGACATCGGAAAAGAACTCCGAGACCCAAGACTCGAGGACGTCTAGCGGTTCCCTCCCCAAGACGCAAAGCTTCATTCGGTTGGCAGAGTAATGCTTCTCGTAAAACTCGATAAACTTGTCCCGTACGTTCACTCCTTGAACTTCCGGAAGGGTCTTCAAAACTTCAAGATTACCAGTCGAGAAGTGGCAGTAGGGATGCTTTGGGTTTGACAGAGACTTTTCAAGCTGATGCAACCGCCACTGATCGCTTTGGAGATTCTTCTTGTTCTCCGAGTCAACGGCGCGAAGCTCACGGTCTAGGGTGCTAGCCAGGAACAGTGGCTCGACGAAGAACTGCGCGAAGCGATCTAGGGCACCATAGAGGGCAGACGGATTCTCAGCCGACGGCTCCTCATCATTCCCAGGCTTTGCTGCTACCTCGAAGTAGTAATTAGTAGATGTCGATCCGGTGTAAGCATTTGAGCTGCCTGAGTGGGCTGAAAGATACTGTGCGTAATCATTTTCCACTGGGTATTTCTTGGTGCCCATGAAGAGCAGCTGGAGTCAAGTGATGTCAGTACATAGTAGTCAAGACAGCTGATGGGGTGTGGAGAAGAATTAAGATTACATACGTGCTCGACAGCGTGGGCCATGCCAGGCATGACTTCCTCGTCGCTGAAGCTCCCTACATTGACATCGATGGCAGCGCTCGCCTTGTCTGTCTCTGGATCATGGACAAGGAGAACCTCAAGCTGATTTTTAAGGCGGATAACTCGGTAAGTCCGGTTGTCCAACGACGGCTTCTCTAGGCGATCTGTCACGCGCTCGACCTTGCGCGTGGCCGCCGGCTCGCGCGTCGGTCTACCCGCCGGGGCGGATGGTTTTGCTTGCGAGGGAGGCATTGTTGATGAGAATTGGCGGCTTCCTTGGGGTGAAGAGGTAGGTGGCTTATTACTAAGTGGGAGGATGAAACTGCCTGTGCCGACGTGAGATATCAAAGACACTGAGCGAGGGCTGACCGGAGGCGAGTGAAACCACGACCAGTGAGGGGCAGCAGCAGTCTTTAGCGGTCGTCCGAAGTGATATAGCGAGCCGCGAGAAGGTGGCCGGGTCTGTGCAGAGTGTGGAGACGCTACCGCGGTGCTAGGCAAGGTTACCAGCGGGTTGGAGTCAGTGTGCAATTCCGATGTGGCAGTTGCGCCTCGAGTCGCACTGCTGCAACCTATCGACCGTCGATGGTACTTCCTGGGGGGCTGGCGGAGGACCCAGGCGCCGTGGCAGTACAGTTCACAAGGGAGAGTGAGACGGCGTAGATGTCGTGGGTGGCGTTGCGGGTGGCGCCAGGCAAGAGCGGAAACAGCGAAGAAGCACTTAGGCTCGTAGCTACTGATGAGTGCCCAGAAGCCAGACCGAGGCGCGAGCATCTACTTATACCCCAGCACTCGACTTTTGGCGGAGCGTTGAGGACCTGGATGTCCAAGCTGTGACTAGCCGACAAGGCTGCACTGGGGTCCCTGAATAAGCCTGAAAGATTGCGGGAGAAGTGTCGAAAGGGGAAATCAATCACTGGGAGGTAAAAGTAGGTGGCCCGTCTGATCCTTTGCTATAATACAACAATCAGTATTGACGGGTAGAGGATAGAACGATGTTTGGAAAGCAGGGGGTAGGCCATTGGGACAATAGCAGACCCAGAGACACAGAGGCGACTTTGCAAGGGTTTGTGGGGTGTACGCATTAGAGGGCAAAAAATAAAAAATGGAGCGAGTGGATGACGGGCTGGCACTTCAGCCAAAGAAACGACGAAATGGGTACATATATGACCTAGGTAAGCTTCTCGAAAAACTGAGACTCTCAAGAACCCTCCCGCGGTCTAGACAGTGGCAATGCAACCAACTACTAACCACCGGTAGGCAAAGAAGGTTGACAAGCACTTACCATGAAGCTGCTTTTTTACTGGCAACGTAATCGACTTCCTGCCTTCCGGGGTGTTGCGTGTTGCACGATTTCTAACAAGGCGTGCCTGGCCGTTCTCAGTGGTTGGCAAGCGGGCCCAGATCCCGGATCCCGGGTTTATGAGCACCAGATGTCAAGTTTGAGAGGCGATCTCAACCCGAGAGGAACGCGGTACGCTAGATGATGCAGACGCCGCAGGAGCAAAGAAGCCGTCGTTGAACGAGGTTGAAGATGGGGAGAGTCCCGAGTCTGATGGGCGATGAGAGAGCGGTGACCAGAGTCAAAGCCAGGTGACCGGGGTGGTTGCGAGATGCTTAGGTGGACTATGTGACTAAGGTAGCCCGCCCCCAGCGTGCCGCACCGGCAGACAGAAGATAGGTTACTATCGCTGATGTCTTGTCTCGGCTACAGGTTGCAGGTTGCAGGCCGGATGGCATACAAGCTCGGGGTAGATTCTACTCTTTCAGGGCCGAGAGTCTGAGACAAATCCATGTCGGTTGGCAGCAATGGATTTTGGCATTTCTGGGCGGGTAAGGGCTCCGGGGTAAAATCAAAGCAGATGGATGCCAACCGTGGATCAGGCAGGAAGGAACGAACCATGATAAGCGGTGAGCGACCAACGACGGTCGACGAGCCTGTTCTACCTACCTAACCTACCTACCTACCTACCTAACCTAACCTTCCATGTAGACGGGAGGTGGTAGAGGTAGACAGTGGGTAAGACTTGGCAGCCGTGAGCAAGAAGGGAGGTCTTGGAGGAGGAAGGAACGAAGGGCCGTAGAATGGAGGCCAGTCTCAGTCGTCGATTGGACCATGGGCCGGTCCCCCAAGGACAATCCCAAGCATGGAAGGCGGTCGAGAGGACCAGAGAGAGTCGCAAGAAGCGTGACGACGGTGCATCCTACCCGCATACATCGTCACCTACGTAACATCCTACATGCGCGCGGCAACTACAGCTTCCATTGCCTACCGCTTCTCGGAGGCGCATATCCTCACGCACCCCACACGAAACGGAAGGCATCCAAGGTTTAGGTACCTACCTAATGTTAGAAGAAGGCGATGAGCTGAGACGAGATGAGATGCGGCGAACCACGATGATCCTTTTCTCTTTTTTCCTTTTTTCCCCTCCTTATCTTTTGGTTCCTTTTCTTTTTTATGCCAGCTCTTGTCTGTGGATGGTGGAAACAGGCAGCCCGCGCGTTTGGGACTTGGGCCCATGGGGCAGGCCCATGAGGTAAGTGGTCGATTAATGGATGAATAAACCACGGCGCCACCGTCTAGCGGCTAGGGGTTGGATACCATCAGCCAGGGATTGGCTGGCAGTTCCCGAAGAGGCATGAATACGCACGGGATAGCCGTGTACTATGTAAGTACCACTACACCCTACGATTAATTTACTTTGCAATCTGCAATTGATTATGAGCTAACCTACCTTGTACTTGCGATGGGTCGCGCCGTCTTGCCATCATTCCTGGATTCGCCGCGCCACTGGTTGTTTCGCTCGACTCAAGGGGAGATCTTCTAGAGCCTGCCCAGGTCCAACTGCAAAGACCTGACTCAGTCATCGTATGTTACGTATGCAGCTGTGTGGCATATGGCATGCTGCCATCCCTCCCAAACAGCAGACACTGAGGCGGGAAGGCGAATTCTGAGATCTTGCATGTTGAGAGACAGCAATCCGTATTCTGCACCCAGCTTCGCTGCACCCCTGCCCCTGCCCCTCGTTGACGCGAAAGCGGCCGGATTCTTTGAAGAACATCCGGCATTTCTGGTTTATCAGTGACGAGATCGCCCAATTGGCCGCCTCCACATGCTTGGCTGTGTTCCCGGACGTCGTTTTGTGCAGACAAGGACGGTCGTCGCCGCTTCACCAGTATGTCTGTCACATGCATCATCGTCCAGAATTGGACCATTGGTTTGTGTCTGATATATGCTTTCATCCGAGGGCGTGTTTCCGTGGCAGCCCACTTCTTACTTGACTAGGATATAGATATGCTTGCTGATATACCTATCCTTCTTGCCCGCTTCTAGAAGATTTGATAATTCGGCCCGTGGCGTTGGTTAGTAAAATCTTCCCCACCCCCTTCCCCAGTTTCACCCATTATCACTCCAAAGGAAAATAAATAATTGCACCAGAACCTGCCCCAATACGACATTTATAAGTGTGATCGGCTCGGCCGAATCAAAAGCAGTAGGTGTCATCCTTCCCCTGGAACACAGACACGGCCCTGAAAGCATATTTGGTGCAATAAGGACAGGTCAGTAGTCTACAGCCTGCAGTTCGCAATAGCCGTTGGACCGCGGAACCAAGAAGGATCGGGGGCGCACAACGTCTTGCAAAGTCTGTACTCCGGTCTCAGGATCATTGCATGCTTTAATTGATTTGTTATTTGGTGCCGCGATCCGGCACCACCCGGCTTTGGCTCTACATATGTATCGCCCTCCCTTGGTCCCTTGGTGCTGTCTCGTTTGGTCGTCAGCGGGCCGTCGAAATACCCTGCACATGATGGCCGCTCCCTGCGACCCGTTGGATAGGCCTACTCGTGTGTTTCCATGCGACATGTGTACGTATGTATGTATGTACATGGGCATATGCCAAATTTGTCCGATCTCCCGGGGTCCTTGCTGCCATGTGATGCGGAGGAGCCGAACCACTGCCGGCCCAGATCTGATTTCTCAACTCGGCTGATCTAGGTCCTTCGCACGGTCATGTTCTCCTTTCTGTATCTCCTGTCCCCCTCCTGTCCCCCCCGCTGCTGACATATTCGAAAACATGCGGCGGTTGCAGCCTACCATTATTACCGGTGGTTCATGCAAGGTAGACGATCTGGAAGTTGCAGCCAAAAAAAATTGAAAAAGAGAAAATTAATTATGGGACCATCACGTCAGATTGCGACCTGTCTGCCCTGCTAGGTGCCGAGGGGGTGGACCAGAAGAATGAAGCCTGCCGTAGATTTTCCCCGATTCGTATTCACTGTACCGTCCTGCAGCATATAGAGTATCTGGTCTCGGGTTGGAATTCGTGCCCGGAGTAGCCACTGCAGGTCGACATTCCCAATTCTGGCCAATATCGAAACTGCTTGGCAGAAATTATCCCACTGGCACATCCTAATCGAGAGTCTCGACTTGCACACCGAGCTATATGCAGGCTATATTAAGGGGGGGGGGCACCGAAAAGGGGAAGGCAAACACTCCCGCGGACCGCCGTCTTGGAAATCCCAGACACAACTTCAGCCAGGTTCGCTGTCTTTACCCGGCTCAAAAGGCACGGCACGACGATCGTCGCACCCTTTCGCGGCGAATGGACGACCGTGCTTGATCCCGCAGTTGGAGTTTTGGACGGCGGCTATCTGCAGGAATGCTGCTTTGCCGTTTCTGCCTGAGAGCTCTGATATAAGATCTAGAAAACTCTCACCCTTCCCCCTTCCTAGCCCAAACCAGTGTGGCTCCGGGGTGTCACCAACACAGCAAGCATGCGAGCCTCGCGTACATCAAAAGTAGACGGGCATGAGATCCTACGCCCGACAATACACCACAGGAGAGTATATGTACCACGACTGGGCGAGGAACATGTTTCCATTGTGCCGCCTGTTATCATGCACCGTCATAACACCCTGCCCCCTTATGCGCGCATCCATCCACTCTCGGCGAGCACGCGTACTCTCAGTACCCGAATGATCGCACACACACAGACACGCAATCCTAGTCGTTAACCGTCCTTGATGTGGAGAGAGGCCTTGTCTCACTATCATAACGGCTCTTCGACGGAAGATTCCTTCGCCCCAAAAATGATAGGTGGTCGTCGTAGACCTATGTTTCATATGCAATGTCGGGAATCCGGCAAACTGAATTCAACATTGGACAGGCGTGAGGAAGACAGACCGAGGAAGGCGGTACCACCGGGCCGGTGTGGGAGCTCCCAGCTCCCACTCTCTCTTGTGCTCAGGAGGCGAGGCAGCACAAAAACTCATCCTCTCCCCATCTAGACTGACATATGGTGGGCATAGCCGAAGCTAGGCAGCTAAAATCGGTCCGCTCTCGCCGGGAATGGGGCGGCTGATAAAGCGGATGGCGTTCTGACTGAACTGTGCGGTTCAACCTACAACCCGCCGGCGCGAACACGTAACTTGGAACCAAGTAGAAGGGCCCCTATGGCTGGAAGCATACGTAGACATCATCGAGAGGATTTTCGGGGGCAGTCAGCGGCCCTATGGCCAGGCTGCTGACAGCTGTAGCACTTTGTGGGCGCGGGCCGCGAAGAACCTGACGAGGAAATCGACGTCAGTTGGTTCAGCTTGATCTCTTTCTTCCGCCGCTTCCCGGCTAGCTCTTGTGCCTTGGCTAATTTTTCGCTGCGTTTGCTCGAAACTCCGGAACCTGAACGCTTCCTCTTCTCAGCGCTTGATCCTAGAGATTTATCGTCACTTCGGCCTCGTGGAGCAGGGGACGAAGAGTCATTTGGCTCGTCTTCCGAATCCGAGCTATCGCTGTCCGACTCGGAGATTGACACAGGTTCCTAGTATTATCCATCAGTATATCAACTCGGAACTTGGAGCACAACTCGTCTCAACGTGCCTTGGATTTCTTCATGTTAAATCGCCGGAAAATGTTAGTAGGAGTTGGTTTCGCTTCTTCCTTGGTGTCTTCCTTCTCTCCTGGTGCGGCTGTCGAGTCGATCTGAGAGAAGCCAACTTGAACGACGTTTAGGGGCGAATTCAAGCCGGCCCCCGACGAGGGGAGGTGCGCATCAAGCACCCATCGCGAGTCGCCCAGCTCCGCCGCGCGCCTCTCTATCGCGGCCTGGCGTTTCTTGTCTTCCTCTTCGAGCGCCGCCTGCACGGCTTTCTGGTCATACAGCGGCGTAATCGGGGAGGACTTTGCTGAAGTGTGCGAGACCTTGCGCCTCTTCGCGGAACCCTCGTTGTCCGACCTTGGTGTCGTTGGCGAGTTCGATTCGGAGGCGACTGCGCGCTGCATGAACTTCATGGTCATCAGGCGGGAGGACATGGTTTTAGGTGTTGATTGAGCTGCCATGTTGGGCAACCCTGACTGGATGGTTGGTGCCATCTTGGGAAGTAGCTACAGGTGTAACCTGTTCAACGTAAAATTATCCTCTCACGATTAGAGCACGGTTCGGGAGGAAGATATTCGAGGCTCGAAAATAGAAAGTCGGGTTGCGCCAGGGTGTGGAGCAAACCAAAAAAAAGCTGCCCCTAGGTGCCCGGAGCCCGCCCAGCTGGCATCGGGAACGGAACTTTGTTGAGCCGCAAGGCCAATTGCCGTAGATCAACCGGCAGAACACCCATCGAGCTTGACGACATCCCATCCACTCGTTTCCTTATGAAGGGCTGAAATACCTCGACGAAGCACCAAACCGCCCGCCGCCATGATGTCCGCATCGAGATTGCGCTCGATGCAGAGGCTCTCTCGCCAATTGGCCCTTTCGCAGAGGGCTTTCGCGACCACAGCTCGTCAATTGGAAGCCGGCCCCGCCGTGCCCGCTAAGAAGGCCGAGACAGCCCCCCAGGTCACCGAGGGCCCAGCGCCCACCGAAGTGAAGCAGGCCCCGAACCGCGCCGACATCTGGGCGCCGAGCCAGCGGCCACGGTCCAAGGCGATGACAGGGCCGAGGTTTGAGCAGACAAACTACGATCTTCAGGTATGAAGAGCTCCTGCGCGCATGGGGAAGGGGAACAGCAGCCGAGAGACGAAAGGACTAACGGATCCGGGTCTTCTAGCCGCAACCATATGCAGCGATAGAGCTCATCCACCAGCAGCCCGTCCGGTGGACTCACGAGCGGGTGGTGGTGTGTGAAGGTGGTGGTGGACCTGCCGGCCACCCCAAGATCTACATCAACACCGACAAGCCCGAGATCAGCACCTGCAACTACTGCGGGCTCCCTTTTGTGAGTATTCCGTGCCTCTTACCGCCTTGTGGCATCCTACCTGCAGAGTCGACCGACAACTAACGCCGATGTGCAGGCCAATGAGCACCACCGAAAACACCTCGAGTCGATGCCCGTGACATCGTATCCTCTCTAAATATATATGCGCCGTTGTGTGGGAGGCAGGATGGGTAAAGGCTGTTGCGGACAGGAGATCAGCTGGGCCAGAAGACAGGTGGCTCGGGAGCCATGTACATATCCGTTAAAATTCGAGGTTCCGTAAAGGAATCGCGTGTATTCGATGCGTGGTTGATAATGACTTCAGGGCGCTTCCATTTTTCTGGCCAGTGATCGAAATTGGACCTAACCTCTGATTGCAGATTTCACTCTTACGGAAAATCTCAAGAAGGCGGTGGAATGGGTGGGTGGCTTGGAGGGTGGCTGCCCGGTTGGGTGGTAAAGTTTGGTAATGACTTTATATATCAGGGTTGGGAACCAAGTCTCAAGGACCACAGAAGGCGACAACATGGCTATGTTGTTCAGGTCAAACTGTGGTCCCGTGGCGGAGTGGTCATGAGCGACACCGAAACCGACAAAAATCAACAACCGGCTCGACGACAAAGAGATTAGGACACTCGACACCGAGTCCGAACTCTTTTGTTCGAGCCGCGTTGGCATCCCTTTTTTTGCTTCTTTTTTTTTCGCCCTTGATTTACCCTCTCCATGTCCTGCCTCCCCCAGCTGCTTGTATTCTGGATAGAGATAGGAAACTGGTTTGAACACTTTCCCTTCTATTACGCTTGGCCTATCCTTCTATTGCCATGATAACTTTATGTGTTTGTAGACTTGAAACGCAATTCGTATCCCATGCCTTATCCGAAAGGAACCGGTGTCTGTCGAGAAAAAAACATGGCGGAACGGGTACTTGATACCACACACTATTCACCGCGAAAATAGTTCGATAGGCTTGACACCCTAGAGGGCGGCTTTGCCCTCAGGGTACATAATTTATTCGAGTTCCAATTCTTTCAAGCTTGATATTGTAGGTATTCATATCTACCACTGACCCTTACTCTGACAACAGCACCCCCGCCCCCCCAAGACAAACCCATTTCGCCTCGCCCCTACTCCACCAACGCCAGCGCCCCCTCCAACATAGCCACCAGGTTCGGCATCCCCAGCCCCGTGGCCGGGTCCCACCCCACGGTGCCGTTCCAGCTCGCCCACGGGATGACGGACCCGTCGATGGGCGAGCCCGTCTGCAGGTTGACGCCCGTGCACCCGAGCGCCTGCCCGCCCGTCACGTCCGTCAGCGCCGCCTGCCCGCCCGCGTACAGCCATGGGTTGATGAACCCCATCGCCGGGTGACCCGCCCGCAGGCGCGCGTCGTTGAGCAGGCCGATCAGCCCCGCCACGACGGGCGCCGCGGCGGACGTGCCGCCCGTGTAGGCGACGGCGCCGCCGGCGAAGAAGAGGTATCTGGGGGCGGGGTTGTGTTTGGTTAGCGGTGTTGCTTGTGCGTGTGCGCGAGTTTGGTTTGTATGTGTGCTTGCGGGTAACACAGGCTAGGTTGCCAGTGTTTGAGAAGCGGGTGGAGAACTTACGGAGGCGACAGACTGTGGGCCGAGATGTCGGGGAACCCGCGGCCGGAGAAGTTGGTATACTGGGAGTAGTACTCCTTGGTCTCGGGCTCGATGTGCTCGTCGAGATACTTCGCCACGGCGTCCTTCTGGTACCAGGCCTGCGGGAAGTAGTTGCTGAAGCCGCCCGAGCTCGCGGACCAGGCAACCTCGGGGGCGTAGCCTTGCGTGCCGCCCACGGCTGTGATGTACGGGCACGTTCCGGGGAACTGGGGTGTGAACTCGGGCGTTTCCTTGCCGTCGTTGGACTGGCAGGGTGCACCGACGCCTGAGAAGGTCAATCAGCCTGTGCCCAGGTCATGGGACGTAGATGCAGTCTATGGGGGAAACTGGAATCTTACCCGTGTCGCCAGACGACTCGATGACTGTGATTCCTCTCAGACCCATCATGCCAATGAGATTGCAGACGCGGATGGCGTACTCCTTGGGAACAGTCTATACAATTCTGTCAGCAAAGTCTGCGAGAGGTCCGCGGGAAGACGCAGCCTACCTGTTCGTCGTCTCCGTATGAATTGGAGATGACTTGTGGAAGATCTGCATTCGTCTGGTTCATCAAGAATTGGTAATACTCGAGATATGGCTCGTTCGTATTGTTTTCGTCGTCTGGCACGTCCGGGTTCGGGACGAAAGGCCTGGGAGAGTCGCAGTTAATAACCGCTCGGACCGGAGCGCCGCGACCATCGGGAGTACTCACGGTTTCCCGGCCGTGATGAACTCGGTAATTGGTAGGGTCTTTGCAACCGCAGCCATGAACTGCGAGTCAAGATTCGCCTCGCCATAATCGCGCTTCGGGTCCTGGTGGTCCTCTCCCCCATTGATGAGCACAACGGAAAAGTTGTTCAGAGGTAGCTCATAGGCCTTTTGATAGAGGGTCAAGTCGGTCTGGATAGCCGACTGGTTCAGGAAGCTGCCGAATCCGACCCGGCTACCGGACGTTGCGTCCTCCTTGTAGTCTCCGTAGTTGTACATCTCCTCCAGGCAGCCCGGCTCCGTGAGCCTCGCGCAGTTCAGCGACGTGTTAGAAGACTGACGGACTCCCAATACTCGCGGCAAGCCTTCCCTGCTGATGGGCATATGTGCCTTTGTCCTCCCGAAGAAGGTGGTGGGAGAGACCAGGTCGATATGCTCCACCAGTTCGTCGGGCACGGAGTACTCGAGAGTCCTTAGTTTCTCGACACCATCAACCATGAAGTTTTTGAACGAAGAGGTCAACATTGAGTTTGCCTTAGACACGGTCGTGGCGAAGTTGATGTACCAGCCGAAGTCGGCGAATTCAGTGACACCGGCATCCTTCAGCCAGGCCATGACAGCAGCCCGGGAGGCTTCTGAGGGACTGAACAGCTGGTTGACTTCGTCCGCGTCCAAGTACTTGCCGTAGTCAGGGCTCCCCGGTGTTGATACTGCCTTGAGCTTCTCCTCCAGCCCTTCGATGTTTTGGAGCTTGAGCCCGACCTGCAGCGTCATGGTTGTGTCGTCCGCGGGGATGTTCAACATATGGACAGATGCCGGTAGTGCTATGGTCTTGGACATCAAGGTCGCCCCATTTGCGACGGTCCATCTCGACGCGCCAGCCAGCAAGCTGGCCCTGAAGAGGGTTGACGAACGCATGTTGACTTTAGGCGCTGCTGAGAATGTAACAGACCCAGGCCAGTATCGAAGACCGGAGACAAGCTGGTTCGCTGGGCGCTGTCCTCAACCAGACCCGCAAATGGCAACTGCTGGGTTCGCCTTCGATTCAATGGGTCGTGGGAGAGGTCAGACGGCAGGGATGAGAAGAAGCTCGCCATGGGCGCGCCCCTGGGAGGAGGGGGTCTTCATTGATATACATCGGGCCGACCACTGGTGGCCGAGAAGGCAATGTAAGGAAGGCATTGAGCTTGCCCAGATCCTCCACAGCTTGCAATTATGATTGCCTTGGCAAGTGCCCTGATTGTTAAGTGCGCGTGCGGGGGATAGCTTCAATCATGTTGGCATCGTTTAAACTCCAGCTCCAGGCACGTCTTGATTAACCAATTACAATCGTCCGGCTCATCTCCCGCAGCTTTTCATATACAAGGGCAGTCGGGGGCCAAGTCAAGGTACTGGTTGTTTTTCATTTATTTGGGGGCGTTAAGGCAAGCCGTCTCGGCAGAGCATAAAGTGTGGTTGCAGCATTATGCATGAGCTTATATTGCCATGCTCCGCATCTTGCAGGTAAGGTACCACCATACTCTGGGATTAGAAGTCTCGTAGGTACAAAACAGAAAGCGCGAGTTGGCGGATCTTGGCTTCCATCGCCATATGCCATTATTAACCCAAGCATCCAGTACTTCAGCCCTCAGCATTCAGCATGATAACTACAACTACTCTGCTCGAGTCCGCGTCGCGCTTCAAAACGAGGACTGCTATTCCAACTCGGCCCTCAAAAGGCTGGACAGAACCCCGCGGCGTCCATTTCCAGTCCAGCCATTCCAGATTACATTATCAATTAGTCCTGGACCACGCAAGGTATCCAAGACTAACGCAAAACGATGTCATAAGCCAATGCAAAACTGCCCAAGGAAAACCCGTGTTGCCGGTCAGTCTGAAATACCTACGATATTGGCATACACTGGGCCGGCGTGGTAGAGCTGTAAGGTGTTCGACTGGCTCTTGACGACTGGCAGGTGCAGTTCCGGGTTCGCAAAGGTCGTCGGGTAGTTCCAGGGCGCAGTAAAGTTCCTGAAGGGCATCGTCAGTCGGGAGGGTCATAGGATCAGACAAAGGACGCCAACGTACTCGGAATCCCGATAATGGTGGGCCAGCTCCAGGGTGAAGTTCTCGGCCGTGTCGAAGGTGTCGAACCTCATCTGGAAATACGTTGGGGGCGCTACAAGACACCGGACAAACTGGGAGTTGTAGGTATTCTTCTCGCCACTGACACTGGTCGCCCCGTCCCACGACCACGTCGAAGAGCAAGTGCAAGACGTCACATTGTTTTCCCTAACCGAGTTGGGATCGTGCCAGTCGACTGTTTGCGCATAGTAGTATCAGTGCCGGCAGACACCAAATCGGGGAGAGGCCGACAGGCTTACATCGGAGCTCGCAGGAGAACATCTCGTCGGTGGTCTGACGATCGCAATCCATGCTCAGCTTTGTGAGGACAAAAGGCTGGAAATTGAACTGGGCGTTCTCCTTAAGAGCTATCCGCTTTCCATGGGCTCCTCGCGTCGAGTATGGCGGCAATGCGGCGACAAGAGGTAGGACCACAAGGCCTAGCAAGTGTGAGGCGTGCATGGCTCGCAAGGGACTCCAATGCGGAATGGTCTTGTATGCCGTTTACGAGGGGATTCGACTGAAAGACGGTGTCCGGGCGAACGACGCAAGGCTGAAGAAGGCGCAAGACTGGGAAAACGACACCAGGGATGGTTAAATACCAAACTTTTCAAGGCTCCTAGTGTTTGGTCGATGGAGCTGCAAAACTAGGGCCGGGGAGAAAGCGAAGAGATGTCTTAGGTTGGGCCTATTCCATCTTGGCTGCAGCAAAGTCTCAAGAAACGTACATACATATAGTAATAGATATAGCAGAGCGGAATGCAGGAGGCGCAGCAGATCAAGCAAATGAAGATCGGAGAGAAGGAAGACCACGAGCTCGAGATGGGGTCTGCCGTCGATCTGGAGGCTCCACAACAGCACGTCAACGCACGACCAAGACACGGTGATCACAACCTACCAAGGTTGTGAGATATAGATATATGGGATAACGGAAGGGAGGAGCGTCTCGTCGGAGACGCTCCCACTTCTTGCAGCGAAAGCCGCACACATGGTCGGGGCTCTCGAAGTCACCATGGCAAATCCACTCCCTGGTGCGAAATATAGGGGATTCTGGACCCTGATTCTGGGGTGCGGGCATCATCTCGAATTCCACGGGATGACCAGGCTCAGATGCTGGAACCTGGTGGTGGATCAACGGCCAGGCGCTTCGGGCTCAATTTCAATTTCGTCCAATCGTGACCTCCCCCCTGAGAATCACTGCCCTTTCTGTCATCCAAACGCCTCTAACCGAAACCGACCTAGTTGCTGGCAGCACAGTCAGCAGGTTGCACTGCCCAAACCCGATCCATGCTTTCTAGAAATATAGATCAATTGGTATATTAGGTAGTTGAGCTTCTATCACAAACAATGGCTAGCCCTACTGGCAGGAGGAGGTATAAATAAGGTAACTGACATCTCCAGTTGCCTGTCAAATATCATCTTGCTTACCTTGCTCTAAACTATGCAGGGCGTGCAGGAATACTATCAGATCTTCTAAAAATAATAAGACAACAGCGACGTCTCAGCCTAGGCAGGTGACATCATTCTTGCAACCTCAGCTACGGCTTCCTGCACTGGCTGCTTTGCTGCACCTTTAATGCAACTGCCAAACTCAAAGCTGCTGCTCGGGTCTGAGTTCCCAAAATGCAGACCCCTGGTCTTTTTTACAAAGCTATAAATCGCACCTCTGTTTTCGCTGGCCAAGTGAAGTTGATATCTGTATTGTTTCTGCAATACGTGTGCATACAGCCATACATCGCACTGAGATGGTAGGGCGAAGTCGGGGGAATGGGAATGAAAATACATATACACGTGGTTGCCCCCTGCTGACGGCTCAGGCAGCCATTTAAGGCATTTAGACACCCTCTACGTTGTAAGTTCTAGGTTGTTGGTTGCAGCCTCAAGGTTAAGAACCTGGAATTTACTTGAGCTTAATTATTAGGCAGGTAGCTTCTGGTCAGCGAAATGCTGCCTCTAGATTTCAGGCACCGACAGGACATTTACCAGAAGCTGGAGCCACAAGGGGTCTGAATCACTGGACATATCAACCAGTGACACTTGACTCATGCCAGGTTTGAAGGATCTCTCTAGGAATATGCGACAGTATGCATTCCACAATAATACCTGCCAGGTGGAGAAGATAGGTAGGTACCAAGCTAGGTCAAGTAAGTAGTAGTAGTGCAGCCTCTTGAAAGTTTCTGAATCTATCTTCCATTCAAAAGACATGACTTGATGTCAAGTCAACCATTCACCATGATTCTTGAATGTGGCCTGTGCAGTTCCAAAGGTAGGTTATGGTACATCCTTGGTGTCCGTGCTCTGTCTCTGAGTCAAAGAGCACGTCGTAGTGTTGGTACTTGGATCCAGAGAGGGGTCAGCCAAGCCCACCGCGTCTCTGTAGGTTAGGTGGTTTTTGGAGTTTAGGTTTGTTCCAAACTGCGCAGGTGGTTGCTCAGTCTGGGAGGCAGAAGCAAAAATAAAATTCCATACTTCAAGTCTTTTTCTCCCTCCCAGTTTTCCCACCAACATCAGGTATCAGCATCGGCATCGGCATCGGCATCAGCATCAGCATTCAGCATCAACATATTTCCGGAGCTGTGCCTGATCCGCCATCAGCCCTCCCACAAATTGCAGGACTTTGCGCATCTTGCCTGCGGGGACCCAGACTGATTTGCACAAAAAATAAGCACTGCGCGGCGCCTATCAATCCCGGCACCGAAAACCACTTCACAATAGGGTGGATTTTAGCTGCTGTGCGAATCTCCCCGCTGCCTGTGCTGCGTGGTGACACCAGGAGATGCGCAGCGATTAATCCCGTTGTTTAGCCTCACCTCCGGCTCACTAATGCACCAAAAATTTCATGCCCATCCTCCCCTCGCCTCAAAGTCACCCCAAGCTGACTTCCACCACGACGCTCCAACCCGGGCCTTCACCACCCCCTCTGCCGACCAGGAGCTGCAAAGGCAGCTCACCTTCACCACGTCTTCCCAAAAGAAACGGAGGATTACCCGCCCGTCGACTGAGGAGCACGAGCAGGACCAACAGCAGAACACGAGTCCCTCAGACCAAGTCCTGCCCTCGACAGAAGACGAACCAGATCCATCTTTTTCCTTCTCGACCACCTCCCCCTCTGGCTTCTCCACGCCAATCTATGTCCGGGGCGACTCATTGCCTGCCTCTGGCATCCCCCCTCGACTGCAAACCAACCACAGTCTCCGCTCCGTAACTGCCACCGACTACACCTCATCTGCAGCCAGTTCCCCCTGCGCTGCCTCTGCCGACCTCTCCATCGACAACGATCGCGGGCCAGAATTCCTTGATTCTGGCGCAGCCCTGCCACCCTCAAATCTGACAGGTGCCAGGGCCCAGTCTGCTCTGGTCAACACTCCCCACCGAGCCGTCATAGGCGGAGCTGCCGACCTGCACCAACGATCCTCATCGCCGCTGAAACGCCGAGCTTCCAGCATGGATCCTCCGCAAGGCATCGCGGATGTGAAGGAGGAGGATGTGGACATGATCACCATTCCAGAGGCACAGCGGCAAAAACAAGATCAAGATTCCCCGAGGGAGGAATCCCAGTCGGGAGTAGGCGATGCGACCGGCGCCGAGACTGGGAGTACTGATTCACAGCAGACCCTGGCTCCCGAGCAGGAACTTCCCATCCGGACTGGTAACCCCACCCACACGAGCATGCTGATGGACCCCAAGCTTACCCAAGTTTCAGATGCTGTGCCTCCTGTTGCTGAGCAGATCAAGACCATCGAGATCCTCGTGAAGCGATTTGCAGAGACACCAGTACAAGAGGGGGACACTGCTTACTTGGTATCGAGGCAGTGGCTCGGCCGGGCCCTAGCACTTGGCTCAAAGGGTGCTACGAAGGAATTATCGACCGACTCTTCCTCAGGGCCAGGGCCAGTCGACAACTCAGACATCATCCACTCCATATTTACCGATGCGACTGGCGTAGAGCTCGTCAAGCTGAAACCTGGGGCGGGCGTTGAGAACTTTGAGCTCTTCCCCAAGGAGGCTTGGGACCTGTTGGTCTCATGGTACGGCCTGGCGGCCAGTCAGAAGCCCATTGCTCGGACAGCACACAACACGGCGCAGGACTCGATAACCCCCTCCAACGTACAGTTCGAGTTCCACCCCCCAGTATTCACCATCCACAGGCTATGGTCGGCAAACAGCCCTCTGCCCATCGAACAGCAGCTGAAGGAACGGAACCCAGCACCGGCTGTCATAGTCCACAGCACTGCGTTTAGATTCCACGACTTCCTCAAGCAGGTAAAGCAGCATGCAGGGGTAGCTCTGACCCAAAAGATTCGTCTCTGGAGAGTGCTTCAGACCCTCCCCACCGACGAGCCCTCGAGCAAGCCGTCGGGGATTTCCACGCCTCCCGATTCTCCCGGGCGTGATAATAATGCCACTGGCACTTCCTGGCCACGCCTCCTCCTTGAGGTGGACCACTTTGTGAAGCTGGAGAGAGGCGTCGAGAGGGATTTGGTGGAGGGCAACGACACAACACATTATGCCAGGTACAATGGGAATAGGTCCCTGGCGACGGTAAACCTCACGGTAGACCAGACATTGGTCATTGACGAGTACGTTGATAACAACATTAATGTCTCAAATTACCTGCCAAGAGGGGCTGGGAAGGACACGGCCTTGGCCCCGCGTGGCAGCTCATCCAGCCTCATGGCCCAGGCCCGGGGTAATGCGAGTGGGAGGAGCAGCCCTGCGCCCCAAGGGCCGGCCACCAGGGGTCGAACCCAGCAGCAAAAGTCGGGACGGACAATCGGCTGTGTTGGCTTGCAAAACCTGGGAAATACTTGCTATATGAACTCGGCCCTGCAGTGCGTCCGCAGTGTCGAGGAACTCACAAAGTATTTCCTGTCCCGCGAGGCCGAAAAGGAGATCAATCCGGACAACCCCTTGTCGCACAACGGCGACGTTGCTAGAGCCTACGGCCGACTACTCCAGGAGATATACAAAGACCCCCCGCCCTCCTCAGTGGCGCCAAGGCAGTTCAAGGGCGTCATCGGGCGGTATGCGCCATCCTTCTCCGGGTATGGCCAGCAGGACTCCCAGGAATTCCTTGGCTTCCTTCTCGACGGCCTCCAAGAGGACTTGAACCGGATCAAGAAAAAGCCGTACATCGAGAAGCCGGACTCGACTGACGAGATGATCAACAACCCCGAGGCTATCCGAGAGATGGCAGAGAAAGTATGGGACATCACCAAGAAACGCGACGACTCAGTCATTGCCGACCTCTTCACCGGCATGTACAAGTCAACCCTTGTCTGTCCCGTCTGCGCAAAGGTCAGCATCACTTTCGACCCCTTCACCAATCTGACCCTCCCGTTGCCCGTCGCCAACGCGTGGAGCCGGCTGGTCAAGTACTACCCTCTCAACGATGCCCCGGTCCATATCGCCGTCGACATCGACAAGAACAGCAGCTTCAAGGTGCTGAAGGGATTTATCTCGGCTCGCGTGGGCGTTCCGGTTGAGCGACTCGGCGCCGCAGAGGAGTACAGGAACAAGTTCTTCAAACTGTACGAGGATGCGTCCTCGGTATCGGAAGAGGTCCAGGCCAATGACCTGGCGGCCGTTCACGAGCTGGAAGCCGTCCCGACAAACGTAGGCATTGCCCCGAAGCCCAAGAAGAAGAACCGGTCGCTTCTCGACCTAGAGGCCGAACCCGAAGATGTTTCCCCCCCGTGGGATGATCCAGCGGCCCAACGGCTGCTAGTTCCCGTCGTCCATCGCCTCATCTCTGAAGAATCCGGATACCAGAGACGTGCTGCTCGCAAGGGCCCGCTAGCTTCGCCTCCGCATTTCATCATGTTGACGCCACAAGAAGCCCGTAGCGAGGATGCAATCCGCCGCAAGATTTTGGAGAAGGTGGCCACGTTCACGACGTGGCCCGAGTTCGCGAGGATGGACGAGTCGGAGACGACGGACAACACCGATGCGGATATAGTGAATACCTCATCGGATGCCGACTCGGCTGGGGATTCCAACGTCGTCGCAAAGTCTGTCGAGGGCGAAGAGGGCTTGGTCGACGTCACCATGAACGACGTCGATAACAACCAAAAACCCGCCGCTTCCCCGGCTTCCCAAGAGTAAGTTGCCCACTCCCAAGGCCCGTCGGGACGCCCCAATTTACTGACCCGTCTCGTCCAGGTATCCCCACCTGCTTAAGAAGTTCAACAGCCGCCGGCCTAAGTGGTTGGACCCCCGCCAATTCCTCGACCCTAACCTGCAGAATCTCTTCGAGCTGAGCTACTTTACCGAAGGCAACGCGTCGATCCCCAACGGATGGCAGGTTGTTCAGGACGAAAATCGCATGCCGAGGTTGAGCACGAGGCAGCCCAAGCAGGAGCTCCTGGAGCTCGAGGATGCGCAGGGTGTGGGAGCGTACCCAGCTTCTGACGACAGCGGGAGCGAGGATGCCGCCTATCCCGAAGCCAATCCAACCACGCGCATGGTCGACGAATCGAGCGAGGAAGATTCCGACTTCCCCAAGGCCAAGGTATGATGATCCTGTGGAGCTTTATCTCCGGCCCGTGTGAACACCATATAACCCGGGGGAGGGAAGAAGGAAAACTCGAATGCTAATGCTTCTTCTGTCTAGAATCTAAACCCGCGTCCGAACGGCAATAGGTTCAACCAAATTAGCGGCCGGAGCAAGAAGAAGATGAAGCCTCACAAGACCTATGGTAAAAAGGGCAAGAGACGTCTAGCGAAGCAATTGCATAGCTCTTATCGTGAACCGTCTCCGGATGTGGCGGATTCGGAGGTATCAGACGAGACAGAGGGCGGTCCCCTCGTCCGCCTCGGCGAGGGCCTTGTGGTCGACTGGAGTGAGCAGGCATGGGATTGCCTCTTCGCTGGAGATCCCCAGGATGACATGCGAGGCATGCCGACCTTTGTTGATGTCCCGAAGCTTGACGATCCGGCGCTGGAGGCCAAGAAGAAAAAGGTTCAAGCACGCCGCAAGCACGGTATCAGCCTAGATGACTGCCTCGCCGAGTTCGAGAGGGAGGAGATACTGTCGGAGCAGGACACGTGGTACTGCCCTCGCTGCAAGGAACATCGCCGTGCGACCAAGAAGTTCGACCTCTGGAAGACTCCGGACATCCTGGCGGTCCATCTGAAGCGATTCAGCTCCGCCGGCTATCGTAGGGAGAAACTAGACATCCTGGTCGACTTTCCGGTCGAAGGCCTGGACCTGAGCCAGCGTGTCATCCACAGGGAGGACGGAAAGCAAGAGGTTTACGATCTCATAGCTGTCGATGACCACTGGGGAGGTTTAGGCGGGGGACACTACACGGCATTTGCCAAGAACTTCGTCGACGAACAGTGGTACGAGTACAATGGTATGTCGGGACCGGACTTCCTCAATAGTCCTCCCTACTTTCACACAGCATCGCTAACAAGCTTTGGTAGATACTTCCGTATCAAGGCAGAGCGACGTCTCAAGGATTGTCACCAGCGCCGCGTACCTGCTCTTCTACCGGCGACGCTCAGATACCGCCCTGGGCGGACCGAGGTTCCAGGAAATCCTGAGCAAGTATAACAACCAAGCCGACCAAGCCGACGATGACGAAATGTCGGATTCGGGGGAAGGTCAGCGTCTCGGCCAAGGCTCCTCCCTTCGTGGGTCGTCGAGCGCTTTGACAGGAGCCGGTCTAACTCCCCAGGACGGAGATCGTGGTTCGGCTAGCGGCTATACCGATGGGCTCGGAAGGTCTATCCATTCGGAACCTGGCGTGGATAGACCTCCCGCGTACACGGCAACCTACAACAGCAACCTCGAGGAACTTGTCGAGGCCTCCGACGATGCCTCTGGGGACGCCCCCGACGCCGAGTCCATGTCGGGGATGGGTATTATTCAATGGGATAATAGCCCCGTCCGTCACAGTCCTGAAGCGCCCGCGGAGGATGAGGGCATCGATATGGAGGAATTCCGGGGACCTAGCGCCCGCCAGAGCACAATTGACGCCATGACCAATGTCATGTCAGCCAACTGGAACTTCCATGCCCTGGACGCCCGGGCTCGATCCGAAGCCGAGAGTGATTTCGACGACCTCGCAAGTGACAGGGCCCAGAACGACTCCTCGGACGACGGTCGGGCATCTTTTGTGGCAGCCGGGGACCACCCCGACGTGGACCCGATGCTCGAAGATAATCCAGAGCCCGGTGCCGACTACGTCCTGCCCGATCAAGCCGAACCCGACTCCCCGCGGTACAACCTGCCGCCGCCGCCACCGGCATTCGATGACCAGGCCCACCTGCACCAGATCACCGAAGGAGTCTGGGACAGTAAGGTATATAAGGTCCCTGTCGACCTGGGGGATCCGGAAGATGATGCGAGCGACAAGGTTTATGAGATCCACCTCGGAGACGAGAAGGTCGACAAAGCGGATACTAAGAAGGTCTAACTTCTCGCCTCACCGTCGTCATCCTTCCTCCCCTGGTCGTCGTTCAGGGACTTATTCGCTGGCGGTCGAACTCTGGGTTCTCCCTCCAAAATCCTCACCGTTTCGGGCTCACTACCGGCCTGGGCAGGCTGCGAGCGCTTCATCAAATAGTACCTACCAAGGATTGGAGACTACTTTCCACCTTTTGCCCAACCACTCCCATGCTTTAGGTAGTGGACTGGCAATGAATACCCGTGTAAAGACATCCATAGCTCACATATCCCATACCCCAAGCATAACATGCATATACACATACCTAATGACAAAGAAAGAAAAGTACGAGGGGAGGGGAAAGGGGGCATCAGCATGGCATGACAGATTTGTAGATGAGGCCGGGACATACGGTGGTTCGGCTTGGCAAAGGCGGCGGATGGGGGGTTTATCTCCCCCTTTCCTTTTCTTTCTCGTCGGTGGGGGTTGGGAATCTGCATCAGTTGGCCTCTCGTGGGACGCCGTGGCTTTTTTATGGCCCATTAGGTACTCTCTCATGGTCCGTCACTGCCATACTCATGATGGGTGGAAATAGAATTAAACATTACTCTATATTGTCACTTCGTTATCTAGGAGTGGTTGTAACGTGGGCCAAGGGGGGCATCAAGACATGCCTCCTTCTATCAATGGGTGATGATGGGAATGTTGCGTCCCCAAGTCCTTTTATGTCTTCTATCTTGGCTCCTACTTCTGATTTCCTGGGGCTTGAAAACCTGGGTTAAGTCGCCTCGGCCAACTCCTTATGTGAGTGTGAACGCAGACGTATCACCGTACTTTCTTCGTCGCAACTACTTGGGCAGCCCTGCCAGGCTGGATCAAGTTTGTTTACTCGGCTCTCCTTTGTACCTGAGCTATAAGTCTTCCCCCCCCGCATTAGCCAGACCTGAGTTGTGGATTGTGAAAAGCAACCGAGGGCTCCATGTACCTGGCCTATGATGTGCTAGCGAGGAGAGCAGTTCTTTCTCTTGTTGAGACCGATGCCAGGGAAACGAATGGATCGGTGGCAAAAAGAAAAACCAAAAGAAAAAAGGTGGAAAAGGAGAGAGACGGCGTCGGCCCACATCTTGGCGAGCACTGGCGTGAGGAATTGCGGCCGTATCAGTCAGTCTCAACCTCAACCGAGTGCTACTCGGCAAGGTCTTTTGGCTTCGAGGTTGCCAGGGCCTTGTTCTTCTCGGAGCCAATCTAGCAGGACTTCGGGGAAACAACCACTTGGTGGCCACGAGATTCGAGTAACCAATTCCATGGTCAGATGATTGGCACGATGAAGGCCAGCGAAAAACACACACACAGGTCATGCCAGCGGCTCCAGCTTCCGCCGCCTTAAGCCCCAAGAACCACCTGCGAGACGGGGGATGGTCCCCAGGTCAGGACGGGGTGCGCGCCTGGTATCCGCTATTCAGAGTGTGTCAGGACCGGGACTGCGGGAGGGTGATCATGCTGCAGGGGTCAGAATCTTGGCTTGCCGCCACTGGCGATGGCTGGGAGATGTAATGTACAGATTATTGTACGCAGGTCCCGACTGGGAACGAATGATCCTTTAGCCGCCCAGATGAGCGAGACGCCCAGAGTGAGGATTCCGACCTGGACTGCTTCGTGATGGATGAGCCAGACAAGCCGGGAAAGTTCAGAGCCGGGAAGGTTGGGGATCCTTGGGGGGAGATGGATCAGCAGGGTTGAAACGTGGAGGAACATGTCAGATGGACGACGAACCGAATTAGTGGGAGTGGGAGTGGGAGCTGACAGGTCTTGGTGCCATCCGAGGGCTTGCCGATATTCAGCTTTCAGAGCCCTGCCAGTGCTCGGCTATGAGGGCGCTGACCATTGGCGGGCTATGTATTGTGGGAAGAGTTAGAGTTATTAGTTCGGGCTTTATTTATGACGCTTATCTCTCGGCCGTAGCAACACTCAATTTCTCTCCGCACAGACGGGCTGGATGGTTTTGTTTCTGCTAGCGCTGCAGCGGTTGAGGCTCTGAATGGCGTGGCGTTGCTCGCATCAGTGCCGTGGTGACTTGATGAAGCCAAAGCTGGCAAGCGTACCAAGGCTTCGGGGTGCATGGTTCTCCCCCTCGGACCCCAACATCAAACGGCCACAGATGTTTCCAAACCCCTTGCATTGCCGTCATCGCTGGCCTGATGCTCAGCGACCCTGATAGGCCAGCCAGCCAATCATCATTGTCGCCGACTGCAATCAGGGACCTCGATGGCCGACCGCGAATGATGGAGAACAGCAATGAGGTAACAGCACGTTAGGTGCGCGGCTAAAAGAAGGAGGGGTGTTGCGCCCTGTCGTATGGCCAGCCGAACGGGAAGATCGAGAAATGGCAGGGTTACTAGAGCCGAGAAGAATAAAATGCGCATTATAAAACGGCATATAGATTAAGATCCGTGACTAAATGACGAGTATACTCTGTTGCAAGACGGCCATAGGGCAGAGGTAGACCTAAGAAGGCATGTCTATAGTGCCCAAGCCTGGTTAACGTTTGAGTCTGGCCTGCCTGCCTCACTACCTGAAGTACCCAACTGTTAGTTCGTGACTTTTGCAGCTAGGACGTTCGGCCATATATAGAACCTACTCAGCTACCGCCTCCCTTTGGCAAGATACTTAGGTAGACGGTCTGCGCATAGTTGCAGTCGCTGTTGCTGTTGCTGTTGCTGTTGCTGTTGCTGTTGCTGTTGCTGTTGCTGTTGCTGTTGCTGTTGCTGTTGCTGTTGCTGTTATTAGTCGCTCCTGCCGTTGCTGTCAGTAAGTAGACCCAGCTGAAGAACCGCGCTAACAATTTTCACGGTTCTGGACTAATGTAATGTACTAGCACGGGAGCATTGGGGAAGACAGACAGCTTCAATTATTGGCTAGCAGGTTGCGAAACGGCAGTTGTGAATCCCATCACCTCCCATCTCGTGCTTGAGTTTAGCCATGTCGTGCTCGGCTTGCCACACAAGGTTAGGTAGAAACCTAGGAAAGGGTAGGATGCTGAGTGGGAATCTGATTCGATCGACGATTGCTCTGTTCATTCCTGTTGGTTACCAACGGTATCGAACCCTGGATAAGGAAGGTGGGTTTTTTTGTATTATATACGCATAGGTAAGTAGTACCTACACTACCAATGGAACAGCAGCTCCGAGAGGGGAAGGCTTTTATGGAGAATGCCGCCTAACTGCGGCGTACGCATAGGTACCCATCGCCCCAAGAGCGGGTGGCAGGGAATCTCGTCGGGGCCCATCCCATGTGCGATGATGATGCAGCACTCTTGTGCGATCGGCTCCTCGGAATTTTGCCACAAAGATCTGACCCTCTTATGGCCCGAACGCTTGTAGAAATGCAATATCGATCACTACTTACCTTCAGAAGTTCCATGTCATTTGCCTTTTGCCATGCCAGGCATGCTAAGGATGTCTTCCCCCTATTCTCCGCATAGAATAAAAATTATGTGCGAAATTGGGGGCAGGAAGCAAAAGATCAAGATAACGAGACAATTGCCCTAAAACAAAGGGGGGGGGGAAAGAAACAACAAGAACAATCGGAATCGGGAAGACAGAGAGCAAGGGCGACATACGGAAAGGCAGTCTGCGGTTGGTTGAGTTGGCTGTCATATCTTCCATTCTTTTCTTCCCTGCGACTTTGGCAAGCGATGGTTTGCTGTAGCGATGACCTACCAAGACTACCTAGCCGGGCACAAAGTGTTGTCTAGCGTTTCGAAGCCTGCAGCGGGCTTCGATGCTTGTTCTCGAAGACGGCCAGAAGCCTGGGGTTCATTGACGGCCCACTAGAATCCCGTACCCGCACTGACGCCTCGCTGCCAGGCACTCCACTCACGGGCCACTGGCCATCCATTCTTTCCCCCTTCTGTGCTTGGGATGAGGTACCGACCATTCACAGCCACTGCGTAGTACCCGACACTACCTAGTAAGTAATTAGTACAATTAATACCCACCAAGGTATCCATCCACCCATCCTTCCTCCTCACCTCGTGTGACCCGTCGCCCTCCACTCTTCCTTCCCTTCCGTCCTGATACAGCAGCTAGTGGGCAAGAGTTTCCATGGGCTATTCTACGCCCAATTGATACATTGTCCCCCCCCCCTTCAACCCCCACCCTCCCGCCAATGCCGACGTGCCTTCTACATGGTGCAAGTCGGGGCAGGCCTGTTGATAACCAGACAATACCGCACGGATTGGTTCGAAACTTCCTTCCCCCTCCGCCGCCTCCCACACTATTCACATTCCGACCTCCGAGACAAAGCATTCTCTCCATTCCAGTAACTGCCTCAATTAACCCAGTTGTGCGGCGTCCCAGAGAGACCCGACGCTCGATTTAAGCCACTGGTAGGCATTGCGGTACAGGCACAGTGGAACTAACGCCTTCCCTGACTGCCTGCTGCTTGCGAAGCCGCCGCCAGAACGTCTCGACACCCCCCAAGACGTCGCGCACATTGCTGCCTAGTAAATGCGATGAGATATCGGGAATCTCTACGGCGCAATAAGACCCTCCTCCCTCGTGCCGTTTCGACCGTACATTCACACGCTTGCCCTTATCGGCCCCCGAGTCCTCGACGCTTCTTATCGCAACTCGAGCGTGCGTCGGGCGTCGCGCACCTATCCGACTCGCCAAATATTCTTCCTCGCCTGCAATTATATCGTCGCACATAGTTGCGCCTCTTTTTTGCCTTTTCCGACGCGACTGGAGCCGGCACCCTGCTTGACCATCGACCTGGTCAGCCTAAAAACAGACGGACCTTGGCTGGAGTACATCTTGATCAGGGAATAGGGTCCGATCCCTGACCTTCTCTCATTGTGGCAAAGGCGTACCTAGTCGCAAGACTTGGTCGCCTTTAGGAGCCACAATGGATCATGCCACCTGCAATGTTCTATACGTTGATCGCAACGTGCGGGAAGACAGGTACTTGAATGCGTCGAAAGGCGATTCAGCCGCTGGAGCGGAGTGGGAAACAGAACTTATCGCGGAGAATGTCAAGCTGCTTCTTCATGTCTTTGGTGAAGGTTCGTTCTCATATCCTGAATTTTGTCCCCGCACACTGCCAGATTAACCATTTCTACCAGTCCACCTGATCAGCACCGGAGGTGCTTGCTTGTCGCAATGGCTCGATCTTCAGGATACCTCCGTGATCGAACTGAAGCCAACCCTCATCATCATAGATACCCCGTATGGAGATCGGCTACCAGAGAGGGCACGATCTCGGACGCCGTCCCCGCGTTCTCTGCCTTCACCGGAAGACGGAGAGGGCCAGAATCATGAGGAGGAGCTGTATGGTCTGGCGCTGCTTCAGAGGATAGTCTCCGAGTCGTACCTTCGAAACTTGTCGAAGCTGGTCGTTCCGGTCCCCATCGTCGCCTTCCCACCGTCTGATGGCTCCGACGGCCACGAGGAAACTGGTGACGCGAGGGATGAAATCGCCAATCGCAACCTTCACCCAGACGCTCCCAAGATCCAACGAACAGGGAACCGGAAGATGCTCAAGAGGTGTCTTGATTTAGGCGCGACCGATGTTATGGCCAGTCCGATGAACGTCAAGTGTATTACGAACCTCGAGGTCCACGCATACCGCGCCCATCGGGATGCCGCCCAGGATCAGAAGTCGTTGCTCGAAGTGCGACGAGGTAGGAAGCGGTCGTGGGTTGGCATAAGCGAGGAGAAGCCGTTTTCCTACCTACGCGAGGCCATGGTTTCCGGGCTCATGAATCGCATATGCCGTATAGAATCCGGGCTCGACGATCCCGTCGGGGTCAAGGTATCAATCCCCGTCCAAAGACGGGCCGCAATAGCCGACGCCGTTGGCCGTTGGCATTTCTGTGCCCACGACTTTTCCGATGACGAGTTGATCGTGGCTGCTTCCGTCATGCTTAAGCACGCCCTATCCATGCCTGAGTTGGAACAATGGCGGATACCAACAGGTAAGTGTGTCCCATGCTCTGTTTGTTATATGCATGCACGCATGGTATTCGACAGCCAACTAACAAGCGCCTCGCCTAGACCAACTTCACAGTTTCCTGATTGCCTGCAGAGCCGCCTACAATGCCTTTGTTCCATACCACAACTTCCGCCACGTTGTCGACGTCTTACAGGCTACCTTTAGCTTCCTGGTCCACATTGGCATATTGCCACCGTTTCCATCCACCGGCCCTCCATATTTGACCCCGAAGAAATCACCCATCGCCGAGCTCCTCGAGCCCCTCGACGCCCTCACCCTACTCGTCACCGCCATCGGCCACGACGTTGGCCATCCCGGCGTCAACAACGGCTTCCTGACCAAACTGAACGCTCCCCTTGCGCAGCTATACAACGACCGTTCGGTCTTGGAGTCCTTCCATTGCGCTGCCTATTCGCAGATCCTGCGCAGACACTGGCCAGGGGCATTCGAGAACTCGAGGATGCGCAGCCTCATGATCAGTTCCATATTGGCCACGGACATGGGTCTGCATTTCGAGTACATGAAGAGGTTGGCAGATCTCCAGGGCAAGTTACGCGAAAACAACAGCACGGAAGGATGGAGCGCGGCGATGGTCGAGGAGCAGAAAGCCCTCACTTGTGCGCTGCTGATGAAGTGCGCGGATATCAGCAATGTGGTAAGTTTCAACTACGAGACCAAATCCGCCAGTATCTTTTCTCATAACGCATGTAGGCACGACACCACGATACGGCCGTCCAGTGGACGTACATCCTCTCAGACGAATTCTCGAGGCAGGCGTCGATGGAGGCGGAGCTGAGCATTCCCACCTCGCTTATGGCAGAGCCAAAGAAGGACAAGATATCGCTGGGGAAAGCACAGCTGGGCTTCATGAGCTATTTCGCCATGCCCTTATTCCAGGGCGTGGCAGACATCATTCCCGGCATGCAATATTGTGTCGACGAGCTGGAGGCCAACAGGGTGATATTCGAGTCAATAGTGGGGGGGGGGCAAAAAGAAGTCCAAACAAACCGGATGCCTTGTTGGGATGACAATGTCTCACCGAAAACGACGACCATGGACGTCAACCACGAGCATAGGGAGGTGCTATCGCCTGCCCCGACGGTGCTGGTGAACCGGGCATCGACGGAGAAGGAGTTCTTGACTCACCAGGTCAGCCCCGTCGACAAGCCGTCCCAGATCCCCGAATTCAACGCCGGCTACCAGGAGGTGAACGGAATCACCACCAACTTCAATTCCGTGGCCGACTTCGCGGCGAGCGATCCCTTCAACGTCAACGACTGCAACCACGACCGGCCAGGGCAGCAGCGCTGCAGCGAGACCACCGAGGGCAGCTCGGTCCCCTGCTCGGGGGACTGGGCCTCGGGGCCGACGAGCGCGACGACAGGGAAAATGCCCCTGTCGCCCAGCACACGGGGGACAAGCGTCGTCAGCAGGGACTCGACAGACCGGCCCGTCAGCGTCCCCACGACGACCACCACCGCCCCGAGTTCCGCCCTCGTGGCCACCGAGTCGGCGACAAGCGAGGCCGGACCCAAGATTGAGGTCCGCCGCGCCGCCGACGTCTCGCCGGGCGCCTGCAGGTCGCTCAGGAAGAAGCCCAGCCGATTCAGGATCAACGCGCTGCCCTTCTTCCGGAGACACAAGGGCTCGAGTCCCCCGGTGCCAGCGGCCGATACGGCGGGATGAGAGAGGCCGCCTGGTGAGAATTATATTCTACTGGGAGGAGTTTCAGCAAGAGGGAGCTAGCTCAGATGTCCAGCGACAGCCGATACCGAAGATAAGAGGAGTGTCGAGTTTGCCGCCTCCCTGCCCGCTGTCATGGTCGACGGCACGGGGCGGAGCAAGGGCCGGAGAAGAGCGCGCCATCATGAGACCGAGTCGCGACTACGATGTGGGCCATGGATGATATGGCATTCCCGGGTCAGGGATGCGTATTTCATGTGTTGTGGGGCGAGCTCTCGGAGCCCTAATGGGTTGCCTTTTCGGGACCGGGTTGCGGAAGCAGAGCGGGATGCCATCCCTTCTTCGCCAGTGCTGCAGCTAGAGTTTCTCCGCCGTCGGCACCGACCGTCGTCATACCGTCGACCTGGGTTGCCAGCCTGGCAGACACATGTACTATGGGACTCTTAAACTCCCTTGTGTCCCCATCCTCCGTTTCTTCTCTTCTGCTTCTTCTCCTCTTTGCTTTCTCCTGCTTCTATGTCCTATATCATTTTGTTCTTGTCTTATGGGGTGGGGGGCAGGCAGCGCTGGCTTTTTGTTTCAGAGGGCAGGCAGCACCCGTAGTCGCGAACTGATGCTGGGCTCGCCTTTCCAGAAACAGGCAAAGAAAAGGTGATGTTGAGTCTGGAGGACCAATGGCGTTCGGGGTTTCTAATCTGGGGTGGGGGAAAAGGGAGAAAAGGGGGGGTTGGACTTTGAAATGCGTAATGGCTGGGTCTCTGATATTTTTCTCCTTCTACTTTCTCCTTTCTCTTCTCTTTCCCATTTTGTTCTTTTTTGTTCTATAATTCCCCTCTTGTTCGCACAAGAGGCTGAGATGGGTATAACGGCTGTGCGTTGATCGTGGCTTTCGGTAATCTCCTGAGATACGGTGTATGACCTGGGCTGTGAACCTAACGAGGTGTTGGGAAAGGGAAGCGTGTATGTATGAGGTTGGAAACGAAGTCGAACAAAACGAATTAAAGTGACCTTCAATATTTATTACAACCTACCATCATCACCTGTGTGTGCTCTTTGTTACTCTGCAGTCAGTCAGTCAGTCAGCAAGCCAACTTCCCGATGCAGGGGTATGTATGCACATGGAGACATACATCATCCCGAAAGAAAATAAGACGGCATTAGAGGCAGTGGCCATAAACAAAACTCGATCTATATTGTGGTGCCTGTACCATAAACTAGTGAACCTCCCTGTGTACCAGAAGCATGAGCTCCAGTCTCAGGTGTGACGCAATCTGAGCTATCCAATACACCTCTGCTAGAGTAGAATACAACTTGTTTCTCAGGGAAACCTCCAAGACAACTTAATGCCCGAACCACTCGCCTCCCAACCACCTGTTAAAGAAATCAAGCGAGTTCTCCGGCTGGTCCATGGGGACCATATGGCCAGCCCCGTAGATACGCATGAAGGTGAAGTTTCCGCTGGCCTTGACCTTGCCGTACTCCTTCTTAGAGTGAGAGCCGGGAAGTCGGAGGTCGTCGATGTCGGCACGGTTGAAAGACTTCTGGCCGGGCCATTCCAGGGCCTCGGTCCATGCCTGGTTGCCGAGCCAGTTGCAGATGTAGTCTGCGTCACCGGCGTAAATGAGAACGGGGATTTCCTCGAGGATCTTGGGAACCAAGCGGTGGAAAGGTTGCATCCAGTCGCCCTGGAACAGGAAGTTGCGGTTGATGTCCATGTTGCAGCTATCGTAGCCGCCGACCTCGACGCCGAGAGCGTCCATGACATCTTGCTGGTTCAGGTATTCGCTAATGTAGCCAAGTGCGCTGTAGCAGAGGTTGTTGCCGTCTTCGCACTTGCCGCGAATGTCGTACACATTCTGGCCGGTGCGCTGGTACGGGCCGATCATGGCATTGTTGCAGTAGATGGAAGCCGGGACGCAACTCCAGACACTGCCGCTCTCATAGCAGTTGTTGATCAACGACTGGCAACGAGGAAGCGCATTGTCCATGCTGCGGCATTCGCTTTCGTCAAGGACTGCCGGCCAGCCACCGTCACCGCAAGCCATAGGGCGGTAGTGTTCATACTGAGTGTAACCGTCGGTCAAGCCGTTGCCAATGAGAATCGACTTCAGGTTGATGTTACGGTCCTTGTGCGAAAGGATCTCGGAAGCAAAAACAGGGATGTAATGTCCAGCGTAAGACTCGCCGGCAATGTGGAAGTCCTGCGTCGCATACTCGGGGAATTGTTGGAAGAAGAGGGTCAAAAGAGCGTAGACATCCTTGCCAGCGGCGACAGTATTACTGACCGCGGAGCCAGAATACGAGTAGCCGACATTGACGGGTTGATCAAGGAAGATGACGCTGGCGTTGGCGTTCCAGCTGTGTTCGTTATAGACGGGCCTGAGCTTCTTATCGATGGATGACGAGCCAAGCTCGAGGAAGAGACCAGTCAGGGAGGAACAGCCCGGGCCACCATTCAACCAGAGGACAACAGGGTCGTTCTTGGGGTCGTTCCGGGACTCGAAGAACCCTGAAAAGATGCATTAGCACGAGCCCGGCAGTGTCTTCGTGGCCTGAACAGGGCTAAGAGCGCCACAACTTACAATAGAACAAGTGCTTGTCATTAGCCTCGTCGTCCAGGTAACCACTGTATTGCTTCACCGTATCGATTCCCAGCTTCGAAGGATCAACCGACTTCGCACGGAGATTGTAGTTCTCAAGACGGCCGCCAACTTTGCGATGGCTCTCGCCGTTTGCGTCTTGTACCCACATGTCCTGCACGTCGGCGCCCTTGACGATGTGATCCCAGGTGTGATCGGGCCGGCGCTTATGGGGCTTTGGGCTGCTGAACCAAGTGGTATGATCGAAGGCGCTCTCGGGAACGAGCAACTTAATCTCCTCCCAGAGAGCCTTAGCCTCGGAGGTCATACCCTTCAGAGCCTCCTCGAAGCTCTTCAACGGCGACACCGAGGAGAAGGAGTCGGCGATGGGCTTGATGGCTTCAAAGCCAGTACCGAGCACCTGCTGCGCATCTTGCTGGAAGGATGCAGCCGTGGCCGCTCCAGCAAGAAGGACGGTTGAAGCAGCGATCCTCATGGCGGACCGACAGTCTGTGTTTGGATGATTGGACGTTTAATGTTTAGAAGAAAGGAAGGTTGATGATGGATGAAAGTAGGAAGGAGCCGGGGGATCGGTGGGTGTAGGCGCGGCACAGGTACGTAATAGAAGGTGAAACAGGCACTGGCTCCGAAGCTGGCCGTGGCGGCCTCGCTGCCTGGACAACTTCGATAAGCCAGGATCTAATATGGGGCTAGCACTGTGCCTGCCCAATACGGCCACGCTAGCTCCCTAGTAGCCGGGCTTATCGACAACACACAACCATTACCCCTCTTTGGCCCAAAGCTTCGCATCGTCATCGCAGATCGCCACGTTCCTGCATCCGGTGCATATCTTCTAATAAGCCTACAACGGGCCAGGAAACTGCAAATGGGCTAAAACCCAGACCTCCCTTAGCTGGGAGGACTGCAGCGTTTTCAACGACCTCAGAAATGACCTGCATTCCCTAGCCCAAGGTGAGAGAGCAGTTCGATTGCCACTATGGATCCGTGCATGCACATGTAGGTACGTATGTGGGGTTAGTTGGTGTTGAGTCACCTAGTCTGGCGATTAATGTAGGAAGGAGCGAGGCAAGGTGGGGTGATAAGTTGTAAGGCTCTTTGTACAGACGCCCAATACAGGTCAGTTTGTCTGCTTGGCGAGGTTGATGAAGCTCCTCGACTGGTCTTGCTCTGTCTCTCTTACGCACACATACAATACGTAGTACCCCTCATATACTCTCCTCTCTCACACTCTCTCGCTCACTCTCCTCTCCCTTACTCTTGACCCCGACTCTTCGCAACAATGTCGCGCCAAATCAACCAACCTTCAAACCAGATCAAGCTGACCAATGTGTCGCTTGTTCGTCTCAAGAAGAACAAGAAGCGGTTCGAGATCGCCTGCTACAAAAACAAGGTCCTCGAATGGCGGTCCGGCATCGAGACCGACCTGGACAACGTGCTGCAAATCCCAAACGTCTTCCTCAATGTCTCCAAGGGCCAGACGGCCCCGACGGCCGACCTAGCCAAGGCGTTCGGCAAGGACAAACCCGTCGACGACATCATCCTCGAGATACTCAACAAGGGCGAGCTGCAGGTCGGCGAGAAGGAGCGGGCCGCCCAGCTAGAGCGAGTCCACAACGAGGTCGTCAGCATCGTGGCAAGCAAACTGGTTGACCCGCGCACCAAGCGCGTGTACACGACGGGCATGATCGATAAGGCTCTCGACATGCTGAGCAGCCAGGCCCACCAGGACAAGGGCGGCGCCGCAGGCGAGGCTGGAGCGCCAGCGCCGGCCGCCACCGGCGAGGGCGGCGAGGGCGGCGATGCTGGCGATGCTGGCGAGGCCAAGCCGCGGCCTGCGCGGGAGAACATGTGGACCGGCGTGACGACCACCAAGAGCGCCAAGAGCCAGGCCCTGGAGGCGATGAAGGCCCTGGTTGCGCACCAGCCCATCCCCGTGATGAGGGCGAGGATGAGGCTCCGCGTTACGTGCCCCACCAACGTCCTAAAGCAGGGGGTAAAGGTGGTCAAGACACAGGGAAGCGGGAAGGAAGGCGGAGACGGGCAGCCCAAGGCTCCGGGGACGGTGAAGGACAAGATCCTCAGCTTCGTCGAGGAGGTGGATAACCAGGGCGTTGTCGAGACGGAATGGGAAGTGGTCGGGTTCGTTGAGCCGGGAGCCTTCAAAGGCCTGTCAGATTTCATCGGCAACGAGACCAAGGGCCAGGGCCGAGTTGAGGTGCTGGATATGGCTGTCACTCATGAAGACTGAACAAGGCGAACCGTTGATACCCAGATTAACGAGGCATATGAGGACCACGGAGGTAGCACGGCGTTTGGCACTCTGAAGTTTAAGACATACTGTTGGGCATATACAAATCCCAACTGTCATGAATCATGCGAGACCATCTTCCCGTCTCCCATACATTGCACAGGGTGAGCCACAATATCTACCGTAGTATGGTGTAAAAGACCAGTCACTCCTGTATTGCTGCGCTATCATTCCGGGATCCATTTTTTTCATTGTTTTCGATTTTATCAAGGGGTTTCGATTCCATCCATGCCAAAGCCATCGTTAACTGTGAACGGCGAAATACTCCTTGAATGCGAGGAATCGCGATGAATCCAGCCGTGTTCCACCCCCCAAGCCATGACGAGAGATAACACCACCAAATACCAAAGTCCAGCAGTGCCAATGAACCCTGTCCCCAAATGCGGCCGCGCGATCCGTTTAGCCACCCTTCTTCTTCGACACACCGACGGTCCGGCCACGACGCCCGGTCGTCTTGGTGTGCTGGCCGCGGACGCGGAGGCCCCAGAAGTGACGCAGACCACGGTGAGCCCTGATCTTCTTCAGGCGTTCGAGGTCATCACGCAGCTTCGAGTCGACGCCGTTGGCGAGGATCTGGCTGTCCTTGCCGTCGACGATGTCGCGCTGTCGGTTGAGGAACCAACCGGGGATCTTGTACTGGGTAGGGTTCTGGATGATGGTGACAATGCGCTCGAGTTCTTCCGAGGTAAGCTCTCCGGCGCTGTGATCAACATGTCAGTTTTGTCCAATCCTCAAATTCGGCCCGCTCGCAGCCAGTCTGGATAACAGGTGCCTAAATGGCCGCGCGAGACTCGAGGGGACTCGCGTACCGCTTGTTCAGGTCGATATCAGCCTTCTTGCAGACCAAGTTGGAGTATCGTCGGCCGACACCCTTGATCTTGGTCAAGGCGTACATGACCTTCTGCTTGCCGTCGACATTGGTGTTGAGAAGACGCAAGATGAACTGGAAGTTCGACTTGTCGCCGCTTACGAGCGACATGATGGGCAAGCTTTTGTGCGGAAGCTGCCTCGATGTGGTCGATGTTGTCGGTCGGAGAAAGTTTGAGGTCAAGATCTCGAGGGTGAAATTTTGGTGTGGTGGATTTTACAGGCTCGCTTAGCGGCTAGGGCAAGGAGAGCGCACGGACGCGAGTGGCTTGGTCACGTTACCTGTGATGACTAAGACTCTTCTCTCTCGCTGAGAAGTTCAATCAGCCGTTTCAACCACCACGCAAGTGCGAGGAATTGGTAGTTCATTGAATCAAGATGTTTATCTACATGGTGCTTTTTACTATCGAGTCTGGAGAACACCGATTAAGAGTTCCAATCTGACTCCTGCTCTTTCTTCTGGCACCCTATCTATGGCTTGGACTTCGACCACGTGCGCCACTACCATAAGGGTTTTCTTCCTCCAGTCGGTGGCGGCGGATGCCAGATGTGAAGAGTAGCCGGTGCGAAGGGCCCGCCAAGCAGGAAGGCGCAGGGTCTTGGAAAGCCACTTTCCCTGTCAGATTTTGACAAGATATGGAGGAGCGGCTGACTTTTAACGGCCTTGGCAAGTGCTCAAGGTGTATCAAGTTGTGCCCACGGTCAACCCCGCTTATAGCAATAGGGGGTAACATGACACACATGGAGTCTCTGATCAAACGCATTCAGTAAATGCGCCAGTTTGGCCACCAGAGGAAGTCACAGCCGAGTTGGCGGTAGCTGATGCTCGTGACCCTCATTGCGCACATCACTGAGCATAGGAGATCTGTGGCGATCATCAAATGATTCACATTGGTATTCTATTCTTGGATATCCGCGACACATACCTGGCACGCCGCATCATATCGCATTTCCATTCCCAGTGCAGACCGTGCTTCACCTTCCCCGAGATTAGACCTATACCAAGTTAGAATCCCGTCCTCTTGTGACAGCACACCTAGCCCCTGAGGCACCAGCCTCAGTCCTTCGTACCAGACTCCTAGCGGCTCTACCGCTAGCGCGCTGAAACATAAAATCACTACCGTCACTCCCCTCCATACCGTAACACCAAGGCTGAAGAGAAAACAAAAAAGGGATACAAAAGCTATAGAGGGCTCGAGAAGGAAAGGAAAGCCCCCTAACTGAAGGGTAGAATGGTACAGCCAAGTAAGGGGTTGAAGTAAACCACCAAGCCGCGGATGCCGCAGCCTATCAAATCAACAGGAGATGGGCATCATCAACCGCTTATCATCATAGACCTGTTATGCCGTGGCCGCAGCTGTAGCAGAACTGGCAGCTGTAGAGCCCGCCGCCGTCGCCGTCGCGGCGGCCGTGCTGCTGGCGCTCGACCGGGACGCCTGCAGGGACGCTAGGGCCGCGGAGGCGGCGCTCGCGAGGGACGGGTTTGCCACCAGGATCGTGGGCGGGATGATGGGCACGGCGGTGCCGAGCCTCAGGTTGGCCAGCTGGGCCGCGGCGGCCGCCTGGAAGGAGGTGAACAGCTGGGCTGCAGCCAGGTTGAGGAAGCTGTTGGACTGGGCGCCAAAGGAGGAGCAGTCGCTCTGGAAGCTGCCAATGCTCTCGACGAAAAGGCCGCTGTTGGAGTTGGTGAAGATAATGTTCGCCGGGTCCTCGAAGAGGAGCGCGTTGGTCGGCGCCGACGTGTTGTACGGCAGGATCGTGGAGCCGTTTAGCTGGCCGAAAGGGGCATTGGGGTCGAAGCCGGTCACGATTGGCACGCCCGTTGCGGAGGAGACGGCGGACGCAGAGGCGACGCTGCCGAGGATCCCGCCCAGGTTGAGGGTCGGCGTTGCCCCGATGGTAATCTCTTGGGCTTGGGTGACCATGACGACGATTTCCCTGTCTGGGAAGCCGTTGTCGGCGCGAAGCTGGTTCACCAGGTAGCGCTTGTTGATGTTGGCGGGGTCGCGAGCATCCACCACGTTGGTTACTGTTACGATGACCGAGTTCTAGAAGGTATCTCGTCAGCGGAAGGTGGCTCATCAATAGGGGTAAGTGGGGTTTGGCTTACAACTTGGTTGAACCGCGCCTTGAAGTGATTGATCCTGATATTGTTCTTGACCTGCTCGAGCTGGGTGGTCAGGGCAGCCTGCGACTGCACCAGCGCCGCGAACTCGGCTTCGGCGATCTTCGCCAGCTGGCTGATGGCGCCCAGATTCTGGTTCTGCACAATTGTGATGGGCTGCTCCACAATTGTCTGTTGGATGATGAGGGGACTACGCTTCTGTGTCTTCGTCCGGTGCTTCAAGCCCTTCTCTGCTGGCGTGACATCTCGCCCAACAGGTGCCGGCACTGCAACGAGACTTAGTTGGTGACTGGTATTACGGGCACCCTCAGGGGACGGCATCGACTAACCTGCTGCAGCAAGGGAAGTAAAGGCCACAAGGGCAGTGAGCATCTGATTTAGATACATGGTGACGAGAAGGATGGCGGACTGATTAGGAATCAAAAGGAAAGCAAAAAGGGGAGGGGGCGGAGAGACGGTGAAGATATAACAGCATCTAGCGGCCACTGGGGCGCTGCTACAGAATGGAGACTGAGAAGCGAACGCAAAATGGAAAGCCGTGGCGAGCAGTGATCGCACCAAGCCAGAGATCTACCAGGAAACATTAAGAAGATCATGATGCAACGGGCACCGCATTGATTTTATAAGGAACCCACGCCCGATCATAGGCGGCGGTGGTCTCGTGTGATACGGCTAATCGAGCTCGTGCTTCACGGGCCTGTCTGCCAAGAACACGGGGAAGCCATCACCGTCTCTCACCTCACCAACTGGGAAGCCAAAGTGGGAAGGGGACTCGTGAACGCGCCGGCGCTGCACTTGCAACCACAATCCTCTTCTTGGTTGTGCCGTCTGGGGGTTCGAGAAGTCGCCTGAGCGACGCTGCCAGAGGACGAAACTGGCCAATCAACGCCCGATAACAGGGGTGGGACCCCCTGGTCGACTCCAAGACGAAGCTTGTTTTGTCTCGAACTGCCGGAAAACCTCATGCGAGCGGACAACCTGCATATTGGACTTTTTTTACGCAGGTCGCCAATGGGGAAGGCGGTTCCTCTCAAGTTCTCTCCTTCCATATCGTCCTCGCTTCTATGATCGCCGTGAACGCAATCTCGGGCCTTCTGGTTGGGTTACTCGAGCCCTCCTGGCTGGACAACAGGTCAATTTGTGGGATCTGGTGTTCAGATCGCCCTCTCTCGTTTGTACTCGCCGGCTACACTTGACATACCCAACGGCCCGCAGTGGAATCTAGACTGTTGTATGGTCAAGTTGGGGAAGCGAGGACCCTGGATCACCGCTCGGGAGCACTGCGCCCCTCTTCATTTAGCTAGCTCAAGATATCGGCCCTGGTAATCTTGATGGCACTCCTTGCACAAAGCTTTGACAGACCTTCTCTCACAGCCGGAATGCAGAATATTGTAAGCTTCCATGTCCAGGGTGGGTGGGGCCTGCCTATCACGACAACTTGGGATCGTCGTCGCCTTCTCTCCTGCATATCTTCCCACTTGCATCTCGATCGGTCGATGTTTAAATGGAAAAATATACTACGAATAGGTACCTTCGTCACAAGACAGCGTATAATAGAGCGTATGTTAAATATGTAGGTTGATATGTAGGTTGGGTCGTCAACGTTGTGTAACCCTCGATGCTCCCTGCTGGAAAGGGAGGACCTGCCCTGCCCCGGGACTCCGCTTGCGACTTGTCAGCCGCAGAGTCAAAATCTACCACGTATGACCCTTATTAGACTAGATGCCCCATCGCCAGGGCCTAGTAGGCATCTCACGAAACTTGGAGCCTAAGTCTGAGGGCCTACCTACCCAACAGCAGCGATCTCCAGTAGGCCACTTGCGCCCAGCATTTACCATAGCTTGTCTTCACTCCGCGCTTGGCATCTCGACAGGGCCCGCCGTTGATGCGGTACTCGAGGTTCGGTTTGAATATCGAGTTGTTGACAGATGAGACCCTAAAACCAGATCCCCTACGTATTCTCCGGTCTATAGTATCGTATCATACACCCTAGCCGTTAAAGACATTGCCCAACCAGAGCAGCACCACCAGCACACCCGCCCGCGCCCGGGACTGCGACAGCCAAGCCGGCCCACGGCTCCCGACCCGCTCGGCGCTTCCGAGCGAGCCATCCTTCTCCGCCGCCTGTCGAGCCGGGCCACCCGCGACGCTGGCCATCGGCCCGGCCTCGTAATAGCCCTCCTTGATCCCATCCTCCAAGCCGCTCCCTGGGGCGGCAGCCGCAGCCGCGGCCGAACCCTCCCCGAACACCGCCGCGGCGAGCCTTCGCGTGGCCTCGTGCGCCAGCCAGCTCAGGCAGAGGAACGTGGCGGTGAGGAGGACGGTCTCGGAGCCGCGGCCCAGGCGCGAGAACCACCCGCCGCCCCCGCCGCCACCCGCCCGGCCCGTCAGGCCCGTCCTGAGCAGACCCGTGCCGTCGCCGGCGAGCCAGGCGTGGTGCTGGAGCAGGTACGCCTCCAGGGCCATCCGGCCCAGGGGCGAGGCCAGGAGCATGTGCATGTTCCGGGGCGTCCTGTGGCAGTTCCTCAGCACGGCGTACGCCAGGGCCGCCGCGGGGGAGATGTAGGCGTGGGCCCTGTCGTAGGCGGCGACGTCCGGGTATCGGGAGGAGAGCTGGGTGGCGTAGAAGAAGAGGAGGAGGCAGGCGAGGGAGAGCGCGGCGACGATGGGCTGCAGCGGCGGCGTGGACCGGTCGGGGAAGAAGATCGCCGCGAGGACCTTGTCGACGGCGTTGGAGGGCCGTGATCCCGCTTGGCTTGTCTTGAGCGTCGAGACGCGGTGCGCCACCCAAGCGACGAGCATCCCCAGGAAAGGTATGACGCTGTCCGTGGATATCTGGCGCCTGACAACTGCGGCATCAAGGGAGACTCGCCCCAGAATCCTGAAGACCAGGACGCAGGCCTCGACGGTGCCGGGCACGACGAGGAGAATATTGGTGGCTACGCCAACGGCCAGGAACTTGGCGAGGTCCAGCTCTGGCCTGTCGCCGAACCGCACGAGGACCCTGAATGTGGCGAAGGTGACCAAGAACCAGAAGGATATCAGCCAGGGGAAGGCGTAGACGGTCCAGTCCGACTTCAGCACCAGGGAGAGCAGGCAGCTCATGAAATTCAGGCGAAACAAGACCGCCGCGACGCGGCGGAAGCTGAAGTCGCCGGTCCTTAGGAAGTACCTCGCATGGCCATATGTAGACATGAAGATGTAGCACGCGGCGAAGAGGCGCGTGATCTTATGCAGTGACAAATACCCCGACGTCTGTTGGGAACTCATGAGTAGGAGGCCGGTCTGCATCAACCCCTTCCACTCCTCGGATTGCGGGCGAGAGAGGAAGCCGACTTCAGCCTCGCTCGGCCCGAGTCCCCCTTTCGATGGACCTGGTTTGGAACCACCAGTGGTCCGTCGGAGGGAGCAGACACTCAGCGTGAAGATCCCGGCCCAGAGAGCCGCAAGGGTGAACTCGCTGAAGTGTTTCTCGGCCTGCACTAGCGCATGGGTCCGATCGGTGAAGTAGCAATACATGGCACAGCCCAAGAGGGTTAAGGACGCGCTGAGCGTCGACTGCGAAGGCAGGTACGGAACAATGCTGCGAAGGTTCCTGCGCCTTGCCCACATGAGCGCCGGGATGATGGAGGCTGCAGTCAAGAGCAGGAGTGCCTGTGTCGTCGCGAGTGGCGGATATCCCACACAGCATGTCCTCTTGTTGGCAAACCCATGCTTTACGAGCCCGGCGTTGCACCGGACGTTCAGCACCACGTCGATCCTCCGCTCAGCCAGGCCCTCGTTGACGTGCATCCCGTTCTGATCAAAAGCCATTCCGACGTGGTCAGTCATCTGGTTATAGGCCCACATGACACGAGAGCTGGCGGGTTCAGGAAGCTCCCTCAAGTACTCATTCATCCGATCCAGACGCTGTGGGGTGAGCGTCGCCCGGCGCTCCGCCGTTAGCTTCTGATAAGACGGGATCGGGACGGGAGCCAGAAGTATCTGGTTTTCCAGTTCCCGATACTCCTTGGGCACGAGGGCGCCTGGGCCGAGGGGTTGGGTCAGGTACCGCATAACCCCGTCGAGGCTGTGCTTGAAGATGTCGAGGTACGAGTCGCCCCCGTGACGGGCGGAAAACAGTCCCGGAGCGCCCATGACCACCAGGGCGGGTTCGTCCTCGCCGACGTCCTTGGACGTGCCCCCATCCGCCCAGGCCTGGGCGCGGCGGAGCAGGTCCAGCTGCGTGAAGAGCGTGGTCGAGTTCAGCCACGGATCCCAGACGAACTGGAGCTGGACGCCCTCGGCCTCGAATGAGATGTCGCGCTGCGGGTTGTCCGAGACGAAGAGGTCGAGGTACTCGACCTCGGCCTTCTTGTGGTCCAGGCGCTGCGCCGCCGCCCAGAAGACCTGGCGGGTCGTCGAGTCCCCCGCGAAGACGAGCCTGCGGCCGCCGACACAGTCGCGGAACTGGTCGCGCGAGTACTCGTGCATGCGGCAGGTGTCGGGCTCCCACTTCCCAAACAGTCTATGGCCCTGGGTGTCATCCTGGGGCGGCCACGAGCCGTCGGTTAGGAGGGCCTTGCATCTGTACGGGTCATCGCGGCCTGTGTCGAGCAGTCAGTCAGCCTGTCTGTCTGCGTGCTTGCGTGCTTGCCTGCCCTCCATCCCCGGGAGCGGGAGCGGACTCACCCGAGACTATGTACTGCAACGCGACGACGGCCAGAAGTAGGAAGGCGGAAATTCGGGCAATCCGCTCAGCCCAATTAGCATGGCCGAAACGCGACATCGCTAAGTTTGAAAAGGCAATCTTGGGCACCTAGGCATATCTCTCGACAATCTACCAAAATACTACAAAATAGTAGCAATTCCCAACATTCTGAAGTTGAGGGGGGGGGGGGTCAATCTTATTAATAAACTCTGGATGAGCATCCATGACCTCAGACACACGCTCCTACCTTCCATGCCCATGCAAGTGTTTAAAGCTTGTTGACAGAGTGTTCTTGGCATTACCTTGGCAGGTCTTTTGCGGCGGGATCAGCTCCGGACAGACAAGGAACCTACAAAGAGTTCGCAGATGCTTTACTCGTGGCAACCAAGTCCGGCTTGGCAATGCCTGTTCCGGGTAGGTATGTATCTCACAGAGTGCTGGAATCCCCCGTGTGCTTCTACTATGACAGCCTCAGTAAACGCGGTAACGAGGGTAAAGCGGGCCAAAGCATTGATGGAATGGCTATCTTTGCCTAGCTAGGTAAGGTAGGCAATCTACAACGAACGTGGAGTCGGGAAAGCGAGTCCCAACCAGTTGCCAGCTGCCAGCTGCCAGCTGTCTGTCAAACCTACCCAGCCACCGACTGCCAAGTGCAGAACCCATGTCTAGGCAAATTTTTACCGAACCTTCTATCAATTTCTCAACTTCTCAACTTCCACACAGTCCATGTTAAAATCCAGCTTAATTCAGCTTTTCGTGATACTCAAGTCCGAGGAAATCAATCCCATGTCGGCTCTGCAGCCAAGTGGCTCTCCGATGATAATATTGTTTTCAGACGGCACCACCGAGGTAAAGTCGAGGTTTAAGTCTCCGTCACCGTCTCCCTCGAGATGGCGAGACCCATGCGGTCCTCTCGACCACCCCGTCGTAGATGTTCCATCTCGCGTACATCTTACAAGTCTTCTGCCTGATTCGGTTAGCATCATCATTCCATGGCTGATCTTGAGCCCTGGCTGCACGACTCTTCTGAGTCGTGTATGAGACGAGAGAAATCGCAAAGTTTTTTGAGTGCGGGACCTTCTCACCTTTCTTGAATGAAGGCTTTCGTAATTTAGCCTTTGCTACATTCCAACCCCCATCCATATAACTCCCAGCAAAGGGGCCACGATTTGCTGAAGTTGGTTCGCTGGGGAACCTTCGGTGCCATCGGCCTCAAGTGATGACAAGACTCGCATCGTCATAGTCCCAGTCAGTCTTGTCATCCTTAGGCAGCGTCAACTTTCCCCTGAGAAGGGCTTGTAGGTTTGCCCTGTCCTCGTCTGACCGTCGCGAGCCCTGCCTGAGGAGGATATGACCAACCACGACGGTGTTGAGGCCACGGATCTGGATGAGCTCGTCCAGGCCAAGGGAATCTGAGATGCGAGCTGGCTTCTGTGCCGTGAAGTAGCTCAGCATCTCCGTTTCTCGCGGTGTCAAGTTGTTGGTGGTCGCCTTTGAGATGATGAGATAGAGCTCCTCTAGCCTGGGGCACTTGCCAAGAGCCGTAAAGGCAGTGTCAGAGACTGGGCCATTCCAGTGCACTCTGACAGCCCTGATGTGGTGTTGCAGCATCTTGTTGGCTTTCAGGTTCTCCAGCATATCGCATGCACATGGGAAGTAGAAGGTGTTCTTCGCATAGAAATATGGGAGGAACTCATCGCGGACTTGTCGGGATGCTTGTGCCAGTGCCAACTTGAGGGCCTGGAACGGGAATTGAGAAGGCTCATGGCCAGCGCATGAGCAGGTGCTCTTCTTCCTGTGTCCCACAAGGATCCTGTCCTTCTTCCGGGTGGCCATACGCAGATACTGCTTGTAAATGTTTTGGCGGACCTCGGTGGGAAGTTTCAGCAAAGGAAACTCCTCCATCGGTGGCGGCTGATCTACATGAGGTGAATCCATTGTCAGTTATACGAACTGGAAGCTATCTCCGCGTCCTTTTATTTGCAACGTTCCGGTCTGGAGCAAAGTGTGCCTTGTGGGGAGGGGGAGGGGGGTGGAGGGGGATTTGGATTCTTACCAGCGATGGCCAGGATCTCTGTGCAAGATTGGATGATCTCAACGCAGTGCTTCACCTCTCCTTCCTTGGTGCCCATGATTCGGGCACATTTGGTGATAGTGTCTGTGATGGCCTTCCTCATACTATTGGATAGACGAACAATCCGTCCCAACTCCTTCTGGTCGATACGACCAAATTTATGGTCATCCAGAGCTTTCAAGAGGATTTTTGCATTTTGCGAGAGGCCGTATTTGTTGTGGAGGTTCAGCGTCTGCTGAGCATAGAAAGTGCTACGAGACATTGTAACCAAATCTCGACAACGTGTCGGCTCTTGGTGCCTTGGAGGTGGTGATCAGGGCTAGAGCTCTGCGAAAGTTGGCTTGCAATGGCCGTTTCGTACCAGTGCTTATATATCGCCGTCAGGTGTATCCAGATGGGAAAGAAAAGAATTGTGGCAGAGGCTGGAGGTTGCAGAGGAAGTATAGAGGCCCAATGACTTGACGATTCGGATTCGAAGTCGGGGGGGGATTCGAAGTCGGAGGGACTTGGAGGGACTCGGAGGCTTGAGACGCAGCGACGCGGAAGAAGGGGAGAAGAGACTCCAACGACACAGGTACACGCACGCCGGAGATGCACTCTGCAGGTGTTTGGGATGAGGTGTACCTAGGTAGGTGGGTAGCTACTTTGCTGGCATCCAAGTAAGAGTAGACTTTAGACTGGCTCGGTGAGAGAGGTGGGATTAGAAAGCGCTGGCAATGTTGATAGAAGCCAAGTTTTGCAAGGCATGAATCGCTGGTGTGAATCGCCAGGTTCTCCGAGAAGCGCAGGCCCTGTAGAGTAAAGTAGTGGTCCATGAACTCGTGGTTCACTGGTGGCGACCAGGTCAAGGTCGAGGCGAGGCGAGGCAAGGGAGTAGGGTGTTGGGAGAGGTAGGCAGCTAGCTGCCTGCGTGATCACTTGTGGTAGACAAGATCGTGACTTTGGCAGGTTTCTAGAAGAACAGGACTAGGCCATCTCCGATAAGTCCAAGGTGGATATTCTCAGTGAAGGCTAGGTGCATGGGGATGGTAGGATAAGACAGAACAGGTGTGATGCAGCTAAATAATCAGGGTAGAGTGGACTTTGTCCCTTTGATGGGGGCATGAACTATCAACTTCTCTGTGGATGATGATTCCATATGCACCGTACCTGGCAAGCCTCAGAGATAAGGAAGGCACGAGGGGGAGCACAATTTTGGCTCTAGGCTAGGTCCCTGCCTTAGGTGTCCTGCTTGTCATTGGCACCTTCCTTCTTCTTGTCTACTTTCTACCTGAAGGCATGGCGATGCCGCCTGGCCGACTTGGGCCATCCTTGCAAGAACACCAAATGTCGCAACAAAGGAGAGGATGCCAATCTATTTCAGTTTGTACCTACCTAAACGTGCATAATCCTGTTCCTCGTTTACATGGACATGTGAGGCGCCTGGCAAGAACATCTATAAGTTGGATTGGATCCTCTAACCATGACTATTGACCTGCCATGAAGGAGGGACTAAGAATTGTTTTCATTTGTCTTGTCCAAGGCTGAGGAAACCGGAGGCTTTGTTTGCAGGCCACTCCGCATTTGTCTTACATGGCCAGGAGCAATTAAAGGCCAACCTTGGTATATAGAAAACCATCACAACCTCTACAATGGGAGCCTACTTGTTTCCTGTTTAGGGGAAAGGAGGAGTTGTATTGAGAGCTAGCAGTTGGTATAAGCAATGCCCTGTCACCAAAAAAGAGCTAGGCCTTGAGCATTGCCTGCGATTTGAGGTTGTCCCTAAACCTTCCAATTTTGTATATATCCCGATTCTAAACCTCTATTTGAGAACCATTTCCCCAGATATCAGTTTAGTGGTGCTTTCCAGCGATATCCGCATCCATAACAGGCTCTCAAGAACGCCATCGCTATGCTTTGTATTAAAACTGGCAGGACAACCAGGCCAAAAAGAGCTAGCCAAGTGAGAGAGAAAAGAAAGAAGGAAGAAAAGACACCATCAAGCGGTTCCAGCCGCTTTCCTAGACGGTCAACAAGGCAGCTGCCAGGAAGGCAAGCAACGCCACTGAGCCCACGCGATCCTTCATGGCCGGGTTCGCATCCGACGAGCCGGCGCCCGACGAGCCGCCCGACTTGGACAAGGTGCTCCTTCCGACTGGCGAGATCCCATTGAGCGTATCGGCCGTGTTGATTGCAGGGCCGTGGTCGAAGAAATCGACGAGCACAAACACCGGCTTGATCCCCCACTGCTGCTTGCAATTCTGGGCGTGCAAGCCAAGTGCGCCTGTGGTGGTCGTTGACGGGCTGTTGGTAGTGTCGATGTCGCTAACGGCAGGAATAAGAATGGTGGATGTGAGCGCCGAGTAGGCGAAGTGGTTCAACAGAGGAAGCATGTTGTTGGAGATGGCGGTAGCGGCGGAACTGACGCTCTTAGGCCTGTCCAGGGTGCAGTTGAAGCCGGAGAGGCTGGTAACCTCGAAAGAAGTCTCAAAGGCGTAGGTGAACTCGTTGAGAAGATAAGGGTAGCTTGGCGAGTAGGTGATGGAGGCAATGAACGTGACGAGGCGGGTATTGGCGCTGATCATTTGTTGGAGCGTTGGCCAGTCGCCTGTCGCGCTGGTCGACTTTGGTGTGTAGCCGTAGGTTGAGATACCCGAGGCCTCGAAGATCTGGCCGTAGGTGGCCGCATCTACGTTGTCCGAGTTCACTAGCAGCAAGGTGACCACCTCGTTGGGATTGGTGTCCATCCAGTACTTGATTGCTCCGAGCCACGTCTGCAGAGATCCTGCATCGAGCAACGAGCAGGTGGTGTGACAGAGCTTGAGTGTCCCATTCTCGTTATGGACCTGGGCTTGAAGCAATCTCAGGCCGGCACTCAGGGCACGTGTGGCGTTGAAAAACTGGTTCCCGGCGACGCTATTGCCCGTGCTCTCATCTCTCAAGAAGGCGCTATCGTGGGCCCCCATATGGGTGATGGTGTTATATGCCTGGCCGCAGAGTGCCGGCGAGTTATTGCACGCCGAAGTGTCGCGCGGTTGTCTGACTGGGCCATGATTGGCAAGAGAGGATAGTAGCGACGTAGTGGAAGTAGACGATGACTCCTCCCGCGCATTTGCTACTCCAGAATCTTGATTAATTCCTCCATTATCGCCCCCAACCGGCACTCCGAATTGGCTCTGGGGTAGAGAATAAACGGCCGTTGACAAGGCCAAGGCAGCCGTAAGGGAATGAAGAAGCGAGCGCGCCATATTCGACAGATAACGATGGAATAGAAAATCTATTAGTAGAAGAAGGATTTTCCAGAGCTCAACAACTTTGATTCTCTGGCAAAAAGAACGACTGAAATGATGGACAATGAGAGAAGTTGCTGGGTATGAAATTCAAAAACACATGCAAGGTAAGGAGGTCGTATGAAACAAGGGTCTCTGCAGCATGGCCACACTGGTAAGCACCTTAGCGCTTGGCCTTACGGGCCCGATTCGCTCAAACCGGCAAAGTGTGGAGCCCTGCCGGCCTTGCGCCTCAATTATCCCGGAACCTCAGTCGTAAGCACTTAACCCTCGGGGCCAACAAATTCGTCATCCTCTGTGTCCTTGTGTTCCGGAAAGCGGCAGAAACGCCAGTATGAGGAACGATTGGCAAGCGGTGACGAAAATCCTACCAACCAGAAGGTTTTTATGAGTGGGAACACGGGGCTGAATCGGCCACCGAAGCAGGGAGGCCGGATCTGACAGCGGATGCATCATAATGAGTAGAACTCTTGGGCCATACATGGGGACCTAGCAAGAGCGCCTAACTCTCCCTTACGGACATCCATCCAGCAAGTGAAGCTTCAACTTCATGTCCGAAGCGCTTCGCAACGCCGCAAAAGCGGTCGCCGTCATCGAGTCATCGAAGATCTCTTCCAGAAACGCGTGACATTTGCCGCCATCCATGGTGCCCTGAGATGATGGTGGAATGGAAGTTTCATTCCATGGGGCTGAGGTAGGGCTGGGCAGCCAGCACAAGCCTAGCGGCGGATTCACGACTGGAGGCGCTTGACCAATCAAAGTTGAGTAATTTTGGTGGACCGTGCTTCACTAACTTCTTTTCTTGGGGTTCGCGCATATCTCCGTTTACGCTGAACAAAATACGGCTAGAGGACCAAGCTCACGGTCAGACTTTAAAGCTACAGACAGCTAACGTTATTTTTGAAGTTTGTCAACTGACCGTGATGAGAGAGGTTGGTTGCGACATCAAAGAGCCTCGAACTGCAGCGACGCCGACGACGTGCAGGCGCCCGACCGCCTCGTAGGGGTTTTGGGCTTCGGCGCTTCCCCTGCACTGGCGTGGCTTAGCTTGGTGGCCGAAACCATGGCTTCCCCCCAACGAGTCCGAGGACAGAGAGCAAACGGCTGGGCGGGCATTCTTCAGAGGATCCGTATCGGGTATGTGGGGAAACTGACTGTTAGAACTGCATTTGGACTTTAGATTTTCACTCGCAATGACCCGGCCCTTATCCAGACTGTTTCTTAGCTTCCACGAAGTTTCACGGAGATATCTCTTTTTTGTTTCGATTGTGGGTGAAACAACCTCCGCATGCCCTCTCTCTCTACCATGGTCGGACCGGAAAGCCAAGACGGCCGGGTCTCCAGTATTTCGGCAGGATGTGCTCCTTTCGGCAACCTTCTCCTCATTCCCCGCCACCGTCTCTGTTCACTTGACCGGAGAGCCTGACAGATTCCTTGTCTTCAATTTTTTCTTTCCGCCGAGTGCGAAGCTAATTCATGTTTCCAGCCTGGGGGCGTCCCACCCAGCATCATGCCCGGAAATACTAAGGGCTTGAGGAATGCGGGCTCTGCCATGCGTCCACTGCCACCCCATCTCCGTTTCCTGGTCCCCTCTTCTCGTTTCTCACTATTTCCCGGTCATAGGCACACCTCCAGTCAACACTGGATGAAAATAGCATCTAATTTCAAAGGGGGTATATAAAGATATCTGGCCACCAGGATGAGGAGATGCCCGCCAAAGAAATCCCAAAGAAATCCCAGGCCCACGCCATCGTAAGCCATTGTCATCACCGTTGGATAGATAGATCCCAAAGCACAAAAGCCAACCGTATCCAATAAGCAAAATAGCGTGAACCTTCCTTGTTCATGGACCAAAGAATGCACACCCTCGCGCATGCTCCTGTACCTTATACCCAACTGTAGTGAACGCCCCGTTTTTCTATATATTTCCTGGCCGTTTGATGCCGGTCGCCCCAATGGACCCATCGTGTGTTTGTTTGTATTCCTCGCTCGAGCCAATCGCTTAAACTTTTATGAACTCTTCTTCTGTCTCTTGCGGCCTCTGCCTTTCGATTCACCCTCATCCTCGTCGTCCTCGTCGTTACTCTCGTCCCGGCCGTGGGACGCGCTGGTCTTCTCGTTGCCCTTCTTGATGCTAATGAGGCAGCCCTGCTCCTTGAGCCGCTTCGTCAGGGGCGTGCTCGCCTTCATGCCGGGGAAGTCCTTTGCGTTGAACACCTGGAAGATCTCGGACATGGCCGTCGCCACGATCTGCGACTTCATGCCGGGCCGCATGTGGGTGGGGTCGAGCACGACGAGGGCAAACTTGAGGCTGAACGAACCCGGTGTCCGACAGGACAGGTCCGGGAAGCAGAAGAAGCAGCCCTCCTCGCCGTTCTCGTCAAGACCCACAAAGGGGGAGGCGACGAGCGTGCCCATCAACCGCCTCTGCTGCCGGAAATCTTCGGGCATGGAAGACATATCCTTGACACCGCTCTCGTCCCAGATCGAGCAGTGTACGACCGAGAACGGGTGCCTGATCCGGCGACTTATTTCATCTTGTGATTGGTCGGGATCGTCAATCGTGAGCTGCACGATTGGTGGTGGGTCGATCACACGTCGGTCCCTCTCCCCGAAGCCGCAGGACCGGGCGGCATAAGGTTGTTGGCGGACTTGTATCCTATATTTGGAAGCCCCTGTCGGGCAGGACATGGGCATTGGCATGGGCATGGGCACCTTGGATATGTTGTTCTTGGGCTCGTCGCTGAGGAGGTTCGAGATGCTCATGGACTTTGTCTCCTGACGAGGAGACGAGCTCATATGTGATGTGGGTGGGGATTGTGCGTGATGTGAGGGTGGTGTAGGTCTGCCGTTGGGTCCCGGGTACCCTTGCGCCAACTTGGCCATGTGCATCTCAGGAAGGGCTTCTTGGTGGAGTGTCTCTCGACGTTGGCGATGTGGTTGGTACAGCCTCGGGACATGTCCCTGGGTATTTTCTCTGGCCATCTGTCGCATCCGAAGAATCTCTTGGAACTCGTCTGAAGACCTGTCGCTGCCGGTTGATGACTGAGCCGGTGACAGGCGGTCGTCTGTCCGCCTCGAGGCGGAATGCGGATCACTGGTTACGATTGGAAGTTGGGGCGGTGTTTGCTGAACCGGAGAAGGGGTAGCGTAGTCGGAATAGTACCCGGGCTTGCCAGGATATCCATCTCGCCCGTTCGAGAGCACCTGGCCCTGTGTTGCGCTTGAGATGATGGCCGCCATGGAAGGCAGCCGGGGTGGCTGACTCGGTTGCGGCTCTCGGTGATAGTAGCCTCCATTCCTGGGAGCATGTGCCTCCTGGTGCCATCCGTTTACAGGTCGTGCCATGCTGTCAAACATGGTATGGTGACCAAAATTGTGGGGCGCGAGCTCAACGGCTGTCGACATGGGGAGCAAGCTGCTAATAGCTGGCAGAGGTACGATTTCTGCATATTCTAGTCAGTCCTGAAGACAGCATGCTGGGAGGCAGGAAGCTAAGGGGGAGGGTGCCCTACGAGTAAGGGAACTGCAGCTAACGGATCAAGTTATCACTGCAAGAACAGGGAGGGATCCGGTGAATAAGTCCGAATCGATTCGATTAGAAGAGAAGGGACTTGGTCGAAGAGGAGGCGGGAGAAGAAGAGCTGGGGCAAAGCCGGGCTGAGAGAGACGAAGGTGGGTATCACTGCAACCGATGTGGTGGGCAACCGCAGCTACATGTACTCGCTAGGAGCCGAAACAAGACGGAGCCGGGAAACCGGATTGGGGCTTGCTCGGAGGGAGTTGTATTTTGGGGGGGGGGGGTTAAGGGAAGGCGGAGCAGGAGACGGGCGGTAGTGATTCTGTAGCTTCTCTTTTCCTCTGGTTGCCTATGCAAGTTGTCCGTTGAGCAGTCGTCCTTGGCACTAATAGTTGTGTGTGTTGTCGGTGCGGGGACTATACGGCATATAAGAGGTTCGTCAGAAATCAAGAAGGGCACATTAGAAGAGCCAGGGCAGCAGGCACTCGGAAGATTTCAGAGCAATATGGGAAAGCCTGGCTGGTGGGCCATTGTGAGAGATTGAGAGGGAGCAATAATATCAATAGACGATATTGGGTCGGAAGCGTCCAGGAACTGCCTTCTTATTGAACTGGGACAGGTCGGGGAGATTGCAGATTGCCTGGACCAGGATGGGCAGGATATATTGGTGTGATGCGCATGTAAGTGTATGTAGGTCTGTATCTGACAATCCAGCCAGCAGGGCCCGTCTACGGATGTAGCAGAGATCTGTTATGTACCATCTATTATCCGTGGATCGAACTGTGGAAACCGAAGGGGATCCTTACCGGGGTGCGGGTTAAGGGCTGGAGGAGGTACATCTGGGTAGGGTCCAGGAGGGTCCAGGAGGGAAGAGGGAAGACGGAATACGTGACGGGAGGTACTCGGGGCGAATGCGTACAGTACACGGACAGTAGTTCAGCACCGTCCACAGTTATGCCATTTCTGCCTTTCAACGACTACCTAGTTGCTAGCTCTCTAGATTTAGTCTCATATTACAATCACGCCGCCGCGCATGCGACTCTGTGGCTAACATTATGTGGAAAGGACCGTCCAGGTATGGCAACCCTCCCTCTCACCTCTAATCCGTACCTCACCCACACTCGCCCACTATACGTCCACTTGACCAGGATCTCGGTTTGGCACAGCCGGTTGAGTGCTGCTACCCTGCGGCGCACCGGAATCGTCCTGAAATCAGGGCACTACCTGGGAACATGGTGGACACACGAAGGGGTAAGCCAGCATTACGGCGGCGAGGCTGGATGGATTCTGCCGGCGGCGGGTCAAGCAGAGCCGCTGTTTGGAGAGGCTTTGTACGAAGTGAAACCGACAAGATGGGACCCGGTGCAGCAGGATGGAGTGCTCGTCTGGGTGGCTGCACACCTCCGCAGAAAATTGAATTAAAAAAACTGGAACTCAATAGCCTAGGTAGCCACGCTACCAGAATTTGTCACTTGTCTGTCAGACCCTTGACTTTGACGTCGGGACCGGGACCTTCGAGTCGACGGGACCGAGAGGAAAAGAAGGCGTGGTGGAGACGTGACATGGAAGGATTGGAGGGTGGTGGTTGGGAATTGGCAATTGGGGATGGAACCTGGAACTTCCAAGTCTCCGTGTCACCAGTGCAGCTGGAAGGAGGCTAAAAGTGACATGTCTCCAGTGTGCATGTGCTCCACGGCACGGCAGGTACCGCACGACAACCGAAGGTACGTACCCAGGTACGTACCTCCATTCTCACCCCCCCCCCTTCCAGCCTCTCAGCGGGCTGCCCGCGCACCCTCACATCACATTCCCATCTTCCACCCGCAGGTCCTCCCTCCGTCTAAATAGCCGTGCCGCCCCTCTCCGACTCTCGCGACACGCCCACCCGTGCCCCACCGTCGACCCGGGAGGAGATTCTGACGGTGTTCCTTTGGTCTTCCGTCCATATTAACCTTTCAAGCTGCGTCGACAATCTCTTCCTTCGCCTTATTACGCCAAATTAACGGCCGCACATCTCACGCGGGACATCTGCCGGCTTTACTCTGCAGATGAAGATGATGGCAAGATGTGCGTTTCTAGCGGGCATATCAATCAATAACGAGAACCCGGGGAGCGGATGGTATTCGCCCATTTCTCACCTTGTTATACGCTTTCCGGGGCCCGCCAGCCCTACTACTATGCAGTAGGGTGTTGAAGCCTCGCTTTCTCTCTCTTCCCCCCAACCAGCTCTTTCTCTCTCCCGCGCGAGTCGGTGTGTGAACCCCGGATACGGCTGTGGCTTGACCATCTCATCCCTTGCATCGGGCTTCACTGAAGAACATTGTAGATTATTATCGAGTCTCCGAGACCTCTTGACTTGGACTCTCGAACACTCAAAGGCAATGAAATGCGGCACATATCTGCTTCGCATAACTTGCCCTATCTATGCCTGTTCAGTGTGGTCACGTTGGTAAGGTGGTTAGGGGAATATGTCGTGGCTGCCCGCATCAGGCGTAAGTGCAGCATCGGTGGACGATCGCAGCTGTTGTCAGCACTCAGGCTGCTTTCCTGGTGGACGCCCAGCAGTTGTATGGAGCACGCCCTGACTCCATGCACGGCATTCGTTGTTGGTCGAATAGATTAACCTGCGGGGGCAGGGGGGAGACCAGGCCACCCACGAAATCGACGACAGGGCCCATCGCCCACAGCCCGTGGTTGGACCAGATGCTACCCTGATTCCCGGTTTCCCAAACATGGCACACGGCCGGAAGATCAATGGTGGTGGATGGGGTCAACATCGGCCACCACGCTAGACCTCACAGAGCTGTTGGTGGCTGAGACCCCCTCACAGCAACGGCTTTGAGGCCTGAGGGTCTGTCACCTACACAACGGGTATTTTTAGCGCGACTGCTCCCAAATATAACTTTATTGCTCCAGCGTACGTACCCTTCCTGCCAAGGCCTCACTCGGTCGAAATCACGGTTCGTTCTAGTGTATGTATGCTCTCTCTTCAGCTTATTCTAGGTTTGGGGGATTCGGGTTCCCACCCGGTGGCTTTGATTAAGTCTATGGTGATCAGTTCAACACAACGTTGTAACCTTCATTTACAAGCTCACTTTGCAAGTTTATCTGCGGGGTTTGGGTAGGACCGTATGTAACCCAGCTAAGTTAAAGTTGAAGATCATGAACCATTCGGGTATTTCTTCCATACAAATTGATTTATGCCGGGGAGGGATTACCGCCCAGGAAATGGTTCTTGCTGATTGGCCGCACTGCACTGTGGCTGAAAATGTGGCATAAAAAGCCTGTCGTCTCCGTATTCCTAATCTCGAATGTTTATATTCCAGACATGCCCGTTGGGAACTACAAACATACCTTACCGAAAGCTGGAGTGGAAGTCGCTCACTCGTATAGAACTGGACAACCCCAAGACCAGCCTCCTGGATGAGCGGCGACATAGTGTCCGTTCAAAGGGAGGTGCAGTAGTTAGAGTTTTGGATCTGCGCACGCCACGACCTGTACCAAGAAACAGCCCAACTGGTGAGAGAGGGTCTGGAACCACTCAACCTGTCTTGCAAGTTGCGATTTGCGAGTTGCGAGGTCGGTAGCGCCCCAGTTTACGAGCTTGCAACCGGGGTTGTTGCTTGTGGGCTGCCATCGTTGGGGGCGCCCGTGACCGAAAAAGACTATTTCCTCTAGGTCCCGTACAATGTGCAATTGAGGATTCGCCGACGACGCTCATGAAGGGGTGCCCGGATTGTTGGCCCCGCACCGGATGTCAGCCTTTGGAGGAGGCAACCAAACACACATGTGCTTATGAGATGCTTATGAGGGTCGTGCCCCGTGCCATTGTCTTCCCGTGCCGTGTCTACGGGGTGGTCGAGGTTAGGGTTGCCAAAAGCTGAGTGGCTGATTATGTGGCTTTCTGCGGCTTCGACAGCTCCACTACTTCAGAGATACCTGAGACTAGCATGTCCGCCAGCGGTGATGCAACCCTGGACTGTCTGATCCAGCCCGGTATAAAATCGGTATCGCGGGGTATGCAGCAGGTAGTGCGGAGAGGGAGCATGCGAGCATGAGACCTTCTTGTACTATGTAGATGGAGGTTTTGAAGCTCCTAGGAGAGAGGCTGGTATACCACCCACGGTAAGGTCGACAACCTTGGAATGGCGGGGTTGGCCGCCTGTCCAAGAAGAGACAAGCGCCAATGTGGAGGATCTAAGGCAGCCCCACTTCAACTTCAACTGAAACATGAATAGCCATACGCATCTAGAACCATACGACAGTCGACCTAGGAGATAGGCAGTTAGGAACAGGCGACTGGGAAATCCAAAGACCGAGCGCTCGCTCAGTACCCAGTTTCCCCCATCCTACGGACCACTCCAGACCTGTATCTTGAATGGAGCTCGGACGACACCCAGTCACTCCGTGCACGAGCCACATCTAGATCCAGGATCCGCGAAACGCACGGACTATAAGTACATCACAAGATCAGCTGAAGAACAGGAGATATCTCAACTCCTGTCTTTTGCCATGAGAATACGGGAATATAGGGAATTTTCTTATTCACCAGTGTTGGCGCGCGGTGCTATCATGTTTCGGGGCCAGGTTTTGCAAGGGCATCTCTACCTTGGTCCCTCGGTTCCTCATCGAAGGGTCGTACTCGGCATTTCCTCCCTAGGCGTGCTAGGGCACCATTGGCGCCAGGAACCCGGAATCGCAGGCAGGCAGGGTAGCATGGAACGTAATGGCCAGCAGTTCATCAGTCCAAGCACCACCGCAACCTTTGCGAGCATGACGAATGCGTTGCACCCCAAGGCAATGAATGGCGCACCACTTGCTGAGCTAGGTTGGGACCGATTGACAAATTGAACGGCCTGACCTCGACTCTACCTGCGTACAGTACACC